TCTCGTATACCTCTTCTGTGAGTCCGGAATAGGTTCGCTTCGAGTTGGAAACATAGGAAGGCTCCATTCATTTCCGCGGCACCATCCATCAAAATTGCCTTTCCTCGCTCGCCTCTAAAAGTTAACTGCCAGCGCAGCCTAGCTGTCGTCACGTTCCTCACTACTGTTACTCTTATGCTTATGAAGGTTCCTTTCATTGACAGTTTGTCTCGATACCCGATTCTTCCTCAATTAGAGAGAAGAGCTCAGCTGTAGAATGTCAGTTGTATTCATTTTATTATTTGATGTCCATTTGGGTCCGTACTCCATCGAGAAACACCGGTATAGCTGTTGGGCCTCAAAATCCGCGAGGGTCTGACTTCGTTTTCTTTTCTTCCTTTTCGCTATGAAAGGAAGTCTTCTTTCTGTTTTTAGTTACAATATAATCTCTTCCATTTTTTTCATTATTTACATCTACTCATTTTTAACGAGAAAGAAAATTCAACCAACGAGATTATAGACAAAAGCCTTTCTTTGACGTATCCTTGGTCTTCTGCGCAGTTTCAGACAGGTGTTTCAAATAATCTGCACATGGTATCATCGTTAACTGCAGTCGGACTTTCTTTATTCCGTCGCCACTCTCATAAAAAGCTCGACGAAACGTATTGTATTGATAATATGTGGGATAATTAGATTGAGTGGGTTGGAAGAGCTGCTTCCGCCCCTTTGCGTCTTCTTTTTTCTTATATTCTCACTCTCTTAGTTTTTCATTTCGACTGATCTTTTGCCCAACACTTCTGAACAATATTTAAACGTATAGTTTGGTAAAAATTGATTATCAAAAACTCTTCTGTCTTCGAACTTCAGATTTATGTAGAACTTGTCCTTTTTAATTTCGCAGCGCGAAGAAAATTTTTTAGTTTAAAAAATGCGTTTCGAGCACACAGCCGAATTTGGAGAGATAGCGCTTAGAACTGTGGCCATTAATTTAGTAAAAGGGAAATTTGACACTGCCGTCGAATATGTCGATGTCGTGTTAGAAGGGCTCTCCGGCTAGCGGAAGAGTACTCGAAATGTGTGTCATGCTGTTTCCATATTAGGTCCGTCAGGGCCGTTTGTGTTTCATGAAGGTTTCTCTTTTGTTTGGCAGTTTTGTAAAATTTCCAAATTTCAATAGAAAACTGACCAAAAGCTAGTTGATGCTGTTTTTTACGCTTTTCCTGAAAATAATGCCCAAGAAAATATTTAAAAAAAAATTGAAAAACATAAAATCAATCTAGTTCGAATTATAAGTTCAATTGTGAGCTGGTACTAGTTCATGCTGACTCAGCACTGCTGAAAACGGAAATAATGAGCAACCTGAGATTTTAAATAAAAAGTAACATGATGAGCGATAGTCGGTAGCGATATGTAATCATATGTCCCACACGATTTTTTTATCGGTATTACTGTAATGTTATCCGTGCACACTAATTTGCGAGCCGTGTCTCTTTTCTTCAAACTTAACTATCTCTTTGAGTTTCGTGACAAGCTCGCAAAAATATTCGTAGATTATTTTTTTTTAATTCTTTTCGATTCGACCAAAATATTTTTATTTTAAATTGGAACTTTATCGAAGTGGAACTTTCATGGCTCTCTTCCTCAACGCCACAGATCTGTCTGTGAGCGAAATAAACATTTCACTCATTTCTTCAAAAAAAGGGCTACCTTTTTATTCAAAAGATTATGTAATCATTAGCCCTACCGCTGCTCAAAATTATGTCGATAATCTAGAATTTCAAAAGCTTTCCAATGACTGAAACCCGTGGAATGTGCTTTACGGTCTCAACATGGTTCAGAAAAACTTTTTCACATTACCGAACCGACGTTTATTTCAGCGACGCGAGCAGGCATTTGAAATTCAACGAAGTGCTCTTCAGAGGATGGCCATGAAAGGATATGGAGTATAAGTGAAATGGTAGAGAAGGGAAGCGAAGAAAACAATTAGCCTGCCAATTCCCAAATGAGCTCCTTAGGCGGCTATTTTGTCGGCTCAACCTCGCCACGCCTCCGTTCTCGCTTTGCCTTTTGCCTTACGTGCTTCCGCACCTAGACCCTACCAGATTTGCCAAAATCCATATCAAGATTTCGACCCATTAATAATAATCTTTTTTCGGTTTTCAAAACTGGTAGCAGAATTTTCCTCATGCGCGTCATGCGTGCGCGGGCTCCACATCTGTTTTGAGACCAAAAAATGAACATATCATACATTCTCCACCGTACTTTATTGGGACTCTTGGCCCTCAAATTACATCGTTTCATCGCGATCCGAGTTTAATGGTCATGACTGATCGAGCCGATACATTTAAAGGCGGCACATATTCTCAAAACGGCATTAATTAACCACCTTCTACCCATTAAATTTGGCTTTGAAGGACGCCGAAACGTCATTGTGTACTCAACGGACCTGCGAATTCTCGTCAATCCAAAAGTGTAAGCCTATAAAAGCCGAAGCTGAATCGCTCTCAAAAGAGAAAATTTCATGGAATAACTGATATTTTTATTTGGCGTAACTACATGAAATATTCAATGAGCTTAGTCCACCCCCGCAGATGTTTCACCACTTCGAAAATCTTTCAGGAGCTTCTCCTTCTTTCTCACTCCGATTACAATTTTTGACGTGAAACTTTTTTAAATGAAGATCACCAAGTGTTTTTTTCCCTTCGACTTGGGATCAAGCTTTTATATCCTCATCCGTTGCTTGTTTCTATTCTATTTTTCTTTCTTAATACTGTATTCTTCAGAGCTTTTCGATATTTTGCACGTTTCCAGCAGAGTTCTACACGTTTCTACTTCATTAGTTAGAGTAAAAATGTTATTTTACACGTTCAAAAGGTGGACCAGCCTTTTTCCCAAAGGGATTTACCATAAGGAGGGCTTCAAAAAACTTTATCACGTAGAAACTCAAAATTCAGCAGGGTGAGTATATATATATATATACTCACCCTGCTGAATTTTACGAGGAAAAAGAATTATTTTGCATATAGTTTAACTCACAGGTTCAAGAAGTTTAATGTTAGAACCCGTGTCTTCAACAAATTCTGCAAACGAGATTCCACGTAATAATTTTTAGATTACTGAAATAAAAACTTTTTACAATTGGTTCCTTACATAGGCGAATCGAGAAAGGGTATCGCGAGACCCTCTGAGGTATATCGCAGGCTCGGAAGTCTTACGATGGTACCTCGAGTATACCTCTGAGGATTTTGAGCAAAATGAGACAGGCTTGAGAGAGACTCTAAAGTACCTCCGAAATGGCTCAGATATAGCTAAAAGGTGTGCCGGAGGTCTCACGATGAACACATCATTGGGTCTTCAAGATCCATTTCGAGAGGTACCTTAGTGGACAGATTATGGTACCTTCTCGATTCGTCTGTGTAGTTTCAGGTTCGGAGAAAATGATGAAAAGATGAAATAATGAAGCTCAGTAGATAGGGAAGAGAGGAACACCTTTTAAAAGATCTCAAGGAAAGCCCTAAAAGAAAATCTTATAGAATTCTGATAATCTATCTCGAATAAGTCTCGAATCGTTTCTTTCATTTTCTTCAATATCATTGTGTTATTTGAATTAGTAATTGCAAAGAGGTTAAAAAAAATGAGGTAAAGAGAAAATTTAAAAAAAAGGAATCGCAAACGAAGGGTGATCACAACAGTGCTTCAGGTCAAGAATCCAGGCTTTTCGACGAAATTTATATTTCGTTCTCATTCGATCAGGTATTAGCTCTCGATCTTGCGCAGTTGATCAGAATAGGTCGACTAGGAGACTGAACGGAGAAGGAATAATCGAATTAGACACAAGTTTCCATTAAATTTTTATCAACTCAAAACGTTTCTTGAAATGCCCCAAAATTAGTTCTTATGTTTGCAGGTCAGCTAAACTTTGGCGACATTTTTCCAAAACTTGACGCTCGAAACAATCAAATCGAGATTTTGATTCAGTCTTTTTTTTGCAAAGCGCAAACTAATATTTTTCGGCTAAAAATCATAAGTCGACAGCGGCGTCGGTACTTCAAGAAGAGCTATCAGACCGGATTTTAAGAAATATGAACAGTTATTTTCGGAAAGGTCAAACTCACATGCATCTTCGATCTGGTAACTCATATTTTTTATCTTTGAAAAAGTCTTTTTTTTTTGACTTGTTTTTTTTTTCAGATTTAGATTTTTAGATAGATTTAGAGAGCTCTTTCCGAATAAAACAGAGACTCACGGGACCGGTGTGAAAGTCACCGTGAAACACTATTATGGCATGGGCCTTCAGTTAACTCTTTCCTTTCTTTTCTTTGAAAATCACATTCGTAGCTTCCATGAAAGGGTTATTGATACCTTCTTCGAAGATTTTTTGATAACTTATTTAAAAATGAAAGCCCCACTCTTTCAAGTTGCAAAAAACGGACTGTACTTTGTGAAAATTTTATAAAAAGGTTCGAAAAGTGGCAAATTTTGGCCGCTTCGCGACCGCGATGCAACACTGGCCAGCCCGATCTAGCGCCCAGCGATGATGAAAATGCTTTCAGATATTAACTCGATGAATGATCATTATTGACCCGTGGGGGCTTTTCAATTTGCTAAATAAAAGACAAAACTTAGTTTATTTTCTTGGTAAATTCCAAAACTTTTTTGTACCCATTAATTTTTTCACCCTATATTTTCTCATTACATCCCACCTTTCTTATAAATAGTTTGCATAAGGTTACTCTTACATCCTGAAGGTCGAAACCGTGGTGCACCTGTCGTCTGAATATCGAAATCGTCGTGCGTAGTTTTTTTTTTCATCCTTATGGGTCATTCAACTTGAAGTTTTTTTTTATTTTTGTTCACTGCAATGAAGTCAAAATTTTCAGTTTTACTGTTCCAGAAGATTAGACTTTTTATAACTAACTTCTCTCCAAAATTGCAAATTTCAGTGGACTGCTCTCCGCCTAAGACATTCATGACCTTTTGACTGATTATCCTTGTCGTTTTTTGCTTCGAGAAAATAATCTATGCACCGATTCTCAGGTAAAACGGAGCGGATGTGGCTGTTGCCGGTGATCGCCTTGTCTTTTCTCGCCGCCGCCACCGTCCACGGTTTTTCTTTTGTTGTTAATAGTTATACTCTCGGTATTGGCTGAAAAAAGCACATTTAAAACTAAATTAAAGGCATAGGGGCAGTAAAAAAAATGGGGTTTTAGGTAAAAGCAGTATCTTATATAGTTTTTCTTTGCGAATCGAATGGTGTACTCAAAACAATTAAAGATGTGAAAACTTTAGAAGAAAAACGCGATTTTACTTTCCCGCCATTAATTTTGAAAAATACTTTGGATACAAAATGCTTGTATGCAGACAACTGTTTACAGTAGCTGTGCACGCAATGTTGCGGACGTCTCATTAGACTCGCATTTTGTGAGAAATAACCGGATTTCTGCTTCAAATCAAGGGTTTCTACTATAAACAATTGATTTAAAAAACAGAAATCACACATTGATAATAAAGAAAACACAAAATATCGCTGTCCCAATCGAAACCTGTGTAAAATCATCATTTTTTACCAGAGAAGCATTTTTGGCGATCAAAGTTTGCAAATTATTCATGAATAGAAAGCTTTTGTGACGAAAAGAACTTTGGTGACAACAGAAAAAATTGAAAATTGAAAGAAACGAAGAAAAAAGCGAAAATCCGGAAGTTGGCCAAGCTTGTTGTCCGTAGAGCAACTTTACTGCAAAGCGCCCTTTTGGCGGGAACTCAAGCTTTCCTTTCTCCGACTTTGAATTATTTTTTCTCCAAAACTAGGAACTTCTGTACATTTCCAAGTTCACCGTTCGATTCGTAATGAAAAACTCTACAAATTACTGCTTTGAACTGAAACACCGTTTTTTACTGCCCCTATGCCTTTAATAATTTTCGAGTTATTCCTTTTTGTTTAGCCGATGAGGATGTTTTTCTGGTGAGGATTCCCGTTGACTTCAGCGAAGATTCACAATTTAATGACGAGTTGTCCTCCGGTCAGTTTTTATTTCAATTTTCTAACGGTTTCTTCTAGTCAGCTTTGTCTTGAATGAATGACAGATCTTCTCAGGATCACTGCAAAAAAAGGCGATTCCGTTCTCAGGGGGAATGTACGGAAAACGCTCATTGGTGCCCTTCTCCGGAGGTAGGCTTCAGAAATGTTGTAAAAAAAAACAGTTCTAAAAGATTTAATAGAGAAGATAAAAAATACGCACTTTTGATTTTTGTATGTTAAATTATTCTTTGCTGCGATGAAATTTAAGTCCGCTGATTCCAAAAAGCGAAAAAATTTCTCGAATTGTCTTGGAGTCGAGTGACTAAGTCTGTGAGCTGTGTCACACTGTGTCAAAAATGTCTTTTTTTTTTTTGAAAAGTCATTATCAACTTGAGAAGATCAAACAGAGAGTTTATAATTTGTCGTTTTAAAAGTTGTTTGCCAAAAAGTTTTTCTCCTGGAAACCTCTCCATATCCGTTTTTCAATATCTGAATAAAACTTTCAACTCCCAGAAAGAGATGAATTTCCGTCCTTGAAACAGATCAAAACAGCAGCTTCTATAGTCGGTGTGCCACGACTTGAAATTTAACGGAACGACATTCCGCTGTGCCGCTGCGCGCCTTTGCGAAACTTGGTCGCGCATTTTATTTTATATTTTTTTTCCTTTATATAGGCACCCTACTTTCATGTGCTCCCACAGCAATAACAATCAATTGAAATCGTGACCTAGATTCGAAAGACGCTTCGCGAACGCACTCAGCGGAACAGTGGAATGTCGTTCCATGAAATTTCAAGTCGTGGCACACAGACTATAGAGCACCTCGAAATAAATACTCCAGCTGAGTTTGTTTGTCAGGAATGTACGGGAAGCGGTCACAAGAAGGCTTTTTCGCGCAAAGACGAGCTGTACTGCCTTTTTCGGGCGGCATGTACGGCAAAAGATCGGCACCGCCTCTCAACGACGACGACGACGCTCGCGGCAGCAAACGCGCCGTTCGACCGTTTTCCGGAGGTCAAAACTCATTCTCTCTTTCTTTTGAGGCCAAGAAATTGCTTACTTTTTCGTACATCTTCATGATCAACTTTTTTATAGGTTATTTATTGTATGATCTGCCAACGTTTTGTGAGGAACATTTGAGCTTTTAAGTTTTTTTCAGAACACAAATTTGATCAATGCGAAGCAAAATAATCAACTTTTCTGTTCAACTTATTCTATATCATTATCATCACTAGCCTGAGAAAACATTTCTGATCAGTTCTATTCTCAGGTTAAGTCCAGAAGAATGTCATGCAAAAATTCAGCGGAACGCGATGTTAAAAATTATTTTTTTGCAAGTTTTTTGTATAAACTTCGCACCATATAGGCACTGAAAAAAATTTAGAGAGTTTATCTGGAACTTTTTTTTTCAGCGGAAAGCTCTTAACAGCAAATATTTCACTGCCATTTTCGAAAAGAGTATACTTCTTTGAAAAAAAGTTTCAAACAAATGAGACAAAAAAAAGTTCTGCAGGAATCTACGGCAAGAGGTCGACCGGCCTTCGATTTGTACGTTCGATGCCTTTCTCCGGTGGAATCTACGGTCGCTGAACCAGAATGACGTCATATTCGCCCCTCACCTCACAGCGAGAAGCTTTTTCATGGGAAAATCCCAATCGATAGAAAAAAAGTCTACCTAGCCCCTGTTTTGTCTTTACTTCTCGCCAATAATAAATGGTGTTTCGGTTGTTTCTTTGACTTTTCAATTGCGTCCATTAACGCTTGAGGAGGCTGCTCTTGCTTCGTCGCGAGGTGTGATTGGTTTGTGATTTTCGATCATCTTCTCATTTTTTTTTTACTCAGATAGCTTCAATTTTTCAGGAATCTCTCAAATGAAATGTGAAAAAAACTTAGACCTAGTTATCATATTTGAGTTATAACTTTAACTTTTAAAAAATAAAAATAAAACTTACCTTATCCCTTCATAAATATGAAATATTCGTTCAGCAGAAAACTTTTTTGAAAATGCATTGATTTACATGCAGAAATACGTCGTGTTTCTTCTGTTTTACCAAGTCCAGTAAGTAAAAAAAAAACTATGAGAAAACCGACAGCTCAGGAAAACGCGGGGGAAGAGTTTAAAGCTGCTGCTCGCTCAGTTATTTTCCGGCAGCCCATGGCAATTGTTGACTTCTTCTGTGTGATGCGATGGCACCCCGCTTTTCCTATTGGATTTTGATTCCTCGCACGATTTCCCACCTTCTATCTGCTCTCGTCCATATCTTACGTTGCCTGTTTTCAGACTCACTTAGGGTTCTCCCCAACTATTCCAATACGGTTATGAAGTCATATATGCAAAAACTTGAGACTTCTAATCTTGATAATTTTTTTTGAGAAAACATCCTTTATAAGTTTACTCAAGAACTCGGAAACAAAACTTGATCAGTTTTTTTTTCATATTTCAAATAAAAAAATGGAGTATTCTTCAATCTAAAGAAAAGGTCGGCTCATTTCAATACCTTCAAAATATGACTAAGAACAAACTTTCGGAAGAAGAAGAAATGCTCTTGATTGGCGGAGCTGATAGAACATGAGCAAAAGTTGCCGCGGTGCAGTGGGATCTCAACTCTCAAGTGACCTTTTTGCCGGATATCTCTACCTGTATCCCCGTGTTCTCTTTTTCGTCCAGATCCCAACCATCGGTTCGGTAAACAAAAGGATCTGCCTGGGCCGACCTTTTGCATTTTCACTGTTTCATTCTCCTCACAACTCATACCGCCACGTTCAAACTCTGCGAAACATGGCCTACGGGCATCGTTTCATTCAGAATCCGCCACGGTATGTCCTCCAATGGCAACTTCCCGACTTTCGTTCCATTTTCTGAAACTCGATATTCCACAATTGCATTCTCTTTCGAACAAAATTTCATTTTTAAGCGTCTAATAAGAAAAATAATTTGATCAAATAAAAAGTAACGGCATTTTTTTAATCCAAAAATGAATCTATGAGGTCTTTTTTGAGACAGACGACGTTCATAAATCGTTAAATACTTTTTTGCTCTTTACCGACCGCTCTGCACTTTGGGAACAAACATTTTTCGATTTAGCAAAAAGCTGAGAAATAACATTTCTGAATGCAGGGGGACCGCGTTGGCCGCAGCGAAAGAGCTTCTGGAAGAGTCACGCGGAAAGTCTTGGGAGCAACTCGTTCGAGAACGAGTTCGTGACGTCGAAGGCACTCCCTTCTGCGAAAGGTGAGGCGAAATCGAGTGATAAACGACCCGGCTCAACTTCAGGCTAACCGAAGACGAAATCGAAGAAAGTCTTGACAAAATGCCCACTTACAACAACTACCGTTGTAACCGTAGCCGTTCGGTCGACCTCAGCAGTATATCCAGGTTTAGATTTTGATATTGTTAACAAATGAGGTTGAAGTGTTTTTTTTTTTGCCGTTTTATAGAACAAGTCAGCTCAAATGAGATCTCGTACGAGTCGATAAAGAGTATTTTACGAAGTGAGCTGCATTCAATAAACCAATTCAAAAATTTTTTTCGAAAACTGGCGCAATAAAGACAGATGGGTTTCCAGAGAGAAGTATTTATCACGCTGGTCGCGAGAGAACACGCCAGTCGACAACGACAAGCGCTACGAGTCTCACGTCCGCCGCAGTTATACGCCTGTCCGCGATGTCGCCGGAGTTCAGGTCTTCCTTCCAGCCTCTCAGTGTGTTCTCAAACCGCTCTCCGCTGCAGAAATATTTTGCTTCAAACAGAAATGACTGACAATTCTTCTTCAAGACGAAAAAATGAAGTTCCACGGAAAAAAAAATGAAAAAAAAAATGAACTTCGTTTCTTTTTTTCTAGAAACACTTTTCTTTTCCCTTTCTTGATACTGTGAAAAAAATAAATTCATGACTTCCTTTTTAAAGAAATTTCCTTTTTCCTTGTTTCATTTTTCTTATAAATTGGACGCAACCTATTGATTATTACGTCTCAATAAAAAAAAATGAAAAAAAATTATTTTTTTATAGCTCGAAGGTTTACCCCTTCCGTAATATGACTAGTGCGAACCAAGTTCATTTTTGAAAATGGACTGTGTTAAAGTTTGAATCTCCCTTTTCCCTCGTCCCGTTGATGCTGTCCAGCGTTCAACAGCCAGATGGATTGCAGCATGTCAACGACTCTAACTTGCATCGCTCGAGATCGGCTTTGTCCATTGTAACTGCGCCCTACCACACCAACATCCATTATCGTTCCGAGGTCTTTTTTTTCTGAAAGCTTTTTGCCAACGTGTTGTCGGTTAAGATGGAACCGTTCCGAAAGTACGACGTTTACGGTCTTCGCACCTGGAGCTATCCTATTTACAAGTTTGTATCCATGAGAAAAGTCAACTTGTAAATTCAATCAGATATGTCTACGGCCGGGATTCTGACTACCGCCGACCATATTCGTTCAACAGACAATATGCCAACACACCTCTTTACACTCCGCCTCAGATGACTGCCGAAAGCCGTCCGATCACCACACGTCGCGGGTTCGCCTTTTACTTCTTTTTGGAAATCATGGACCAGTGGCAGATATTCGGGATACTCTTACCTAGCCAACGAAACCAACTACGACATTTCGAGCCGACCTCAAAGCCTCAGCTCCTACATGTACTCCAAGTCTTACCTAGGGACTTCGTAAGAACCTTTATGTCTTAGCGGCAAGACTTTTTTTTTTTGAAGAAGCGCCCCATGGTACTGGTCGTACTACGGTAACAGCGGACTGCGGCACTTCAACAGCTACCGACCTCACAACTACACGAGCTCGACGGCCAGCTGGTCTCGCTACTTCTAACTTCATCTTTCTTCAAAGTCGTAAATGTCACTTATTTTGTGTATATGGTGGACGAAACGACGAGTCGAAAAGCTTTACCGATCGAATTCAAATCTTTCTTCAGTTCAGCTCCTGCCATTCTCGCGTGCTTACAGTGTAGGTATTTGATTCGAAAAAAAAAACTTTCATTAATCTTGTATAAAGTCAGTACTCTTTCTGTCATTTTTTGTACAGACACTAAGCTGTGGAGATTCATTCACACTCAGCTGAAAAATGTCGGGTCGCGTATAGTGACCGACGACGTCGAGATCAAACTTCCCACGGGGAATTTCATCCAGGTCGATTTCTGCGTATCTGCAAAAGTCTTAATCATGAACTTGAGAAAAAATACTACAAGCTTCGAAAACTTTTTTCTAAATAGTAGATGGTTAGAACTTTTTAAGTCAAAAAACGCACGGCTCATGCAGTTTCGACGTTTGCCACGCTCAAATGCAATCATGAAATTTCATAATCTTTTGAATATACCGGAAATCGACATAATAAACCATTCGAAACAATATAATTCAACCTGATTGTTTCGACGCCAAACTCTGGTTCTACCAGGATCCGACCCATCGGATCGACAGCACAAGATCCGCCACGAATTAAAATCTGCGCAATGGACGATAAAGCTTCAAAAAAAAGCAAATGAACCTCATCATCTCCGAACTTTTTCCTTAAGGGATGATCTTCAGGATAGGCTGCCGACCTCAAGAATTGACAAGCAGAGAGTACGTAGCATCTTAACGGTTATGGAGCTGCTTTTTTTCGGCCTCAACTTTGAAAATCTTTAAGAAATCCCTGGAGAAGCTTCGAATAGATAAACTAAATCTTTTGTCTAAATTTTATCGAAAACCTCGCAATATTGAAAAAAAAATCTAGGTTTGAGGTTTTTTTTTATAAGGCGGACTATAAGTATATTCGGGCCACTTTTTAAATATTTTTTTAAGTTCATAAAATTGCTGCCGATTTAGTTATAGATAATAATAATAATGTATGATTAGCTGTTATCTTTGCTAAAATGTGATATGAGACGAAATTAGAGAAGAAAAAAAACGAACCTTCCTTCTAAGGCTATGGTGCGCATCGTCGACAACCAAACGTCACGGTCGTCGACAGTCGGCGCCAAGTAAATTTGCACTTCTGAAAAGGAGAAAACTTCAGAAAGCTGAAACTCTGACGAACCTTTACTGTACAGATGAGTACGATAGAGAGGCATGTAGTTTTCCCAGCAAATGGCGGCGCCGATCCTGCCAACGTCTGTGTTGAAGACGGACATCGTCGAGCCGTCGCCTTGGCCCCAGATACATCTCTCGAGGGCCGTCGGCATCAGTTTCCTATGTTTCCCGAGAAATCCTTGCTCGTGCGAGAAAAAGAAAACCTGTAACTGATTCAGTTGCGATCTTAGAAGTTTGAAAAAAATTTTTGTTTTCCAAAATTTCCGATTGCTGATTGAACAAATAAAAAACTGATAAATGAACAGAGCTGATAAACATTCAAAACAGTCCGAACTTTATAACATGCGAAATTCTTTTCGAAATATCAATTTAAGCAATATTGTAGAGTTTCCGGTGGAATTTTCCAAAAGTCGGAAACATTTTAGTTCATTTCGAAGCACTCACGGAACAGTAGAGAGTAGACTTGGCACGTTCCACGACTCCAACCACGAGACAAATTTGAAGTTCTCGCGAGAGATTCTCAAGCTGAACACATTCGCTTCCGCCCTCTTCGATTGCGGAATTGAAGTATCTGGTTAGTCTATTCTTTTTCATCTTTTCCGCCTTCTTATTTTTTTTTTCTCCTTAAAAGGTCCTTTCCAGAAAAAGGCCCCACGGGCGCCTTTTTTTATGACCTTTTTCTGAAAAGGATTTTGATAAGAAAAAAAGAGAAAGAGGCAGGAGAAGGTGAATAGAAGCAGATTCCAAAAAACTTTTAACACATTTTAAGGAATTCAAAAAGGAGTTCTTTTTTTTTGGCCATTTGGATACGGGAGAGGTCCAACAGATCTTAAAAAGTGATTTTGGAAAAAAAAGGTTCTAGAAAGGCTTCGAATGTGCCTTTTTTTTTACTTTTCACTGAAAAGGAGGTTTTAAAAAAAGGAGAAAAAAAGTAGGGGGCGAAAAGGAAAAAAAAAGTAATTCTGATAAATTTTTGAGACGCTTTTTAGGAGCTCAAAAAAATTAGCGACTCTTCATTTTAAGGTCTTTTTGAGCCCGTTCGGACTCAGAGAAAAAAACGTGAAAGAAAGGATATTCCGAAAAAAATTTGACACTTTTTAGCTAAGTTTAGATTTAAAAAAATTTTTAATTGTAAATGTAAGTAAAGAGTCAACCTGCGAAATTCTTCACGGCCCTCAGCAGATCGCGTGCCTAGAACGATCCCAAAGTCATTGAGTTTTGGGTAGCCGCCCAAAAATGCTTCTGGAGTAAATTTATTAATTTATTTTCTGCTCCATACATGCCTGGGAAGAGGACTAACTTTGCGCCGTTGGCCGCGGCTTCTCGTGTCAGTTTCTCTAACTTTTCCAGACTGGATGAAGTGTCGTAGAGGGCTGACCCAGCTTGAACAATCGCTATTCTTGTCATTACTGCAATTACAATTTTCAAAAAACAAATGAATCAAAAGAACCTCCTGGAGCCTTACGTTTCGGAAAAAAAAATCTGAAAAGTATAAAAGACGGTAGTTAATGGCCTATAAAAGGGCTGTGAAAACATGAGAATTCTGGAAATACGTGACTTGCGTTGCATTGACCAACGGTGAAAAACAGAAAAAGATTCGGGAGACAAACGTCTGACCTCATCGAATCATCGAATTACCGCCTTGAAAGATGGTTGCAGTGACCTGATAAACCGTTTCACTTTTTTCACAATAATAGATGATAGAATTGGTTAAAAAATTTTAATAAAAGGACTGTCCCAAGCACGCGCATGCTTATGCTTAAGAATAAGCTCAAAGCCCTGGGGCAGGTTATATCGGGCCAACTAGCCTGACGCAGGCTTGTGCAAGGGCCGGCCTGTCAGCCTATTGCCCCTCCCCTTAGAAAAACCTCAATAAAAAATAAAAAAAATGACCGGCGTCGGCCATTTTTCCCATTAACATTTTTAACATTTATTCAGTCCTCAGAGTAATCTTGTATCTGCTGAATCATGGAATATTTGAAGAGATGTTTGTTGGTTCGCGCAACTGTCGCCCATCTTTCACCAAGAACCGCTCGTAGGTCATCTCGCCAACGGGGTTTGGCCATTTTTCCCAAAGAACTAAAACTTCCTTCAGGAGAAAAAATTGGGTGTAAAAAACGTGGAATATGAGGCAAAAGTGCTCAACCGCACAGGTGTACTGTAGTTGAGGCAAAGTCCATGGTTACTAAATAGCGGCGTCTTTCAAGAAGATGCATGATCAAGCTTTTTTTTACGAAGAAAGTCACATTTTTGCTTATTGTTTCCCTTTGAATTCAACAGAAACTATCTCGCATGCTGAGCAGGTGTCTCAACGGGTGTACCCGTATTAAACCCGTGTTTCTGAGGTTATTTTAGTCTCAGTTGGGCTAAAACGGGGGAAAAACGGGTGTAAGAAAAATAGGTAACCCAGCTGGGCTAAAGCGGGGTCTCAGTTGGGCTAAAAAGTGCCAAAAGTTCTATCAGCTGGGCTTATACGGGTTTAATACGGGGGCACCCGCGGACACCCCGTGTTAGCACGGCGGGGTTACCCTGCTCAGTAGAGTTCACCAAACCGATCATTCAACCATTTCAATTGATCAAACTATTGACATGTCACTGTTCAACCAAATTTTTAACATGTCATTTTTTTGAGAGATCGTTTATTAGATCAGTTTTTTTGATCTCTTACATTAATGATCAATCATTGGATTTCAACGTTTTTGATATATCGATATTTCGACCAATATTTTTCAAAAACAAAATTTCGATCAATCATTTTTTTCGACCAATATTTTTCAATACAACATTTCGATCAATCATTTTTTCGACCAATATTTTCAATACAACATTTCGATCAATCATTTTTCTGACCAATATTTTCAATACAACATTTCGATCGATCATTTTTTTCAACCAATATTAACAAAAACAACATTTCGATCAATCATTTTTTTGACCAATATTTTTGAGCATAAAAATTTTTGATCGATCGAAATTCCGAGCGATCGATTTTCAAAACAGATCGCTCACAAGGGGCAGGTTTCCGGAGTACTAGTAAAAAGGTGAAAATATTTAATTTTTTTTCCGACAAATTAAAGTTTTGCATTTTTCTTGAACTTATTTGTTATAGTCTATATAGCATTGTAGAAATTTTTTTGCTTTTTAGTACCAGTGAACACAGAGAAACAGAAAAAAACGATGATGATATTCCATTACAAAAAAATCAAAAAAAGAAATTATGATGAACATTTGAAAGAGAAGCGGTTTTTTTAAGCAGTAGTTTTAAACATACTTTTTTTAACAAAAAAATTAATTTCGATCAATCATTTTTTTCGACCAAATTTCCAATAAAAAAAATTTCGATCAATCATTTTTTTGACAAAATTTTTCAATACAAAAAAATTTGATATATCGATATTTCGACCAATATTTTTCAAAACAACATTTCGATCAATCATTATTTCGACCAATATTTTTCAATAAAAATATTTCGATCAATCATTTTTTTCGACCAATATTTTTCAAAAACAACATTTCGATCAATCATTTTTTTCGACCAATATTTTTCAAAACAACATTTCGATCAATCGAAAACTGAACGATCGATTCAAAATGATCTCTCATTTAAATGAAATGTTGACATGTCGAAAAAACGAGAGATCATAATCATGAGACATGTTAATCGTTCGGCAGCAAGAAATGTTAATCAATCATATTTTTGGTAACATGTCATGAAAATATTGGTTGAACGTTTGGTCGAACGATCGGTTTGGTGAACTCTACTGCTCAGCATGCGAGGTAGGAAGGAATTTTGGGTCCACGAATATTTTTGAGCGTTAATTGTGCATACACCGATCTTGGAGGCTCGAATCTTTGAAAATTTGAATCTTTGAAAACGATTCTTGGGAATTTTCACTTCTTTTCTGATTTTTTATAGTTGTTCCAATTTTTTTGGAAACGGAAATTGATGGAGAATGTATACAGAGTGAATGAAAATGTGGTAGCCGTTCTGCAGCGAATATTTGACTACGTGTATGCGAGAAAGACGCATTATTTGATAAAAAGTTAGTTGAAAAAAGCATAGTGTTCATTTGTGGTCGAAACACGGCATCTTCACAATAGAACGACAAAGGAAAAAAATGTAGGAAAAAAAGAAGGAAATTCAAAAAAGAGGTGAACATTCCCAAGAATCGTTTTCAAAGATTCAAATTTTCAAAGATTCGAGCATCCAAGATTGGTGTATGCACAATTAACGCTCCCGAATATTCGGGGATCCAAAATTCCTTCCTACCATCGCAAAGGGGGCTTGTACTGTCTGCGCAAGTTTTTTACGACAAAAGTCACGGTTTTGCTTATTTTCTCACTAAGAACTAGTTCAACAAAAACTATGATTTTGAAAGTTAAAAACATTTTTCGGTGAAAATTTGTTTAATGAAACAATTTTTTTTTTTAGTCAACCACTTTTCCAAGGCCGGCCCGAGCGCGCACAGGCTTTTTTTTCAAAAATAAGGGTCCAAAGGCCCGGCCTGACGCGTCATGACGCACAAGCCTGACCTGGAGCACTCCAACTCGGAGCCAGGCTTGTGCGAGGGCCGGCCCGTCAACCTCTCGGCCACCCGGCCACTTCCCAAGCCCGGCCCGGCCCGGCCTTAGAAAAGCCTCAAGCAAAAATGGCCGGCCCGGCCCAAAAAGCTCAAATTTTTTTCATGTCAAACTTTTCGCTTTTTTAACGAGAAAAGTGGGATTATTTACTTATTTTTCCTCATAGAGTTATAAGAAACTATGATTTATATATCAAGTGAAAAATAATTTTTTTCGGCAAAATTTTTTAAAAAAATGAAATTAAAGATTTTTTTCAAAGCCCGGCCTGGCCCGAGCCCGCGCGGGCTTTTTTTGAAAAAAATTGAGGCCCAAAGCCGGGCCGGCCCGCCCGGCCTGACGCACTCTGCCAGAATGGCGCACGGTGCGGTCTAGCCTTGAGCACTTCGGTGCGTAACTTGGGCCTGCACCGTGCAACATCGGTGGTTTTTTGGTGCCATACGGGTGCATATGTGTCAAAACAGTGCTTTTAGCGTGCTGCCCCACTGCGGCACCAAAAAATCACCGATATTGCACGGTGCAGGCCCAAGTTACGCACTGAAGTGCTCAAGGGTAGACCGCACCGTGCGCCATTCTGGCAGAGCACAAGCCTGCTCGGAGCGAAAATGCGAGAAAGCATTTTCGCCCCATCGCTCTTCGAATTTTCGTTTTCGATTTCGCGTACATTCGCTGACTCATTTTCAGGCTTGTGCGAGGGCTGGCCCACCAACCTCTCTCAGAAGAAGCCCGACCTGGCCCGAGCCCACACAGGCTTTTTTTCTGTGGATTTTGACTTTTTTTAGTTTAATTTTGTCTTATAAAGAGGATATATTATTAATAAATATTTCTTTGAATTTATATAAGAAAAGTTTGAATGGTTTTTTTTACGAGAAAAGTTTTACTTTTTGTGCGCAGATGTTTATGATCAAATTTTTTTAAACTCGAAAAAGCAAATTTCACATATTGTGAAATCTTTTTTTTTCACCTCTTCTTGTTAGCAAGGGCACTAGGGTGCGTATATTTATTTTAGAGTTCGCTCTCTCACACGCGATATCATCGTGATATATAATTTCCAGACAATTCACGATGAAACGGAACTCAATAGACAAAGATAATCTCGACTTCTATGAACTTCTCGGCTTGGAAAAAACTGCTTCCGAAGCCGAAATTAAGAGTTCGTATAGAAAGTTGGCTTTGAAATACCACCCAGATCGAAATCCTGGAGATGTCCATGGTACGCCTTTTTTATCCCTTTTTTGCATTAAAATCGTTACAGCGCAAGAAGAGTTCAAAAAAATTTCTATCGCCTACTCAGTTTTGTCCGATCCTAATAAAAGAAGGCAGTACGATGTGAGCGGACCGTCTTCGAGCCAATTAGATTTCGAAGGTTTCGACGTCACCGAAATGGGCGGTGTCGGTAACTTTTTATTTTTTTAAAAGCATTAAAAAACTGATCATTTTTGAAATCCAGGACGTGTTTTTGGCGCCCTTTTTACGAAACTGGGCGTTCCCATACCCACCCAAATTGTTCCCAAGGTAATACATTTTTTAGCGAGCGGTCTTTTTCAAAACAAATTGATTTTCTTTATCTCATATTTTTCCAGGTTCTTGCTCAAGCCCGAGATCTGTGCCTGGGACAAGAGTGTGACGCGACTTCTAAACAGTTAGTTCCAGGAGAGGTTATACATGCTAGCGTCGGAAAACAGGTTCATTCGCTTTTTTTTCTGAGCTTATCATTGTGCAGCAAGGACACTTCTACAACATGACAATGAGAGATGAGTGGCGCCAGAACGGTATTATGATTGTTTGCAAATCTTCTTCTTCGAGCAAGTTCAAGCTCGTGTTGTTTGATAAAGAAGGCGGCGTCAGACTGATTCAGGTGTTCGAAAAATTTCTCTAGTTAAAACAAACGTTATTTGAAGGAGAGCCAAAAGAAAAAGTCTGGTACGCAGTCGGAAATGTTCTTCGTGCCTTTCACAATCGCTAATCTTGGTGAATTTGTTCCGATGAAGTATCACTTAGAAGATAAGTAAGTTTGGAAAAAAAGTCCTCTTTACGGTTTGAGCTGCCAAAAAACTGATGGTAGGAAGGAATTTTGGGTTCCCGAATATTCGTGAGCGTTAATTGTGCATACACCAATCTTGGAGGCTCGAATCTTTGCAAACGATTCTTGGAAATATTCACCTCTTTTTCTGATTTTTTTATAATTTTTTTCCAATGTTTTTTTGTTAACAGAAGTTGATAGAGAATATATAAGAGTGAATGAAAATGTGGTAGCCGTTCTGCAGAGAATATTTGACTACGTGTAAGCGAGAAAGACGCATTATTTGATAAGAAGTTAGTTGAAAAAATCATAGTGTTCATTTGTGGTCGAAACACGACATCTTCACAATAGAACGACAAAGGAAAAAAAATGTAGGAAAAAATAGAAGGAAATTCAAAAAAGAGGGGAATATTCCCAAGAATCGTTTGCAAAGATTCAAATTTTCAAAAACCCAATTTTGTGGACTATATCGCAGCGAGAGTAACGCTATACCGCGGGGGAGCCGCGAGCGATATCGCTCGCCTCTCGCTGCGACCTCGCAAACGTCTTGCGCTACATCGCTCTCTGAAATATTTTTCTTCAAAAATGTTTTTTTCTTGAATTTGATTGATTTCATCATAAAAGTCAAAAATAAAGCAAAAAAAATGTTTTTCAAATTTCAAATTTTTGAGAGGGAGATATGGCAGCAAGACTTTGACGAGGTCGCAGCGACATGTTGGCGAGATCGCAGCGAGAAGCCTTGGCTATATCGCGTGCGGCCCGCTGCGATATCGGCAATTATGTTGGGGGAAGATTCGAGCCTCCAAGATTGGTGTATGCACAATTAACGCTCACGAATATTCGGGAACCCAAAATTCCTTCCTACCATCAAAAAACTTTCTCTAATTGATTTTAATATAACCGGAAATGTGCTGATAAGCTCGTTTACTTAACTATGTCGAATGTTTTTTTTTGGGGGGTATTTAATTAAATTAAATAGTGATCTTAAGGCGAATATTTCCAGAATCGATTTAAGGAAAAGTTGGATTTTTTTTTTCTAAAGTGGCTTTATTGGGATAGTCTTTCGGCTTGATTTTCGTAGCTTGCTCCTTGATAACCTTAACAATGCACGATATGGTTATTTCAATTCACTGGACCGTTTGCGTAATGATTTTTGTTGCAGAGACAAATCATCGTTAAGATTTTGATGTGATATTTTTCTGTCCTCAGAGAAACTCCGTTGCCTTTCCACTACTTGGACACGTTGGAGACCCAAGTCGCCCAGCTTCTAGACACGAGAACCCATCATCTTTGCGTTTACGGAGACAACTGGATCAACGATGTCAAGTATTACAGATTTTCAGAATTTTTTTTTCCCAAATCACCATGTTTAGGTATAGTATTTCATTCGTCCCCGTTTCTCCTGATGCAACTAGCCCCCTTCTTGAGATATCTGAGGCAACACCGATCTTTTGGTTTTTGTTTAATTTGAACGTTTAGCTCGAGAAGTGCTTGACCGAGAAGAAGTCTGAAATGTCCAAGTTTCAGAAGGAATTTTTGGAAGCCAGGAAGAAGTCGGCTGTTCCCATTACATATGGAAAAAAAAATGATTTTTTTTTAAGGTATGAAGAAGCTTGCGAGCGCTTGAAAGCAGAAGACAAAGGCATACAAGAAGATCTGAAGAAAAGAGAAAAGCTTTACGATGACGTCATCAATAGAAGCCACGCTGTTTATTACACCCAGGTTTTAACTGACAGTAAGATATCCTTTTTCACGCATTTTCCATTTTCTAGGTTTCTCCGAGCAGATCTTCCAAAGGCCTTTTCGGTTGGCTTAGTGGAAAGTAATACTCGATTTTATCTCGTTTCGGGTTTTTTCTCCACCAATCACTGCAACTTCTTACATTTAGCATTTTATTTTCTTGGATTTGGGTTTAAAAATAATTATTTATCCCCGATGATTGGGCGTAAAAAGACGGTCCTATCCTTTCTTCTGCGTTCTTCTCTTTAAATGTTCGAAAAAAAATTTGAGAGGGTCAAAAGATATTTTTGAGCTATAATTTTGCTCTCGAACGTCGGAGGTCCTCCTTGTTAGACTTTTTTTGGATGAGTCATTTTCTGAATTTCTGATAACGAGCTTTTCCATGAAAAATAAGATCCCTGCACTGACAAATCCAGGCATCAATGCTGCTTCATAGCATGTTGAATTAGAGCTTCGAGAAGTTGTACTAGTTGGACCAGATATCGGCTATATAATCCCTATATGTCACAAATAAGCGAGTTTTAAAAGAAAATTTGGCTAGAATCTGGATTTCATTTCGATTACATAGTCGCTAGGGTTGAAACACAGTGATTGGACAGAGACGCATGCTAGTAACATCTGAGGAACTAGATAGCCCAAGTTGGTTTTAAGCTTAATCTCTGGCAGCTACGTTGGTCGGGTTTTCCAATGTAATAATTAGGATCTCGCTTTTGAGGTTTAATTGAAAATCCCGGTTTTTATCGCTTTATTATTTGTAATCTAACTTCTTTTTTTTTACTTGTTATCTTTTTTAAATTAGATTTTAGTTCATCTCACCTGCATGTGTTCAAACTGTTTTATGGATGTCAAAACATAACATGCGAAAACTTATTGCAAAGATCTTTTTTTTTAACATTCAGGTTGTGAATAGAAAATTTTTTTGCGCATTTCACTTTCTCTTGTCATCTGTGAATTAAAAGAGTTTATTAAATATTACTTCTTTCTAATTTTTGGATATAAATTTTTTTAATTATTATTATTATTTTTAATGAGTTTCCGTTTTATTTTGTTTTTTTTTTCTCTTCGCTGGAACTGTCGGAGAACCCCGTTATTAGTGGAAGACATCCACTTCTATAATCTACGATGCAAGACCAATTTTCTCTTTTGTATTACGAGTGGCCTTTAGTTGGGGTCCTGCAACGAAGGCGCACCTACGCGTTTCTAAAGGGAACCCGCAGGCGAGGCGATGGAGGTGTGGCATTTTACCGCGCCCTTGCGTTCGTTGGAGCTTACTTGCGCAACAGAAACTTTTTTAAAGTCTGCATTTTGTTAAAATTTCGTTTTTATTGTCTGCTGAGACGTTTCGATTGAATTGTTATTATTTTTGATTTCCAATGTTTCCATGGGGAACTGGAAGCTTTTAAATCATAATGAAGCTATTCAATGAAGTTTTGCTGGAAATTATCCGTGTAATTGCTTCTCAGTCTTCAAATCGTTTTACGAAAAATTTTAAGCTACCAACCTATGTATAGACGATCCACGGCTAGCTTACGACGCAAAAAGGCGTGGCCTGTCTGCACTCTCCACCAACCAGGGCACTGTCTCGTCTCTTTTCGTGGCAGGACCCTTTTTTTGATGGCTCAAGCCAGCCGTGAATCAGCTATATTCATTGCTCAAATGGTGAATGACTGATAGAAAAAGTAAAACAAAAATGACCAACAATATGAACACAAAAGTAAAAAAACATTTAAAAGTTAGTAGGGTTTTGAGGTCCCAATACAAAATTAATCCACGCCTAGTTTTCCTCCAAGGAACGCCGTGGCACATCCTCCTTGGCTGAATGAAGTACTTTCAAGTGTATTATCAAGATATATCATATTTCAAATATTACACAGGCAAATCGAGGGGTATCATAACGTTTACACAAAGGTACTTCTCAAAATAGATCGTGAAGACCCCATAATGTGTCCATCGTGAGACCTCCGGCAAATCTTAGCTATCTCTGAGCCCTCTCGGAGGTTCTACAGATTCTCCCTCAAGTTTATCTCATTTTGTTCAAACTCCTCAGAAGTATCCTCGTGGTATATACCATCGTGAGACTTCAGAGTCTGCGATATACCTCAGAGGGTATCGCGATACCTTTTCTCGATTCGCCTATGTATGTCGGCTAAGTTGATGAAAAATGATATAGTTAGTCGAAGAACGAAGTCCTGTCTGCAAAGTATTTTTTTTTCACAATATTTATATATTGAATTCTTTCTTAACGTTTTAAAATAAAAAAAAATTAAGGGCATGCTGGAAAAGTCGGTCGATTCGGTCACTATTTTTGGAGTTTTTCCATTTTCGCCAGAGAATGCTCTTTATATAAATCTTGATGAACACTATTTCGCACTTGACACATTTCGATTTCAGGCCAAATTTAAAATTTTGACATAAAATTTATTCAAAAGAAAACACAAAATCTCCAATTTCAAGCCGCCAATTTTTAGTTTTTCAAAATCTAAAAGCTAACCAAGATCGAGAGTTTTACGCAATTGGGACACTTAAACAATTTAGAACGGGGAAAAAAACTTTAAAATTTTCAAAAAATGGCCAATTTGAAGAAGTGACCGAACCGACCGACTTTTCCAGTATGCCAAAATTAAGTGTTCACTATTAGCGTGTTCATCGGAAAAAAAAAAACGAAAAATCGTGTTCATAGGCGCCAAAGTTGCTTCAAAACAGTACTAATTTTTGTTTTGGATCAATTTTTTTGCGTTTCGAAGCAATTTTAGTTTTGTCCGATGAACATGCCATATAAGTTACAAGACACTGCATACAGTTTACGTGTGAAATTAGAACTTTTTTTTCGCACCCGCGACTTCTCGAAATTTCGATTGAATGTAAGATTTGCATTGTCTGCGCACTTTTAGACGAATATTTCGCAATGATGGGCGTGGCCCACCAATAACGTTGTTCCATGTTGGCATAGCGGCAGCATCACGGCGTAACGTGACGTGTCCTTAACCGCATACGTTGCATAGCATAGCGGTCGTCCTCTCTTCAGCTTCCTGCCCAACTGGGCCGTCGCCCATAGTTTGTGATGAACTCTGTACCTCGAACTATCTACCTTCTTCCTGCTCACCAAGTCCGACCGGTGGTGACTGTTCAGCGACAACGTGTTGTGGCGCAATGTCGTCCAGCGCCTCAGAAATCCCACTTGCCAGTGTTAGTGGCTCGACCTGTGACTCCCAAACGGCCCGCTGCTGATCTCATCGACGACATCCTCGGCGATGACTCCATTGGTGGTCCGCCTCGAAAACGCGAACGGCTTACACATCTCACGCCAGAACAGAAGCTGGATCGTCGTAAGATGAAGAACCGTGTCGCTGCGCAAACAGCCAGAGATCGCAAAAAGGTTTGCCGGTTTTATATATAGAAAATGCGAGCGGCTCAATGTTTCAAAAATAAATAATTAGAAATTTTTATAAAAATCTAATAAAAAGATTATTAGTTTTTCTTTTTGCTGGGTTAAAAAAATTTCATGGAACGGAAACAACACGAAAAAAAGTTTTTAGGCACCGTGACTGTGAGATTTATATCTCTTCCCTTTGATAAAACAAGTATTTGATAAAAAAAATTCATTCAATTTAAATTTATTGAGTTCAGGTGCGATCGCAAAAGCTGGAAGATGTTGTGCACAGGCTTTTGGCCGAGAATGAACGACTTCGAGAGGAAAACTTAAAACTCCGCGCGCAGCAACATCAGCTCATGAAAGTAGAGTCGACGTCCGAGGAGAAGACCTTTGAATCTGCAGCATTCATTAATGCACCCCTGCCGAGGGTACAGGTCAATTCTCAGACGATCGCTCTGCTTATCCAGCTTCTGCTCTCAGCGGCGACCTTCTCGAACAACACGAAATCGATCGTATCGTTCAAGAACTCAAGGTACTTCTATTGTTTGTTTTCACTTTTCCTCTTTCTTCAAAAATATTTTTTTGATAAAAAAATTATTTTTTTAAAGATATTTCGAAAAAAATAATTAAAAATATTTTTTTTTTCTCCAAATTTTGTGGATTGATGCTTTTGAGAGAAAAAAAACCCGTTTGGAGCAGAAACGAAAATTGGCACCAAACATAGGAAATCATCAGCTCTGTTGGAGGAGATGTTGAAAAAAAAAATTAAATTTTCAGAACGACTTCGACATCGACGAGCTCGCCAGCGAACTCCCGTTTGAGCTTGGAGAAGAGCTCGAAGAGTCGACATTCTACAATGCGTCGTCTGTTGCTGAAGCTTCGACGAGCTCATTCACGCCGAGTCCCATGAGCAGCACCTCGCAAGTGCCTAGTCCGAATCCTGTTTCCACTCAAATGAGTCCTAGTACTAGCGACTACTTCAGCGAAGAATTGGACCATCCGCAACTCTTGTATGGTGATCCCCTTCTAGGTTCACCCTCGTCGAGTTCCATCGACCTTTCTAAAGACAATTGCGATATATGGCCTTCCACAGACCCAATGCAGTTTGATCACATTTTTAATGATCCCTTGATGGAGGAATTCATTTGCTAAGTTTATTTTAGTTAGCTTACGTGGGTTTCCTAAATTACTTCCAATCAATGTATTTTTTACGATGCCGTAAAATTTTTTTTTGTAAATATCTATTCATAAACTATTTATTTGGAGTTATTTTGTGATACAACACACGTGAAGCGGAAAACACACCCGTTCCAAAAAACCTGTGATAGTTATCCAAAAATTGAAAAGGAACGGTTATTGTGTGGGAGAGTGAATATCGGTAGGTACTTCATCGTCGGAAATCGGTTCGTCCTCCAGGTCCGGCATCGGGAATCGAAGAATTGCCGCACACCCAGTGAGCTGGGCCAATTGCTCGCCGGAGACGTGCATCGACGAAAATATGAGCACAGTGCCGTTCTGGAGCATAATAGTGATGAAGACGTCGCGACGCTCACCTGTTCACGGACGCTTTCGACGAGTCTCACGTACTTCTTGCGCGTGGCGATGTGCTGGGCGCGAAAAAGCGAATCTGCTAATAGCAATGTTTCGATGGCCTGTTCTTCATTGGCGTGTGAAACGTGTCTGAAACCATTCTAACCACTGAAAAAAAAAATCTGACTTTTTTCTCACTTGTATCCATAAAACGCTCTATCTGGTTCAGTCGACATGTACTCGAAAAATTGGTTCAGCGCCTTCACCTCGGCTTGTGCCTCAAAAAGAGAAATAATTTATAGAAGGTCCAAAGTGAAAGAGAAGAATATCTAGAGGATCAAATTTCTAATGGCTATGAAAAATATTTCTGCATCTTTACAACTATGAATTTTGCGGCATTGTAAAAAATTGTCGATATTCAGGCTTCTGCCATGGCTACGAAGAAGCTAGTGAGAAGACGCAGACCAAAGTGAAAAAGGGCAAAATAACTGCTTAAAAGATTCCCCAGCGTCTCTTCATGAAAAAAAAATTTTTTTTTCCAAGTTTTCATTCTGTGGCCATCAGAGATCCACGATTCCGGGTTAATCGCTGGTCGATTATAAGCTTACGCTAAAAAAAAAAGCTGCCGGTTAGGTAGCTTACGCCGGATTAACTGGTCAGTGTCAATTTGGATCCGGTAGTATCCATGTAACATGAAGATACCTGTTAGCCAAGCGTCCCGACGGGACGACCCCAACCGAAGTTAAAAATGAGTAAAGGAAACGAAAGAAAAAAAAACAGAAAAAATTTGAGAAAAATGGCGCTTTTGAAAAGTGACCGATTCACGGATCGCTCCGGTAAGACGATATTCCGTCTAATAAGCTCTGTTGTAGCAAATGAACGACCACCGAGTAGCAAACGCCGAACGTTTTTGGTTCAGGTATCCGGTAGCTACTTGTATACTTCTCCCGATACACTTGCGGATGGGCCTTTTAAAGACTTTTTCTTTATTGAATATGGATAATATTAAGCGCCCGAAGGGTCGTCGACAGATTAACATTGAGATAAGCTGCGAAATCGTTTTATTAACACGATTTTCTCTCAATAATATTTTTATGAAAAATAAAGAATGAACCAGACCTTGGTGTCGGCAAGGCGATTTGCCACTGCGGGATCTTCCAAAACTTCTTTCAATGCATGTTTGAAACCACTGCTCGAGTGTGTTAAAATGAACTTAGCACGCTGCTCGGTAGTAAGCTGTAAATCAGGATTTTTCGGTGAATCTGGAACGACTATAGAATAGGAGAGGAATCCATCCCCAAACAAGAGGTGATTAGAGATTTAGGAGTTAATTTCAGTTCCGATCTGAAAATGCATCATCATATCGACATAATAGTCAAAAAAAGCATTCGTATAATCAATAATCTTTTCCGTTGCTTCACTTTTTCCGTTAAAAACTTTATGAACTGTTATAAAGCCAAAATTCTACCAATTTTAGAGTATGGATCGGAGCTATTCTCTCCACTAACCCAATCTGACATAAACAGGCTAAAATCGGTTCAAAGAAAATTCACTAAACGGCTTCTCCCAAAAGAAACCTATGCTGTAAGATTAAAATCCCTTTCTCTAGACACTCTATGGACAAGGCGTCTGCGAAAAGATATCATAATTACACATCAGTTCATATATGGTTATTATTGGTTTCCATCTCCATTCAAATTACAAACGATATCAAATAGACGGAACCAACTGACTAGGGCATGGTCTCCGCTCGACAACGAGTTGAGAATTGAGACTTTGTGGGTGTATAGGCCTAGGTGAGAGTACTCGGAATCAAAAATAAAATTTTGCTAAACCCCTCAGACAACCGAGGAAAAGCACGTCGAAATTTTCCCAGCGCGGATATAGCCGTGCTCAGAGCCTTCGGCTAGCAACTGGCGGCGTGGTGTAGTATGTAGTGGTCTTGTGCACTGTCAATATTGGGACCATGGTTCGAATCCTTTTGGCGGAAATCGTTTTTGCCGGCTCATAACTTTAACACTTTCACATTTTTGTGAGATTTTTTTCAAAGATTTACATCAAAACGCGCAGAAAACTGTTATTTCTACTACTTTACTCATGGAAAAGTTTTTCTCCACGTATTGAGGAGGATCTTCTCAAATAGTTTTGTTGGAAGACAGCCAATCAGCAGCATAGTTATTAAGGTTAAGCTCATTTCGGGCAAAATTCTGTTGGTAATTTTGAAAATCGTCATATCTTCTGGTACCTGGAACGCGAAATCGAACGGAAAAGTTTCGCTTTAGTGGTTTTATCGTGTTATTGTGTTTCCGTTTAGTACACACGGGTCCGAAAGACAGGTAATAGAAAGAAAGGTAATAAGGTAATCGTTTTCCAAAAGAGCTCGAAGTTTTATAACATATCTACTCGACGTGAATTTTCATAAACAGATCGTTTGCTTCGGCGTTTGCCCATGAAAAAGAGAAAAAAACGAAAAAAAAAATTTCAAACTAGTATTTTTGTTTTTTTATTGGGATTTTTTTGTGAATTTTTTTATTGTAAACTTTCGAAAAAAATCTCACAAAAATGTGAAAGTGTTAAAGATATGAGGCGGCAAAAACGATTTCCGCCAAAAGGATTCGAACCCTGGTCACAATATTGATAATGCACAAGACCTCAACCCACTACACCACGCCGCCAGTTGCTAGCCGAAGGCTCCGAGCGCGGCCATATCTGCGCTGGAAAACTTTCGACGAGCTTTTCCTCAGCCGCCTATGGGGTTTAGCAGAATTTTATTTTTGATTCCGAGTATTCTTACCTAGGCCTATCCACCCACAAAGTCTCAATTCTCAACTCGTTGTCGAGCGGAGACCATGCCCTAGTGAGAGGCAACGGCCTTAAACTCGAACCACCACCAATCCATCATGTTCACTATAACTTCATTACGCAACGCGTGTATAAATACTGGAACGGCTTAAAATGAGTCATGGTTTTTGAGGATGACCAAAGAAGATTTAAAAGTTGTTTGAAAAATTTGTTTTTGATAAGGAAGCTGCAAATATCACAAAATGATTCAACTCGTTTATAGATTATTTTTCTTTTTGATTCTCTTCGAATTTGACCTAAAATATTTTAAGATTAAAGTGGGACTTTATCGAAGTGGAGGCAAACATAACTTTTATGGTTCTCTTCCTCCACGCCACAGATCTGACTGTGAGCGAAATAAACATCCATTTCATTTCATTTTCAAAAATATATGAGAAAATCTCGAATAGTTTCTCTTTACTCAACAAAACAATAACTATCTATACTTTCACAGGCGAAACGTTGACCAACCTTTCTCCCCTGTGCATCGGCGTACTGCACCAAGTGCTCCATAAACTGCTCCTTTATGAATCCACGGCTGGCGACAAGTACGCACTTCACGATCTGCATCATTTTATTTCATTCTACCCACTAGTCAGTTCACATTTTTTTCCCCAATAAAAAAATCGTTCATAACTTGGAAAAAGTCTTAAAATAATTTCTAATTAATTATAAAAAAAGTGATTTTTCGAGATGGGACATATAATAAAAAAACGGCGAAAGTTCAAATAAAGTTTTTTTCAAGCACCATAGACAAAAAAATTGAAGGGCAAAAAAACAGAAAAAAATTTATCGAGCGCGTGTCGTTCTCAACTTGAACATTGTGTTTATATAATATTAATGTTTATTATTTTTCACGAAAATTCCCTATGCCCGGTGATTTAATCAAAACCGATGCCAGAAAGTTGAAAAGATAACAAAAACTTTGAAAGAGTTATAAATCATTTTAAATTTCGCGAAATTACTCTGAAAGTGGCGTTAAAAACATAAAATGATCTTACTTGGAAGTTCACGTGTCTCAAAAACGCTGAGCAAACAGCATCTAAGAATCTTTGAATGCCTTTTTCGTGTTGAGAAGTGAACCCTTTCCGCTTTCGAGGAATCTGCAAAAGTGATTCTTACCTTTTAAAAGTCGATAAAACAAAACCTGCATATCGATTTTCGCTCTCGTTAGTGTCATGGCAGGCGTTATAAGACAGACATTGGCTAATCCTTCATGCAATACTACTGCAGCTACATCAGCGCTTTGAGTGGGGTCCAAGGCCATATTCAATCTTTCTGAAGTCGACGCCTTAAATTATTGAGAAGCAAAAAAAAAAGCTAACCTAAGTCTATGCTGTCCCATTCATTTTTATGAATTGTAAACTTTCGATTCGGTTCCAAATCCAATGTGTGGTAGGCTCCGAGTTTCACCAACTCATTTTCAACAACGTTTTTACCCTTCAAAAATTGATATTGAATCTGTACTCAAAAATCAAACTTTTAAATGTAGGGCTTGAGCACCGGGATCGAAATCTATCGATTCTACTTGAATAGTGAGTGTCGTGTGCATTCTCTGACTTGAAGTTGTCCCGGTTGATGTCTCCGAAACCACCTTTGTTTCCAAAATAATTTTGTCTCTTCGAGCAAAAAAAAGCGACCTTCCTAATTGTTTGAGATTTAACTACATCGCCTTCTCTGATCAAGTTGTAGACGTGCCACATATCTTCTGCTTCTTCACAAATCAATGTAACATTTCTAGGAGTCGAATTTGTAATTGCGTTTTGAATTATTTGATAAAAAGGTTCTCACCCGTTGCCGGCTTTTTCTATATAACGACCTAGTTGCTTCATGATCTCCAAATGAATGCTGAAAAACATTGAGACTGCAAAAGAAAAAAAATAAAAAGTAAATAACCTGGAATGTGAAATTGGTCGTTCGAATTAGTTTTGAAGATAAAAAAGGGATAACCGAATAGCTTCACGAAACGTACACGATTTCATAAGTCTGTAGAAATGTAAAACATACAGAAAAATATTGCGCAATTGGCGAAAGACGACTTGTTTGCGTTGGAGCAAACTTACTTGCTTCTCCACTTTAGATCCTCAGGCCTGAGCTCAGGCCGAGCGGGGGGAATTTTTTTTTATAAAAAAGCCTGATATTCGACTTGAAGAAACTTTGAGTTTTTTGGGCCGGGCTTAAAAAATTGCTGATAAAATTACAGACGAATCGAGAAGGTACCATTATCTGTCCACTAAGGTACCTCTCAAAATGGATCGTGAAGACCCCATGATGTGTCCATCGTGAGACCTCCGGCATACCTTTCAGCTATCTCTGAGCCCACTGGGAGGTACTTCAGAGTCTCTCTCAACCCCCTCTCATTTTGCTCAAGATCCTCAGAGGTATCTTCGAGATACCATCGTGAGACTTCAGAGCCTGCGATATACCTCAGAGGGTCTCGCGATACCCTATCTCGATTCGCCTATGATGATTGGCCAGTCCTCGCAGAAGCTTGCTTGTGATTCTATCTTCTCAAGCTGTGCGTCTTGGGCTTTGAGCTTCTTTTGGAGCAGAAGCCTGCGTGGACCTGAGCTAGCCTTCGAAAAAATTTTAAATCTCATAAAAATTCTTTTTACTGGTTACTATGATTTCAAAATCATAATTTCTGTTGAACTTCAAGTAAAAAAAAAAAGGCAAAAACGGGACTTTGTAAAAAAGTTTTGATATTCGATTTGAAGAAAATTTGAAAACTTCGGGCCCGCCGTTTTGCGAAGCCTTTCTGAGGCCGAACGGAGTCGGTTTTGAAAATGGCCGATAGGCTGACGGGTTGGTTCACGCACAAGCCTGTCTAGATTCAGAGATTCACATGGTCTACGAGTGAATTTATCTTTGAGCCTTCAACCTTAGAAAGCTAGGCGGAATTCAAAGATTGAAAATTCAGGCACCAGTTATAGTCTGTGTGCCACGAGTTGAAATTTCACCGAACGACATGCCGCTGTTCCGCTGCATGCGTTCGAGAAGCGTCTTTCGAATCTAGATCACGATTTCAACTGATTGTTATTGCTGTGGGAGCACATGAAAGTAGAGTGCATTTATAAAGGAAAAAAATAAAATAAAAAGCGCGACCAAGGTTCGCAAAGGCGCGCAGCGGAACAGCGGAATGTCGTTCGGTGAAATTTCAAGTCGTGGAACACAGACTATACTATACCTATCTGCACACTTATTTCTAACGCATTCTCACCTGGTGAGAAGTAACACGCATGTTTAAGACAGTGCAACGGCGGCCAGTGAACGGTCAAAATTGCGCTGTCAGTTTCGGGGCCAGGAAACTTTTTTAATTTTTTTTTCTTTTCTGCAATTTGTTAAGGGCCTATTTCTCGAGGTTACAAGATAAGCTACGTCACAAAAAGTGCACAAGTTTTCATTTTATTACCCAACAAACTAGCTTGATTACCGTAATACGACCGGCCGCCTTAAACATGTGTATATAAATAAACTCTTTTTTTGAAGTTTTTTTAATTTAAAATCGTTTAAGTCTCTAAAGCGCGTGAAATTTTCGGGAGTGGTTTGTTTGAAAGTTAGAAGAAATTTGGCGGTCCAAAATAAGACATTTTTCCTAATAAATTTCATGTCAATCTTTCGAACTTGACCTGAAACCGTGTTCATCAATATTAAAGAGCATTTTAGCGAGAAACTAGAAAAAAATTCAGAAAATTGGTGATTTCTTGAAAATTTAATGACAAGAAGTTTTTAAAAACCGACTTCGAAATGGTCATACTATAAAAGAAATATATACTTTGAAAACGCCAAAACAAAGCTCAAAAAACTTTTCCAAATGTGTAAACATAAAAAAATGACCGGCTTTTCCAGCACGCCATTGTATACAATAATTGTAAATAGAATCCTTTGACGCGCTCACTAGACCACGAACTCTTTTCGTTTTGACTAGTCGCGACTGCGAACCCGCGCGGTGAAAAATATCCGTAATTTCTCGTGGCTGTGTGGCTTCGAAACAGAGCGCTTTCCCAATTTTCAAATTTCAAATTTTCTGGAATGTTGCAAGGCATACTAGTAATATTTGTGGTACCCACATAAAATACTCGTATTATACCACAAGTATACGAGTATATACCATCATTAGTCTTCAGACCCTTCTATTTACTACGTCATTCTGTTAATAAATTCAGTTTTTTATAGTTTTTTTTAGCCTCACGCTTTCTCCTCATTTCATTGTTTTAATATTCATGTTTCAGACGTTTAGGGGGAAAAGAAGGAAAAATTTCCTATGGGTGAATACGTCCAAGTTTTTGGTCGTGTCCGGCCGTCAGCTCGAGGAGAAAGTGAAGCTGTTTTAGAAGTAGAGCACAGACGAGTCTTGCGGTTTGTTTCTTGATTCAACTTCTTTTTTAAAAATCAACTTCGCAGGCTGAAGGCTGATCCCAGAAACCCGAAAGTGTTTGAGCTGCACCAAGCCTTCGGACCTGACAAAACACAAGTTTGGAAGTATACAGTCCTTCAGAAAAAAACGAAGTTATAGGATGAAATTTTCAAAACTGTCGGAAAACGAGTCGTCGATGGTTGCCTTGAAGGAATTAACGGCACAATCTTTGCATATGGGCAAACTGGCTCAGGCAAGACTCACACCATGATAGGACCAGCAAATGAGCCGGAAGTGTGGGCGGACCCGAACTGTAAAGGCCTCGTTCCTAGGGCTATCGAATATCTTTTCGATAAGATCGAAGCCAAAGCAAATGTGAGGTCTTGTTGATACGTTTCCATAAAAAAAACTATCTTTCCTAAACTCCTATTCTTACTCAATTTAGCACGATAAATGAAATGCAGTATGAAAAAAAAAATTTTCTCAAGGATTTTTCATATATAAAAAAAATTCCAAGTATTATTCCGAATGGGGTTATAGTTCTTTTTTTTCTAATCTTTACACCTATACGCTACTCATTTCGGGCATGGCTGCGTCTAAGAGAGATGAACTTTACTCAATGATCATTTTTACTCAATAAAATAAGTCATCTTCTTACCCGGTTCATCAGATTTTTCTATAAGATGGAAAAAAATAATTTTTTTCATGTACTGAGTTTTATAGTTTTTTTAATCGAGGAAAGTGATTAGAATTTTTAAGGCCGTTTTGTGTTTTTTTAACTCGCTTTTTTTCCGTTTTTTTGTTTTTTTGGGCGATCAGATTTTTTTGAGCCTGAATTTCCGATTTGTTTTTTTTTTTTTTTTGAGCTAAATTATGATTTATCTAAATTGGTTTCGTCGAATATATATATAATAATCTTTTTCGACTTTTCTATTTCAGGAAAATGAGAATTTTAAGTATTCTCTAACTTTGAAGTTCATTGAACTGTATAACGAAACGATTTACGATTTGTTGGAAAGTTCACACACGAAAGTCCAACTTCGCAACAATGGCAAAGTGATTATATCAGTAGTTTATTAGAGGAACATTATTTTTTTCAGGAAGTTGTTCTCATCGGTGTCACCGTTGAAGAGGCGCAGTCATACGTCGACTTGATGAAGGTATATACCTCGACCTATCGGGATTATTGTAAATATTCAGTTTGTGAAAAAAGGCTGGGAAAGTAGACGTGTTGCTGAAACAGCGATGAATAGAGATTCATCAAGATCGCACGCTATGCTCATCGTCGAGGTTACTCAGAAGTATAAAACTTGATTATGTTTTCTTTCAAGGTTAACACCGAAGAGTTGATTGGTGAGATGGTGACGCGGCGAAATTCGACGTTGAACTTGGTGGATTTGGCGGGGTCTGAGCGTCAGTCTCACACGAAGTCGGCCGGTGAAAGGCTCAAAGAGGCCACACACATTAACTCGGTGCTTGTACTATGTAATGGGAGTTTATGCTAGGAGAGCTATTTTTTTTAGTTTACTAAGAACTGAAGTCCAGTGAAATTTTTCTGAATAAGAAAAAAAAATGTAATTCTCTTTGTCTGACCTCCGTTTGATGAAACAGGTTGAAAACTAATGAAACCGCTCGATTTTCAGTCCCTTTCGGTCCTTGGTCGCGTTATTAGAATCCTCTCCAAAGAAGCTGCCTCTTCGTATGTGCCCTATCGCGAATCTAACCTCACCCACATCCTCAAGAACTCGCTCGGAGGAAATTCACGCACAGTCGTCATCGTGAATTTGCATCCAGACAAACAGTATGTTTTTCATGCAATATTTTCTTCTTTATATTTTATCATAAAAGTTCTTTTTTTCATCATCAGAGATTTTTGGATCAAATCATGATATTCCATTGCTTTTTTAGCTCTCTGTTTTTTGTTTTTTCAATGATGAAGACTATCGAACCTTTGACTTCGGAAAAAAGTTTTCATAGCGTTTGGTAAATTTAGGCCTTACCTTTTCTATACCTTTTCTCTTCATATCACCCTAGCACCGCTGTGTCAATTTCATGTCTCCTCTTTTTCCATTTATCTTTTGAAAAAAATACTCACCTCTTTTTGAAACGTTCATATATTCAATTAACTCAGAAAATTTCTAACAGGTTCATTTCTGACACTCTCTCAACATTGCAGTTTGCAGAGGCGTGCAGCATGATCAAAAACAAGGTGTGTAGAAAGATATCCTTGTTGAAAAAGATATTTCCTGTAGGTTGTGGTGAACGAAGACATGACTGGTGACACGGTTGACGCGTACAAAGCGACCATTAAAAAACTCACAGCGGAAAACCGCTCAATTCGCGAGGAGCTGAAAATTGGTCAGTGTTTGAATAAAACATCTACAACTTCTTTTTTTTTTTAAGAATGGAGTCGAAAATTGGAAGACCTCTCTGTCTCTGAACAACAGTGGAGACTTCTCGCACAGCAACGCGGCGTAGAACTGGAGGAAACGCGCACAAAGTTGGAGTGCAGTATCCTGTCTAAGGGGTCAGCTATTGACGTGAGGATCAAACTCCTTTTCTGCACTGAAGGCCGATTGACAGGAAATGGAGGCGACGATACAGAAAATAATTGCCGATCGACTCAAAATTCAAGAATCTTGTGATGTTGAAGGCTCGAAGCTCAAAGATGCCCTTGACAAAATCGCTGCGGTTCGTTGAACTTAATCTTTTTCTCAAAGTGCAATATTTTCAGCTCGAGTGCGAGGTTGCTGATTTGAAGAACGCGTTGATTCATTCGGACAGCGAGAGAACGAGAATGACGAGCCGCTGTGACGAACTCTTGAACGAGAGCATCATGGCTGGCACTCCCGTTCGCAATTTGAGCATCTCGGTTTGCGCTTTGTCGATCTCTCCGGTCTGAAATTACTCCTAGACACGGCGCAAGTCCCGAAATCCCCGTAGAGAAACGCTGTACACTCCTTCAAGAGAAAATCGCCCGGTTTTGCAGCCAGTTCTTCACTTAAATCCGGAAGAAGAAGACCGTACAAAGAGCCTCTCTGAAGTTTCTCACCAATTTTTATTGTCCTGGTCATGGGATTTCAGGAAAACGATCAGCTCAAGCAAAGCTGTCTTGAGTTTGAACTGGAAGTGAACCGTCAAGCGCAACTGATTGAAGAGAAAGCTCGCTGCATCAATGAGTTGACAGAACGGTCGATCCGTAGGGAGAAGACCCATCAGCAGGAGAAAAGCGAACTTCTTGAAAGGTTAAACAACAAATGAGGGCTTTTTCTCTTATTTTTTTTTTTTTGTTACAGAGAACAAAAAATCCGAGCAAAAATGCAACGCCTCGATGAAGAATTGCAGAGCTTCGAGGAAGCCGACAAGAAAAGCAAGAAGAATGTCGAAAATCTTCTCCAAAAATGTACCTCGTTAAATGAAAAAAAGTACATATAGGATGAAATTCTAGAAATATAAGTTCAACTCAGAACGCAATGCTACAGAACGAACTGGAGAAGAAGACGACGGAAATTGCGGATTTCGAAGACAGGCTTCAAGGTAGACAAGGTTTATCTGTCAACTATGGAGCGAAAACGATTCAGGCTTGGAGAATGAGCTGGCGCGAGAGTTGGCCTTACGCGAAGCTCTTGTGGAGGAGAAGCTGCGAGAGGTCGAGGAGCACAAAGACGCGTCTCGCCTCAAACAGGTTCCCAGCTCTTTTCAGCCTTTTCCCGACTGATAGTTCACAACTCACGGTTCTTGCGCAACTTCAAAACATTTCTGTTTGAAAAAAAACTGTTTATTGCATCTTCAATGTAAGAATACATGTGCAATCGACTTTCATTGAGTTAACTGTGTTTAAACGGCGGCAGGAGCTGTGGCTTAGGCAGAGAAGTTGTTAATTGCGGTCGTAGAACATCAGGTACGAGAGAGGTCGTAGGAAGATGTACGGTGCCGGCTTTCCAAGGGCCGATGGCAGAGATTGAGCCTTTTCGCTGCATGCAGCTCCCAATTTTATATACCCCGGAGGAATGAAAGGCTTGGTCGACCTCGGGGGGACTCGAACCTACGACCTTGCGGACGTTAGAAATGAGTCTTTACCAGCTGAGCTATGCCGCCCCCGTCAAAACATTTCACTAATTTTTTTTTCTCATCCGCAGATGCTCTTGTTTTTTTTTCTTGGATGATTATTGAGTACAATTTTTTTTTCATTAAGTACGATTTTTAAACTTTTGATTCGATGCTATTTATTCTTCTTTTTATTACTTTTTATTGTCGATTGTTTCCAGAAAAATGGAATTTTTCTGTGTCTGGTATAATGTATCTTTTCGCTCAAGAGTTTGTAGTATAGCGAACAACTTGCAAAGTTTTGAAAATCAGGAATATTTTTTTAATTATTTTTCTTATTTTTTTGCAGGCGCGCAAAGTCCGAAAGGTCTCAAAAAGGACTTTTTGTAAAAAAAGATATTTGAAAGGCCCCAAATGCGTCCTTTTTTTAGATCTTTTTTCTGAAATGGACTTTTTAAGAAGGTACGAAAAATTAGGCGGAAAGAAGATGAAAAAACACTTTTTTAGACACTTTTTAGGAACTCAAAAAGGAGCTTCGGGCTTTACTTTTTAAGACCTTTTTGAGGTCGTTTGGAATTTGGCTGTGTATTTTTGACCAACTTACCAGTTCCGAATTTTTTAAATGTAAGTCGCAGATTTTTGTTCAGTCGTTCTGTAAAATGAACGGAGACCTAACTCTTTTCGAAAATGACGAGCGAGTTTTAGGAACAGTCTTCGAGCGAAATAGCTGAGTTGCGCCGTAAGCAAGAAGAGCAGAGTGATCGGCTGCAAAAAGAGCTTCACGAACTACAGAAACGGGAGTCGGCGCAGAAGGTTTTTGGGAGCGTTTTTGAATTTGAACTTTGAAAAATTCAGCTCTTGTTGAAAAAGCTAAACGCTCAGAACGACGGGCTAGCCGAAGCATTATCCGAAAACAAACGGCTTTTGGAAAATGCCAAAGACGACATTGAGTCCTACAAGGTTCATTGTACAGAAAAAATCCCTTTAAGGAAAGTCATTTAGAAAATTGTTAGCGAAAAAGACGAGCAGATCGATCACTTGAAGGCGGAAAACTCGTCGGAGATAGAACTAGTGAAAGCCAGGTTTAGGAAGAAATCGTTTCCCACTTACGATTTCTTTTCAAGACATAAGAAGGAAATCAGGGACCACGAAGAGCGCTTCAAAAGGTGGAAAGCAGCCCATGAAGATTACCGTGAGCAGGTGGAAAAAGATCAGAAGAGTACGTCGGAGATGTTCGCCGAGAAAATAGAAGCCATGAGGAGGTAGAACAGTTTTAACACGAGTCTTCAAAGTTCTCAGAGTCAAATTTCCAGATAGTTCAGACTGTATAGTTGACAAAAAAATAGATTTTCAGAACGAATTTGGAGATAAAATTGGGCTCACAAAAATATTCAAATTCAATTTTGCTTTTTTTTTGAAGTAAAAAAACAATAATTAAGGACAAGGGGTTGAATTACAAAAGTTTTGAAAGCGGAAGAGTAAAGTCAGATTTCAACTTCAGGGAAGTAGTACTGACTTTTATTCAGGAAGACCTTTAAAAAAGATTTGCCCGTGTATGGCTATCAGTTAATAGCCATTAGTTAGTTGGCAAATGAGATGTTGGATGAATGTTACTATCGCGTACTTTGGTTCTTTCATTTCCAACTGTGGAAATTTTTTCTCAGACGAATGCATGTCCTGCGGTGATAATTTGTTTTTTTAATAATAATAATTTATTCACAGATCAGTGTGAACCCCAACGAGTTCACTTCGATCTAGAATTTAAATAAGGAAAAAAAGTTGTAAAAAAGTAAAAAAACAAAAAAATTGAGATTGTTTGATATCGATTATTAAATAGCTGTTTTAAGACAAAAAGAAAGTTAGACGTTTCGCACTATTTACACGTTTGTCCGGTTTTATTTTGAAAGGTAGTGAAAAATGGAGTATATGGTTTTTGTTAGACGGTATGTCGAAGACTTTACTATTAGGTCTTGAAGGAACTTCGATATCGAAAAGGAAGTTGCCTGCAAAAGTTCGACGGCAAGATGGGAAGAAAAACTAAAGGATGAGATGAACGATAAGGAGAGACTCTCCGCGGATCTGCAGCTTGCCATGGCGGTCCGTTTCAGAACTTCTCAGCAATAACGGGCTGAAAACTTTTTTTAGGAATTGAAGCAGCGCCGTTTGATTCATGAACAAGACGCCCTCAATCTCCAAAAGCTCACTAGCAGCGAAAATTCCAATGAGAAGGTTGTGTTTTGAATCTGTCACTCTCTTTGTATAGTCAATTTTGATCGACTTGAAAGGCGATGAGGATAAATTCCGAATAAAGCAGCTTTTGTTTGAAAAAAAAATCTCCCTACATCCTCCTTTATTTCGGTTGAACGGACTATACACTGGGTCCAACGAGGATAATAATGAAGATAGGAACCCCTCTGTTTCAGACGTTTTGGCGAACCTTGAAAATTTATCAAATTTCTGTAAGTTTCATACTGACTCAGCGTACAAGATAGCGTATGAAACCGCAGTTCCATTATTCTAGCCCTTTTTAGCACACCATTAAAAACTCACTTTTCAAGTATAAGGATATGACCACTTGGAACATTTTAATTTTTTCGTTACATATATATATATATTTTTTTTTTGTAAGAGTGGAAATTATTTTTTCAGAGAAAATACCTGGCCCAGATCAGGGCTCAGAAGGATGATTACGCAATAGAAACGGCTCGAATGAAAGCCGAGATTAAAACACTCAAGGCCGAGCTGAGGAAGCGGGACAACGTAGCTGCCGAAAGTGCGAACTCGACAGCTTTGTCAGAAACGAGAGTCACTCGTTCTTCAATGGCTCGGCAGTAATCCGAGAAGTCCTCTGAATCTCGGTGACATCTTTTCAATTTTCTGCCATCTTCTTGTATCATATCAAAGAAAAACGTGTCCAAATTGTGCTTAAATACGTGTACTAATACTAATATACTTTTTCGTTTTTTTTTTGTTTTACCGAACTGAAGAGTGCATAGAAAGCTCATTTGAAAACAAAACTGATTTCTAGACGATTACTGTCGTTTAAAAAAACAGTTATAATGAATAAAGAAGCAAAGTAGGAAAGCTTCTTTCGGAATTTCCGCTCCAGGAAATTTTTCTAAAAAAATCTGTTTAGTATGAGATTTGCTTCATGAAACGGAACAGAACAATGAATTTTTATAAAAAAACAAAGAAAAAAATAAAGCTTCGAGAGATTAGTTGAGACCATAGTGACGCGTGGCAAGTCGGGCTTTTCGGAATGAGCTTCTGACTAAAAGTTGACCTCAAAAATAATTGCAAAAAACGGCCGCCGCAGCCATTACGGCCGCTTAACATTGCACTTCAGTAGTTTTTACATTTTTGTTTACGAATACGAGATCAAACAGTGAGATTCTCAGCGGTAAGCTGTCGGATAATGTGTTCGTTGAGGGAAAAGTTTGTTTCCAACACCAGAGATCGGTTTCCCAGCGTCAACTGAAATTGAAACTCTACTTCAAAAAACAAAATGAGATACGAATTGCAGCTTTTAAAAGCGAAAAGGAGATATCAAGACAGAACTACCGAACACCTCACTTTGGGCTTGACAAGCTTGAAGAGAGGATGAACTGGAATAGGAACGCCCTGCTTCAAAATGTCGTTGACCATCCGTTGGAGGATCTCACGCGAAAGGAAGCCGGCGTCGTCGAGCTCCTCTTGTACGAGAATTTGTGGAGTCCGTGTTTTCTGAAACTTGGGCTTTCTCTTTTGAAGAAACAATCGAACTAGGAAGATGAAAGTTTTTTCAAAAGAATGAAGGTGTTTGGGCAGAGGAAGCAAAGTTTTGGATCGAAACTGTACGTCTCGCTCCGAAATCAGTTTAAAACTAAGTTTCAAAATTTTAATTTTATACTTCACACACATTAGTTTTCAAATAAGAAGAAGACTTAAAGCTCTCAAAAAATTTTCTCATTCCAAGCTTTTCCCATATTATGTAGAATTGCCCCACCAAGACGATGTCGTCGACAGCGACGCGGCCCTTCACTGCGGTCGACGTGAGTCTCATCTTCATATTGGCAGTTATGTTGATTTGCATTTGACCGACGTGCTGCTCATCTTCCGTCACAATGTCGATGAGTCCGACGAGAGAGAAGCCGATGCCGCCGAGCTGTTCAGGACGCACGATCACCGCAGGCGCGCTTAGAGTCGTGAACAGAAACGCAAGTCGCTTATCGGGCACCTGAACGCGTCGTTGTTTTTGTTTCTTGTTAGGGACCGTTGTACGAATCGAAGATTTTTTCGAAGAATTATCTTAAAAATAATCAATGAAAAAATAAAACGGATTCACAGCGACTATATTGTCGATTGAACTAATTATGCATTTTGCGAAAAAACTCTCTGTAAGAGTGGCTCAAGAGAGGAAAGAAAAGATACATTAACATGGCTGATCAGAAAAGACTGACCGAGTCTCGGAGAGTGGGGAAAAGGTCTCCGACGCAGAAAAGCGAGCCGGTAGTGAGGTCGCAAGTGGTCCTCATCATAGGTCCCAGCTGGGCTGTGTTCCAGTCGACGCGAGTGTCAAACATTCCAGTCCTGCAGCTCTCAACTGTGATTCTGATCTCAGACAGGAAAGCACTTGTGTCCGTGGAATAGCAGAGAGTTGGGAACGAAGTCGGAGACGACCGTCTGCAGCATGTTCTGTGGATTAGGCGGCGGCAGCGACATCGGTCGGGCCCCGAACGGCGTCGACTGTCCGACAGCAGCAATCTTGAAACGAAAGAGCTCGATAATTCTTTCCAAGCTCCAGAACCTCTCCATTTGTCATGATCTCAATACCGTTCGGGGTGAGCAAAGGTGCCGAGAGCATAGCGAAATCGAGACGGAGCGAGGTGGCGCGGCTCTTAAATCACACACTACTTACAGGGAAGCTCGTTTTACTTTGCGATTCGGAAATAGAAACAAGTTTCGCAGGGAACACATTTCCATGATGTAACTTGTTGCGAAATCCCTCGGAAAACTTTGAAAAATAAAGTTCAATAGTTTCTCACTAAAAAACTATTTCAAGTACAACTTTCTGTTTTAAAAAAGCATCTTTAAAAAAATCCGAAATTTTTGGTGAATTCTATTTGAAGCAAATAGTACAGATAGTCGGGAAAGGTGAATTGAACGGGTATAACTTCCATAAAATACCCGGAATATCTGCTTTTCATACAACTCAGGTCATGTCTGCGGACCGCAACCTTCTTTTGGCTTACGTGAGTCTTTCATACTGACAATGTTGAAAGTATTGACGATGAGGTGGAACTTTTCCTGTCGTTTCCTGCGATTCCAAAAAGAGTTCCATACGGGCGGAGCGCGGAGCATTAGTCTGTGCAGAAGCCTTTTCGATCCGGCTCCCCTTTCAGAAACAAACCTTTGCTGGCCAGCCGGCCAATTCATTTGCCGCACACGTTGAACCTGGCGTCGGAGTCGCGCGTGAATATCCCGTCTGAAACACTCTTATTTCACTCATTTACTGTCTAGCAAGCCCAACCGTCGAAACAAGATGTCCAACTTTCAGAATTAGAAAAAAAAGAAGGTAATCTCCTTAATCAAAATGAAAAACTATTATACTCATTAAAATCATAAAAAGGTCGACAGATTAGGGTTGCAATAAAATATTAATGGAGTATTGTTTTTGAAGGAGTTGAATCCTCAATTATCTTTGAACTTAAATGAGCCATTTTTCTATTTGAATATTGAGATGCTAACACCTCTGGAAAAGAAAATAAAAGAAATCTTTTAACTTTACTAAACAGAGGAGTCCTTAATTTTGAAATATTAATCTAAAATCCTTCTTGTTATGTAAAACTTGAGGCTGCGGACCTGGAAGATAGAGTCCTTCTTACAACGTCTCCGACTTGCAAGCTGAAAGAATGTTCCTTGAAGATTCAGTCAACGAAAATGCTTACTTCTGTCTGACAAGCCGCTTCAGTTTCTCTTCAGCCCGTAGAATGCTGCGGACGATGTCGAAGTTCGTCGTTTCTTCGAGGGAAATCTTCGAAGACAACAGAGAAAATCTTTGGTTTATCTAGATAATTCATTGAAAGATTTTAATTGTTTGAAGAAAAAAACTCTTGTGTCCAATATGTTGGCGATTCTCGGACACATAAGCTTTCCAAAAACAGCTCCCAACTCCCTCATGAGCGCTTCCTAAAAAAAAACAAAAAATTGAAAGTTGAGACTCAGGAAACTCTGCCAAATATTCCTCGAGTAGAAATAAACTCACCATGAGATTTCGCTCATTCTGAGGGCTCAGCTTCGGAATGGCGTCTCCGTTGGCCGACGGAGCGCGAACAGAACAGGAGGTCATCTGTATTCGCCATTTGAAACATTAGTACAAAAGGAAAATCTGATTTGGTCTCAGAAAAAGCTTCTGAATGATGAGAAGAAGACTACTCAATTAAACAACGATCATTTGTCAAATATATGACGAGAGGCGGAAATAAGGAAAGCTAAGTTCGTCTCTGGTCTCCAATTGAGGGAAAAAAGACCTCTGAAAATCGTCTTACCTAATTGATTATTTGAGCTGTTAGTTCATTCTAAGAGAGTTTTAAAAACTCACAATACTTTTTCAATTATCAAAATAATGATGTTCAAAGTGGTCCAAAAATATTCAATTTAAATCATAAACACTTACGCTGCGTAAATGTTTCTTCCTAAAGCTTCAGATGTAGGGAAACCTTGAACGCCGGGTTTCCGTTGGCCTGCTTGATGACGCGGAGAGAAACCTCGAGCTGGGCCTTTGCCGTGTCGACCAGCAGCTGATGAGCCAGCGGAACTCCTCGCAAAACTCCGCGAACCGTTGATTTGGTGCTGTACTCGTGAACATTCACAAATCCGCTTCGCCAGACTCACCTAATAGCGACGTTCGTGGCCCGAAAGTGCAGTAGTCCGTCGGCTGTCAAACTACTGAAAGTGTTCGGAAGCAGCCGAAACGACGTCAGCGACGTGTTCGACACAGTTACCGTCGGCGCGTTTTGTAACTGAAACTTTCAACTTTGAAGAAGAGGTTGATCTGAACCCGATGCTTATTAAAACCCTCGCCAATATCCCGTTTTTCTCCCCACGGATCGATCTGAAAAGAGTTCTCTTCGACCTGGAATGTTTTTGGAGGCAGCCTGACATCGGCGAAGTGGACGACCAAGGCGTTCGCTACAACGCCTGCTACGTAATTCGTACCTGTGGTTGTCAGTCTCGACTTCACGCCTGCTCCTTCCTGAAAAAAGCATGTTGCACGAAATCACATAAATTATAATATTTATAATAAGGACGTTCAAACCACGAAGTTCTGACGGTATTGATTCAAAGTCACTTTCGTTTGTACACCTGCCAAGGATCATGGCGATAAATAAAAACTAATAAAGAAAAAAATTCTCGAATCTCACAGGAGCAGGTGAAGAAATCTCTTCTATATATTCCAAGTCTTCAGACAGAGAAACATCTTATCCAAAAATGTTCCTATGGGAAAAAAAAACCTAACCAAACCTTATAAAAATGATAAATTATGAAAACCGATTAGTTGATAAGAAAAAGAAAAAAAAATAACAAAGTGTAAAAAAAGTAAACCTGACCTCTGCGACCGACATGCGCTTTTTTTTAAAAATTTACGTGCTTGAATGTTGTTTTTCTGTGAAGGTCAAGAGAATTTTAGAAAATATTGAATCATTTTGCTTGCAAATATATTTTCATAGCCTTCTTCTTTACTGCGAATCCAAGAAAACTTACAAACTGTCTGTCGTTGAAAAGCTGAGCATTGACGTCTTCTATTTGGCCAAAGACGACGTTCGCCGTCGCTGTAACAATCTGGAAGACCACGTCTTTTTTCCCCGGGAAAAAGGTTTGCTATATAATACCTTTCCGGTAATTTTGAAAAGCTCGGAGCTGGGAAACCCCAGAAATTATCTCACTAGGGGACGTTTCCCGGTTGAAATTTTGATGAAACTTCGCTGAAATGTTCTTTGGGACCTCCGGATCGGAACAAAAAAAGAAATTCTCGCAATAGAGGTTCTGGTTTTCGAGTTAAGAATCTTCAAAAGCTTGAAATTGCGCTTTTTTTTAAAAATCATAACTCGCGTTTTTGGGAACTTTGAAGCGACTCGAAAGCAAGATCTATAGAATAAATGTTTTTCTCATTCTGGGGAGGTTCTCAAGAGCGCTACAGCGAGTTTCAACAAAAGTTCAACCGGGGTTTTAGAAACATTCCCTTGTTAGAACTTTTTTCTGACGCTCACAGTAAAGTAATGTTTATTAAGATTTGACTTATTTTTTCTTTGATCTTCTAAATATTATCGAAATCTCATTATCTTAATCATAATTTAAAAAAAAGATTTTTTTTTTCTATTTGACGAGAACCTTTCAAGATCAAGAACCTAATTCCATCTCAGTGGAAAGTGGATTCACATAGGACTTTTTTTGGTTGATTCCTTTGATTTAGTCTCTTCTAGTAAGTCGTAGCCACAGTTAACAAATCGTTAAGAAATAAAAATTTTTCTTTCGACTTAACTCGCAACTAACGCAGTCGGGACGAACTGAAAAAAGTCATTTGCGGCAAATTATTCTGTTCTCAAATTTTGCAATCTGGTAGGAGCAAAAAAATGTCTAAATTGGCTAGCTGAGAATCGCCGCTGAGAATATAAATTATATATTTTCTTTTAAAAATTTAAGCAAAGGTGTAGAAATTTAAGTAGAGTGCAAGAAAAGTAATAAAACTGCTACAAAAACCCATCGAAAAAACATGATTTTAAGATCATGATGTTTCTGTGTTAAAATAGTTTTTACATGAACTTTAAATCTCTTTTGATAATTAAACCATGTTGTTGGACTTACCAGAAGAAACTCCCACATTGAAAGAGTTCGCTCCAGAAAATCTGAAAGACCTGTATATCATCTCAAGAGATAAAACGGCCATCGACAAGGTTTGAGAAAATTAGAGATTGTAAGAAGGCGTTTCAGGAGAAAGAATCGAAGCAACAGAGCCTTTGCGCACTGAAAGTCTTTATACCGAAGTAAATTACACACAGCTGAAGACCGTTTGTCAAAAAAAAAAAACACAAGAGGCGCCTTTGTTCTTCATTTTTACAGTTGTCTCTCAAAAAGCACAAGTAGGGGGCGAAAAAAGGTTGTGACCCGCAGACCACGCTTTTTTTCTTTTATAGGCGATGCCTGTCCATTGTGGCGACACAACAAGACGTTGCGCCCGCTAACAGAATATCACAATAAACAGTTGTTTCGGGCAGTGAGACAACTATTTACATGCATTGTTCTGTGGCTTTGATTCGAGAAGAAAAGAAAAGACCACGGCGGCAGAACTATTCATCAAAAAAGATAAATTCTGAAAAACTTTTTTGATCGAATGTCAAAGTTGATTCTTCAGAAAAAACTATTTTTGCGGAAAAGCTAGATTTTTTTTTTCAAAAAAGAAAACAGATAACTAAGTTAACGGATAATTTGATAGGTGAAGGATTTTAATCTGAAGACTACTTCATTTACCGTCAGCTTTTGATACGAAAATTACTGCAAAGCAAAGATAATCATCAGTCCTGAAAAAAAAACTCCTGAGGTAAGGAGGCGCGGCCGAACGGAGTCGAGCCTTTGTAGTTTTACCAGTTGGTGGTCAAAAATCCTTCAAAGCTGGAAGAAACAATGTCATAAAGTTTAAAAAATTTTAGCTTTGGTAAAGCTGTTTCATTTGTCAGTTGATGCACATAAAATTAGCTCTGAACACTCATTTTGCAATAAAAGACATGAAAACAGCAAACACGGCTAAACTCAAAATTTATTTTTTTCGACGCCGCGTGACTTTCGATTCCGAAAGGATTGATACAAACTACTTATAAATAACAACAAGAGATCATGCAACGTGAAAAATAGTTTTTGCTTATTTTCAATGAGGTCATCAAGGGCCATCGAACAGAAAATAGTTAACGGAACAATTTCTCACTACGAAACCACTCTGAGACGGAATCGAGACAAAAACAAAAGGACCGAATCGACCCGAACCGAAATCCGAACATACATAGGCAAAGTCGAAAAAGGCTCCATAGAAATGTTCCTTATGTGACAAAAGCTCTTTTTTGCTACCTCTCCTTTTTCCAGCATTTGTCAAAGCTTTACAGTTCTAAAAAAAATGAATGACTCGTTAAAGGGACTCCTTTTGCTGCCCTTGTTTGCAGCCAACCTAGTTTAAGCCTCTCCATTTTAGAGGACATTATCCACCATTCCGTCTTTAACCGAGTCTGATCCGGACCGTTATCATCCGAACCGTCTAATTCGAACCGATCATGGTTTGTTAATCTGAACCTAGCTTTGTGAGAGGTTTAAAAAATTTCATTCATATTTTCTTTTGTGTCAAAAAATTGAGTTTTTTGCTAGTTTCTCGTTTCTTTTTTTCACCCAGAAAGCTCTTTCTGGCTTCTGTACATACACATAGGTAGGGACCGCAAAGCCACGCCCCTTTTCGCGATAAAAAAGTGGCTTTTTTTTTTGGTTTTCAACTTTCCTTTTGTTGTAGTTGCAAAGTATAAGGAACTGGATAATAAATTTTTACACACATGTACACAAAAGCTTCCTCTTTCGTTTGAAAAATATTTCACGCTTTTTTGATGCGTTCTCGCGGAATGTCGTCCAAAAACATGAATGGAACTAAAAAATTTTGTCGTTTTTTGCTTTTTCATGTGTTTTCAGGTCGAACGCACTCTTTTTTTTTAAAATAATGATTATGATTCAAGTAACGGTAATTTTAAAACAATAAAATAAAAAAATCGTCTTTGCCAAACATTTTAGGGAGTGCCGAAAGTCATAATTCAAAATATCGTTAATAAGCGAATATAATCGAGTTTTTGTTTTTTCAAAATTTAGATCATGGGCTTACTTAAATCTTTCTCCACTGCATCTGTGTTTGAAAAAGTTGTTTAATACGCAAAAATGCTCTTTAAACTAGAGAATAAAATTAGCGGCGTTTATCACACAAAAAGCGGTCGAACGCAAGTTTTTTGAACGGTTATATACACTTATTAGTAAAAAATCTCTCAATTAAAAGAATAAAATAAAGAATTCGTCTTTGTCAAAAGTTTACCGGGCCGTTTTAATGCAGCGATCGTTAAACGAGGCAAAAAGCACTAAAAAAACAGTTTTTTCGAAGTGAATTTACACGAAAAGTTTGAGTAAAGATTTTCGAACATATTCTGATAAAAATAGCATAATTACTTCAAGTTTTTCTTTTTGAAATAGGCAATCTGTGCTATTCAAACGGCTCAAGGGTATGGCGGATGGAAGCTCCCCTCGCTAGACTTAACAGCTTGGCGCAGCGCCTGCGATTTTTCATTTTGAGGTCGCGAGTTCGATACCCGCAAGCGTCAGTTTTTTGTTTTCTGAAAAATACCGACTTTTTCGGCAAACTAGCAAATTTTCATCATTTTAGAGCTCTATTATGATTTCTTACATCATAATAGGCCAGTATCGAAACTTGTTCTAGAAAAAAAATCGAGAAAAATGTCTAAAATGGATAATACCAAAATTAATGGATAATAAAAAAATGTATAATACCAAAAAAAGTCCCTACACATATAGTCTGTTCAGATTTTGAATGTCAAGTCGTCGCTCAAGCTCCGCCCCTATTGGTGCGACAAACCAATCGGAGAGCGAGCCATCCACAGAGTGTTTTTGAATGACGTCATGAAGGATGTGAAAAAAAAATGCAAAACGAAATGCCCGATTAGAATTGCTCCGTCCAGAGCAGAGTCCAGAGTCCAGAGTCCAGAGTTTGTACTGTCTCAAACATGCGTGCGATGTTACAGTAGGAATACTATCTTTCTCCGTTCTATTGTATTCATGTGTGAGCGATGCTCTCGGCGTGTAATTGCTCCGGCAGACACGCCTGTATCTCACTTGGTTCCCCTGCACGCGTCTTGGCCACACGCGTGTAAGGCTCACGAATGAAGACTTCATGACAGTCTGCCTTCAACATGTCTAAAGTTTACACGGAAGAGCCGGCGACCCTTCCGGTGTAACAGCGATATCGTCAACATGTCGCTGCGACCTCGTCAAAAGTCTCGCTGCCATATCGCTCCCTCTGAAAAAAATTTTTAAATTAAAAAAATTTTTTTGCTTCATTTTTTTGAATTTTTATGATGAAATGAATCAAATTAACGAAAAAAATATTTTTGAAGAAAAAAATTTTTCAGAGAGCGATATAGCGCAAGACGTTTGCGAGGTCGCACCGAGAGACGAGCGATATTGCTCGCGGCTCCCCCGCGGTATATATATCATTACTCTCGCTGCGATGGAGTCCACAAAATTGGGTGTAAACCAACACTAAGAATAACTGCCGAGATAAACGCGAGACACTGGCGGTACATTGACGAGCTCGCAAACATCTCGCTTTTTTTCTCGCGCCGGTCTCGCATTTTCCTGGGCGCGAGCTCGCATTTTTCTAGGCGCGAGCTCGCATTTTTCTAGGCGCGAGCTCGCATTTCTCTCGCAATTTGAAAACTTCCGAAATGCGAGATAAATGCGAGATGGCGCCAAGAAAAATGCGAGGTCGCGCCGAGAGAAATGCGAGAGCGCGCCTAGAAAAAAGCGAGATGTTTGCGAGTTCGTCAATGTACCGCCACCGACCTCGCGTTTATCTCGTCAGTTATTCTTACTAGGGTATGGTCTCCCCTAAACATCGAGTTGAGAATTGAACCTATGTAGGTTCGATAGCCCTAGGTAAGAGTTCTCGGATTCAAAAATAAAATTCTGCTAAACCCCTCAGGCAACCGAGGAAAAGCTCGTCGAAATTTTTCAGCGCGTATATGGCCGCGCTCGGAGCCTTCGGCTAGCAACTGGCGGCGTGGTGTAGTTGTTGTGGTCTCTCGAAGCTTGTCAATATTGTGACCAGGGTTCGAATCCTTTTGGCGGATATCATTTTTGCCGACTTCTAACTTTATCATTTTCATATATTTAAGAAATTTTTCAAATAATTACACTAAAAAAACTTTTTGAAAATGACAATAAAAAAAGTATAATGGGTATACCCTAGTTAGTGAATGTCCGAATTTTTTCGAAACGCCATAATATCTCAACATCATCATCGCCACATGCGCTCTAGCGAAACGGCGCCATGCGGTTTTTTTCAAATGCGACATAATGGCGATTTCTCTAATTTATATACCGAAAGAGTTTTTTTCTTCTTTTTTTCCGAGTTATAAGAAAACTCAGTGAGTTGATTTTTAATGCGATATTCTTATGATTTATACTGAATTTTTCACTCGTGCTTTGCTCAATTTTCAAAACTCTTTGTGACAATGGCGATCGCGACGGCTAGGCTACTTTTTTCCTTCAAAAAAAAAATAGCGCTAGTTAACTCTATCATTTCAGGCTTTACGTGCTTTCTGGATAATCAATCATTTCTACAAACTAACTACTCAAAATGGAGGTTTGTTAATTTCTTTTTTTATTTTTCTTTTTTTGTTTTTCTTAATTGTTCTCCGAATAATTATATATGCACATTGTGAAATAAGAATGTGAAATTTACTGCCTATTAAGTTTTTTTCAGATTTAAAAAAATGGTCTTGAAGAATAAAACATCGATTCCGTTCTAAAATTTATTATATTCTTTTACAGAAAAAAGGGAAGGGGCAGCTTCCAGAAGTTGGCGATGTGTTCGAAATGAAGGTTGAGCAACTAAAAAAGGTTTTGAAAAAGCATCGCCTTTCTACAGCGGGGAAAAAGAGCGATCTCCAGTTCCGAGTGGTAGAGGTTCGCTGTGTCCATCCATTTTCAAAACAAACTTCTGTCTTTTCAGTTTCTATCATCTCTCCCGAAATGTCCACAGGTTCAACCTACTGATGAGAATTCAGAACCGGTTAATAACATGATTTTCTTTTCTTTTCAAATTTTTTTTTTTAAAGTTTGAGCCCATGGAAACATGTGATCCCTATGAGAAAGCTAATTATTCAAAAGGTTAGCCTTATTAGATATTTTTAAAGAGATTACTTTCATTTTAAGAGGAAGAAAACCGAAAAAAGATGATGAGCGAACTGGGACTCGAACCCGCGGATTTGAGTAAGTCTATTGAGCTAGAACATACTCCGAATTTTAATATTTCTCAGTAGTGAAAAATCGCCGGAAAACAAGCGACGTTGTTTTCGCCCCGGTTTCAGAGCTTAAAGGTTGGTTTCAAACATTAGTTTGAAAGATTTGTTCAAATGATAAATAAAGTTTCAAAATGAATTTCTTAAAAGAAAAATTAACTTGCAGAAGACAGCGAAAGAACTTTTGTCATCGAAGATGTTACCGGGAGCGAAACGAGTACATCGGTACTTAAATCCATTTTTCATGTCTAAATGATAGTCGAGAAGATTTAGATCTTAGAAATTGGAATTTGGTTAAGAACTTTGGCATTTTTCAGGCTTTCAAAACTCCCGAACCGAAAGGGCGTCCTCTCAAAAACCTAAAAGGCAGTGCCTCGAAGTTGCTCAGCAGTAAGTTTTCAAGTTTAAATTTGTAAAAGGCTAATTATTTTCCCTCTGTTTGAGTTTATCGCAAAGTTCTCAGCGCGTGTGATTTCAGTCAAGCAAAAATTTGCAAACGCTCATGCGAAGTTGACTGATAAAATGGAAACTTTGGAAGAGCGCCAAGTGAAAATTTCGAAAAGACACGAGGAACTCACGGGAGCCCTTCCGACGACTTTCCAGGTATTATTAAAAAGCTTCAATGTTTCAGAAGTTTTTTTGATATGGTTATAAATTATTTTACTTTTCGGGCATATTTAGGAAGACCATTTCCGAAGGCCTTCATTGTTTCTTACCTTTCTAAAATAAGGTCAAAAAAATACTCCGAGATAGTAACTTGGAATTATTTTTTTTAACTGATAAGTTTAGTCTCTTCTTTATTTTTTTTTCAAAGTGGATAAACATTTTAAAGTTTTCATGATAAGATTCGACGGCTTATCACTTTTCCTAATGAAAATTTAATAGAATCAAGATTTACCCCAGAATCAAAACAGCCTAAAAAAATTCAAAAAAATTTTAGTGAAAAAAACTTGTAAAAATTTATTTTTTTCTTCAATTTTTTTAGTAAGCACTTATATTTGAATTGCTCGCAAGTTACGCTTGAGCCTATTCAGCGAGAGAATTTTTCGTCTCAAAAAAAGGCCCTCATAAATACTATATGAAAAAAAAGAAACAAGAGGGACAGATAATATATATATATATATATATATTATCTGTCCCTCTATATATATATTATCTGTCCCCTATATATATATATATATATATATATATATATATATATAGGGCTTCCGATTTTCAGAGACTGGCAACGCCCAAAAGCGCGAGGAAGCGTCCGGCGATCGTTTCTGTACCTCAGTGAGTAATATAAATATTCAGAAGTTGGCTTTCGAAGTTCTCTATTTCAATCAAACGCTACTGAGTCGGCTTCCGTCTCATTCACGAGGAGTATTCGCAGACTTTAATCTCAAGTTCAATCGACTAGGCGATGAATGAAATATTCTGAAAATATTTATTTATTTTGCGTGGGAAACCGCGTTCTTTTTTTGAAAAGTGGAACTATTTTAGACTAGGCGATGAATGAAATTTTCTGAAAATTTTTTGAAAAGTGGAACTATTTTAGAAAAAGCTTTGTAGAGATACAAAGCAAAAGTAAACTTTTTGGAGGTTCGACCCGAACGTTGATCCTACGACGTTGAATTTCAAGTTTGGTCAGGCCGAAGTGACGGAATTGCAATCGCTACAAAAGCCTTTTGTGAAAAGCGACAAGGACGTGAGACCAGCTCGGAAGGAAGCAGTAATAATGACTTGTCGGCAGAAACGGCTCATTGAATCTTTCAAGGTGCGGTTGGACGTGAAGGCCGCGGCCAAGGCGAAGACCAAGGGGAAAGCTCCAACAAGAATTGCAGCTCCCCAAGCATCTTGTGTCACGCCCATCCGTTCAACAGGTTAGTCTGTTCAGATTTTGAATGTCAAGCAGCTTACTCCACCCCCAAGGCTACAATATCTTTCGCGTCAATTTTTCATCCCAGATGATGAACCTTTAACATTTCTGCATTTTTTGACTTCTTTTTCTATTTTTTAGCACAAAAAAGATCAAAACTCGTCTCGCACGACAAAACATCGACGCGAAAAGATACTGTGGCGGAGTAATCTGGTTGACATTTAAAATCTGAACAGACTATAATTTTTTTCAAACTTTTACCTCGGCTTCGTGTATTGAAAATGATTCGTTTTTAAATTAAAAAGCCTATTCGATAGGTACTTTTTTCTTTGAAAAAAAAAGAAATCGGCGTATTTTTCCAGGACCTCAACGCACTTTCACGCCGCATACCGGTACTAAAAAGAAGGTTTTTGTCGATACGACCGTGCTATCTGATCGGGAGTTCGCCTTGGCTCGCGAAGAGGGTTTGCTACCAGGCACACAGAAAAAGAAGCTCGTGTAAGTTTCGATTCAGAAATTCAGCCTTAACTGAACTGAAGCACAATTGAAAAACTTAAGGACGAATGCGGAGCAGAGAAACATCGACAGGAAGAAACGTCGCGAGGAAATCGTCGCCATCAAGAGAAAACTCAAAATTGAGAACTGATTTACGCTCAATTTCTCACATGTAACTGGTATTCTGTGAATAAAAAAAAATTATTTGCGCACGTAGCTTACTTCACTGTCTCAGACTTTTTCCTGCTTCCTGTTCTCAATTTTTTTTTTCAATCAAATGTATGTATTACCTGCAATAAATTTTAATTTTCGAAACTTTCAACAACAAAAAAAAAAAACAAAAATGTCAACAATTGTAACAGAGAAAAAAAACAATAACAAAAACAAAATAAATGTATTAAATATCCAAATTTTTCTTTATTTTTGCTATCACTCCGTCGATCCGTTTTCCACAAATCTGAAAACAAAAAATTAACATTGAAAAAAACTTTCATGCGATTTGACACAGGCGAATCGAGAGAGTACCATGATGTGTCCACAAAGGTACCTCTCAAAATTGATCGTGAAGGCCCCATAATGTGTCCATCGTGAGACCTCCGGCATACCTTTCAGCTATCTCTGAGCCCACTGGGAGGTACTTCAGAGTCTCTCTCAACCCCCTCTCATTTTGCTCAAGATCCTCAGAGGTATCTTCGAGATACCATCGTGAGACTTCAGAGCCTGCGATATACCTCAGAGGGTCTCGCGATACCCTTTCTCGATTCGCCTATAGAGAAAACACGAAAAGCTCACCTGTTGGCAGACTGAATTCGATTTTGTGTTTTTCAATTTTTGTGACTCGAGAAGCTTGACGAGTAGACTCTCCAGCTTGGAAGCCACTCTCGCTTGGGACTTTTCGTCATGGCACAACAAGTTCGAAACGTTCATCAAAAGTCGCAACACGTTAGCCAGAAACCTCGGTTTCACCTGTATTCAGCTCTTCATTTCGTGGCAAATAAGGAATGTATAGTCTGTTCAAATTTTGAATGTCAAGTAGCTAACTCCTTCTTGAAAAAGAAGAAGAAGAAGAAAAATAAGAAGACGAAGAAGTAGCTAACTCCACCCCCGAAGCTGCAATATTTTTCGCGTCAATGTTTTGTTTACAGATGACGATGGCCCTTTAATAAACCTGCATTTGTGACTTCTTCTTCTATCTTTTAGATCAAAAAAGATCAAAATCAGTCCCGCGCGATGAAAAATCGACGCGAAAAGGTACTATGACAGCAGGGACGGAGTTAGCTGCTTGACATTTGAAATCCGAACAGACTATAGAGAACCGGAAGAGTGCGAATTTCAAGATTCGTGACAATGATGAGGATTGAACTTTTTTTATGAGTCGAACATTTTTCATAACGGTTTTCAACCGATTTGTGCAATAATATTAGGAAGAAAATATGTTAGTTATTAAATTCCATTCTTTGAATAAAACTTTTTGTTGTTGTTTTTGAACTGACAAAAACTTTTCTCAATTAATTTTATCCTGACTTTTAGGTTTTTGTTTACGTTCACTTTTAATGGTCAAATTCTGTACAGTGAGATATATTTTGTTGGCACTGTCGGAACTGATGAGTCAAACAGGAAAAAGATGATTGAGATTCAAATTCTAGAATTGTCCATCTTGATTGAGTTAACAAGAAAATTAAAAAAAGTAAAAAGTAAAAAGCCGTAAACTCACCTCCGTATCGTTATCAGTAACTGCTTTCAAGTATTGCGAAGATTTCTTCACGGCTATCATCGGTGCTTCTTTTCCAGAGCGAGAAAAGTCAGCGTTGCTGCGCTCGAAAATCACCGTCGCTGCGTTCAGAATCTCCGTCTGCAACATTTTTTGCTTCAGAATGATTACGCGGACGACTATGGCCTCACATAAAAATATGATACCTCGTTTGTAATCACATGGGAAAATAAGCCTCTCTATAACAGCACCGGAATTTATATATAGAAAACCACAATTTTGATGAAGCAAAGAGTTTCTATCAGAAAACTTAACGATTTCCTCAGTACAAAAGTGAGTACAAACTTTTTTTAATTGTAAACATGACATTTATGTATTTTTTTCTCTTGAAATGATATTTTTTTGGACAGTCAGGTGGTGAAAACAAGTTATCGGACACCAAAAAGTTTGAAAAAAATCAAATTATATTTCTGAGAAACCACATCATGAAACGGGTAGTTATTTTTTTATTTTTTTGCGAATTCCAAAAAAAGGGCGAAACGCAGAACTTCGCCCAACCGCGGTCTCTATTATTTTTCCATCTCTATTTCATTATTCTCAAACAAGCAAACCCTTCTGAAAATGCGGATCGAGTCGTTGAAAGCAGCTTCGAGGAAAATATCGACATAAGCTGCGAATAACTTCTGGATAACAAAAGTTGGTACAAATATTATTCAAAAATTCCAAACCGGGTACTTGAGAACAGGAACGATAACAAATTCACTGGCCACTGAGCCCTCTGGTTGATGGGCAAATTTATCGAAAAGTGAAAAATATTCCTTCTTCACTTCGTTTGCGATGCTGTTGTCTCCAGCGCCAGACGCGTTGATCTGAAAACTCATGAGAAGTGCAAATAATATTTTCCAAAGACTTAGAAAAGAAAACCAGAGCAGTAGAATATCAATTACTAAAAAAATGAAAAAAACCTGTTCTCAAGTAATTATGGAATTTCAAGCATCAAAACATATTTTTTATTAAAAGTAGCGTTTTCGGTTGCTTCTCAGAATATAAAAAGAAACTTCAATTTAAAAAGTTTTTCAATACTAGTTGCTAGAAAATCACAAGTTGTCTGTATTTTTTTCAATTTACTCGGTGTCGGAAGGTTCATCCCTAGAACCGCTCAGAAACGTCCGGGCGAGTGTCGTTACCGTGGTCCGAGTAGGTTTTTTGTATTTATGATTCCGTGTAAAGTCTTAACGCGGAGTGGTCACTCTCGTTTCGAGACTTCGACCTGAAGCACGAGCTCCGGGCTCCAGCACAACATCCGCTACATTCTGAGCTCGTCAAGGCGCAACTAGATGAACTAGGCGTAGAAGAACGAGGCGAGGGACCGTGAGACCATGTTTTCAACTTGATCAACACACCTTTGGACTTCTAGTTCGCCAAAGGCGGTTGTTAGCTATAAAAGTTCTTCTTAACTTATTCGATTATATCTGACTGAAACAAAAAAAATAAATGATTTGATATATCCCGATATAGATATAAATTCCGGTAGGGCAAAGAAAAAAGAAAAACTGACTATTGAAGCGATGACAGCTGCGACGACTTCAATGAGAACGGGGTTGGAAACACTTTCACTCTCGGAAACGATCTTTTTGAGAACTTCGGCGAACGCCTTATCCTCCACAGTTACCTAGAGCAGAAAAAAAATTGAAAAAAAACCCGATTGAAAAAAAACCTTCAAGCGTGGAACAATACGCAACAGCTCAACGGCTCGGTGAGCGAGACGATCGTTCAGCTTCAGTTCTTTTTTAGCCCAGCGGATGAGAGGAATCACGAGGCCCTTCAAAAAAAGTCCTTCACTTCGACAGAACGTTTCCGTTTTTTTTACGAAGAAAAATCTTCTGACAATGACAAGAATTATTTAGCTTCTTAAGACCTGTTTATTTTTTCGTTTCATTAATTTCTATCAATAGGGGGCGGCATAGCTCAGCTGGCATAACTCATTACTAACGTCCGCAAGGTCGTAGGTTCGAGTCCCCCCGAGGTCGACCAAGCCTTTCATTCCTCCGGGGTATATAAAATTGGGAGCTGCATGCAGCGAAAAGGCTCAATCTCTGCCATCGGCCCTTGGAAAGCCGGCACCGTACATCTTCCTACGACCTCTCTCGTACCTGATGTTCTACATCGAAATTCACAACTTCTCTGCCTAAGCCACAGCTCCTGCCGCCGTTTAAAACATAGTTAAATCAATGAAAGTCGATTGCACATGTATTCTTACATTGAAGGTGCAATAAACAGTAAACAGTAAACAAACAAAAAAATAGCTCACTTTGAAATGCGGATAAAAAAGCCAACTTTCAAAGGAAATAAAACTTTTTGCACGTTCTCGGATAAAACGCACCACTTTCAGGCTGTCTGACGCTTCCTGCGACGAGAGAGCAATCAATAATAAATCGGCCAGCTTCATTTTGAGGGCGTCTGCCGTTTTGGAATCCGATTTCGTCTTTCTACAGCAATGTTTTTGAGAAAATAAAACACGCTTAGAACAACTTTCTAGAGGCGGGAGCAATCGCGCGGAAGGCGGCGGCCAGCTTTTCATCCATCGCCATCATCGCCTCGTCGTCAAGATCGTCCATCTACAAAAGGTTGGTTGAAAAACAAATGAAGTCGAAAAATATTTGCGAAAAAAAGAGGTCTATCAAAAAACATCTTGAAATTGTCATTCAGTGATTGATAAACCTCCCTTGTTTGCAGTATTTAACCGGGGAACGAATAACTGTTAAGAGCACTAAAGGGACCTCTTCCTCGCTTCCGTCGCTTCGCGCAGCAGCCTCGCCCAGTGCTTCGTTCAGCTTTTCGACGAGCAACTCGTTCTCTTCCTGCTCAAATCTATATATGTATTCCAGAATCGGAGGAAAACCTCGTCTTCATCTTCCTCCTCTTTCACTTCCTCCTCCTCCTCCTCCTCCTCCTCCTCCTCCTCATCATCATCATCATCATCTTCTTCCTCTTCGTCGCTCAAAACGTTTTTCTGATTCACGTCCATTTCTTCGTCGTCCTCACTCTCCTCGTTCTCCATCAATTTATCATCGTCCAATGATATTGTCTGCAAATTTAGTTGAGTCAGAAAAAATTTAACGTGAAAAACTAATGTGTCGACTTTTTTTGTTCCTAAAACTTTCTTTTTTTTTCTTCGTAAACATACTTCGAGAAAAACTCGGTTGCACTGAAAAAAAAATCAGAGAATTTTTGAACGGGGACTTTTCCGATTTTTTTTTATTTTTTTAAGGAACTTTCGGACTTTTTTCCCTTGTATTTTTCGGTTTATAAAAGATCTATTTACAATGTTTTTCCTCTTTTTTTCGTGTTTTAACTATAAAAAAATACTATCTATTAATATTTTTATAAAGGAAAATTCCAAACAAAGAGTTAACGGAGAAAAAAAGTTGGAAAGTGAATAGTCGGAAACGTCGCAGTCGGAAAGTTCCTTAGCGATATGAAAAAAATCGGAAAAGTCGCCGATCGACAATTCGCTGGTTTTGATTTCATACCACCCAAAATTCCACTAATATACTAATAAGATTCCCGAAACAATTGAACTTTCATATAAAACTCGCTCAAAAATTATATTTCTGTGAAAGTAAAAAACTTGGATTTGTGGGATTGAATTCAAAAATCAAGTTTCGAAAGAACGAAGAATGAGCACCTCGATGATGTGAATGACATCGGCAGATGAGAGCGAAGACAACGAATGGGCGAAAGCGAAGGCGACAGCCGTTCTGTGATACTTGTGTTGTCGAGAGAGCAGAGAAATGAGCAGATCCATCAAAATCTCAATTTCGGAATATCAAATTTGGAATGTCAGTTTTTCAACCTTAGTGTTTTCAGGTTTTTTGCCCTCGGAGGCAATTGTAATGATTTCTGCGGCATCGGCTGCGTACGAACTGCGATCATCTTCCTCGGAAGCGACTTTTGACCAAAACCGAACAACCAGCCAAAGAACAGACAGAGCTCTAAACGAAAAACCTCGCTGCCTTCCGGAAAAAAAATGAAACCTCGAAAACTTTTTGGATTTGGAAATAGCTTTCAGAGCATTTTCGACTTCGTTTTTCCCGAACGCAGAGTATAACAAAGACTTGAGGAAGTTCTCGTTTCTTTCCGATAAATGAATCGAGGCGAACTCTCCAGGACGTGTCTGAAGCCAACTCGAGAATGTCGCGTATATCGTCTTCGAAGAGTACCTTGACGAAGAAGAGGGAGTCGACAAGGTTGGCCGCAGCGAGCTGCGTTGACTGCGTAGGTGGCATCTCGACCAACGTCGTCAGAAGCGAAAGTTTGGAGATGTCGTCCCAGGACTGGAAGGCCGACATCACCAGACGGAGGCTTTCGCTGTCCAACTTTTCCTTCCATTCCTGAAAACTTCCAAAGTGCTTTGTGGAAAGCGATTACAGAAACAACGATTAAGGAGCAAAATATCACCTTTATCCATTTTTGCACGCTTTTAGCATCCAAGTTCGCCAACAAAGTCTCGCACAAACCGACTCCAGTCAGTTTGTCGATATTTCCATTAACATTGAGCTGTTTCAGAGTTTCATAGGCCTCCGCACCCTTGAGTTCCACCAAAAGCGAGCGGATGTATTCGAAAAACTGTCTGACCTGAAAGTTTGGGTGTCGTTTCTCTTCGTGCAGGAAGGGAATTTCGTCAAGAAACAAATCATGCAAAACAGGGTCGCTTTGTAAAGTCAACAAACAAGAGGATAACAGGTTTTCGGCTTGTCATTCATTGTAAAATGGAGAAATCTTTTCTCGGCGCTACTCATATACATTCTCTTTTTTCTCACATACCTTTCGTAGGGTGAATTCTCTGTTACTATCAATAAAATTCAGATTCATTATATTTCAGGAATGAAATTATTGTCCTCGGTTTTACTCCTTTCGCAAATTTATACATCGAGGTGTCAACTTTCACAGAAAAAACAGAACTTCGACGACCTATCAGAATTCCTTTTCCAAAATTCTGCAATTTGTAAGTTTATTAAAATTCAGAAAGGAATCTGATGTGATCATATTTGAACTAGTAAATTTGAACGAAAATCCCTGTTTCAAGGAATATCATGAACTGATTTCGCAGGTGGAAATCCTTTCGCCGATCCGGTCTGGGTTCCCACGTTGGATCTGTGCAGCATCTCATGCGACCCGCACACAGAATATTGCGTTGAAAACGAGGATCTCAAGCAAATGTGCAAGCCACGTGAGTTAACATTAGAAACTATCAAAGTTTATGTTTTCATGAACTCTATGAGATTTTTGCGAAACCTTTGAAAGTTGTGGCAATTTCGAAAAAGAGCGAGGCATTTAAAGAGGAGTCCAACAATCAAGTATCTTAAAAATTTAATCAAAAGCGTGGACCACATTCGTCCATTTTTCCCCTGTTATCTTTTCACTTCTCATTTTTTGCGGTTCTTTTCCAGATATCGAAAGTAAACATTGTAAAAAAAAAACTTTGTAACTTTCCTTGAAATCAATTAATGACTCTAATTAAACTTTTCTCAGAGATCTTTCTATTGACTTTTTCCTTTATGAAAACTATCTTTTCAATTTTCGTTTCTGTTCATTTGTTCACTGAAGTTAGAAACTATGAAAAACACGCGCTTTTTTTTCTCAACAAACATCTTCGACCTTTTTTTCAACTTTACTCTTTAAGCAATTTCTATCTAGAAAGAATAATTGCGTTTTTCAGTTCCCGATGAATGTCAAAAGCTTCTCCGAAGAACAATGAAAGCAAAAAGAAAAAACCCGAGACAAGCAAGAAGTGAAAAAACCCTAAAAACGAGAACAAGAAAGGCTCAATGAAGGAAAACCTGCGGTTTCATCAGGCGAAGTTGTCCTTTTCCTCGCATCACCAATTCGACTCGGTTCAGCAAGTTGCGAGTGAGAAATATTGCAACCTTCGACCATTTTTGTATATTTTCTGATAAGTTTATCGATTACCTGCTTGATATGACCATTTTTTTCACAAAAACTTCGAATCACATTGAGCGTTCTCTCAAGAGATTTGCTGTCTTCGTTAACAGTGGTCCACGGTTCGACAATATCTTCAAAAAGAGCTTAGAACGAGAAAAAAATGTCCGATCTCACTCGAATAAACTCCTTCTAGCACGTCGCTCTCCACAGCCGCAGCCAAAAGAACTTCTATCAGAACTGGAGCCGTTACTGAGTCACACTCCTGAATCAAACCTATACAATTGTATCAAAACGTTTTTCTATATATTTTTATACCTTCAAGGAAAGTAGAATTTTTTTATAGCTTTCTTTGTCTAGGATCAGTGCTCCGCTGGCCTTCACAAACGGGATACTTTGAGAAATCGTTTTTGCAAACTTTTTCCTCAACAACAACGCCAAATAAATGGTTTCCGCGTTATTTTTGCTGGAATACGACTTCCACTTCAGTTCAGCATATGTTAAAACAATCTGGGATAAAAAAATTAAAATTTCAATAAGAGAGATATTGAGCTTACTTTTGGAGGATCCTTTTGCAGACAAATCAGCAATCAACTTGCACACTGGGAAAGACAGGAACTGATGCGACTTTTGGATAGCGAAAACTCGTTTCAGAATCGTGGACAAATCCTAAAGCTAATTTTTATATTTTTCGAAAGAAAAAACGCCGACCTCGTCTTTTGAGAAATGCGAATCAGCTAGAGCCGCTAAAAGAAGAAATTGGCCGATTGCATTTGCAATGCCGGAGTTCTGAAAAGAACATTAAAAATCTTCAGCTTTCTATGAACCTTATCACTCGTATCCAACTTTCTATCCGCCACTTCGAAAACTTCTTCGAGGGACCAGTTATATCCCCCTTTGGTTAATAACAAAAATAGTGCAGTAGAGTACCTAAAAAAGTTGCTAAGCTCCAACTAAAAGAAAAGACCGACCCAATTCTCGAAGCAGCTCTACTTGATCCCAAGCCAGCTATCAACCTCTCTAGGCAATACTTTCTTACTTCGACGGCTTCAACTTCCTGGTAAAAAATCAACTTCTCAAATGTTGTTTTGAAAGGAGAAACAAAATTCTATTGAAAAGGCAGAAAGAACTGCTTTAAAAAGAACTTACCAAATACTTTTCAAGTAATGTATTAGCAGCCGTTCGTCGTTTAAGTTCATCGAATTCGGATAATTGAGTAAAACTATCCAAGATTTCTTTTGAAGGCCTCATTCTGTAAACTATTTGCTGTAAAAAAAAACTAAAAATCCGCCGAAAATATTTGTTGGCAAAAATTTGTTTAAAAATGAGCACGAAAATACGTTGATTACAATTTCATTCTCAAAAAAATTTTTGGAAGATCTTGAAATGTGTTATAATATCTCACTAACCATTAAGCAGCAGTAATAATTTAAAAAAAAAACGATAAGTTGGTAGAACTATCGAAAAAATTTTCCCTTCATATTGTTAAAAAGAGCTAGCCATCTATGTATCTAACAAAGATAAATAAACTGAAATCATTTTCCACTCGAATGATGAAAAAAGGCAGAAAATTAAAAAAAAAATTACTTATATTTTTAGGAAACAAATATTTCTGTAATGCGAAAAATTATTTAAATGAAAAATTGGTATTTCGAAGCGATTTTGTGTTTTGCAGTGTTTTTACAGGCGTTCCGTTATAGGTTGTACGCCGTGGTGTTCATCGGACAAAACGAAAATTGCTTCGAAACGCAAAAAAAACTGCTCCAAAACAAAATTTAGTACTGTTTTGGAGCAACTTTGGCGCGCCGATGAACACGATTTTTCGTTTTAAAGCATGTTCCGTTTCTCCGATGAACACGACATTAGAAAAACAGTAAAAACCGTCAAATTTTAAAGAACTAGTAAGTTTTACTTGTAAAAAATTTTTTAGAACTGCTCACACCATGGCCTAAACTTCCAAATGGCAAAAGTGCTCTCAAGATAACAATTTGCATTTTGCGGACACTGCCTTTGAACGGCTTGATCCGGAGGTGATTTATAGCGTAAATAAAGCCCGCATAACTGACAATGACGTTCTGGTTGTATCGCAGCGGATTGCAGGCGATATAGCAAAACTTTTTTGCCGTCAAAGTCTCATGTCGCTCTTTTTTATGAATGCTTAATTTAAAAAAAAAATGGTTTTTGCTTTTATTTTAACTTTTGTGATGAAACGAATCAAACTAATGAAATTTTTGAAGAAAAGTCCTTTGAAGAACGATATCGCTCGCGACATATAGCTGTAATCTTGCTGCGAAATTTTCCATAACACTGGACTCACTGAACTCTCTCACTTCTTTAGACTTCTGCGATTTCATAAATCTTCAGAAAGGATTTTTTTAGGAGTTTTTTCAAAAAAATTGAATCTTTTTTTCAAAAGTGACCTTTTTCAGGGTATTTAGAGAAGAGCATATATTTAGAGCTTTCTGAAAAAAAGTTGATAAGGATTTTAACGATATCTAATAAAAACTATTCAGTCAGAGTGTTCTCGGGTCCATGCGGCACATTTTCAATCAATCAATTTTTTTTTGTTTTATTGATAGATGTTTTCCAAATTTGCTCTCGGTTAGGCGGTGAAAAGTATTTTTTCAGAAATTATTTGGTTCAAATATATTAATGAGCTGAGATTTATTGAAAACTATCTTCGACATGAATATTTTTACTATTTTTTTCTACCGGGTCTCAAGAATAGCATTTTTATTCATAAACTTTCTTTGAAGATACGCTATACGATTTATAAGTGAAAATTCAATTATGCGACGCGGATTGAATCGTTTACCGGTCTTGATCTTCAGTTCTCGTAATGCGGGTACCAAAATTAGACGAAGTGAGGTCCGTCTTAACGGCTTACCACCTCGTCAATCTACTGCTATCTACACTTTTTTTCCTTCTCAAAGTTACACCTTTGTGCGATTTTGTTTTTGTCTGGGATGAACAAGACGGATCGTGTGGAATCGAATCGGTAAGGTTCTTTTCTTAGAAATTCGTTTTAGAATGGTTAATATAGAGAGAGCGAGAAATATTGCTTTTCCTGTTAATCGTCATTATGTGGAAAGGACGCAAAGCTACAAACTCCCTTCACTACGTTAATAACGTCTTTCTTTACTCGAAGGTAACTTCGCTTAACACGTTCATGTCGTAAGATCTTTCAAGATCGCCAGTTTTTTCCTGTTCTTCAGAGCCGATCCTCTCTTGGGAATTTTCTACTTTGCAGTGTGCTTAAGTTCGAAATTTGTCTTTTTAGCAGTGATTTCTCATTTTATTTTTTTTTCAGTTTGTCTCGTTGTGTTTCCAGAGCCAGCGTTTTCCGGACCTGAGAACGTAACATACTTTCAGGGAGAGCAGTTGTATGTACGTTTTTCTTGTAATTTCTCAAACTTTACGAGATTATAACTCAGGACCAATTGGTCAAAGACAAAAAAACTACCTGGGTAGTACAGTTCTTCACTACTTGGAGTGGGGAATGCAAACACACTACTCCTGTTTTTGCGGCCTTAAGTGAAAAGTTCGTGGGATTTCATATAACTTTTATGAGCTACTTACCCATACTTTTTAGATTTTCTCTACCTAACCTGCGCTTCGCAAAGTTAGATGTTGGCCGTTATCCGAAGGAGGGAGAAAGGTTCCGCGTGAACTCCAATCCCATGTCACGACAGTTACCAACAATTTGCGTTTATAAGTAAGAATATCTGCTCTATTTTTGTAATTGCTCGGTTTCAGAGACGGAAAAGAGATTTCGCGACGTCCGCTAGTCAATGAGAACCATCGAGCCGTTCCTTTCGTCTTTAGCCAGGTTCGCTTTCCAAATGAGTCCTTTCTCAGAATGTTACTTTTTTCAGGATAATTGCATACAAGCTTTCGATCTACTCAACACTTACGAAGAGTGTCTCAGGAGAAAGAGTAAGGACTATGATCGCAAACAAAAATGAATTTTTTAATTTTTTTTTATGTAGATTCGTCATGCTTTAATAGGATCACTTTTATTTAATAAAAATTCCATTTAAAAATTGATACAAAAAAATCTATGACCTCAAATAACAACGCGAGGATCCCAACAAGTTTTCTTCTCTTTGTCGTTATAAAGCAAGATGTCGATATCTTCTTGGGAAATCTGAAAAGTTCTATTCGTGGGAAAAAAAAACCAAATAACTCACGTGAATTTTGATACAGTTGTAATTTTCAATTACATGAGATTTGTTGGATGTGCGAGGCAGGACGCCGATTTTTTGGGAGTACGCCCAGGCCAACAGAAAAACAGGAACACTCACGTCATACCTTAACACTATTTTTGGTTAATGAGAAACCGCCGAATATTTTAAAAAAATTTTTATTGCAAGTTTTTTTCTTATAAGAAAAAAAATGATATTCGCCATGCAATCCTAGGGGACTTACAAACTTTCCGCTGTCCGTTTTCTTGTACCTTCTGGATTTTTATATTTGGGCGGAAAACGAAAAAAAAAAACGAAAACTGTATGAACTTGACAAATTAGAACCAAAACAGTATTGAAATGTTTGCAATATCGCTCTTTCACATTCAGTTCTTTTTTGCGTCAGGATTAATCTATTTTCCGCTTCTTTTTTCCGCTTTATTTTCTGTTTTTTTTTTCACTGTCTGGTAAAAATCTAAACTTTTATACAAGTCTAATTGTATTTACAAACAAAAAACTTTTTAGCTAGTCTCTGTACTTGATGATCTTCGAAGAGTTTCTCTCGGTAGTTCGGACTTCCAAGACTGCTGTACGCCTGGAACTCATTCTGAATCAATGACGCATTCTCAAAAAAAAAAACTTGAAACTTGATTTGATTTTCCCTGCAGTATTTCAGTAGTTCGATTTGATGGAAGTGCGGATGAAACTCAACCTGAAGTTTGTCTATCAGAGACAATATATCTGCTTCCGAAGTGCTCGTGCTTCGATGATGTGATGCTTTCCTTATATCTTGTGATTACAAGATTTGAAAAAAATTGCGTTAAGAAAAAGATTTAAGGCTCTTGAGGCCTCAGAAACACGAAGACAGAGACAAACCTGGTTGACAGCGGGAAGAACATTGGAAAAAGATTTCAATTCTTCCAAATGTTTAACTTCGAAGTTGGAAACGCCAATCTCTCGCAACTTTCCTTGTTCTGAATATTACTTCATTTTTGCTAGCAGGTCAAAGGGTGATTTGTGCGAATTATGTCCTTACGCATGAGATCAGTCAAGGCTTCCCAGCTTTCGCGTCGGAGGATGCGATTTCCTTCGTCTTCTGATTTCAAACGACTTCCCGGCCAATGAATGAGCAACAAATCCAAATAGTCCGTTTTTAGTTTTTCTAGGGACCTTGAACTTTAACTTTAACGAATCACGAAATCAATTCGAACTTAATAACAGAACTTGTTGCTTTTTTGACTCCGGCGTTCGATGGAGATAATTTTGATGTGATGAAGATATCTTCTCTGAATTTTTTTTCGAATTAAAAATATAATGCATTCTAGGAAGTTGTGCAGGGAAACCTTTCAGAATCTGTTTCGGTTCATGCAGGAGTTCCATTTCAGGAAGATCTTGAAAAAAAAGTGAAACGACATTTTTTGTTACTTCATTCCCATTAGGTCATTGTAAGAATTTCGCAAACTTCTTACTAGGGCATGGTCTCCGCTCGACAACGAGTTGAGAATTGAGCCTATGTAGGTTCGATAGCCCTAGGTAAGAGTTCTCGGATTCAAAAATAAAACTCTGCTAAACCCCTCAGGCAACCGAGGAAAAGCTCGTCGAAATTTTTCCAGCGCGCATATGGCCGCGCTCGGAGCCTTGGGCTAGCCACTGGCAGCGTGGTGTAGTGGGTAGTCGTCTTGTGCACTGTCAATATTGGGACCATGGTTCGAATCCTTTTGGCGGAAATCGTTTTTGCCGGCTCATAACTTTAACACTTTCACATTTTTGTGAGATTTTTTTTCAATAATTTACAATAAAAATTTACAAAAATCCCAATAAAAAACAAAATACTAGTTTGAAATTTTTTTTTTCGTTTTTTTCTCTACTTCATGGGCAAACGCCGAAGCAAACGATCTGTTTATGAAAAATTCACGTCGAGTAGATATGTTCTGAAAACTTTGAGCATTTTTGAAAAGCGACTACCTGTCTTTTAGACACAAGTGTACTAAACAGAAATACAATAACATGTTTAAAAAAATTCCGAAAATGAAACTTTTTCGTTCGGTTTCGCGTTACAGGTGTCAGAAATTATGACGATTTCAAAGTTTCCAACAGAATTTGTCACGAAATAAGCTTAAATTTAATAACTATGCTGTTTATTGCCTGTCTTCCAACAAAATATTTGAGAATATCCCCCTCAATACGAGAAGAAAGACTTGGCATGAGTAAAGTAGTATAAATAATAGTTTTCTGCAAGTTTTATGTAAATTTTGGAAAAAAATCTCACAAAAATGTGAAAGTGTTAAAGTTATGAGCCGGCAAAAACGATTTCCGCCAAAAGGATTCGAACCATGGTCCCAATATTGACAGTGCACAAGACCACTAAATACTACACCACGCTGCCAGTCGCTAGCTAAAGGCTCCGAGCGCGGCCATATCTGCGCTGGAAAACTTTCGACAAGCTTTTCCTCGGTCGCCTATTTTTAGAATTTTATTTTTGATTCCGTGTACTCTCACCTAGGCCTATACACCCACAAAGTCTCAATTATCAACTCGTTGTCGAGCGGAGACCATGCCCTAGTTAGGTGTAATTCTTCTCGATTTATTTTCCGCCAAGATCGATCATTTTAATAACCTGGTCAGACCGAGTTCTGGCAAAACCTTCTCGAGTATTCTCCCGATTGATCCTTCGTTACCGTACACCTTGAAAATTATTTTTATTTTTTGAATTCATTCATAAACTTTCAAAATTAAGTTAAATGACACTAAAAAAACGTTCGCACGGACGACCGAATTTTTTTTTCGCGTTTTGGATGGTTGCTGGCAGAGCTGCTTATCAGACCGGAGCGACCGCAACGCGCTACGGGGCGTCCCGCACCGCGAAGCGGTCACATTGTTAGAAGATTTTTTCACAGTTACTCAATGATATAAATGAATTTTCATTTTCTTCGACCAATATATTTCTTTATTAGTCGTTACTCTGCGGATTTATTCACTTATAATTCATTTCAACTTATCTAATCAGCACGGCGCCCCGTCAGCAGCACTGGTCGCTGGTTATACATTACATTCACCTCAATTTTGAAAGCTGTTTTTGTTTAGACAATTGTATGAAAATAATTATTTGAAAAGCGACTTGTTCGAAAGAGAAACGGTCAGAGTTTAAACTGTACTAATAGCAAAATTTACTTTTTTTCATTGAAGTTGCTTTGGACTCATCAAACAACTTCGTTTGTAAACTTTTTTTCTAGTCCGAACTCCGTTCAACTCGTTAGCTCTAGACTTTCCGATATACATTGTGTCGCAGTACTTTCGGGTTGTGGTTAATGTAAAATAATGAAAACCGTTTTTACGGAGTTAGTGAAGAAAAAAAAACGAAAATAAGAGTCCTACCTGAGCCGTATCAATCAAGCGGTAGCCGGTTTCCAAGCCGGTCCTAATGACATCTTCCAGAGTAACTTCACTTTTCATCTGAATCAAGAAAATGTTTGCTATTCCCAGCGAGGGAGCACCTCCCAGGTGCCGATTCCAATCATGGGCATCTCTTTTCGCGCACTGTCAGGCATCTCTGCAATATGTTCAAGACATTGAGTGCACGTGCGGCTTTTACTGCGCCATGAAAATATGCCCATCGCCACTCGACCTCTCTTCGCCCATTTGGACTCATTCACACTCTTGTTACGTCATTATCTCCAACCATGACTGGGTTCTCGGTAAGTCTACTTCCCGAGCATATGATTAAGCTTACTTAGTACTTTTTTGACCCTATATATTTTATCAATATATTCGTTATATTAGGTGAAAAAAAACACTAGTTACAGCAGATAAAGTGGTACAAAAGCGTTGATGCGCCGCCGCATAGATGTTCACAAAGAGTCAACGCCAATGAGAGGGAACGTCAGAGAATGCACAGGTGAACTCCGTGAGAATTCTACCGTAGATTTGATTGAAAATCGATGTACTTTTTTTTTTGTAAAAGTCCGCTAACGAAAAAAGGTTATCCAGAATAAGTTTAAGAATTTTCGTTGGTTTGACAATGCTTTCAGAATAAAAATTTTTCAGAATAAACAATGGTTTTGATCGATTACGGCAGCTTCTCCCAGAATCAGGATGGTCAACAAAAAAGCCAACAAAAGTGAGTGATATGTGGAGCAGACTCAATGTTATACATGAAGCTTATTTAACAAAAAAAAAAACTTATTTTTAAACTTGAATCAGGGATATCTTGTCAAATCCTGATGGTTGGGTCCATAATATTCATTTTTTTCTAAGTTAACTGCTAATTAAACCCACACCCAACATAACTGCCTATATCGCAGCAGGCCGCAGGCGATATAGGCCATTCCGCGCTAGCTTGTCACGTGCTGTACTGCGACGTGACCGTCTCGATCGGAACACACTACATTTACCGAAACCCTTTTCAACTATAATTCAAAAAAAAAGTTCAATGTTATAATTTTAGGTGAACAATTTTCATTTTTGTTTTTAATGGTAACACATTTTTTGAAAATTTTTAGGTGGAAACTTTGAAAAGAGCTATATTTTACATAGCTGAATTGAAGATGACACTCAACCCGGGAGAAACTTGTAGAAGTGAAGGTTTGCGTTATTTTGCGAAATAGATCTTCTTTCAAGTATTTATAGGTACAAAAAGAATCCAAAGAAGGAAATGATGAGAATGGGTATCAACAAGCGGTCTGGACACCTCCAATCTTCAGCAATCTGTAGATTTCACAGAAAAGTTTATTGATAACCGGTACAATAAATTTCACTTAAAGAAATGATATCTCCTTCAAGTCTAACGAAAAATGCACAAGGCTTAGCTCTCGGGAGAATCGGAATCAGAAGCATCGTCATCAAATTCGATGCGTACAACTTCACTCTGCAAGGCTAGGAAAATTTTGAAACGATAATCAAAGAAAAACAAAACATGAAGTTCATCGCGAGCAAATTCTTTCTTTTGTCGATTTGCCATCACGAACTCATCTTTATAATGCTGCAAGAACATGAAAATAAAAATTATATGAACAAAAAACCATGTCTCTCAACTCGTTGAAAGTGCTAGGGTTTGTACGACCGATCGGAACTGAACATGGCGTAGGTGGGTCTGGCTCAAATTTTGGTCGTTTTGTTTCAAAAAACGAAATGAAAAATAAAACCACAAAGAGGTAACCAGAAGTGAGAGCTCTTGGTTGGTAAGTATTCATGATATTAACTTCACGAAAAACGGCTCGCCTCTCTCGTGTCATGTTTGTTCCAAACAGTCGGAACCACTAGAAACAAGATCAGGCAAAAAATCACAAAAGAAACTTGGAATGTGAGAAGAGTGCTGCAAAAAATCAACATAGACGCCAGATTGGGTTGGAAGTATAATATGCGCGTCAAAACTGTAGGAATGACAGCGAACGTAGAAAAAGCTGCAACCGCCGACAAGAAACGAACACTTTCGAACCTTTGAAAACCGATTTCAGGCAAAGAAATAGTACAGACTTCATCAGAAACAGGAACTCAAACTAGTTAAACATCAAAAGAAATGTCGCCAAAATACACGTACTTACAAACGTTTCAAATTTTCATAGAAATCACTATGAGATTGTACAAAGTTTTGCAGAAGAGCATTTCTACCGCCGTTGTTATTAATCAGAATGCTGACGCGCTCTTCGAACATTGCGATGATCCCCTGCAAAAAAAATCTTTGAAAGAGGGATACGGTATCCATTTGGTGGACCTTGATAGCCGCACTATCAACCACTTCTATCAAGTAGAAGTGAACGAGGGCGTCGACGCTGAAACAGCCGTCCGCCGCTGCTGTCCAAGACCCTTTCCGTCGCAACCTCGAGAGCTTTTCCCCGACTTCTTCTTGCAATTCATCAGCATCACACGTGTCGACGGGTATGATCGAGGTCCATATCTGAGTTGATAGATAAAAATTTAAATTAAAGCTCCGCTGAAACGTTGAATCGTAGGAAGAACCAACTTTTTGTTCAGCTATTTTTTCGTTTTTCTTCATATATGAGTAAATTGATTGTACCTCCAGAGGTACAGGCGTGTTAGGAGGAATGAGCACGAGACAAGCCAATGAATCGCGGTCAGAGACGTCTAACTCTTCTACTGAGCGATTCAAAGCTTCATGAAGATTGGAAAAACTGTAAGGTGTCCTGCAAATGAGCGTCGATACTCCGCGAGACTCTGCTTTGCGGACCAACTGCGACAATCTGCAATCGCTGAAGTCAATCCATCCCGACTTTTAAGGCGAGGGGGGCGGGGCAGGGTTCGGGATTCGTAGCGAGTGCGCACGCGGTTCTTGGCACATGTTCAATTCAAGCGCCAGCGACTTTTCAAAAAGCTCGGTCATCGCTCTCTTTCCATATGGTTTACTATTTTTTTAATGCCCTCATGTAAAAAAATAATGAATAATTTTGAAAAAAAAAAAGAGCGATAAACGAGCTCTCCAAATAGTCGCTGGCGGTGATGGTAGGAAGGAATTTTGGGTTCCCGAATATTCGTGAGCGTTAATTGTGCATACACCAATCTTGGAGGCTCGAATCTTTGAAAATTTGGATCTTTGCAAACGATTCTTGGGAATATTCCCCTCTTTTTTTGAATTTCCTTCTTTTTTTTTCCTAAATTTTTTTTCCTTTGTCGTTTTATTGTGAAAATGCCGTGTTCACAGTGTTTCAAAACGGGCAAGCGCAGGCGAAAACAATGGTCGTCTCAATGGGGCGAAAACGCGAGTTCCTTCTAACGCAACGCGGTGCGGCGCGTGTCAGTCTCTCAAAATTTCATTCAATTTAAATATAGTTTTTTCTCTTTTTCTCGCTTATTTTTTTAGATTTTTGAATCGTTTTACTTTCTGTTGTGTAATATAACCGTGTTGGATGCGTTTGAGAGGTACGTGAGTTAATTTTTGAGCGAGATGGTCCCGAAATTTCGACAAAATTGACATTTTGAAGAGTAACTTTTTTTGCAGAAGTTACTTGGTTCATGTTTTTGTTTTAAAATGCTCAGAATGAGTTTCTTAAGATAAAGGCCCAGAGCTTTTTTTTTCGAAATTTTTTTTTTGACGTTTTACAAAACATATGTTGTCTAAAATGACTTTTTGAGTTATAAATTTTTGTGCCGAAGCCAATTGATTTTTTCTTTCGTTTCAGAAAATTCAAAATGCGTTTTTCGAAGGAACCGTCATGCGTTTTTTCCTTCAAAAAATGTTTTAGGACTTCACGCGACGAATCGTCCTGAAAAAAAAGGCATTTCGTGTGATAAATCTTTTGACAAAAACGGTTCGGTTCATATTCCATTCTCAATAGATTCATTGCGCGTTGGACTATATTGAAACTACTATAAAAGTTCAAGGAGGCGTTGAAAAACACTATTCAACGCTATGTTTTCATCCAGTAAATGCACAACAATCGGCTCTCAATGTCGCCCCACTATTGCAATAAGCCGCGCCCCCATTGCATACGGTCACGCCCAATGACCACATCTGCCGCCTATTTGGGAACACTGTGATGTTTCGACCACAAATGAACACTATGATTTTTTCAACTCAATTTTTATCAAATAATGCGTCTTTCTCGCATACACGTAGTCAAATATTCGCTGCAGAACGGCTACCACATTTTTCATTCACTCTATATATATTCTCCATCAACTTCTGTTAACAAAAACATTGGAAAAATTATAAAAAATCAGAAAAGAAATGAAGATCCCCAAGAATCGTTTGCGAAGATTCAAAGATTCGAGCCTCTAAGATTGGTATATGCACAATTAACGCTCACGAATATTCGGGAACCCAAAATTCCTTCCTACCATCCTGGCGGTTGAAATGAACTCGGGCCAAGAACCGCGTACGAACACGCTACGCATCAAGACCCGCCTCCCTCGCCTTTCAAGTCGAGAAAAATTGACTATAACGTGAAATGAAAAACTCAAAAAATAACAGCCAAGTAGTGATCAAAGGCGGTCAAAATTATTGAGGCAACACAAAATCTTAAAAATTTCCTTTGGCACCATTAAAAGTTTTCCAAAGAACTCATTGAGATTTTTTTCGCTGAATGGTTTGCTTTTTTACAAGAAAAATTTCAGAAAAAAATTTTTTTGAATTTTTTTGTTTAAAAAAATCCGAAATAGCAACCTATAATCCATGAAATTTCAACCGCTGGAAATTTTTTTCGCCGAAAAAATCGAGAAAACAATTTCGAAAAAAATTATAAATTGTAAAACAGTGTGACTCACTAGGAAACTACTCGGACTCGGCTACGCGGATCGAGCTCAAACTTTAGTGGTTTATAGACCTAAGTGAGAAGACTTGAAAAAGTGTGAATATCTGCTAAACCTAATAAAGAACTGAGAAAAAAATTAGTAGAAAATTTGAAAATTAGGTGGTATGAAAAAAACACCAGCGAAAATTCAAATGGCGACTTTTTCCGATTTTTTTCATATCGCTAGGGAACTTTCCGACGGCCACCTTTCCGACGAATCCCTTTCCGACTTTTTTTCTCGATAAAATATTCGTTTTAAATTTCCTATATAAAGTAGGTAGTTGGTTCATGATTAAAACAAAAAAATAGGAAAAAAATGTAAATAGATGTCTTATAAGCCGAAAAAAATATAAGGGAAAAAAATTCGGAAAAAAATTTCGTCGGAAAGGTGGCCGTCGGAAAGTTCCCTAGCGATATGAAAAAAATCGGAAAAGTCGCCGTTTGGATTTTTCGCTGGTGTTTTTTTCATACCACCGAAAAATTAGGCCTGAGAATTTTTCAGAATATTGCTTTTTACCTTATTTTATATTTTAATACAATCGCTTCGAATGATGCGGCTATGATAAACTCTAAAAAAATTTATTTTTAGCCAAAAGAAAAAGGAAAACTGAAATTTGATAATTTTCAAGCCTAAACTGTGCATTTTCAAAAATCTTTTTCTCAGAAGCCTATGGGGTTTAGCAGATAATCTCTCTTGTTTCCAAGTACTCTTACGCGGGTCTAGGAGCCACTAAAGTTACAACTTGAAACGCGTACCCGAGTCCGAGTAGTTTCCTAGTCAGGTCAAGGAGCTAACTCGTGGGGTTAAAAAATATTTTTCAACGAAGAAGGTTTTTGAGAATGTATTGTTTGCTAGAAAATCTCCATCGGCAAAGAAGCGACAAAAATTAAAGCTTAGAACTCGGCATCTTCACCATTTATCTAACACAACTCTTTTTTCCAAACTGTTTCGCAAAAGAATTGCTCAGACATCACCTTTCGAATCTCAGCTCACTCAGTTGGCATAGGATTCTCAGCATTGCGAGATTTCCACTGGCAAAACGAACGGCGCTTCTCTCGATTTCTGCCTAGAAAGGACATAATTTAAAATTTGAGCAGGGCTTCACTTCGGCAGGCGTTTCCGGAGCAGAGAATCTCGAACAACGCAGAAAGGCGTGACTCTCGTCGTCATCCAAAGAAGACACTTCGATGAAGGCCAACGGCGAGGACACGATGTCCATGACGTCTTTATTTCGGGTCGTCACCAGACATCTCAACTAATCCCACAATGGCTTCTGAGGAACCGCCCATCGTTACCCCTAACTGTTCTGCCCAATCGATAGTCTCTGTTTGAATGACGTCGTCCAGAACAATTAGCGCGTGCGGCTTATCAATCAAAGCATTTCTCACCTCAAAAAAAGAGTGATTCATGCAAAAATTTTTAATACAATTGATGGAAAAAAGAAATGGTCATTTTACCATTATTTTCAGCTGAGAAGAAGTGAGACTGTCGAGGTCAGGCATATTGTGCACTTCATCGTCGCTTCTAAAACATAACTTAACTGAAACCGAAATGAAAAAATAAGTAGATAATTGCACCAAAACTGTTCAAAGCCTACCTGAGCATAAGCAGCAGATCGACAAACACTTTTATAACGTTGTGTTTCTCCATAGATCCATCGCGTAACCATATAACTGATTCGAAAACTCTGGAAAAAATGATTTGTAAAGGAAACGAATAAATGAAAACCCTCCAACAAGCTCCGACGACGTCGACAATAATTGAGACGCCAGAAAAGTTTTTCCAACTCCTGCACGTCCATGCAAAACGACGAAGAATGACTCTGAAAAACTTGCTTTTGCATAAAAATAACAGTTTTACCTGAATCGAATGAAAGAGAACAGAGACTTTCTCTTGCTGAGTCCAACAAAGAATTGCGATGGAAGCTTGACGCGGCTCTTGGGACGCCGCCCATCAACAGAGCTCGGCTCAGAGCTTCTTTCGCCATACGTGTGTCTGGAGCTGGACGCAGCCTATTATGAAAATCGACAACTAAGAGGTTGAAGTAATCAGAAAAAAGAAATTAAATAGATCCTACTGAAGTTTAAATTTTAAAAAAAGCTTGGAAATCCCAACCAAGAGAAAAAGAAATCATGAAGTTAAAATCAAATCCCCAAAACTTTCTCTTGAGGGCTTCTTTACCATAGATAAACTTTCGTGAACCCGAGTGAAATGATACGCACTTTTCTCTCTTCGAATCAAGTGAGACATCAACTCCATTTTGCAAAAACTCGGCTATATGATTCTGTCCCGCATAGTCGAAGTATTCGATCAGGCAATTCAAGTTAACAGCTCGCCGACGAAAGAAACGTAAAAAGTGATGGAGTCTTTCCAAGCGTGTAGACTGAATTCAAAAAATTATTATTGAGCATAAAAGAAAGGATATTCATTTAAAAAAAACTTGTAAAATATGCTCAATATTCATAATTCATACCACTCACGAACCTTTGAGTTGACAAACTCAGAATTATCCTCCGAAAAGACACCTCTGCCCTCCAAAAATATTATGGCGTCTCTAGGATCGAAATCGGCTAATAAAATCTTATACGTTTCATTCAACACACGACATTCCGTCTCAGGGAGCATAAGAGCTGAAAATTCTGTTTTTAGTGAATTTAAAGGTTCGTATGCATGTAAATTCAAGGATGCGCAGTTCATATATACTGGAATTATTGGATGAATTACGGAACAGAAAAAAAAAAATTAATTTCTGTTATACCGCGTTTAAAGTGGTTTTTAGCGAAATAGCGATAAAAGTCAGAAAATGAAAAAAATAAAGAATACTTTGGAGCGCCAGAGATCATTTTCAATTTCGCAAAATCCCTTTGAAAGCGGCATTGTTCCTCGGAGTAAATTTTCATTGATGACCAAATCCAAAAAAACAACGTTGTTTAACTTTAAAGTTCCAAAAAAAAAACAATAAAATCGGAGCGATATCGAAAAAAATTTCACGGAGAGCGATATTTCAAATATTCTTCAAAAAAATTCGGACAAGAAAAATAATAAACTTCGGAAACTAAAGGTGCTTAATACTCTCCAAGATAGCCTTATCTTTTCATCTTTTTTGAGCTCGAAAATCATTGACAAACACCTGCGCGCGCTCAAAATAATTTCGGCGACGTATTCTCCAAAACTTCATTTTTTTTTGTCACTTTCTGTCATTCCGAATTTTGCAAGATTACTTTGAGCATGCCGCGGCAACGTGAAAAATCGCCGAAGCGTTTGAAAAAACTCTCTCCGCGCTAAAAAAGGCTAACGCGCCCCACGGACAAGCTCGTAAAATTTGACGCTTGTGCACACCATGGTGTTGCAGCCAGGCTTGTGCGTCAGGCCGGGCGGCCCGGGCTTTGGGCCTTATTTTTCAGGAAAAAAAGCCCGCGTGGGCTCAGGCCGGGCCGGGCTTCAAAAAAATTTAAAATTTCATTTAAAAAAATTTCCACCGAAATGTGACTTTTTACTTCTGAAATCATAGTTTTTTTGTTAAACTTTAAGAGAAAAAAATGAGCAAAAACGTAATTTTTGTCGTAAAAAAACTTAATATCCGACTAGAAAAAAATTGCGCGATTCGGGCCGGGCCGGGCTTACGAAATGGTCGGGGGGCCGGGAGGGTGACGGGCCGGCCCTCGCACAAGCCTGGTTGCAGCCTCGACGCGATCTTGCAACGCGCCGAGATTTCTCAATTTTTTTAAATTGATTTGAAAACATAATTTCAGGTATGTAATACCATTTTTGATATGAAAATATCTTAAAAATCAATACAATAAAATAAATTTTTTTATTTCTGTTAAAAAAATTAATCTACCAATCTGAAAGATAGCTTTTGAAAGCTTTATCACCTTGGAAGATATCGTACTTTTTCCTAATCCTGGAAACTTTTTACAGCCGAAGAATGAAACATGCGGTCTACTAAGTAAGAACGGGAAAAATATCAGTGTGTGGTCTCTGTACTAACCCTATGTAATGTTATTAACTTCAAATTCATATAAGCGTTCCAGTAGAACGTGATAAATGAAAAAAAAAATTCATGTGATAAATGAAAAAAATATCAAAAGGAGTTTTCAGAAGACTGTCGAAAAGCGCGGAACGTGCACTTCTCCTGTGTATACCTGCAAGAACAAGTGAGTGAAACTGCAAAAACAAAAATTAACCGGTTGTAGAGTGCCGAGCGTATCTGCTCAACATGAGCCAAACCTCGAGTTTCGGTAACCATCTTGACGCGTATACTCGACATATCGTTGCGTAGATAAGCGCGCTCCTGAGAAGCTTTTGATGTTTAGTTCGAATATTTTAAATATTCGGTGTTACGACAAGAGCGTGTTTCCCTTTCCCGAGAAGGGATGTATATAAAAGTTCGCATTTTTCGTTTGCACGTTCTGAGTGCTCCATTCACATCAGTTCAGCCCGTCTGGTTTGGCACACTGTAGGTTTAAATTGTGCATACACCGATCGCGGTTTTTGAGCGATATCTTCATTAACGAGTTTTTGTACAAAAAAGCAGACAAAATTGAAGAAAAAAAAACGCATAGAACCTTCAAAGACACAAATTAAGTTATCCGTCTTTAGTAAGTAAGAAATCGTATTTTTTGTAATTTTGTATCTATTAGTGTCGAAAATAGCCGTGTTAATTTTATTAATGTGATACAATTTTTAAAAGAATAAAAGAAGTTCCGCGGAGATTGGACCCCCCTCCCAAGCGGTGTGCAAACGCGCATTGTGCATATATATATATATATATATTTTCTGAGCAAACCAAGTAAATGTCTTTGACGCTGGCGCCGCAGTTGCTGACGAGTGTGCATAACTCGGAGAGATCACCGGGAGTATCTTTGATAATGACGGTAAACCGGATCACGCGGTTGTCGTAGGCGAGTCCTCGAATCAGAAATTCTTACTAAGGCTAATTGGGATTATTGTCATTTGGTTTCAAAAGTTCCGGTAGCTCGTTGAAGCTTTTTATAAAAATTTTGACCTATTAAGTTGGGAAAGTTAAAAAGAACCTAAAAGAGCTTTTTTGAATGATTTACAAACCTCGGTCGATGCACCTGCCGAGGGAAGTCGTGTCGATGTTGCCACCGCTGAGGATCGAAACCACCTTTTTTCCTTTGAGACTGTTCAGTTTTCCCGAAAGAAGAGCCCCAATAGTTATGGCACCAGCTCCCTCGCACACCACCTGAAGTCCAAGGTAAGTTTGAGATTGAATCTCCGATAATTTGATTTTCCTCAAGTTTTCGCTCACTAGTCAGTAATTTTCAGTTTTGATAAAAGTTATGGCTAAAACCAATGAATAAAAGATGAAGGTTTTTCGAAAACAAGATGGTAACTTTGTGGGAAAACCTTATTATTTCATCATAGAAAGTTATCTTTTTTTCACAACCTTCAGCAACATAGGCAAATCGAGAAAGAGTATCGCGAAACCTCTGAGGTATATCGCAGGGTATATCGCAGGGTCTATCGATGGTACCTCGAGCATACCTCTGAGGACTTTGAGCAGAATAAGATAGACTTGTGAGATAGACTCTCAAGGACCTCCGAGATGGCTCAGATATAGCTAAAAGGTATGCTGGAGGTCTCACGATGGACATATTATAGAGTCTTCACGATCCATTTTGAGAGGTACCTTTGTGGACGCATTGTGGTACCCTCCCGATTCGCCTGTGAAGACTGATATCAATCAGCTGATTGTAATAAATAAATGTCTGCCTCAAGTCTCAACTTTCCGATAACACCATCAATTTCATGATTTTTTTTTTCAATTTTCTCTGCCTTTTCGAATTCCAGAAGTCTGAGAATGGCAATGGCGATGTCGTGCTCAGGGACGGATATAACCTCATCAACACGGTCTGCAATGACATGAGTGCATACAGGTCATCTGCCTTTACTCTGGACACGTGAAAATAAAAAATAAAGAAGAGTCTGGTCAATTTATTTGCAAAAAATATCTGGAAAACATGTTGATTTTAAGAATAGCTTTGAACAAGATCCGTTCACTAAACGTGGGAAAATATGAGAATCTTCCTTTGCCATACTTTAAATGCAATTTTTTTCTTTGAGTTGGTGAACCGAAGATAATTAGTTTTAAACTCAAAGAAGACAAAATTCTAGCTTTCTTATTATCGCCGCTGTCATGCGATCGTAGTTAGAATCTTTGAGATGTCAAAAAGGACTTCTGAGAGTGCGGAACGCGTTGACGCCGATGGCAGGAACGGCGAGACCGTCGGCGAGAGTCGGATTCGTCGGAGTGTACACGGGTTCACCCTTCTCCAGCGACCTCTGAGTTGTTTCTGGGTAAGAAATTGCGATTTTGAACCAACGATAAGTGCTGGACAAGTTTCGCTGGCGACGCCAATCACTCTGGTCTTTGGAGAGAGCGTTTTCACGGCCACGGCTACGCCCGCAATCAGACCGCAGCCGCCGACTGGCACCAAAACAGCGTCCACATTTGTCACCTGTCAGTAATATAAAAAGTTGGTTTGTGAAACGAAAAGTATACAGTTTTTCGAGAGGTGCATGGGAAAAATCAAAGTAAAACCTTCTCTTTTTGAAAAAAAGGAGTTTTTTTGATAGGGGTCATAGAAGTAACTCAAAACAGGTGTTATAGTCAATTTTTCCCGACATGGAAGAGTCTGCTCGAAAATTTCATGTTGAATTGCTCAAGATTCTGCCAGAGTAAAAAAAGGCTTCTCGCCGTGTTATATCAAACACTACCGCAATTATTTTCCCACAGACCCTGTTCACAGCTAGAGTCAGACAATGAGTGAATCAGAAACATGCAAAAGTCTTCTTTGTACCCCCAGTTTGACAGATTGAAAAAGGTAGCGTTCCGAAACCTGGTCGATGATTTCGAGGCCGACGGTTCCGGCGCCAGCGAGGATGTCGATGTGGTCATAACCATTTATATACTTGCCGCCTCGTTCTTTCGCCAAACGAAGAGCTATCTCCCTCGAAGCCCCAATGTCGTTTCCCTGAAGGATCTCTATGGGTCACACTTCGACAACTCTTTCTTTGACCCAGCAGAAAAATGGTCTGAAACTCACGTCAATGATGATGTTGGCCCCGAGTTCCTCGCACCTATTGATCTTCATTATAGGCGCATGACGAGGCATGACAACATTTACCTGAAAACATTGATAAAAAAGCGAAAAATTCGATTTGAGGTCCCACAGAGAAATAAAAAACAAAGAACATGTTTCGTAACCTCAACGCCGAGCTTTTTGCCATGCATCGAAAGGGCCAAGGCGTGATTGCCTGCGGAAGCTGCGAAAACCTGGAATACTGTCACAGTCAGGCTTACCATTCTTCAGGGTTTTCAATGGTTTGAAAAAAAAAACTGCATGTCGATCACAGTCGATTTCATTTATAGCTTGTGTAACACGACTTGGAATTTCACCAAGCGACATTCCGCTGTGTCGCTGCGCGCCTTTGCGAAACTTTGTCGCGCTTTTAATTTTTTTTTTCTTTTATTAACTCGCATGCTGAGCAGGTGTCTCAACGGGTGTACCCGTATTAGACCCGTGTTTCTGAGGTTATTTTAGTCTCAGTTGGGCTAAAACGGGTGTAAGAAAATATGTAACCCAGCTGTGCTAAAGCGGGGTCTCAGCGAGTGCCCCCGTATTAAACCCGTATAAGCACAGTTGGTAGAACTTTTGGCAATTTTTAGCCCAGCTGAGACCCCGCTTTAGCACAGCTGGGTTACATATTTTTTCTTACACTTTTATTTTATATACCCACTATATTTGTGCTTCGTCCATAAAAGGGTATTCAACTCTCATAATATAGTGAACTTGAAGCGATATATTTGTGGATCAGATTAATATATAGTCTGTTCAGATTTTAAATGTCAAACAGCTAACTCCGCCCCTGCTGAGACGAATTTTGATCTTTTTTGATCTAAAAGATAAAAAAGAAGTCAAAAATGCAGCCTTATTAAAGGACCATCGTCATCTGGATATAAAACATTGACGCGAAGGATATTGTAGCCTTGGGGTGGAGTTAGCTGCTTGACATTCAAAATCTGAACAGACTATATATCCTCCACCAATAATCGAATCATGCTGACCTGCCAGTTCATACATTCACACTTTGAATTCGAAAAAAAAAGATCAAAACAAAAAAAAAGTAACTAGAAAGGTGCCTGTGGGTCAAAACTTTCAGTTCGTCGATCTCCAGTTCAAACTTCATTTGTGAGAGAGTTTTTTTTTTGCATACTATATATCTCGTGTTAAGTTTTTTTAAACTTTTTCCGCTTAATGATGACTACGGGTTATATTTTTGATGAACAAAAAAGCTTCTAAATTGGAAATATCTAAACAAAACCGTGAAACTATATATTGATTTTTTTTTTTAAATGAGAATATTTAGCAAGAAAGAGACAGCTCTAGCTCCAGATGACGTCGGCCCAGGACCCGACGAGCTTTGAAGAAGCTATGGACCTCCTCGAAGCGCTCAAGGGTCTGTCGCGGCGGGTCGGCGACCTCGGCGAAGTCATTGCTGAGCTCATTGACGAGGGTATTCAGAAGTCTGAGGTTTTGGTCGTAATCCAAAAAAAAAAAAACAAAATTGTCCGATTTCAGTTGACATCATTTTTTGGAGAGTACTTGACCAAGAGGGCCTTGGGTCCCCTCGAAAGATCTCTCGAGCTTGACGTTCAGGTGATAGTGATTCATTTATACGGAACAAGTCCTCGTTAAAGATGAACCAATTGGAAATCGAGTTGCCTTGGCTACAAAAGCAACTGGAAGAAGCTAAGAAAAGGTAAAATTTTGAACCGTTCCTTAGCGTTTTCAAACAAACTGAGGAAACTCAATGTTCAACCCCACGAGTCGTGAGTTTCTAGCAAGCTGTTCTCGATGGACTATTACTTAAAATGTAATGAAAATAGCTTCAAAAGCTCGCTTGCAGTCACGTGAAGGCGACTGAACACTACAACGACGCGATGAGAGCTAAACGAGAGCAGGAGGCAGCAGAACGGGCGGCTAATCTTGCCGCAAAATTGGAAGAAGTCGAAAAAGCCGCCAAAGACAAAGCTGCCAAGGAAATGGCCGACTTTGTCAAGAGAAACGAGCCGTTGCGGAGCTGCAAAGAGTCCGTAACTCGTGAATACGACGAGCCCCGCTTTGAGGTACGGTCCTCCTCATTAATTCAGATTCAGTTCCAGTCTACAAATGAGCTTTCAAAAAATTTCATACATGTCTTCCTTTTTCTGATGTGTGAGAAACTATCAAGCCATAAAAAAATGTTTGAATAGGTTTTATAAGACAAGAAAAAATTTAATTTTCAAAAATAATGTAGTTTTGGATGCAAAACTCAAGATATAAGTTAAACATCGAAATTTTTTTAACAGAATTTCTGATCCGAACTTTTCCTACTTTAGACATTTTCAGATCACGAACTTCAGCTCAAATGACACTGTGGATCTCGAGGAAACTTCGCCAAAGAAAGCGAGAAACCGTAGAAGGTCGCGGAGTCTCATCCACTCTATCAGAAAGAAAGCGGTTGCGTTTCGCAAACTTCCAAGCAAAAAGTATGTTGCAGACAAATGTCCGTCGGTCACTCTCTCGCTGTGCTCGTAAGATTTTTCAGGATGAGACTGACAACAATTAGTATATTATAGAATCAAAGTTTTCCGCACGATATTGTCATATGAATTCTCGATTATTTAATACTAATTTCTGTATATGAATCTGCTTTCTTGAAAATTGACTGACAAACCCCGTTTTTTTTCTCCGCATCGTCGAGTCGCATTAGAGCATAACGAGCTCCTCGTTCCTTGAAGCTGCCGGTGTCCTGAAAGAGTTTATTGAAATGGATAACGAGGTTTTCGATTGCCTGGTTGACCTCCATCTTCAGATAGAGGTCCATATCGAAAAGACCGGAAAGTAGACGCGATCTACGGCAGTTGGTTTTCACGATCCCGCTCTGCGGTTCGATCATTTCTCAAGTTTTTCGCAGTCAGCAGACCTGAATACGGTACTGAGCGACAGATATTTCACTGAACGGAAGTTCCAATGGATTCGCTGGATCACAGCAGGGATCATCAGCCTAGAGAACTACATTTCAGTGATCTATACAAGACGGAAGGACAACAGAAACCCTGATCTGATCTTCTGTTCCCTTGATCCCACTTGATTGCGCAAAAAATCTGGGAAGAAATTGATTAACTCTCACTGAAAAAAACGAAACTGTCTTCCATAGAACTCAATACATTAACAAACCTTTCAACATATTATGAAAATGATTCATTATGATAATGAACACGTTGAAAAGAGATCAAAACGTGAATCTCGGGGAAAAAAAAAGAAATGAAGTATGTAAACAGGTATGAAAATACTTGAGCGAAAATATGTAAAGACAAAAACAAAATCCAGATCAGAAGTCATCATCAGAAAGATCGTCACTGATGCGCTGTCTTTTCGGAGCCGCTCGTTTCTTCTGCGGCCTCGCCTGAAAAAAAAAATCATTAACAGGAATCAAAGGAAAGTTCTTGCCTTGGGCGTATGTGTCGGAGATTGGAGAATATCTTTGGTGTAGCCTTCCTTTTTAATGCTTTCGAGCTGGCGGGCCAATGCTTCGGCTTTTCCCTACATCGAAAAATTGCCAAAGATTTCTAGAGCAAAAAACCTTTGTCTCCGCATTTTTCGTCGACTTTGAATATTGACTAACAATATCCATCAGGTGGTTGTAAACTTCTGGAATAGGGAGGAACGGTGCAAAAACTCGGACGCTATCCTTGAGCTGAAGTCAGAATGTGTCCAAAAAACTCGTTTATATTCAAACTCACAGTGTTGAAACTTTTCTCGGACAGCGGAAACTTGGACAAACTGTATGAGATGTATTTCGCACTATCCGAAGACGACTTCGACATGGAACTTGAAAGGTAAAACTGTTTTTACATTTAAAAAAAATCAGAACGTACTCCAGTGATGGGAACTTTTGACAAATAAGTGTCACCAGACGGTCAAGAATAGCCGCTTTCTTGTCTTTCACCAAAGATCCAATAAAACTAAATTTGAACAATCAAAATTAAAACGGCTTCAAATTTTTTTACTCGAAGACTTCTTGGAACTGGTGGAACGGAAGTTTTTCAGGACCGGTAGACAATCTGGTAACAAATCCAGGCAGCAAATCGATAAGCCCGTGATTCTAAGAATGTTATTAAAGAAATGAAGACAACTTGTTTTCATCTTTCCTTTTTCATATGAGCGTGGTAGCTTACAAACTTGTTCTAAACGGGGAAAAACAAATAGAAATTGTCAGATTATACAAACCTTAGACTTCATATTGAAGCCTCCTAAAAAGCTAAATTTTATTCTAAAAACCCTCTAAAAAGGTCTCTAAAAAGCTGAATTTTATTCAATCTGAATTCTCCAGATCTTCTCTTCAACCCGAACTCACGGCTGTGAACTTCTATAATCGAAAAATCAACAGTAGTAATTTCTTAGTCGCATGAAATTCATAACTTTCTCAAAACAAAAAAAGAAACGGACGTGCTCCTCGAGTTTGCTGTAGTCGGAGAAAAAGCCTCGCGCGATCTGATTGACTGTGGGAACACTGTCGCACAGACACCTCGCCGCCTCACTCAGGGTTCCTCGAGGCTGAAATCCGATTTTTCTCATGGAGGTTGGACTTCGATACTTGAGTCATTCCGTTAGTGACAACGTATGAAAGCACTAACAGGGCGCTTTCTCGCACAGCCGGATGACTGTCGCGGCACCTGAAGACAGAAAGATTGGTCACAGAAAAGTCGTGAAAACATAAAAAGAAGGATAAATCGAGTCAAAACTTGCACTTTTCTGTTTGAGGAACTTTTCCATGAACTTTGAAAATAATCATTTCTTACGAAATTGTATCGCGACTTCCGAATTTAGAGTCATTTTCGTGAACGTGTCTACACATTAGAACGAAGAGCAGCTTGAAATCTGAAGTTTATCTCAAAATACTGTCAAGTCAATTCACAACACCTCCGAATGGTCTTTGTTTATTTTTCCGGTTTTGCTACGATTTGCTTTTTTATAAAACAGCGATCCCAAATAGAAAACCCTTGTATGACTTTGTAATTTTCAATCAGAAAAAAAGAACATTTTGTAGAGGTTAGTGACGTAGAGATCGGAAGTGTTGGGGATGAGACTGGCGAGATCTGCGCACGCAGCAAGCAGAGAAGCTCGGACGACCTCCGAAGGCGAGCGAGAGACCATCGTGTAGAGTACAGGAGCCCCTCTTTCTGCCACATGAGAGCTGCAACTCGCCAAGTTGTCCGAATTCGCAGCGAGTCGAAAAACCTCAGAGATATGAACTTCCCGTAGGCTAGTGCAGCTGCATGACGAATGCGACTCGGGGAGCTTTTCGCCAGAAGTCCATAGTTGATCAGCGGGAAGATCCGTCCCAAAAGTCTTCCATCTCGTAATAGCCTCTGTTCAAGGAGCGAATTTGTGACGCTTCTTAAGACGTCATCTGCTTCGCCTGAATTAAACTTTCATTGAAAATTCACCCTGAAATATCTATAAAAAAAAAACCGAATTATTCAAAAAAATGAAGAAAATTAATCATTTTTCCCAAGGGAGTTCATTTCAGTATGAAGTTTTTAGAACTATATACTTCTTTGCTCAAAACTTTCTGGAGAATTTAGTGAAAATTTATTGACATAGTCGCAAGCTGACATGGGAGGTCATTTTTGCGTAGGGTTCAGAATTTTTTATAAATTTGCTCAAACAATCTTTGATATACTGGAAATCGATCCCCCATAGTCGCAACCTGCACAAACTTTTTGTTTTGGTGATATGATTTTTCAAAGTTTTTATCCTTAACCATGTGACGCCGTTTGGAAGGAATGTGGCCGCGCCACCAAACACTGCATGGCAGCTAGGAGCGTGGTGCAGTGGTTAGCGTGTTAGCCGGCGAAGCCTATTATGAAGGTTCAAATCCTTTTGCCGCTAACTTTTTTTGCCATTATTTTTTTTTAAGAGTTCTGATGAGAATATTAAATTTTCATGAGTAAAACCTTTCCAAATAAGTTCGATAGCTATTTTTCTTTCTAAAATCGCTTTTTTTATGGACAATAGTTATGGAAACTTTCTGAAGTTGTGGCGGACTTCACATCATCAGAGAATTTTTTTCCCAAAAAAACATTTTTGCTCAAAAGATTTTTATGCCGTGTTCAAAGTAATTTCCGCGAAATGCAAAATACCCGTTAGAGAAAGGAAAAAGATCACTAAATTTTTGGAGAGTCAGAGATCATTTTGCATTTCGCGGAAATTACTTTGAACACGACATTAGATTCCCGAAAATTTGAAAAATCTGGATTAGGATGGAAATAGGGTTTGGAAATCAATAAAACTCGGATGACAGGTAAGTTTTTCATATTCTGTAAAGATGTTTCTTCAGACGTAAGACAGAAATTGGCTATTGAAATATTGAAAAAGCCACTGTTATTTATCACAACCAATACATGCGAAGATCTTCGATGAAGGTTCAGCGCTTTTTCTGAAACATTTTTTTCGCTGATTTTTCAAAAAAATAGTCTCTGATGAAGTCCGCCACAACTTCAGAAAGTTTCCATAACTATTGTCCATAAAAAAAGCGATTTTTAGAAAGAAAATAGCTATCGAACTTATTTGGAAAGGTTTTACTCATGAAATTTTTAATATTCTCATCAGAATTCTTTAAAAAAATAATGGCAAAAAGTTAGCGGCAAAAAGGATTTGAACCTTCATAATAGGCTCCGCAGGCTAACACGCTAACCACTGCACCACGCTCCTAGCTGCCATGCAGTGGTTGGTGGCGCGGCCACATTCCTTCCAAACGGCGTCACATGGTTAAGGATAAAATCTTTTGAAAAAAATCATATCTTCAAAAACAAAAAGTTTGTGCAGATAGCGACTATGGGGGATCGATTCCCAGTCCATCAAAGATTGTTTGAGCAAATTTAGAAAAAAAATTCTGAACCCTACGCTAAAATGATCTCCCATGTGAGCTAATTTTTTTAATACTTGAAAATATAACTTTTTAAAGATTGCGCTTACAAGATAAAAAAACTCAGGCCTACTGAAAAAAATTTGTTTAACTTTGAAAAACACGTATTTTTAAGAAATGAATTTGAAAAGGTAGCGATGAAAGCTCGACTTACCAACTTACTGGTTAGACCTTCACGGAGCTTTCCGAAAAGAAGTTGCTCTACAGAGAAGGTTTGTTTAAAAAAATTAATTTAATATCAACGAAGTACTTTTTGAGAGAATATTGGGAAGTTAGGTGGACCAGAATAACTGAGAGAACGATTGCATTCATTAAGAAGGTTGTGAAAAAAGTAACCTTTTACAGTTAAACACGTTTAGTTCGTTATTTTTGAAGGAAATTTATGCTCGCTAATTTGTGAAACTTGCATTTTTCCTAAGTTGTTTCCTTATATTAGTAAATGAAGTTAAGCTTTTAATTTTATACCTGACTTATCGACAGTCGAATGCTTGAACATGCTCTTTTTGCGAGTCATCATGAGTTCGAGGTTTGAGACGAGTCGAGCAGGCTCCTCGGCGAGTTTCATTTCGTTCTGAACTTCCCACAAAGTTCATTTGGATAGAAGACGGTTCGAGACGTAAGAGAATCGTACTCAAGTGACGTATACATATACTAAGAAGAAGTTTTACCTCGGAGGCAGTTCTCATCAAAGCGTCGTATTGTTTGTAGATTTGAGGGAACACCTCATGAAGATACATAATGATGCGAGAGCCGAGCTGGAAACATTCTCATTCCGAGCTGGAAACGATCTTTGAGAGGAAATCTCTTACCTCTCCAATAAATGCAATCGTTCTCTCAGTTATTCTGGTCCAGTTAACCGCCCAGTAATCTCTCAAAAAGTATTAGGCTAAATCGAACAAATGTTTCTCAAACAAACCTTCTCTGTAGAGCAACTTCTTTCTGCAACGGGGAGCCTTTCTTCGCCATTTCGTCATAAAACATGTGGAACTCAGCGGCTCGCTTTACTCGATAGAGCAACTAAACAAATTCTCGCTATCGAGTCTTATAAAAAGGAACTTATAAAAAGAAAAATATTTCTAAAAGGGAAGATTTTATTATTTCAATTATTTCTTTTGAATCGAACACAAAAGAACCCACTGTTGCTGTGAAGTCAGGAAGCATTTGATCGACGCTCTTGGCCAAATTCATGATGATGTGAATAGTCGACTGAACTATCAGAAACCATTTGGTATTGTCGTTGCTGCGAAGAATTTCTGAAAAACTGAATTATTTTTTCAACTCGAAGCGATCACCTCGGAAAAAAAGCCTCTTTATGGATCTAAAAAGCGAATCTTCGTTGAGAATCCTTAAAATCGGCTGTACGGGTTCTCCCTCAGAAGAATTCGTCACCTGAAAAAATTCGTACTGTCACAAGTTCGGATCTATGCAAAAAAAAAAATTGATTTCCCGATTGAAAACGTTGCAAGCCTCAATTTTTTCTGTATTCATCCCATTTTAGCGGGAAAAGCTACAGAAAGCAAATTGGAGAAGATATTTGATGTAGAATTCATTCCTACATTTGCAAACCAAAAAGATGCTTTTTTCCTATAGAAGAGGCTCTGAGTTCTGCAAATATGGCATGAAACTTTATAAAAATCGAACTAAGAGGGACAGAAATTAACGTGTAATGAATAGTTTGAATATCGGACCACGGAAGAAGAAGAGAGAGCCGAAATAACTCTCAAAGCTTCCAAAGCGACGTCCGAAGGCCCACTCAAGAGTTTCTGCAAAGTGCGCAGCTTTATCGGAGAGGACGTTTCCGCACTATTCCTGTAGAAATGGTTTTTACTGGAAGAATCAAAGTTATCTTTTTTACCCAGCTCGAGCGAAAGCGTGCAGAATTCGCAAGGCGACGATCCGTTGTTTGGGGAACTTTTCTGCCTGCGCATGCTGGAAAATAGCGGGAAATCCGAAAAGAAAAAATAGAACCCAACCATCCAAAGTTTGTTGTGAACGCCATTGGAGAACGGTTTCTGTGAAGCCATCATAAAAATCACTTCTTCTACAGAAATACGCTCCTCCTGAACTTGAACTCAATTCAAGAATAAATCAACAAAAACCTCTGAAATGTCAATCATAACGTTCATCAAATTGTGAACCGTCGCATTGTCATTTGTCTTCGTAATCCTGGAAAAAGAAAGGAAAAAAAACAAACTCTTCAATTTCTAGTAATAAGCTAACTCAGGGAAAACAAACATACGGATTCTTGCTCCTGAACATCTCCGAAGTCGCGTCAAGAAGCTCTTTCCTCACTTCTTCCGAGCTCCTCCAAATCAGCGAGCACATTTTCCGAATAGCCGCATCGGCTCCCCTGAACAATCAATCGCTAATTTTGTAGTCTCAGTTTTTTTAACTCTCACTAGTCACATAAAATTTGAAAAAAAAAAGAAAATCAAATGGATTCTACTTATTTTCAGTCATATGTTACTGATTTCATCCGAAATTAACCGCTGTCAAAATAAGGGCACAATCGAAATTTCTCGAAATTCAAAACCAGAGGGAAAAAGGCTGGAGACTTGAAATCGGGACGCTTTTATTGATTTTTAATTGAAGAAAATTTAAAAAAAAAAAAGATTTTTTTTTTGGTTTTGATAAAATAATGAGAGAATGAATGAAAGAAGGAGCCTTATCGTGAACTGCTTGCACTGCGCCAAGAACTTGATACACTCGCGCATCTCGTTCAGCTCGCCTACGTGGACTCCTCGCAGAGCATGTTTTATGCACTGAGAAAGTTCTGTTTCGATGCAGATTTTATCCTATAAGAAAATTCAGAAGACGTTCATTTTTCCTTCGAGTTACCTTCAGCCGACTGATTTGCAGTTTCTTCTCGGTTTCTTTCGCTTCATAATCCAGCTTTTTCTGTTCGTCTTGTAACATCATCTCATTGTTTTTCACATGTTCCATCATCTGTATTTGAATATTTTTTTCAATAAATTGAAACTATGAAATACATGATACGCGACGTATTTTGTGTGAAGATCGTCAAACAATTTCCTATGGTTTTTTGCAAGTTGCGATTCTCGGTCGTCATCGGCGTTTCTAAAGATTATTTTTGACGAACCGGAATGAGGAGGTATTTCAACAAACAATTGGAAAATTTTCAGCTGTTGGGCCAGTTGAAAGTAAAGCTGAACCGAATCCCGCACATGGTCGCCCATCGTTTGCAGTAAAGCCTGCATGAGTCTAAAAAGGAGTTTTCCAGCGAAAATGAACAGAGAAATCTGACTCAGTAGGGTTCTCGGTATTGTACTCAACAGGATTTTCGATGTGAGCTTTTAAAAGTGTGTCTAGATGAGTCCGTATAGAAGGCTCAAGTAAGGTCCATTTCTTCTCGAATTTTGAAGTTGCTGCATGTTCTGAAAAGATAACCGAACATTCACTGAGAAAAACGAGGGTTTCACCAGGATTTTTAAGTTGTGATTTTTCGACCAAGAGCTGCTTCAACTTGATCATGTGAACGACGTGATCGAACTGAAAACATGGAAGTCAGCTCGAGAAAAGAGAGAAAAATGACATCGTGGCCAAACGGATTGTTGGCCAGAAAAGTGGACAGGAACTGCATTGCGTTTTTGCGCACCAAGACCGATTTGTCACAAATTCGTTTACCTAAATTAATTAACGAAAAAAAATGATGTGAAAATACCAATTTCAGTTATGAGGCCAGAACAGAGAGAATCGTACGGAATTTTCTTTTGTTGGGCGAGTTTCTCCATAATGTGCATGACTTTGGCGCGAGTCTGAGCGTTGTGATCTTTCAAATGACTCTGAAAGAGAAGTTGAAATTTCGAGCAAAGTTGAAAACCGTCCGAAAACCTCAATATTCCCGAAAATCATCAGTTTGATGATCCTGCGGCGCTCGAAAACCCTGCAGTTTTCATCATTCAAGTAGTCACACCTCAGTAAGTCGCTCAAAGCTACTAAAACAGAAGACCGCACGGGAGGATTCTCAAAAAGATCAACGAGATTAGAACTCTTCATCACTTTTCCTTACGTCGTGTTCTAGGAGTTTGAAGAAAAAGTTGAGCTGAGAAAGCACCAAGTCAGGAACGTGTTCTCCCAATGACTTTAAACGACGAAAAAGCTAACAGAAGGAAAAAAAAAAAAAGATCAAACCTGAATAAGAAGACATGCTGGACGAGACACATTGGCGCTCTTTTGACAGACATTACACGTTATGACAATTAGTTTATCAATCAATGGACGTAGACATCCTGAAAAACTACTTTGGAGCCGATATTAGTCGAAATATGCAATCATACTGACCTCGCTCAGTCCTGATACGAGAAAATCAGCACTGCCAAATCCTTTTCAACATATAAGATGTAAAAAAAAACATTAGTGCTTGTGAAGAAAAAGATGACATTGCGAACTTTTGCTTTGATCTTAATGATAGACTTACTCGACTCTGAGTTGTATCCTAGACGAACGAGAATATCAATGAACGGGTAAGAAGTCACGTCCCGAAGGTAGTCGGCGTTGAGAGACTTTTCGAGGATGCCTTTCGCTACTTCTGTAACGTTCTCGAAGGATAAGAGCAGTGGAGGAACAGACTAACGCTCAGCCATGTTGTACTCGACGGCGAGGATCTTAGCGATCTGAAAAACACTGCGGAGCCAAGGCTGAGACGCCTGCTTATTGCACTCGGGGTCTTCCATCAACCCAAGAACCGTGTTGCAGAAAATCCTTTAACTTCTTCTTCCTTTTAATCAACAGAAAAAAATGGACTTCAGAAGTTCGTCGTCGACGATAGGAGGTGACCAGATATATTTCATGCAGTTTTTGTATTCTTTCCTATCTACCTCTGCCGACAGCTGCAGAAAGTCACACAGGCAAGAAATTAGCTTCAAAAAGGAGATTTGAAAAGATTTTTCGCCGAAAGGAAACATACAGAATCGCGTTGGTACCTCTTCCAATTGACGGACTCGTCGTCCAAATCCTTCTTTCCTCGACGGATTTGATCTGCAGCTTGTTGTCTGAACACCCGCTTTGTTCAGTGCAGCCAGAAATTTCTCGCCTTTTGGTGACCTCCAGCTGGAGCTGCACAACTAGTCGCTGCACGATGATAACGAACATCGAAAAACCCTTCACCAACTCTCTGCTTTCAGGGGCAACTGCCTCAAAAAAGTTTCTTCAGAGTGATTTAACCCTAGTGTAAACCTCATTATTGCGCATTTCGATCGCGTTGCTTGCATGATCCAGAATCCTGTCTTTTAGAGGTAAAACACCTTAAAGTCAAAAAGTAGAGAACTGAGAAAAGTCGAGATCTCACATGAGTTCAGGAAACTGGCCAGACGAAAACGTACAGACCAATCATCGAATGTAGAAACCATACTAAAAAACCTCGTATAAAAAAGTTCCATTTGTGGAAACCTGGTTATGGACGCAAGAGAGGGGAAATACTGTTCGATGGCCAACCAATCGCCGGCGTCGGCTCGATCTCCGAACTCTGAAAAATTGATGGGTTGCGAAAAACAAAAAAAAATTAACCGTAGATGTCATTTCGGATTTTGTCGTGATCGATTGTTCCGTCCACTTCTGACAGCATTTCCGTGATAGACACACTTCTGTAGTTCAATATTACAATTATCAAAAAACTTCTAGATTCAAGCAGAAGTGTGGACTGTCAAACTCATATAGCAAAACCAAAAGCAAAGATATTTTGACGAATTCATACGATTTCGTGTAAAGTACATTACTGTTCGTGCTGATTTGCAAGATATTCTTGTTGACATTTTGAAAGTCATTTTACAATGTGGTCTCTGCAAAAATAAGAAATAAAAGAAAACTTAGCATCTTATACGATATAGAAATGATAACTTCAGGAGAAAAAGAAAACAACTCTTGGAAAATAATTATGAAAAAAAAAGACTCACGTTGTTTGTACGAAATCGTCTTCATTTTCTTCCCCGCTGCTTTCAGACACAATGTCGTCGTTTTCCATGACGACATCGTTATCTTTGTTCTCTATTCTTTTCGATCTCATTTTCTAGAACAACTAACGATTCGATAAAAATCTAAAACTTCAAGTATGGGAGAAGAACCACAAGAAAAATAAACAAAAAAAAACTAGAAAAACTTGAAATGTTTTCATTACAAAAAATAAGAAAAAATCGTGAACGGTGAATCGCCCGAATGTTTCGATAGAAGTTTCTTAACTTTGCCTCGTCGGTCTCGAAATGCGACAGGCAGAAATGGAGTATTATGGAAAACTATCAGCTCGGTTACTGTTGACTCGTTCAAGTCTTCAGCGAGGAGCACGATTCCCCCGAAATAAGTGCTAAAAATCGTTCTCTTATTCAAGTAGAAAAACCCATTTTACCTTGAACAAGGGAAAACAGAACTCAGAAATTCTTTCAAAGTTTCAATAGAAGTGCAGGAGCCGCAACCTCTGAATGATATTTCTGAGAGCCGCAGGTAAAAAAAGATAGAATTTAATCAGTGAAATATTATTCATGATTCCAAAAAAATGTCTATAAGTTTCCTTGTATATAATTTTTTTCACGTGATGGTTCGAAAAAAAATTTTTTTTAAATATAAGTTGCATTTTAAATACTCTGCCATCTGAAACTTCAAATTGGATGTCTTACAGAATTTTTCTCGCCAGACTTCGGCAGAAGTCGGCTCTGATGAGAGCTTCACCATGACCAGTCGAAGAAATAGCGATGGCCTTCCGACGGACGCCTTCTGGGTCTTCCTCGATTCTGCTCTCCGCCCAGCTTCCACTTCCAAAACTGCAACTGTGTCCTATTCGACCGGGGTTTTTCAGAATCACCCCGCCGCTAGAAGTACACGACTCAGACGTAAAATTCTAAACCCTTCTTATTACTCAAATATGAAGCCGAAAACCTTCATATCGATGGATATCGCGCCGACAGTGTCCAAAGCTGCAGCCTCAACGACATCTTCTTGTTCAAGCCGTGAAACGGCTTTGAGGTGTTGCTCAAAAGAACGACTCGAGACCAGATCTTCTGGCGACACGAGTTCGACCTCTAAACACATTTGAGCATCCACTATGATTAATTTTTTCGTTGGGAGTCATGAGCTAGCAAGTCTTGGCTGATATCGACAAAAACTTAGAAAGTAACGAAATTTTTCAAACCTTACATGATGTATCACTACTGAAATAATAACATTTTCTGGACCATGGAAAAGTTTTAGCGTTGAAAATTTCCAAAAAAAGGAAAAAGGATGATACCTTTTTTTAAAGCCCAACACTCTGCTCCTCTCCCGACAAGAACGAGAGGATGAAGCAATTTTCTTGAATTCCACCAGTCGTCCAACGCCAACAACCTGGCGACTCTCGCAGGAGTTTTGATACGCGAAACCGCTCCTACTGCTCCGAACCTTCAAAAATTTTTTTTAGACGTCCAACCCTGATAAACGAAAACTTGAGGTCCTGTGAAGTCATGAACGACGCTTCGCACTCAACGTTCGCGTTCATCGTCAGGCTTGATCCAAAACCACAGTTGAAAATTTCGCACAACTCGAGAACCTGAAAGTTTTAAATATTTAGGAGGTTCTTGATGACTACCTCTACAGCTTCTACGACATTGGCTTTTTTTGCAGCGTCAGCGACGAACATCAAGTCTTCTGCCCGAAAACTAACACTAGCGCCTGTCAATGAGAATGGTTGAAACATTAAGACACCTTTCACCTCCATGTAGTGCCATGACGTTTTCCATTTTAAAGATTGGCGAGAATTTCTTCGAGTTTCGAACTGCTGAAATTGTGCTTCAACAGCTCCTTGTTTTCAAAAACTAATACAGGAATGTCGTATTTATACTTCTGAATTAAAATCAGAATAACCGTCGTATAAAAACTGACCTCTATAAGTTCCGGTTTCTCACTTCTTAAATTCACTTTTGAATAGTTCAGATCAATCTCTGGTCGTTTCTTTAAATAAGCTAACAACTGTCTCTCAAAGTGAACACAAAGAGAGCAATCTTCACTGGAGTACAAAACAGCTTCTCTTTTCTTCTGAGAAAAAAGTCTGCTTGACGGATTCAATTTAAGAGACCGCAGTAATGAAGACAAGTTGGTGAGCATCAAATGAGTAACTCTGAAAGAAATAGATAAAACGCTCAAGCACAGAATGTCAAATAAATGTGAACATTTTCCGAATCGCACACCTAGCTAGGCACAGTCTAATACAATTTCGCAGCAACATTTTTTTCAAAACTTGAGAAATGAAACAGAGAAAAGCTAACTTTTACTAAGATCTTTCCAAATTTTGAACAAACAGCAGAGCTGCTGACCAGACCGGGGCGCCCTGGAGCGAGTTGCGGCTACACTGTTAGAAAATTTCTCCACATTTATTCAATGATATAAATAAGTTTTCATTTTATTTTCTTCCACTGATAGATTTCTTATTTAGCTGTTTCTCGGCGGATTCTTTCACTTATACTTCAATTCAACTTATCTACTCAGCGGGGGCCCCGTCAGCAGCTCTGACGAACAGACTTCGGATTTGATTTTTTTTTTTTCTACGAAGTTATCTTATTTTTCTTTTCTTTCTCACTATCCAACGGCTATTTCTAACGTTTTGCGAAAACTAAGTTAAACTCAAATAAAAAAAAGCTAAAATGCACAATCGAAAACAGTTATTTGAAAATGTGATTTTCAATCGGAGTTTTTTCTGAATTTTTTTCTTAAAGGGGACGCATTGATTTTAAAAGGCAACTTGAAAATCGAACTATGCAGAGATTTCATGTAAGGATATATATTAAGAAATTACGGACGATTGTCGAATTTGAAAAGTTGGCTCCCACCAAAGTATAATCGTTAATTTAAAAAGAAAAAAATAATTATCTTTTTATCTTCATAGGGAATAGATAACATTTTTTTAAAACATGAAACTCACTTCAATTAATAATTAAAAAGAATCTTTGGGTGGCCAATTAAATTTCTCAGCTTAGCAGGCAGAGCATGAAATCTATGAAAATTTCAAAATCAGATGTTGAAGCTAAGAATTATTGTTGCAAGCTATCTTACGCTTGTCAATTTATGGATAGTGATTATGAATTTTTACATTAGCCTAATCTGCAGGCAAGGGTACGAACTATCCAAAGTGGATATGACAGTAAACAATACACGGTGTTTTTTTTATTACGCTAGGTCAAGACTTTTCGTAAATAATGATGCTTAGAGTGTAAGCACACCGAGACGCCCTATCGCATACTCAAAATACTTTTTTTCAATTTTAGAATTTGCGATTTCAGGATAATAGCTCCTGAAATGTTCGAAATTTGTCATTTTTGAAGAATATGATGTGAAAAAAACATTCACTTACGTTAAAAAAACATTTAGGAACGATTTCGAAAAAGGGAAAACTCTAAATTACTGATTACAAAAATAAAAAAACAAAAAAATATTATGAAAATGAATCAGCTCCCATTGAATAAGCATTTATAAATACGAAAAAAATATTGAAATGAGGAAAAATTCGAGGAGCAAATGAAAAACATTTTATATACCTCGAAAAACCTAGTTTCAGAAAAAAACATATAATGGATAGAAAGCAGAAATTTTTAGAAAGAAAAACCTCGTATGGCGAAATTTTTTTGTTTAAATCCGAAAAAAACCATCAAAAAAACTAGAAAAAAATATATAATTTAGATGATGCATATATCAAAATCATTAAACTGCATCAGCAAATTCAATTTGGCTCTAATTTACGCGAAACCGGTTTTTAAACTACGTCAAAGGAACTAGATAATAACTTTTTTTATTATTAACTGATTAAATTAAAAAAACTATAGTTTCCGAAATAGAGCGATTATTTTCATGTCGCGAAACAGATTTCAAAATTTTTGAAAAAAATTAGGACTTTTTAGAAAAAAATCTTCAGCTCTTTTTGAGAAAAAAAGTTAAAGATCTGAAACCGGTTTAGAAAAAAATGCGCAATTTAAAGCTCCACAAGATGTACCCATAGAGAGGCGGATCACATAAATGCAAGAAATAGAAAAAAGTAAAAAACCAATGAAAAAAGTGAAGAAATTCAATTTTTGCATCAGAAACGATGAGAAGGGCGCAATAATGCGCCACGGATAATATGCCGCTGGGACCCAAAATTTCGCATTTTTTTTCATTGCGCGGAACACCGTGAATATAGCAAAAAAAAAAGAGAAAAAAAAGTTATTCAAAAAAAAACTTAACAAACGCATTTCGGCAAAAGCCTGAGCTTCCCAATAAGACAATCTTTCATTTCATACATCCGTCTGCATCGTCCGTATCGTCCGCATTTTTGAAATTTGGCTTTAAAAAAAATTAAAAAAATTTAAAATTTCAAGTCGCCTTTTAAGAGGCTACTCGCGGCTTAATGCATTAGAGCGCGTTTGACCGTCGATGACGCTTCTTTGAACCGAATTCCACCAATCGAATCCTACTAGTAGGGGCTACTTCGTTTTTATTAAGCCTATTTATCTTTATTTGCTGCGTTTTAATATATAAAACTAATAAAAGCTCATTTATACCAACTCTCCTAATCAATGTGTGTACATTTTTGAAAGTGTTTCTGAGGTTATTTTAGTCTCAGTTGGGCTAAAACGGGGGAACAACGGGTGTAAGAAAAATAGGTAACCCAGCTGGGCTAAAGCGGGGTCTCAGTTGCACTAAGAATAACTGCCGAGATAAACGCGAGACACTGGCGGTACGTTGACGAGCTCGCAAATATCTCGCTTTTTTTCTCGCGCCGGTCTCGCATTTTTCTGGGCGCGAGCTCGCATTTTTCTAGGCGCGAGCTCGCATTTCTCTCGCAATTTGAAAATTTCCGAAATGCAAGATAAATGCGAGATGGCGCCGAGAAAAATGCGAGGTCGCGCCGAGACAAATGCGAGATCGCGCCTAGAAAAAAGCGACATTTTTGCGAGTTCGTCAATGTACCGCCACCGACCTCGCGTTTATCTCGTCAGTTATTCTTAGTGTGGGCTAAAAAGTGCCAAAAGTTCTATCAGCTGGGCTTATACGGGTTTAATACGGGGGCACCCGCGGAGACCCCGTGTTAGCACGGCGGGGTTACCCTGCTCAGCATGCGAGTTTTATAACGGAGTTTTTTTGAATTAAAATTTTCAGTTAATAAAGAGCAGCTTTGGACTTAATACAATATTGTAATAGCAGAAACAAACGTTTTTGTACCACAAGTTCATTTTTCGTCCACCGTTTTTCTTTATATAAGCTTTGTCAAGTTATACGTTTTACGATGCGAATTATTGCATTATTGAAGGATCTCTGTAAATTAGGAACATGATAGATTTGAAAATAGATGTTTTTCAAACGATACTCAAAAATTTTCTTCTGCTTAACTAACTTTTTGGTTTTGCTGCCATGTACATTATTACATTTCTCTGTGAATTTCTTGACATTCACTTTTTAGGCTGAGTTCAAGATGACGGGTACAACGGAAACCGAACCCTTGGTTGTCGTTAACAAATGGGATGGCCCAACCGTCAAAAACCATCTCGACGATACGGTTAAAAAGGTTTTTTTTTATTTTGTTATGTATCTTGCAATGTGAATCAGAGTGAGTTATTAGAATCATAGTCTCAATACAGTAAAGATAACTGCCGAGTTTGGCGCGAGAGAAATGCGAGATCGGTGGCGTTACATTGACGAACTCTCACAAATCTCGCGCCGGTCTCGCATTTTTCTAGGCGGAGCTCGTATTTCTCTCGCAATTTGCAAATTTTCGAAATGCTAGGTCGCGCCGGTAAATATGCGAGGTCGCATCTAGAAATAAGCGGCACGTTTGCGAGTTCGCAATGTACCGCCGCTGACCTCGTTTATCTCGCAGTTATTCTTAGTGTAGAAGTTCCACTGTGAGCTGGGGACTACCTCTTATATTTTTCAATCTGTCACAATACGAAAAAGGATTCTTTTAAACTTAGTCATCAAAGCCAAGTGTGAAGGCTCGTATACCAAGTTGAATTCAAAAAGAAAGCAGCATACAAAATCGATTCTCTTGGCCATGTTTCGCCAACTTTCTGTATGGTTGAATTTTTTTTCTCAGAACGCCAGCAACTGAAGTCATTTTTAAGATCCTGAACGACAAAATCGGCTGGAAAGAGTACCATTCGTTGATGGACGGCCGCATTCTCATCTCTTTCATAGGCGTTGCTTTCTCTGCTTTCGGGATAGCGTACGATTTCTATCACCCGTTCCCCCAGTCGAAGATGGTTACGTGTTTCTTTCTCGTTTCATTCTTTTTCCTTCTCAAGGTTCTCGCGGTCTGCTCCGTTTCGTACTTCATCTGCATGGGAGTTCTCCAGCTGTACGTGTGGTACGTGGAGAAAGAATGCTTCTACCAGGCCACCGAGTCCGATGGCCAGCAAAAACGCGTGTGGAAGTGGTGCTCCGAAATGAAACAGTATGTTCCAATTTTTCAGTTTTCGGGTTCATTAAAACTAGTACCTACACTGAGAATTAATTCGTGCGGTCGAGGTGTTAGAAAAAAACGAGATTCTTGATATTGAATACTTTTTTTCCTTATAAACAATCATTTTTTGAAAAAAAAAAATACATTTCCAACTATTTTCATTGTCAGATATGACGATAAGTACTCGCTTTCTGCCGAGTTCGTGAAAGAAAGCCGATCTGGTCGAGGAAAGATCACAAAGTCGATCGGAATGTACATTGACCAGGACGGCGAGGTTCGTTGAGAATCCAGTATTTTTATACGCAGTTATTTTTCTTTAGATTGTCGTACCACTGCTGCAAAAGGAAGTCGATGATTTGTACAACCGGCTCCTAAGGGGGGAACACTAAGTTAAACTCTCAACAAACGTTTAATAACTACTTTAATGGTTTCCCTACTTGTTACTTCTGCATACTATCTGTCTAAATGTTCACTATCATTTTTTGGGTTTTTACGTTGGACGTGTTTATTTATTTCATTAAAAACTTTAAAAATTGTTTTGCATCACAAGGATGAAATCCGCAAACATATTCACATGAAGGTTTAGGGAGTTTTTGGGAGCACCAAAGTATTAGTAAATGGAATACAAAATGAAAAATTTTTGAGCAAAAAGAGTTAACAAAGAAATAAAGCACATGAGGTATTACCATACGAGATTTTAAGGCTATAAGCTTGAAAGTGTGATGGATAAGTGAAAAAATGCAACAAAAATATGCTAAGTATGAATCGAAGAAGAAAGTTCTAATCTGAAAGGGTCACTAAATAGAGAAGGACTTTCTCGGAAGTTGAGATCTTCATTTGGATTATTAGAAGACGGAGGCTGTTGATCCCAACTCGAGTGCGACTTTTGAGAGGCGATGCGTTCGTGCATGTCGATGTCGTCGCCTCGCGAAGATTCTGTGTTCGAGCCGAAATCTCTGTCTGCTTCGACGGCCGACAACTCTTCTTCAGCTACTAAAATCGATCGAAAATTCAAATCGGAAAAATCAAGAAAATATACAAAGCAGGTCGTTGCGATGGCCAACGATGTTTTCGGGGTAATCCTCGTCTGGTGGGAGATTCCGCAGGATTTGCCCAATCTTATTGAGACGTAAAGGAGCACTTGCACAATGGCCGTTGCTTGACGAAGGACTCATGGGAGCCGAAGACCGCCATGAGCCAAAAGTTCTGCAACAGAGAGAATTTCGAACCGATAAATGACACGAAAGCTGATCCACACCTGGTGAAAGGCGGTAAAGTTATCTGTTTATCAAAATGTCTTTGTATTAAAATTCAAGTAAAAAAAGAAAGGTATCTTTTGGAGTATAAAATAGGCTTTAGGAGGAAAACTGGTCGATTTTTTACAGTACAAATAAAGATTTATACGAACAAATGTGTTGAGAGTTGTGCTGCCTGCAAATTAAATGGCACAAAACAAGTCTGCGCCTGAAAGTTGAGATTTAATCAAAGTGGCGAAATCTGCGATTTCCACAAAAAAACTTGAAAAAAAACTGTTGACAAATCTCGCTTATGATTTTCAATTAACACATGCAAAATCAAAAGGTCTCAAAAAAAACTTTTTGAGAAAAAAAAACCTCAAAGGCGCCTTTTTTCTAGACCTTTTAAGGAGGTGTAAAAAAAGGCGGAAAAAAGATGGGAAAAAGAGATTCTGAGAAACTTTTGACACCTTTTTAGGTACTCAAAAAGGAGTTTTAGGCTTTTCTTTTCAAGGCCTTTTTGAGGTCGTTTAGACTTTGCCTGTGTAAGAAAAAATAACATTTTATACATTTTTTGTCCACCATTCCATTACTGTCTTTCAGACACTTCAATGAGCTGTTAACAATGAAAAATACCGTAGCGGATAGCCCTCTCCGTCTCTGAAGCAGTCTTGAATGTGCCTATTGGAAAGCGAAGAAAGGGACTCTGCGTAGATGTTGTCCGCAACTGTTTCCTCGAAAATCTCCCCTCTGAGAAGATGACGATCATATGAAAAATAATAACCTCATACCTGTTTCTGGGATCGAAAAGCAGCTGATTTTCTTGTTGACAAACACTATCTCGGGACCTTCAACAGTTTCAAACGATCGAAAAATTTATAAAAGTTCGAAATACCTCATACTGTTCGAATCACGTTCGTCAGCTTCTGTTATTCTGTTGAGGGCTCCGTATATCCTTTTACTGCTTTTCCGCTTGCGCTTTTCCTCCCTGGAAGCCTTCCTTATGGAAGAAATATAATAACGCAGTCATTTACCTGTAACTAGGCATATTGCCAAACTTGATGGACCTTTCGGGCTGGTCGTCGTCATTTTTTTCGTCGTTTGCAATCGGAATCTCTACGACGCTTTTCCTTCTGTAGCAGAACATCAAACAAACGAGGATCAGAAGTAGAATCATCCCCACCTGCGTTCAAAGTTTTTTTTTATGCACCCATCATAGAAGAACTTACGACAAGCAGAATAGCAAGAAGCGTGGCGGTCTCAAGGGTTGTCGTGATAGAAAGCGTCGGGATGATGGAGATTTTGTTTTTGGAATTTTCGGAGGTAGAACCAGCAATGCTGCTTGTGTTCGACCGCATATCACAAGCTTTTCCAGACCAACCAGAAAAGCAAACGCATTGCTGAACTCTCTCGATTTTAGCTCATGAATTTTTGAAAGGTTGATAAAACAATAATAATTTCGGTCTGCTATCTTTGAAAACAATTAAACCCGCGGAATACTTTCCATTATGAGCTTTTTATAAACAAGAAAGGTACTCTCTATAATTCTGTCGCCAAAGTCAATATACTTGGAACTATCGAAAATGGAACTCAAATAATCATTATGTGCAAGAAACTAATGTTAATAAGGTTTTTTTGAAGTTTTATTAAAAAGAGCACTTTTTGATACTTATTCTGATGACTGCACTGGCTAGCACCCTAACTGCATATCCAAATTCAACTAAAAAATTTTTTCCTGATTCACAATTTCACTACTTCGAGGAAAATGGAAGTGACCGTCAATTTTGTACAGGAAAGATCTAAAAGCTGCGAACACAGTCTAACACTCCCAGAAAACACTAGACATTGACTTCTCTTAATCATAATCGTTAGTATTCAAAAAAGTTTCGGTCGAATGTGAAATATTTCATGGAAATTGTGTATTGACTTGAAGGAAAGGAACAAAACAGACCTGTGTGGTGGTGCAGTGTCCATGTCCGGAGCACAGGAGCGCGAGGTTATTGGTTGGACAAGCGACGGCAGCGGAGACAGATGACATCTCGACGCAGGAGCCGTCGATGCACACGCGGCCGCTTCCACAATTCGCTCCGTTCATCACCATTCCTTCGACGGCGTGCGCGATTGACTTGCATTGGATCTGTGAAACGACCGAACTGAAAGGCCTCACACACACACACCCAAAAAACATCAAATTGAATTGAAGTTTCTCGCGTAAAAAATATATTTGGATATGGAGTTTTCAAGCCTCATTAAATATTTGAAGATGAGAAAGTTTCTGAGAAAGATCGCTATTGAAAAATTCAATAGTAAGGCTAGGGAAATTCTCCACCAAAATTATGAACATAAATGCATTCAACTTTATTCTTTATGACCAGTACTATAAAAAAGCTTGCTTTCAATTCTTTTAGTGGGAGCGAACTCGATATTATATAGAGAAGAAAAAAACCTGCTGTTGGTTTTGAGAAAAGTGGAAAGTGAACGCTTTGAAAGCAGCGTCTCTAGGAGCGACTTCCCCTCCTGAAACTCATTTCATGATCATCTTCTTTTCCGCACTATTACCTTGACAGTGCAAAGTGCCACACTGGACGTCCTCCCGGCGACAAGGACGGAATGAGCCGTCGCCGGACTGACCACAGCTGGCGAACTCGTGTCCACGGCTATTCTGCTCGAAGCAGGCGACGTCGGCGACTTTCGTCTGTTCTCCCCACAGCGAGACGCATTGCGAATGCGGCTCGCTGCAGTTGCCGCGCCAGCATTGGCCGTCCTGTCCGCAGACTGTTCCGTCGATGAGGTGGCCATCCGGTGGACATTCCCCAGAACTGCCGTCGCACATCTCCGTCACGTCGCAGGAAGATCGTGACGCGCGACACACTTCTCCCGCTTTTCGCAACTAGATTGAGGTCAGAACGTGAAAGCTTTCAGAGGAAAGTCATTCAAAGACACAAGTTGTCTACTTTTTTTTTCTCATTCCATACATAGAACAGTCATAGCTTATTAGCAAACAGAGGGAGTTTGAAAAAGAAAAACTATAGACTAACTTTTTTTATTCAACGACAGATTTCACAGACAATATTCAAATCTAATATTTTTTTTCTTTATTTTGTTGGCAGAAGAGAAAAAAACTTATTTTTAAGAACGTCATCACTAAAAGATAAATCGGAAAGGGTATGTGAAAACTGACTTGGCAACGGTTACAGCACTTGTGATGTGCCGCGCACTGAGCATGAGCCTTGAGAGTGCAGGTGAGAGGGTCGCAGCAAGGATCTGAGCAAGACTCGCGACTACCGCAGTCACACTCTTCGGACGCGTCCACCACTCCATTGCCACACTCCGTCAGTTCGGAGCCCTGAAAATTCATCAACTTGAAAAAAGTGCGCAAAGGAAGTGCACGTCATTCCGACACAAAAAAGTGAAAGACACATACTTGGAAGGGCTTGTTGAGCAAGCACTGTACATGGCCGTCTTGCCAAATACCGTGCATCCGCGCCACTGAGCACTTTGAGAACTGCCAGGCGAACGGTGAGCCAACGTAGCTGAAAGTTGATCCGAGATGAATGCTGTGACACAAGAGGTTGAAACCCCGGACGGGAGCGCATGACACATTGGGAGGAAGGTTCACAGGAGCAGGCGGCTGTGTCGTGTTCGAGGCCGAGGAGATGGCCGACTTGCTGCGAAATCAGCTCGCCAGTCCATTGCGTCGCGAAATCGTCTATTGCCTGCAATCGTAAGTGTCTTTGTTACTCAAAGGACTGAAAAAGCGGTAATATTCTAGCGAGAAAAAACTGAAATTCCCAGTTTAGCATTCTTCATTTTATTATTTTTTTATATTTATACCGTAAATAGAAAACATCCTTTTCTGCCACCCAATAGAAAAAAAACTCGCCAATCCTCATCATTTTTACCAATTGCACACACGGAGATTTTTTTGCCAAATGTTTCAAATTTTTTTATTGATTGAAGTTGAAGAATAAAACAAAACGGAATTGTATGACCAGGTTTTTTTTTTCCACGTGATTTAGTCCCAAAAATAATTCCGAAAAAGATCTTTTATCTCAAGTCAGTTTGATTTGTCAGAAATTGATGTGCTATTTGACGCTGATGCTAAAAAAAACTGAAAGCCTTCCAATTGATACAGGGATAACCGTGTTTAACAAACATCTCTTTCTTCTCTCAAGTCATTCGAGAAAGAAAAAGAAACGCGTCCAAATAATCATATAATTTTTTTTTCTTGTGAGGCACTTAGAAAACGTAAGAGAAGGGTATAAATTCTTGCCTTTACAAAAACAGCCGATCGTGCTGTACAAATGTTTCGAAACTCTGCACTCCCTGCCTCTGAATTGGCAAAAGATCCGCTTGTGAACAGTATCGTCGCATCCTTTTCTGAAAGAAAAAAAATCTATCCTTCCTGTATATTAACAAACTAACTAAATAAATACAACTTACGGATGTGATAAATATGACCAGCGATGTATTCGACGACGCCACTCAGAGTTCGCTGGGAATCCTCAAACAAGTCGATTCTTTGCGCATCCATCCAAAGTTCGACGTAAACGGCTGACAATCTGATGTTCAGATCTCTCGAGAGCATCTGTAACGCTTCTTTTTCCACTTGAAGTTTTTTTTTTCAAGTTTAGACCCATTTTTGAATTTGGAAAAAAATGTCCGAACAATTCGCCAGCGTCTTTTTGTCTTTTTCGAAGGGCACACACTTGTTTGCGCACAAACTTTCCTTCTTTTTCTACGGTTTATCGTAGTGTAACATTATTTTCTTTTTTTTTTTGAATGACAAGGCGAAATTCGCACAGGAGAAGTATTTCATGGCCGGTGGCAAATTTATTCAAAAAGCATTCAAATTTGTGACATTGCCGACTATATGCTGTTGTCGTTCAAGCCTTTTTCATTAAAAAAACACTTATTTTTAAATTGTTTTTCTAGAAAAAAATTATGTTTCATTTCCTGAATCGATAGGACTTTCGACTTACAAAATCGGCAATGTTGAGAGCTTCGAGCATGTACGTGATAGAGTCGCTCTCTGTCAGAGCTTGCTGCTTCACCTAAACTCCAAGAATGTACGCCATGAACAATCGCATTTACAAATCTGTAATTAATACCAAATGCGGGAAGACAAGCGCCAAGATGGCTTTACTATGATTGACATATTTCAGTGGGAGCCCTAAGACGCATCCCATTTGCATTTTCATGAGGCTATCTGAGCTCGCGGCGGCACAGCTGTGAAGGCATTCCCGCGGGAGACCGCCCGCTGTCAAACAATTCGACTCCACTCACAAACTCATGATCCGCAATTAACGCCACTTCCACGTATTTCGTCCGTTTGGAAACGTCGCGGTTGCGCAGCTTGTGCACCCTCTTCTTGTGTGCTGCGCGCCTAATCTGCAATCGGAAGTTGTCATTAGAGACGGACGTGCGACGTACCCTTGACTCGACTGATTGCGCCAAAGAGGTCCCGCAACGAGCGTCTTTTTTCCAATCCGTTCTCAAATTATCCCGTTTTAGCGGTTCATAAAACATTACAAAAAAAAGTTTTTGAATTTAAGCTAGCAGAAAATAAGATAGAAAAATCCAGTCTCGAACGGCTTGAAGGGCTATTTCATTGGTTTCTTACTTATAGAGTACGTGGGGATGTCTTTTGCCGCCTCTGTCGTTGGTGTCCAAAGGCCAAACGCCATATGTCGTACCGTTGGCGAAAGATATCACGCCTCTGGAAAGTATCCCAGCATTTTTCATTGGACCCTAGAGACACTCTTTCAGATTGTAAACTTACAGAAAAATTGGATAGGTCGGACTCGTTTCTAATGAATAAACCTGCCTTATGAGAATTTCTCTTCCAATTACTTTGAATTTAATTTTGGGTTCGGATTTACAGCTTGGTCATGTAAGAGAAATTTTTGAAAGTAGACTCGTTGAAAACTTTTTTGGCACTGCACGTATTCTAACGTGAATATCAGGGGTTATACTCGAAGCCGGATTAATTTTGACTATGTGAACGCAAGATCCACTATGTATACATTTAAAATAGGTTTTACAGTTGGCACGGTTTCTTTTTTTAAATGACTCGCTCATACCTGAGTCCATTGCAGGAGGAGAGTGCGACGAAAGAGGATTCTTCGCCGCCAACAGTGCCCTGGTAATAACAGTTCTCCACTCGCGGGTGCACGACTTTTTCCCCATCCGAATCTAGCTGCAATTTTCTTGAACTCAACATTTTGCTGCATATTTGAACTCACCTTCCGAAAACTTGTCTGGTTTACAAAAATGTAGTCATTTCTATCAAGTACCAGCTTCAACCGCCCGAGCGAATTACTCCGAATAACAATGGTAACATGCTCAAAGTGTTCTCGAGCTTTCAAAAAGTAGTTTCGAGTGTCTAAAGCTCTCAAATTTGAAAACAAACATCATTTTGCTACGAGCCTATGCCTATTCTTTCGTTTTTGTCCCTAATTTGAAAAGGATGAACAACTTCGTAGAACCCGTCTCGAACTGTTTCCATGAAAGCTTTATTTGCAGTTGTCTGCCGAATGTCCACTTCAAAAAGTTCTATTATGAAAAGCTTAAAATAAAAAAAAACCTTTGGCCTGAACAATGAAGACGAATATTAAAAGCAAAAGTGTTGCAGCCATCATCGCTTTCTTTTTTCGTACATTTCGAGCTGAATGATAGCACCTGGAATGAGAAAAAAAATCGATAATTTGAGTCCATATCTGAAAAAGTCGATAAACGAAGTGAAAGAAAAAAGAAAACCTAGAGAGTTATGCACCACGCAAATAAAGCTAGCAGTTAATCTGATACTATTGAAATGCAAATGAAAATATTCGCAATAATATTAAATGTTTTTTTTTTTCGAAAAGCTCCTTATTATTACATATATTCAAGTGTCGGAACGATTACACACTCTTAATATTAGCGAACAATCCGATTGTAAAAATTTGAGAATAACAGAAAAAAAAAAATATCCTAGAGATATATAAGCATTGATCATTGACGACGATAGAAATTAAAACAAAAAACCGAAAAAAAAAGTACAAAACCAAACGAACATAGGTGACTGAGGGCCGATGAAAGAAGAATGAAAAGATGGGAGATTTCCTCCGCTCGCCAAAGCATCTTTGGAGCACGCTCACATGAATAGTAAGGAGTATTTCACAATGTCCTGACTCACTCGAATATGCAGCTTCAACAGAAGCAGTCTCAATTCGTCGCTTTCAGAAAATGAAAAGATGTAATATTATTAAAAAAATTACACTCGATTTTTCCTAGCAAATTTTTTTAAAAAAAATTTAGTTCGTATTTTTAACAAGGACAAAACAAGGTGAAGAGTTTTGAGTTATTCAAAAAAACACAAAAAAACTCTTGAAGAAATCACAGTAATGTATGAGAAATTATCAAAGATAAGCAATAATGAAGAGGTTAGGGTGAAGGTGGTAAAATGGCGAAAACTGACCTCGATTGGCTTATGGGATGAGGGGAACGCTCATAAAAAGGCGAATCAATGCATAGAAGCAGATGTAGAAAAGGACGTACGCCACAAATTATAAAGGAGCCAAGATGAACGAAATGAAAGAATAATTATAAAGTGATTTTTATCGCGTATTAGGAAAGACGATAAAATATATTAGAACTCAAATAATTTATTACGCTTTACTCCTGAGAAGATTGAAGCTTCAATCCTTCATGAAGGAACTAATTGAAACGAAGGAACACAATATCAAAATTTCGACTGTGTTGGGGGAAAAGTTGCGCGAATATAAAGCTCCGGTCAAACTTCATTCGTTTCTATCATGAACCAAAGCGATATCTAGAGCAGAGAGATTCCCACTAAAAAAAACTGTATTTTATTTATTTGAAATAAATGAACAGTAAAAGGGCCCTCCCCTAGGGGAGGCGATTGTTTCAAAAATAATTATTTCGCGGCATAACGAGAAACGAGGCTGGATAATGAGAGAGGGTACGCAGAGAAAAACACAAACGCGCGTGGGGTGGGACGAAAACGCAGATTTAGATGCACTGTTGAGAAGGATTTGAATAATGAACTCGCACATGAAACTTTACGTTCTAAAATTATGTACGAGAACAGTTCAAACTACAGGAATAAGACATGAAGGTATTTCGTTTAGCTTGAGCAATTGAATCAGAAAATGAATTGCTTAATTTTTTATAATTTATTAATGACTGATTAAAAACCTAAAAATTTGCTTTTTTTAAACAAAATCAAAATCATCAAAAAAATATGGATATTTTTTTGAACAACTCAAATTACAAAAAAAGCTCTAAAACGGCTGTGAACGCGCTCGTCGACAGAAGGGTTGCGATTTTCGCAGAATTAAAAAAAATTTTCGATGTCTATCGACGGTTCAGAGATCATTTCGAGCAAAAATAATTTAAGATCTTTTTCACCTCACTTGCTCTTTTCGCGCTTTTGCGGCTTCGATGATGGTGCCTTTTCCAAAATGATTCCGCCAAATGCAAAATGACTGTCAGAGAGCGAAAACGATAACTTAATTTTCGGAGAGTCAGAGATAATTATCTCTGACTATAATTTTGATCCTGCTAAATTATATACTTTGACTTCAGATTGAAAAACTCTACGTTAAATTAAATTTTTTTAAAAAAATTAAAAAAATTTTTCAAGTTTAGAGGTGATTAAAAAAACTTTCATTTTTCGCTTATTTCACTGCTATAAACTTTTTTTGAGCATTTTTGTTGCGTTTCGGAACAATTTCCGTTTTGTCCGACACAGGCGAATCGTGAAGACCCCATAATGTGTCCATCGTGAGACCGCCGGCATACCTTTCAGCTATATCTGAATCATCTCGGAGATACTTCAGAGTCTCTCTCAACCCCCTCTCATTTTGCTCGAAATCCTCAGAGGTATCCTCGAGGTACCATCGTGAGACTTCAGAGCCTGCGATATACCTCTGAGGGTCCGGCGATACCTTTTCTCGATTCGCCTATGTAAGGTAAAAAATTACTTCGGGATAGTAACTTGGAATTATGATTTTTTATTGATAAGTTGAGATCTCTTCTGTATTATGGGGCGCATAAAGGCCGCCACAACTTTTTCTCTGGCTACGCTATTCCGTCGTTATCTCGCTGCGAGATTCAACGAAATATCGTAGATCAGAGAAAGATTTGTAGCGACTTTTATGCGCATATGCGCCCCATGTCACTCGGATCTTGGTAACGCGATCGGGACGCGGATCGGACGTGTCGGGGCATTTCTAATGACCACTTTAGTAGCCTCAGCACTCTTAAGTGACCCCCAGAACCGCCCAAAAACGTTCGTTTCGCGTTACCACAGGCTTGTGCGAGGGCCGGCCCGTCACCCTCCCGGCCCCCCGACCATTTCGTAAGCCCGGCCCGGCCTGGCCTTCGCGGGCCTCAAGAAAAAATGGCCCGCCCGGCCCGAATCGCGCAAAGTTTTTTCTAGTCGGATATTAAGTTTTTTTACGACAAAAATTACGTTTTTGCTCATTTTTTCTCTTAAAGTTTAACAAAAACTATGATTTCAGAAGTAAAAGTCACATTTCGGTGGAAACTTTTTAAATGAAATTTTAAATTTTTTTTGAAGCCCGGCTCGGCCTGAGCCCACGCGGGCTTTTTCCTGAAAATAAGGCCCAAAGCCCAGGCCGGCCCGGGCCAGGCCGCCCGGCCTGACGCACAAGCCTGCGTTACCAATGTCCGAGCAGAGATGCCTGCAGTTGTTTAGAGCGAACTTTCCCTACACTTGAGATTGAGAAAGGCAAAAAGGCGCTAGTGTACAACAGTGTTCGAAACACGCCGCAGAAATCGCCCATCGCGATGCAGAGAATACGAACTAATCAATACTTTTGAGTTCAAGGTATTCTCATTTCCTTTCTTGAAATTGAGAGATTTTTCTCAGTTCCGTGTTCTAATAAATTCTGTTCTTATTAGCTACATGTTAGTCAAAAGTCTCTGATACCTCGTAAACATTCTTTTCTTCGTAATTTCTTAATTTGAATTTCCAATTATTCTTTTTTTTTCTTGCAGACCTTTTTCGAATTTTCTGCCGGGTTTTTTGAACAGCAATAGCATATTCGATCAAGGTCTTAGGGCGAAAAGCCGTTTCCAACATTGTAAATGTTGTTGTAAACATGCTCTTGTATTTTCAAACTCTTAAGAAGCTATTTTTCAATTGTTGTTACAGTTGTTCCGTAGAATTGATATAAATTTCTATTTAAACCATAAAATTTTCTGAAAGTCAGAAGCCCTCTACACTGTACACTCTTTTTTTCGCTGCACTTTCATTTTTCATTGGAAAGGTGTTGCAAAGTGGGCAGATGACATTTCTTGAGACAGGAGACGTTATTTATTATATGTATAAAGAATTTTTTTCTTTTTTTGTTATGTTTCAAAAAAAAATTTTTTTCATCATTACCTCTAAAAATAATCATCGGTCTGTTAGCATCAAACAGGCTTTTTCAACAAACAAAAATCAAACATCGTGTTTATTCGATTCTAGTGTACATTTAAAAAAAAAAATCGGAATGTTGATTGAAAAATTTCCTTGCTTTCTAAAAACTTCTCAGCATCTCTCCACCTTTTAAAAAGTCTCACACTTCTTTTGGCGAGACCGATTCTTCAAGGATGATTCAAGAAGCTTTCATGGAAATTTTTTTATGTATTACAGATAATTTTAAGAAGGTTAGAAGCGCGTTTAATAGTCAATTTTTCTTGAGTCGCCTCTTGTCGCATCGCAAAATGCTGTAACTGATTTTTGTGGTAGCCAGTTATTGTTTTTCCACTAGGGGAAAAAATGAAAGGTTTAGACGAATTTCAGCAAAAAACAGGACTTTCAAAATTAATCTTTACTCAATTCTTGTTTATACGCGTTGTCTATTTTTTTTTTTTCGTTCATTGTCTTCGTCACATGAATTTTGCAACTCGATTAAGTTCAAGAATTAAATAAAGTATGTTCCAGGTAAAATGGCCTCTCTCGCTTTAAAAACCGTAGCTCGTTTGGCCCAAGCAGGTCGCACAGTCCGAGCTATATCTACCACTGTGCCGGCTGCTAGTGGACATGACGACATCATGGAAAAGTGGCCTGCTGACAGTAATTATTTTTTTCAATCTGTTATATCATAAAAACGTTTCAGAGTTTGACAAACATTTCATCGATTATCTTAGCCGGCCAGAGATCGACGGCTGGGAAGTAAGAAAAGGTTCGTACTGATAAAAAGTATTTTCGCTTCACGAAACTTTTAAGCTCTTACGGAGCTTCATGACTACGACGTCATCCCCGACCCCAAGGTCGTAGAGGCTGCTCTTCGTGCGTGTCGTCGCGTGAATGACTACGCTCTGACGCTCAGATTCTTGGAAGCTCTGAAGATCAAGTGCGGCACTCAGAAAAACCGCGAAACAATTTACCCATACATCATTCAGCAGGTGTGATTCATCTCATTCAGTCTTAGTTTGAGATTAATTTGTTTACTTACACGTGTTAGTTTTCAGATTCAGTAAAAAGCATAATAACTCAGTTCAATAACATATATTCAAGCTTTTTTTTCCATTTTTTATAGAATCACTAAAATAAATAGTAGATTATCAATTGTTATTTCAAAGGTGAAACCAGTCCTCGACGAGCTTGGCATCTCCACGCCAGAAGAGCTTGGTTACGATAAGCCGGAACTTTTCATTCCACAACCGGAATATTGGTGGGAAAAGAAATGGTGAGTTGAAATATTCAGCTCTTCTTTTTATTAAATCTTCTCTGTGATAAAAAAATATGATACGATTAGATCTTTTTTTCATAAGTTTTTATAAATTTATTTTTGGTCGTAGAAGAAACAGTTATTCCGATTGCTGATTTATTTTTATATATCAAAAAAAAAGTTAAGAGATTCATACTCACCGCGTGGTTCTTATTTTATTATGCTAAATCTTTCAAAATATAATCAATTCATAAGATTTTTTTAACCGGTTATCAATCAAATGTTCAGCATTTAGCTTTGAATCAGTGAAACAAAATTTGCAGTTAATCAAAAAAACAAGGTGAAAAAAACGTAATCTTTTTCATGGTTTTTTTAAAATTTTTTTATTTTGGAAAGTTTGATTTCGATTAACGAAGGTATCACAAAAAAAAGTATATTCAAGAAAATCAGGCTTCAAAAATCTTCAAATAAGTTAAAAAAACTTATGGATTCGTGATAATTAAGCTCACATTTTTGAGCCCCTCTACTAGGAAAAGTTTTTTTCGCTGGAAAATTGAAGCCTTTTGCAATGAAGGGAAAATTATTTTCCAAAATTTGGTTGAAATACGAAAAATATTTTAATTAGTCTTTTTCACACGGAATTTGTTTTTTCCCTATCCGAATCTTCTCTAATTCCTTGTTACATCAGATAACGTCGAAATCAATGATATCCTAGTGTCTTTTAGGGTTTTTCTGTTCTCAGTAAAATGGCGGAAAATCATTGCATAAGGCCTCTAACAAGTGGGATCATTTTACTTTGCGGTTGAGATTTTTCTGAAAACTGGCCAGAACACTCCTTGATGTAATAAAAAAAAGATTCTGAAAGTTTCAATTTACTCAACTTTCTCGTTTTTGAGAAAAGACACCTCAAAGTTAAGGAAAACCTCAAAATCTATTAAAAAGGCCGTTTTGGGGCTTTAGAAACTTTTTTTCTTTTGAAAAGTAGGAAGTTGTGCAGCTTGAGACTTTAAGGAATTTTGTCTGGTGAAACAAGGAGTTTTCTGGCCGATTTTTATGATATCCCAACCACAAAGTAACAGGATTTCCCTTGTACAGAAAAAAAAAATGAGAAGCGAAAGTTCACTCCACGGATAACATTCTAGAGATTGAATCGTTGCTTTTTCTCTATGTTCTTTAATACTAATTATTAAATTGATATACATATATCATAAACGTAAAAACCGAAAGAAGCTCGAATCGAATCTCTTTGAGTTTGCTCCTCAAATGACTTTTTCTGCTTCTAGTTTTAATTTTCCCAATATAAAATACTGCCAAAAATGAGCTCATAACGACAAGGAATGACGAAATTGCTCAACCCCCTAGAATTAACTTTTGGAAAAGGAAGTTTCGAAAATCGATTCGATAAAAAAAAAACCTGCGAAAATTCAACTTCGTATTTTGCTCGATAGAATCCGTACTTTGACCGTGGACACATTTTAATATTTTGGTCGAACTCTTTTGAAAAGTTTTCATCAGATATATATAGAATTTTTAAAGATTTCTTTACTTATCAACGATAATTTTTTTTATAAACAATTTAAAAAAAACGCATAAATTCTTGATTTTTTTTCAGGTACGCCGACTACGGAATGGATAAGAAACCAAACTTCCAAATTTAATTACCTTCGAGTAGAGTAATAGTTCGCGAAATATGATAAATGTTTCACTGGTTTTTTAATACCATTGTTTATGACTTGAGCAGTATAAATTTTGAGTTCAAAATAACAGCAATTTTATTTCGCATTCATTATTTGTTTTTTTCTTATTCATTCTTTGAGAAGACAGTAATCGAGTAGGTACCGCTTGAAAAGTTCCGCGGTTATTCCGTGGGAACATCTTTAGGCTTAACAAACCTTTTTTGGTTCGTGTCGAAACGAAATTTGTTCAACATGACTGGAAAGATAACTAGAGAAAGGGAAAAGCCACGAAATTTCGTCTGAATTTTTTACTCAAATGGTTCGGAATAAAAAGAGTCTGTTGGCTGAATATTGAAAGCTGTTGAAAGCTTGCATTTGTATGAGGACACGCGTGAAAGGTTAAAACGACGGAGATGGATGAGGCTGGCGGGTGAGGTGGGCTGAGTCCCCGGAAACATTCTAGAAATGGAGATCGAGAGTTCGTGAGTAATCGAGTGCTTTCCTAGTTCAATAAAAATTAGAGCGTTGTCAAAGTAAAAAAAACAAACGTTGATTGATTTTCAAAACAAGGATTCAGACTCTTCTGAGAGATAATCGAGTATGTCAGATTTAATTGAAAAGGTGTTGCAAAAGAAAAAAAACCACTTCGAGAAAATGTTCGCGTTGGCTTAGAAAAATATTTTCTTTTTTTGGAGAATCTTCGTTTTTTTTTTTTGAGGTTGTTTAGGAAATAAGTAAGGCGTTCAAGAAATTATATGTGTAGCATTGAAAAAAGAGGAAAAAAAAAGACTAGAAATCGAGTACCATCTTTTTAGTTTTGAATATTTTTGAAACTTTGTATACTTTTTTCGGCGGAAGGCTTGAGAAAATAGCTCAACCTCGATAGGGATTGAAAAAACTTTTTACAAACAGTTATTCAGTTTTAGGAGAAGATTTTCTGCTAAATCATGCGAGAGTTAAGGATTTCGTGTAAAGTCTTCGCTCGAAGTGGTCGCGCTCATTTTGAAGCGTCCACGTAGAGCACGGTCTCTGGGCTCCAGCGGAGGATCATATGACCACGCTTTGAACTCGATCAACTAAACGGTCGGACTTCTAGTTCGCCAAAGGTGGTTGTTCGATATTGCTTTTAATTTTATTTCTAATCACATTTGTGACTGAAACTACTTAATAAATGCGCTTTTAAATTTATTTAACTACAGTTACTTTTGAGTGCAGAAATATAATATTTTATCGGCAATTTTTCCAAAGCCTACTCAGAAAAGGGCAGCTTATCGGTTTCCGGAGAAAATATCTTGTGATTTTTTGCGATTTTCTATTTGTGATGCTAATCCTTGGTTGGATCTGGGTGAAATTCTCATCAAAGAGGGATTCAGTCTGAGCTGGATTGTTTTGGCTGCCGGTACGGATCCACCAGTGGCACGACATCAACAAAGACTGCGAAGCCGCAATTAGAGGCTACGGTCGGAGTCTGACGGATCGTGGACGGCTCCGCCCTCCGGCAGCTCACAACATGATGTGTGTGCCCTCCGCGTGGCTGCTCGCCGTCGGTCTCGCTGTCGTCGTCGCCCAGGACGCCGCCCCCAAGGACTGCCAATCTGTGAGCTTTTCCTTTGGATCTCGAACCCTTTCCCTAGCATAATAATCGTATGAAACAGGTCTGCTAAAAACTTCAGAGTCAGAATTTGAAGAACCGAGTCGTCTCTCAAGACGTCTTTGTAATAATGAAACTCGCTTGAATTTGTTTGTGTTCGGTAGCCAAGCTGTACAGAACACAATCCACTTTCCAAGCCTGCGCTCATTTTTAATTTTAATTCTAGAATTAACACTATTTTCGTAACTGGATTTTTCGGCAGGAAGCTGGAAGTGACAACAACGTTTAGCAATTTTTCAGTTCAACAGAGGAGTCTCTTTTAACAAACTTAAATCAAACAAGATTCGAAAATTTTTTCGATTCCTCAAACCTTTTACATTCGAAAACTTTTTCTAGATGGAAACAGCGAACAAGTTTTGAAAAAATGCGACATCCAAATGGATAGGAATTTTGAACTTGGAAACGAAGTTTATCTGATTGCATTTTGTTGAAAAAGAAGAAGGGAAACGTCGAGAAAGAGAAAGAACAACGGATAACTACGTTTCGGGTCAATTAGTCCACAACTCGAAACGTTAAGTCTTCCCAGTTTCAGAAATAAGATGCAACCCTGCAAGCTGGAATTCTTTCCTGGAACTTGAAATTATTCACAGCATTCAAAAAGGAAAAGGGAGCTTTTCGGCCATATGTTGCACGCGGAAGAACGTTTTCGTGCTTCCTTTCAGAATTTATGACCTCCACGATTAATTGATATCAGCTTCCAATCTTGCAGAGATGTTCCCAACACTTCGGAAAAACAAAAAGTCATAAGACAGCTTCGGGGAGATCGAAATGATTGAAAAGGGTACATAGCGCTTCCTTCGCAAAAAAGGCAGTCGTTTTCTGTTAATTTGGTATCCCCGCGTGCCTTGACGGGAGACCTTCCTTTCGAATAAGAGCTAATCAACAATCAAGATGTTTTTGAAGATTCTGGCAAACGACGGCGACCAGCAGGACATCCTTCTGTGCCAGCTGAGCGAGAGCAGCACTCTCCTCGCGCAGCTGGGAGCCCTCGTCTCCGAGGGGATGGAGCGACTCATCCAGAACCGCGGTAAATTCAGAGAACGCGAGTCTTGCTCGGACGCTTATGAATAATATTTCTCACAAAAGAGATGAGCTTGGTATCGCAATATACTGTTTAGAAAGTGGGTCTGTGGACGAGGAACCCTTCGGTGTGAAATACGTCTGCTTGCTAATGGATTCATTAGCAAAAGACTGGAAAACACCTATTTATTCTGCAAAGAACTTCTTCTTCTTTTTCGAGTGTTGGCGCCTTTGAAGCCAAATGGATATGGTGGCAATAGTCCGTAAATACTTGAAACTGGCTTTAAACTGCTTTGCAAGTCAATCCGTGGCTTCGGCTCTCCGAATATCGGATATCAAGCTGCTCATTAAATGATACCGGTATGATAGATTCGCACAGTTCTCAACTCGAAAAACCGCTTCTCAGAGCCATCATAATTATTAAGCATTGCTGTCTCTGAAGGGCGGATCCAGCCAATCAAAAACGTGATTCGCGCTTGAGAAGGCTTACGTGAATTATCTATAACAACACGCTTTTTTCAGATCAATTTCTTGCTCTGTCAAATGAGATGGAACAATGATACACTGCTCCAACATATCATTTTGCCCCCCAGGATAACATTTATATTTCGCCGCCTCACTGAATTTCAGGAGGGGAGCGGGAAACGGAATTGACGCTTCGGATATGGACAAGGAATTCATTATTTGAGAAAGAAACCAATGCCGTGTTCAAAGTAATTTCGCGAAATGCAAAATGATCTCTGACTCTCCAAAATTTAGTTATATTTTTCTTTCTCTGACGGCTATTTTGCATTTCGCGAAATTACTTTGAACACGGCACAAAGTTGAGAAATACCATTTTCTATTTTTCAACAATCGAAAGGTTCCATGTACGCAGTAAGTCATTCGACTCAAAGTTTTCGAATCCTTCCGCCTGAAAATTTTTCTGAAAGACTCAAAGGTAGCTTTTCTGGATATCAAGCAACACTATTTCTGCAACAAAAAAAAAGAAATATTTTTACAGATTGCAACTTTCAACGTCTTCATGTAATTTGTGAAAACAGGGCTTCATACTATTTCTATATGACTCATGAGATCATTATATAAATAAATGTTCAGCTCCCAAAAACTAGAATTCTTCTCCTTTTACTGAAAATTTTCACCAGGGATCGCGCTTCCTGAAGAACCAGCCGCCATTGACGGCTCCGAAAATGGAATGGAGAAACGAAAACACGAATATCTGCGGTTTGGCAAGAGAAAGCACGAGTACCTGCGGTTCGGCAAGAGGAAGCACGAGTATTTGCGGTAAGCGCGAGTCTTGGGCGACGGTCATCGACAGTTTCAGGTTCGGCAAGAGGAAGCACGAGTACCTGCGTTTTGGGCGGAAGTGAGCGGCCTATACATTTCTCATTATGCGACATTTGCGTAATAAACTCGTTGCTCTAGTTGTATTATCTTGTTTCAATCAGTCAGTTAGAAGATGGCTATCTCTCAACATCATCGTCTTTTATACAAAAATGAAGATCAGGAGAAAAAAAGATTGCAATAATCACAGATAAATTGAAATTCAACAGTCTGTATTGAATGAAAAAAAAGTGAAATCGATTCGCAAAAAGAAGAGCCTGATTTCCAAGTGGTTCTTTCACCGTCAGAATCGAAGCAACTTTTTTGATTTGGTCGAAAAAGTGCGCCCCTCTTGTTTAAATATATTGGAAAATTTTCTTTCTACAAAGAGCACGCGAAATGTATTCTGCCTCAGGTAAGAAAGAAAATTAGATAGAGAAAACAGAAATTCAGATTAAAAGAGTGTACTTGAGCAGAGAAAAAAATGCATTCGAATTGGGATTGAAAAACTTCTGAGAAGCGCCTGAGGTTTCATCAAGTAGTCAAAAAATGATTAGGAAATTTTTTAGTGATTTATTCATCGGACGTAGCCTCGGTCATACTTCCCGTAGCGGTTGCGGCGCTGTAGGATTTTCTCGTTAATGACGTTGAGAGCGAAAATGGCGGCGATTCCAAGAAAACAGCCAGTGTTCAGACCGGCCATTGCCTTAAAATGTCTATTGCAGAATGTGGACTTGAAAATATCAACGACTAGTGAAAGATGAAAACTGTGAACAAGTGAATCAGAGAAAAACGCACACCAATCCAGCCGAACCGCTCCCCCGTCTCGATGATAGTGCGCTGAGAGATGGTGCCGCCAATACCGATGATGATGAGCCAGCCCATAATTCCGGCAGTGGCGAAGATGACCTCCTGCAATAAGCTTTTTTATGGCGGCACACAAATAGATTGCAATGTTTCTCCTGGCTGAAATAATAACAAATAGATTGAAAAAGCGACAGAAGTCTTTTTGGGCATGTTGCCACAGTAGTGATGACCACACTTACTAAGCCAAACATTGTCCGACAGAGCGGAAAACGGGAAAAACAAATAAACAGTCGCGCAGCACCTATTACTTATTTCCAGGATGATCACATGCAGCTCGAAGATCTCACGAAAAAATGGTCTTCGGATAACGTTTAACGGTCAGAAGAAAAGGTCTATGCCAAAATATCAATACTACAAAAGTACACAGATGTCAGAGCAAAACCATCGAATGGCCGTATTCTTCATATATTATTTTTAGTGGACTCGTAATAGCCTGACTTCTGATATTTCTGGAAATCTGCCGAGATTTTTTTTCGAAGCTCATCATTCTTAATAACCAAAAAATTATTCTCGTTTCGTATCTTTGCGGGAGAGACTGGAAAATTTTGTTTTTGTTTGAGCTAAATTCAAAATTTATATTTACAAGTCTGCAAAAAATTCTCAAAGTTCAACTAATTGAAAATTATGAAAATCTTATAATTGAATTTAGCACTATTTAATTAATTTTCATTCCCTAAAAAGGGTCATTGTCTTTTTTTTCGAACCGTTTAACAAAAAAATTTAAACGCGGACCTCGATAACGAAAACCGGACGTTTCTGAAAAATCCTATGGGATCACATAAGAGTGCTGACGCTACTAACGTGGTCATGCCACGACGTCCGGTACCAAGGTCCGAATAGTTAAAATGAACAAGAGACAAACCGAAAGGGCGCAGTTGGTCATTGGAGTGTCTTCGCCTCGCTTCGTCAGCATAAAGTACATGATGACGGAGACGATGCAGTAGAGCAACGTCAGGGCGCAGACAATGTAGATGAGCACGATCTCATAATTGATCGAGATGTAGGCCGTGACATAGGCCGGGTCTAGCAGGATCAGCACTACGATCGTCAGAAGCTGCAACTCTTCCGGCTCTTCACTTGATTTGTTTTTTCATAAATTCTGGTTTGTCGGAAAACGTTTTCCAAATGTCCCGGAATCCTAATTTATGAGATCAACTTCTTGAGATCTACCTGGGATGATACTCATGAAGGAGCCCCGATTAAAAAAATTTTTTCGAATTACCTACGAGCTGATTGAGACCTTTGAAATTTGAAATAGTTCAAACCACGTATATAGAGAAAAATGTTTGAACCGATTCGTTATTCAAGTGGGAAACTGCTTTCCTTCAACAGTCCTACTCTTGTTCATATGCGCCATGTAAATATACTGGATTGAAAATCTAGCCTCATTAAGAACGATTGAGTGAAAAAGAAATAACAAGAGGCCATACCCATGGCCCATACGCAAGAAAAGGGTAAAGCCTAATCGCCAATTAATTTTAAAATCCTTAGACCCCGTATGTAAGACTATAGAGTTCTGTTTATGAATAAACTTATACTGACTTCGGAAGAGTTAGTTTGAGCCACTACCATTTTTGGTTAAACCATAGTAAACGCATGCACTGCTTTTTCGACTACGGTCTCAGATTTCGAAAGATGATAAGAAAGAACTGGCTGACTCAGATATTTTTCATCCCATTCGGCTTGAAATCGATAACCGTACTTTTCCCGATGAAATCGAATGGCGAATGTCAAAACAAAAAAAAAGATCAAAATGACAAATTTAAAACTGTGAGAAAATATTACGAACGAGGTTTGTCAAAGAACTAATTGAATTCTTTCCTGCCAGTCGATCCTGCCTCGCAGTTACAGTAAGTTATGCATATCAAGAGAACGGAACACTCACTACGATGAGCACTTTGATGGCGGAACAAATCAGAAGCTGATTGGGAATCGCCATGATGACAAAATTCCCTGGAAGGACTCGTACAGCAGGGTGGCCGCGGCGCCGAGAAGAAGAAGCGTTGTTTCGCGCAAGGGCGGGCTCTGACTCATGAGCAAACAGTCACTGCGTCTCGTCGACCAGCATGCTCCCTTCCCTCTTGCATAATAATCGATACGCAAATTCCCACCGACGGTTCGGGTCCGTTCATTCATGTACACAAGGCAAAACATCGCCTCAAAGACTATCGGCTTTCGAATTTTTTCAAAATCAAAAAGAAAAGGTTTTTTCTAAACGATCACTTATGGATCTGAAAAACTCGGAAAGTTTGAAAAAATTGAAAAGCTTATATTTGATTGGCTATAAATGCATATTTTTCCATGAGATTGCAAAGTCTATAAAATAATTTTTTTTTTTTCAAAAAGTTCGAGTAGCCTACTATAGTCTGTTCAGATTTCGAATGTCAAGCAACTAATTCCACCCCCAAGGCTACAATATCTTTCGCGTCAATGTTTTATGTACTGGTGACGATGGCCCTTAAATAAGCCTGCATTTTTTGGCTTCTTTTTTATCCTTTAAATCAAAAAAGAACAAAATCGTCCCTCGCGGTAAAACATCGACGCAAAAAGGTACCGTCTCAGCAAGGGCGGATTTAGTTAGTTGGCATTCAAAGTTCAGTTGATTTTCTCTCGAAAATGTATTGGAGTTTACAGGACACTCGATTTGTGAAAGTTCTTGATGTTCAAGGTTGGGTTTTCTGATAACGGCTCCAACCGAAGCTGCTGATCAGATAGGGGCTTCCCTGGGCGACCGCAGCGATTACATTGCTGAAATACTTCGTTCTAGTTACTCGATTTTATGTAAAAACTTTTATTTTTTCCACTAATCGACTTTTTTAATTATCTAAAGATTTGTTTTTTTCCAATTATTCTTTATTTCAGCCTATTTGAATTTTTCTGCTCAGCGGGTCGGGTCGCTGCTTGGAATGACAGGGCGTCCCATAAGCAGCTTTGGCTCAAAAATTTTTTTACTTGTTTTTTTAAAGCTGAAGAAAAAAATCCGTGAAAAAAATTTATATTATTAAAAAAATTATCAGCAGACTCTTCGATTAAACAAGAAAAAAAAATGAATAAAATTAATTATGATTACTGTTTCTACATAACTGGTGGAGCGAGACGACCTATAAATGCCACCGACTTTTGAATGAGAAGTCGAACTGGTTGTGGACATGCGGGAGCTCCGGCGACTTGGTCCAATGACGCTCGCATTTGAGAAAAAGCTTGTCTAAAAGGTTAGCCATTGAGCACAAACTTCATGAGGAAAAAAAGTCGAAAAATTGTGAAATTATGTATTTCTTGTGCAAAAAAAAAGGAAGAATTACTGACCTTGTACTAGGGTTTCTCCTTGAAGCGTAACGCAAAGTCAAGAAACGATAGTAGACGAAAGGAAGAAGAAGAGAGGCTTTTCCGCTGAAAGAAAGTAGTCCGATTTGAAAAAAAAAACCGTTCACGTCAAGATCATAGACACGAGGAGGGGAACTAGGAAAATTTCGGCACATGCAATGATGCCGAGGCAGTTCTGAGTTTGAGTCTGCACAAACTGCTCCAAGCGAAGAACGATTCCCGAGTGTCCATTGCCAGTTTCTTTCATCACTTTCACCTGCAAGTTCCCGAATATGATTAGTGGAAGGTTATAAAAGAACAACTCGAGTCAAATCTTAGGAATAAAAAACCAACTAGAAAACTGGCAGCTTGAAGAGACGCATAAAGAGAGACTGGCAGAAGAGCCATCGACATAGGAGATGCCATCAAGAAGACGACGGAGTAGATGAGATAGTGGAAAGAGTCTTCGACCACCAAGCTCATGAGGAACTCCCGAGAGAACGAGAATCCGTTAAGCCGTTGATGAAGTCTCAGGGCGAACGTTGCCGCAGCTGAATATACTAATTCAACGTGAATAAAAGAAAATTTTCACCGGCTGCAAAAGCTTTGTGGTACGCAGAAGCTGGAGAAACAATGGATAAGAAGGGTAGAAAGTATGAAAAGGAGAAGAAAACCGTCAGAACACGAGCGGCGAACATGCCACACACCAGTGTATGAGTAGAAACAAATTGCTGAAAAAAACATGAGCCGAATTTTCCATCTACACTAAAAATTGAGCCGTATGCAGAAGAGTGAAAAACAATTAACTTTGAATCAGTGAATTGCTCCAAATTGCATTCTAATAATCAAAACACACTCCTCTTCAATTTAAAAATTGTAAGAGCTTTTTAAACACAGTGGAACATTTATGGCGTGTTCATCGGACAAAACTAAAATTGCTTTAAATCGCAAAAAAACTGCTCCAAAACAAAAATTAGTACTGTTTTGGAGCAACTTTGGCGCGCCGACGAACACGATTTTTCGTTTGAAAGCATGTTTCGTTTCTCCGATGAACACGCCATTAGAGAAAAAATTTCGGCAGTTCCAAAATACTAGTTCACTACTTTTTTGCATAAAGCCTTCTTATGAGTTTCAATTCGAAAAAAAGCTTACCGATATAGTGACAAACTGAGCTTGGTTCTGTCTGGCACCACTCCCGTTTCGAGCTCTCGATGTTGACGGCCCACTGTTTTCAGCGTCGCTAGTTTCTTCCACGATCTCCACCATGATTCTGAATGTGTCTATTTTCCCGGTATTTCGCAAGATCACGGCTAAATTCAACCAAATTTAGATTGGCTGTAAATTATCAAGATGAGGACTTGAAACAGAACTACTTGAAATGAGGAATTTATATGACGCCAAACTGAAAGGAAAAATCGTCATGGTTACGTAGAAAGAGTGAAATAGAGAAAATAGAAAATACTTGAATTGGTGCATTAGAGCCCTAACTGGCCTCTTGAAAAATTCAATCGAGCGCACTTGCCTTTTCTCCTGTGTGAATTTTTAAAACGGCGCCTCACAAAATTCCTGTTTATCTTTGTTATTATTTCGAAATATCATGAAATCAGTTTTGGTTTCATGCTAACTTTATATCTGGATTTTTGGTGATTCTATAGATCCCAGCCAAAAGTTGTTTCTTCAGAGATGGCAGAGCCTATATTCGTACCAGTCGCAGTGCTCGATCGACGAACGGGTTCTCGAAAGTTTTTTGACGTCAAGGTTTGTTGTTTTCTCATGATTCGGTGATCAGTTTGATTTTCCAGGTAGATAATGATGAAAAAATATCTCAAGTAAAAGAAAAGCTCGTGGTGATGACTGATATCCCACTTCTCGAGATGAATATTATTTTCTGCGGACATAAAATTGGCGACGATACAATTCTCAAAGACTTGTTTCTTGGTCCGACAACGTAACTTTGCAGAAAGTTTTTTGAGGCGCATATTTCTCATTTACAGGCAATTGACAGTTCTGCGATTGCCGCCGACTTCAGTCCCCCAAACTCCATCTACCAGTATCCAAAAGATAACTGCGATGGAAAACCCGCAAATAGGATCTTTTTACGTTTATTGCAAAGACTGTTCGCAAATCGCTCGAGGCAAGTTGCGGGTTTACTGCGAAAAGTGTGAATCCTCCTCCGTCGTTGTGAAATCAGAACCGTCCTGCTGGAACGACGTTCTGAAAAGGTAGAAGGTACTTTCCCGAAGCGTGAATTTTTTTTTTCATTAAACTGGTGGAACATTTAAGAGTGCATTGTAAACGTCTTCGCCATATATGATTTTTCAAGTGAATCAACGATTAGAACTAAATAAACACTTGATAAGTTCAATCACGTTTACTTTGTTACTACGGTTGTTATTTTCTGATTTCTTCTTGAAAATATGAAGGAATATGTTTAGTAAACGTATTATGGTTTCGTGTGAGAATTGCAATTCCGAAAGCTCTTTTGCAGTGTTCAAGTTCAAATGCATCAAATGCAATGAGGTAAATTCCAGCGCTTTTTATTCATTTCCATGTCTATTTTTGAGATTTGCGCGCCTTTGGCACACATTCGCACTAACTGGAACATTTTGGACTGCTGCATTTGTGGCGAAAACTCTCATTTTGTCTTTGATTTGGGCTGCAGCCACCCGACGTGTCCAGACTGTTTTAAGGTTTCTCGATTCGTTTCTGATGGTTTATTTGACCATTTTTTGTCTCGCTCTGAAGGAGTACGTTGTAAGTTGCTTGTCCGAGAATCGTTTCGAGTTGCGGCCACCGTTGGGCTTTACCATCCAGTGTCCTTTCACCGCCTGCAACAGTTGGTTTCCATGGCTTTCGTTTCTCATAAAAACCTCTAGGGTATGTGAAAGACGTTCATCATTTCTACGTGGCGGGAAAAGAGGTTTATCAGAAGTACCAACAGAAAGCAACCGAACGCCTTGTCACCATCGACGACGAAGGTTTGGTCCTCTTCGATGTCTAATAAATTTTCCGAACTTTATAGTGTCCTTACAAATCTTAACCATTTCGATTCTCACGAACAGCATGTAAAAAAAGATGAAATACGTTCTGAGGCCGTAAAAAATAAGCTGGAAAATGATTTTCCGACATTTTCCTGAAAATTGAAAAGGCCTTAAACTCGCTAGGATATCATTGATTTTGACTTTATCTGATAAAATAAGACTATATAAGAATATTCTGAGAGAGGTGAAACAATTTCAGTCTATAAAAGACTGATTGTAGCCATTGAAAAATTTCAGGCAAATGGCGGAAAACCATTTTTCACTATATTGCATACGGCCTCTGAAGAGTCTGAAAACATTTGTTTGGGATCTTCAATTTTTAAAGTGCGATACGCAGAAAGTTTTTTTTTGAAAATCGTATTTGCCGCCTAATATCGAAGAAAAAAATCGCAGATTCCGTCAAGTTCTTGAAGACCGTATAAACATGAACAATCAAAATGGTTTTATGATGGATTTGATGTTTTCTGACAATTGAAATACAGGAGTGTGCTGTCCTTCTGCCAAATGCGGGGCTTATTTCTTTTGGGAGCCTGAGAACGAAGACAACTTGACACAGTGTCCGGAGTGCCATTTATCCTTCTGTATGTGAGTTATAAGCATTTGAAATCAATTTCCTTTTGCACAAAAACAGGTAAGCTGGTTTTCACCAATGGCAGAGTCAGATAATTTCTCAGAATTTTTTTGTTTTTCCGAGCATTTGACTTTTTACAAATAATAAATAAAAAAATAGCTGGTTTCGAGAAACGCAAAGAAAAAGTTAGAAAGAAGGCATTAGAAAAAAAACCTTTACGGAAAACTAACCGGCTTTATTTTTCTTAATCCTTTCTTATTTGCTGGCCCGTTTACCAACACCCCTATCCATTTGGCAAGTTTTGTTTGAAAAGAAGAAAATTTGAAGGCGATGCAAATCAAAGGACTGTACGTGCCAGGAGATGGACGACGAGACGAAGGAGACGATCGAGACGACGACCAAGTGAGACCTCATTTTCGCCCAAAGCTAATGGCGTCTCTCAGGAAATGTCCCAAGTGCGCGGCGCCGACCGAGCGCAACGGCGGATGTGCCCACATTCATTGTCCCTCCTGCAGCCTCGACTGGTGCTTCCTTTGCCGGCTTCCGTGGACCGAAGATTGCCAGTGGAACCACTGGTTCGGATGAACCATTTCGATGTAGAATTGTCTAGGAAATGCCTTTTTTTCGCTCAATATCTTTCTTCGTGAACTTTTTCGAAATCTACTTTGTCAACCACTTTGAACTTAGATCAAGAAGAATACATTGGATTGTCCGAGAATACAAAGAAAAAGAAAAAGATCAAATTTTGAAGTATGTATGGGTCTTGAACGGAATCTTCTTTCCTACTGTTATGCAGCTTCGTTCAAACTGTTTTAACATGATGGTTCATCAAACCAAATCTGTGAAAGCTCTTAATTACAATTACATTTTGCGTATTCGCTCTCTCCAATTTTAGCTAAGAACTTGTTCAGCTTGCAAAGAGAAAAAAATATTTCACGTTCAATCAAGTTCCTTAATGAGACTTCAGATGTCATGTATTCAAAAGAAAAAAAAGCTATCTAGAAACAGAAAAAAAGAAGTAAGATTCTGTTCTTTTCAGAGTGATTCTAATGACTGGTGCTAAATAGTGTAATAAATATTCTTTTTTTATGATTTTTTTCGTCGTTGTACAAAATGTTGTAAACTACGTTATTATATATTTATGAAAGTCCTCTTCCTTTCGCGCGCGACGGAAGTCAGAGCAATGTATTTATTTTCTTGTGATGTAATCAATATAGGATAGAAGTTTGCGACGGTGCTGCTTGTCACATCGATTGTTTTTTTGAGATAATGTCGGGTTCGAACCAGGGACAGGGGAACCAGCCTCATAATCAGCAGCAGCACCAGCAGGTATCAGAAACCATTAATATTCTGAAAACAAACCAAAAATAAAGATGATATACCAACAGCAACAACAGATGATGATCAATAGGCAGCAGATGCACCAGCAGGTTTTTTTTTTCAAATTCAAAGCTGGATTTTTAACACGTTGATCTCGCTTCCAGCTACTCTAACTCAGACGCCATTATAGATAGCACTCCCAAAAGTCTCCTCTTAGCGCATTCCGCGTGCGTGCGCGCGCCAATTCAAATTTTGTCTCTTGAACTAGATTTACAGGCTTCCAGTATATGGTTCTTTTTGTATAATTTTTCTTGCATTAAAAAAACTTCCAATTAATTTTACCCGGGTATCATATCTATGATAACTGGATATACGGGCAGAGTACCTGAAATTTTTTTGATTGCTACCGAGTAGCCTGGAAATGCTTCCCAGGTTTTTTTATTATTATTATTTTTTTAGTCACTTCGGTTTTCTAATTTTTTTATTCATTCTTTTTTTCAGACTTCCTTTGAAATTTGTATGAGCTGTACACGTTGTTCTCCATTCGCTCATGAGAAACGAAAAAAATGAATTTTCAGCAGCACATTTCCTTATCATGCGAGGAGCTTTGAAAAAAATCGTATCTCCGCTCAAAAAAACGTTTCCAAAAACTTTTTTTCACGGACCTGCGCGGCATTTTTTTGAGAACAGATTTGGAAACAGCATGAAAAAAACTTCATCTAGTGAACTGTGTCTCATTCTGAAATCCAACTACGACCAGAGACCATTCCCTGGGCAGCTAGAGCTAAAATTTATGCTCGACGTCTCATGATGGACACGTTATGGAATATTCAAGATTCATTTTAAGAGGTATATTTGTGGGCACATTATGGTACCTTCCCCATTTGCCTGTGCAAGTGAGTGAAGGCGAAAATTTGAATTTGCGCTAAAACAAGAAAAAACTTTCTTAAATAAAGTTAGATTCCCTAAATGAGTCAATATTAAATAAAAGAAAACTGGAAATGAATAAGTAAGAAAAATTATACAAAAAGAACCATATACTGGAAGCCTGTAAATCTAGTCCAAGAGACGAAATTTGAATTGGCGCGCGCACGCACGCGGAATGCGCCAAGAGGAGACTTTTGGGAGTGCTATCTATAATGGCGTCTCTCTAACTCACATATCATTCTATTTTTACAGTAAACCTCATTTTTGTAGGAAAATTGGAAAGTTTTTTGAATTGCCATTTGAAAAACTCGAAAATCCGTTTGCACAAACAAAAGTTTGCCCAGGTCTATTAGAATATCAGAAATTTTTATTTAGAAATTCAGGAGTAATTCGAGTTCGCAGAAAAATATAAACTTCCTGCTAAAATAACACTGGTATATCGGCGTATTCACGATAATGGCTAACGGAGTGCACTTTCAAATTCAGTCGGAATTTGCACGCGGTCAATCAACAAATTACATTCAGAGGCTAACTTTCTGCTCTTTCTATACCATTTGTTTGCACTCCGATACTATCCCAATGCCCTCTAGATTTGAGAGTGCTGACAAAGCGTTGGAAGTATGCTGCCGAAGTGAACTCCGATACATAGGCGAATCGAGAAAGGGTATCGCGAGACCCTCTGAGGTATATCGCAGGCTCTGAAGTCTCTCGATGGTACCTCGAGGATACCTCTGAGGATTTTGAGCAAAATGAGACGGGCTTGAGAGGGACTCTAAAGTACCTCCGAGATGGCTCAGAGATAGCTGAAAGGTATGCCGGCGGTCTCACGATGGACACATTATGGGGTCCTCAAGATCCATTTTGAGAGGCACCGTTGTGGACACATTATGGTACCTTCTCGATTCGCCTTATTGACTGGCGAAGTGCATACCCCGATTGATCCTTGAATCCTTTTTTTTAAATTTTTTGTTGATTTTTGGATGTTGGTTTTAAACTTAAACGGCTTGGGTGTAGATAGCTCTTCTCTATCTCTTTCACAGGGTATGGTCTCCCCGGAACATCGAGCAAAAATCGATTTCGCCAAATGGATTCGAACCATGGTCACACTGAAGAGAGTGCTCAACTACCACTACACTACGTCGCTTGGGCTTCGAGCGCAGGGTTAAATGCTCTTAAAAATTTTAGACGAGCTTCCCCTCCGTCGCCTGATGGGTTCAGCAAAGTTTTATCTTTGATTCCGAGATAAGCTCTAGCCTAGGCCTATCAGCCCACAAAGTCTCAATTCGCCACTCGATGTTTAGGGGAGACCACACCCTAGTCAAGAGTCCCACGCCGCTTATTTTGGGTATATTGAATTATTTTTTCTTTTTTGCTGTCAAAATGTTTTCAATTGTGTTAATAAGTTTTTCAATTCCAAACGAAGAGATTTTGTGAAATAAACAATTTTTGTATAAAATAAAAAAAAAGAATGAATACTCAACTTTTGTAATCGAATGATTAAGTTAAGATGGTCTACGCACAAATGACCCCTCAACAACAACTTCAAATGTCTCAGCGGTTCCCACAAATGAGCGGACAGTCGCAGGTTTCGACGGAACGACCTAGAGTTGAAAGTTTTGCGGTTCAGCAACCGCAGTCGACCGGAATACCCTCGCCGGCTCAGCATATGCAAGTGCAGAGTCTGTCGAACGCGGGTCAGCCGCGAAGTCCTATGGTAGATCCTCGAATTGTCTCCAGCTCTCAGCAAATTCTGCAGATCAACGCCCCCGGCTCCCATCAAATGGTTGGAGGACCGCAATCCGTTCCTTCCGTCACGGCGGGCCCTATGTCTGCTCCGCCTGGTGGTCCGATGTCTGTCCAGCCGTCAGGTCCGATGTCAGTCCAGGCCTCGGGTCCGATGTCTGTCCAGGCCTCGGGTCCAATGTCTGTCCAGGCCTCGGGTCCGATGTCTGTCCAGGGCTCGGGTCCGATGTCTGTCCAGCCGTCTGGTCCGATGTCAGTCCAGCCAAATACTCCACTCAACCCACTTTCCAACAATCCCGCGTCTCAACAGAATGTCCAGGTTCCGTCAACTTTTCGATATGTCTTACAGGAAGCCATTTCTTTCAGCCCATGTCAGTGCAACCTCAAACGCCTCTCAATCCTCAATCACTCAACCCAGCCTCGCAGCAAAACTTCCAGGTATCAAGAGCATGCAGAAGAAGCGAAAATGTCAGACGAATATATTTTAGGCAGCACAAATGTTCCAATTTTAGAGTACAATAAAAATGAAGTGATTTTGCACAGAAACATCGAAAATTTCATCAATTTTGTCGTAAAAATTTGAAAGTTCCACAGTATTCCTAGATTTTTGGGAAAAAAAGAATTTCTATTGTTCATTTTGCATTTAAGTACCAACATTATCGAAGAATAAACCAAGAAATTCGAAATAAATTGTTTTTTGAAATTCATCAATAGTCGGATTAATATGTGAGAAGTTTCTCTGGAGAATAAAAACCAAACTCAGCCGATGTCAGTTCCTCCAGCAACGCCGGCATCAGTGCTGGGTCAGCAGCCGATGTCTGTAGCCCCTGCGACTCCCGCGGTCGTCATGTCGGTCCAGCCTCCCTCAGTGACGCCGTCGACGCCTCAAATCGGACAGCAGGTCCGGCAAATGCCAGGAGAGAGCTAGTGGAGATGTTCAGACAGGGCAGACTTCGGGCAGCAACCAGTTCGAGCAGTACTCCCGACTCGTGCAGGACCCGTTCCAGTTGTCGCGGCATCTAATTATGCGAGAACTTCGAAAGTCTATTCTAGTCAGTCGTTGGGCAGAAAGAATTTGACGCTCCATCATGTTCAGGATGTCAACAAGAAGGCGGCCGACTACTTGCAAGCCACCGAAGAAGAGAAAGAGGAGCCAGATCCTGAAGAATATTTGAACTCTTACAACAACTTCTTAACAATTGTAGATGACATTGAGGCTAATCTCGTCAGTTTTCCACACTTACAGTCCTATTTCAAAAAGAAAAGCGAAACCAATTCCTGTAGGTCCCAAGCCAATTTAGGCACTACTTTTTTTTCATTCTGCGCAGTGTGGGGCTTTTTTGTTTCTTCGAAACGTTTTGGACCGTTTTAGAGCCTGATACCGCTCACAGCTGATTGCAAAAGTAAAAAAATGTCTCGATCACGAGTTTTTTTTCTTACATTTTCTGCAAAGACGGTTCTTAAATATTAGTAAAGCCTGTTGGGTCGATGAATAATCTGCCAAAGGGAAAATGGAATGTTCTTTCGGCGCTTTTCTAGATAATTTATTTTTGAAACGCTTAGATTTATGATAATATGTATTTGAAAATTGATCATCTTTAGACTCTGATGTTGGAGGCTCGGAAGCATGAGGAGAAGATGTCGAAGATGATGGGAGAAATGGCGAAAGAGCAGCAGCAGCAGGCGGCCGCCTTGGGCCAGGCACCGGGATTTTCCGGCGACAAATCGGCCGACCAGTTCTCCAACCTTCTCTCTCAAGTCACCGACTACATCGAAGCCACCGCTGAGGTACGTCGGCCACCTTCCAAATAGTGTTTATTCATGAAATTAGATGATTTTTTTTAGATGACTCAGTTCAACATTAAATAGTTAGCAGCGAAAGCTATATAAAAGAAAGCAATTATTTGAAAGAGAGAAAGCCAAAAAGCTTAAAAAAGGGAACTTTTAAATAAACTCGAATGTAGATGTGTTCTTTAGGTTTAGAAAATTTATACTCGGTATGATTTTTATGAATGTAATTGACAAAAACTTGATTTACCCAGATAAATCAGTTTTAGAAAGAAATTATTAAAAAAAAGGAACTTTCCACGTCCTGTGCATAAATTTTTCCAGAGGATTTTTTGTTGTTTTTTTTTCTTGCTTTGGGATCTTCTAGAATTAAAGTTATTGATGAGTCGAAAAATGCTATCATCAAAGACTCGTCAAAAAATTCACACACCGAAACTTAAACACTCTAACAAAAGTTGCGGTGCACCCCGCGTCCAACTCTCGTTTCACCCCGCAGTGTAACCAGGGGTGCACCCCGTTTAGCTTTAAATGTCAATTAAGGTACTATTTCCGTACACGATTTCGAAGTGGTTTGTTTCCCAATATCACCATTTTCTACCGTTTCATCCTAGGTCGTTTCGGTAGCTCAAAAAGAACTTTTCATTTTTGACCGGTTGCCCCAGGGGTTCACCCCATTCAGGTCCAACGCGGGGTTCAGCGCAAAAATCAACGAAAAGCTCACTTTTTTCGGGGTTCACTGCGGGGTACACCCCCATTTTTGTTAGAGCAGCTAAAAAAAAAGGTCTTCCCTTGATTGTGAGAAAGTTATTACGGAACTCCTTGAATGAGAAAAGTTGAATAGCTCCTCATGCGCACCTGAACGTTGTAAAAAAAAAAGACTCACCAACTACGGTCTTTCGGTCTGTGCACAATTTTGAACGCTAGTAACAGAAGTTGGTAATTGCCGAAATCCGAGACTTGGCGTTTTCAGTTTCAAGGCAAAGTGGACAGAACGGTGGACCACATCTCGATGCTCATGGAGAAAGTTCGCAAAAGGGAAAATAAACCAGCCGAGCCGGTTGACGTCAGAATGGAAGTGGAAGAGAGACAAAATTCCTTGAATCCTGACAACGAAGAGTAAACTCTCTGATTTATCTAACTTATTGAAACTCTTACCTAAATTGTTGAAGTTGTCATTGTTCATGAATCTTTTTTTCTCAGAGCTTTTTGTTGCTTTATAGACCAAGTCGATACGAATGAATTCAATTTGAAGACTTAATTTCCGGCGGAGTTCTTCTCTTTTGAAGCAAGTGGATTTAAGAGCCAGGGTTCCTTGTTAACATCGTTTTTCTTTTTTTAAAGCATTTTTTCTTGAAATGAAGAGTGGGAGTATTTAGAATCAGAAAACATTTAGGGAAGCTTCAAATTTGAAAGTTTGACCATATTTGATTTTCTTCAAAGTCATGATGTGCGAAGTCAACGAGAACTTGGCAGGTCGAAAAACATGGTTTCCCTTGTACGGTTCATCGATCAACTTTGTCTGACAGAAACCTCTCCAACAATCTGTTTTCCGTTACTTTTTCCCATTTCTCACGATAGATTTTCTATATTTTACTATTGATTTAAACGTTTCCTGTCTCTGATTTACGAGACGTCATTTCTGCGTCACAGCGCTACTCCTGCCGTTTGTGTCTGTTCTCTTCGCGAGCTTGCCGTGAATTACATGAGAAGATAAGAGATTGCTTTAATAATGGAAAGATAAACGCTTTCATAGGTTATGGCGCGTTTTATTATCTCGCAACGGTTTGAATTCCGGCATTGGTAACGAAGGAAGAAAGCGATTGTACATAGAAAATTAGGAGGGTGTGGCTTAGAAGCACTTGCGATGAACGATAGATGGACCGGACTCGTCGTATTCCTGCTTGGAGATCCACATCTGCTGGAAGGTGGACAGCGAGGCCAAAATTGAACCTCCGATCCAAACGGAGTACTTGCGCTCCGGCGGTGCAATAATCTTGATCTTCATCGTGCTGAAAGTCAGCTGTTTTCAACTGTTCTATCGTTCTGTTTGCTTCTGCGCCTGATGCCTTTCGAGGGTCACCGGCCGTTAGTCGAAAGATTTTTTGACATTTGAAGTTCGTTAGTAATGTTTTTTTTTTTTGAAATTGAGAAGCAGCTTTAGAACATCTGTGTTTCATCTTTCACACACGCTTTGAAAAAAAAGAAGCGAACCTCGGGGCCAAGTGTTGGATCTCCTTCTGCATTCTGTCGGCGATGCCAGGGAACATGGAGGTACCTCCGGAAAGAACCGTGTTGGCGTACAAGTCCTGCAGAAGAAAAGTCTTCGAAAAGTCTGAAAAACTAGGATACCTTTCTGATGTCGACGTCGCACTTCATGATCGACTGATAGGTGGTCTCATGGATTCCGGCGCCTTCGAGACCGATGAAGGCAGGCTGGAAGAGCACCTCGGGGCAGCGGAAGCGCTCATTGCCGATGGTGATGACCTGGCCGTCGGGAAGCTCGTAGGACTTCTCGAGCGACGACGACGCCGCCGCCGTCGTCAGCTCCTGCTCGAAGTCGAGGGCGACGTAGCAAAGCTTTTCCTTGATGTCGCGCACGATTTCTCGTTCAGCTGGAAGGTTTCTGATTGGCTCACAATTCAAGTCGTGTACATTGAAACATTTTTATTTTACCCCGTCATGAGGTTTTTTGCTGAAAATTTTTGAATAGGAACTTTTTTCAAATTGGTTCTTTACTCTTAGGGTAAAAATAATATCTAATTCTGTTGAATCATTGACGGTGTCAAATTACATCTATTTTCACATGCTGTATCTACGTAGACTTCTCTTAAAAAGCAGAGAGAGAGAGACCGAATTCGCCCGTATTTTTATCGGTTGTGCAGCATTGTTTGACTTGTAGCGTGTTTCGCGTTATCACTACGAACTTGATAACGACAGCCCATGGCAAGGAAGGTGGAAACAGTACCGGTGGTAGTGAAGGTGTAGCCGCGTTCAGTCAGAATCTTCATCATGTAGTCGGTCAGGTCGCGGCCGGCCAAGTCCAAGCGCTGGATGGCGTGCGGCAGAGCGTATCCCTTGAAACAGACATTCGTCTTCGTTTTTGTCACATTTGAAAAAAGTTTTTCGAAAAAGAGATGACCTCGTAGATGGGAACGGTGTGGGTGACGCCGTCTCCGGTGTCGAGGACGATTCCGGTCGTCCTTCCAGAAGCGTAGAGGGACAGGACGGCTTGGATGTTGACGTACATGGCGGGAGTGTTGAACGTTTCGAACATAATCTGCGACAAGTCAGTTTGAGATTGGAAAAAGCTTTCTCAATAGTTAAATAAAACAGGCTCTTTGAGTTTTTCAAATCAGTTTTCTCATAATGAAATTTATGAAATTACCTGCGTCATTTTTTCGCGATTGCTCTTCGGGTTAAGCGGAGCTTCGGTAAGGAGTACTGGATGTTCTTCAGGAGCGATTCTGAGCTCATTGTAGAAAGTGTGGTGCCAAATCTTCTCCATGTCGTCCCAGTTGGTCACAATACCATGCTCGATGGGGTACTTGAGAGTGAGGATACCTGAAAATCACGGTCACTTGGTTTCTATATCCGTGGGTCTCACCTCGTTTGGACTGAGCTTCGTCTCCAACATAAGAGTCCTTCTGTCCCATGCCGACCATGACGCCCTGATGACGAGGCCGACCTACGATCGAGGGGAAAACGGCGCGAGGAGCGTCGTCTCCGGCAAATCCGGCCTTGCACATGCCGGATCCATTGTCCACCACCAGAGCTGCGATTTCGTCTTCCATGTCCCTGAAGAAGTAGATTTCTGACTTCCATCGAAATCCATCCTTTGAGTGTGAAGTAACAACAAAAAAGGGGTTTAGAGACTCCAAACTGGTCAGGATGAGTGGAAATGTGAATGGAATGGCAAAGGGAATGTATGTGTTATCAGGACGATGACTGCGGCGCTTTATAGAGTGATACGAGTGGTTCTTAGAATCGGTGCTCGTGGATGGAGGCGGCGCCACGCAATTTGTCATACAATTTGAGGCGTGGGCCTTCGTTATCAGTTGGAATCGATTAGCCCGGTAGAGAGGTCCAGGCTCGATTTGCAAAAAAGAGAGGCAGAGCAGGGCTCAGAAATCCGTTCAACAATTTCATGAACTCTTTTCATTGATTGAATAAAGTTGAAAAGTTTCCTGATTAGCGGGATGGTCGATCGAAAAGGAAAACGTGCAAAAAAGTTTTCTTCTTTTTTTTTCTTGTTCTCCGTCCAATTTATTGTTGTATTCTCGTATGACCAGTAAGTAATTTTAGCTAGCCGCGAATGACTCCGCAGGTCGAAAATAAAAACAAAGTGCATCTGGGAATCGACATCGGCACGAGTTCCGTCAAGTGCTGCGCTAGACAAGGCGTCGTGTGAGCTATTTCTAAAACCAATCTGAAATGCCCAAGTGAAAGGAAAATCAAGAAGTTTTAGAATTCTTTGCAATTTCGCCCAGAGCTACGAAAAAGACTGCGGCGCGACGCAGGACGCTGTCCACGTGCTTCAGACGGCTCTCGCCGTCATCCACGTTAGTTTATCTTTCTTTCGAAACACTTTCTGTCACTTTTCATTGGAAATCTCAAAGAATGATTCCGATCGAAGTATATCGCTTTTCCAAGAAAAGTATGACGCGCCGAAGTGACTCTGCAAACAATTCCGATAAGGGGTCCCGTATCTTTCTCGCAATTTATCAAAGGAAAAAAAGTTAGTTGACGAGGGATTGCAGAAGACGTGCGAAGAAGTGCATCTGCCTATCGACGACGTCTGGATATGTGGTCAGATGCACGGAGTTGTTCTTTGGAAGGCCGAGTCTCTCCGAGACGGCTACGCCAGAGGCTTTTTCTGCGTTTTTCTTTCAATCTTTTAGTCTTCCCGTTTTTAGAAACGTTCATTTCCTCGCCACTTTACAATTGGATGTACGATTATGAAGATAAAATTTTCCTAAAAACTCTTCCAAGGTGACTCATAACTTGAAACAGCAAACTTTTCATTAGTTGAAGGTGTGATTCGTGTGAGGTTCATCCAGGGTACGGCATGGCTACTCTCGTGTACCTTGCACAGAAAGATCCGGAGAACCTGAAGGTTTTCAAAAGAAGTCTAACAAGGCCACTTTTGTTTGAAGCGTTTTGATCGCTGTGGAACTATTATGGATTTATTCGCAAACGTGCTCTGTCATAGAGATGACGTTGTGATGGGACGGCAGAACGCGCAGAGCTGGGCATTCTGCCAAGAAGACAGTTGGCAGTCTGACGTCGTGAGGGCCAGCCTTCGAGTTCTCTGCTCATTCGAGATTCAGGTGAGTCTTCTTCCTGAGCATCTTCGGCTTCCGCGTATCGAGCCGAAGGACGGCGTGGTCGGCGAGGCTCAGGTCAAGAAGCTCAAGGGCGCCACTGTGCACGTTCCTTCCGGAGATCTGCAGGCTTCCGTCGCGTCCCTCCGTTTTCACTCGAAGACCGCTTGTGAGTTTTCAAGGCCCTTTTTCAGATTATGACGACAAGCTTTTCATCAAAACAGTAAATTACTTGAAATTCCGATATCATGTAACATTTATTATCTTATTCATGTTACATTGTTGAAAAATCAGAAAATAATTTTGCAGATCTGGTGTTAGGAACATCGGCGCAGCTTTGCACGGCAGTGGAGGAGAATTCGCCGGACTTGAACCGACTTCCGCCATGCGTCGTCAACCTGCCTTTCGTCGACAGGAAGCGGCTTCTGGCGGCGCGCTCGATGAACGGTGGCAACGCAATAGAGTCTTTTCTCAAGGTGAAGTCAACTCTGTACACCAACTTGGTCCATCAAGTTTCAGAACACGAATACTTTTGAGAGAGATTCTTTATTGTGTAAACTTTTTTGTGACTGATAGCCTTAACTGTCTGTTCATGATTTTTAGATGCTCGTCGAAGATTGGCAAGTTGCCCCGTCATTTTCCCTTTCGCTCCTTGGAGACCTCATCGGGAAACTTAATCGCGGTCGGTTTTTATTCGAACCAGCTTCAAAGCATGAAGGTCTCCCTGTCATGACTCATATTTTAAAAAAAAACAGAGCCTCAGCTTTTGTCACAACCCTTTTTTTTTCTCAAAACGACTATACGTATTCACAAAAGAGGTAACTTCCATCCAAGTCTGGAAAGTAATTTTTAAAAAAACTCTATCAATCAATTATATTCTTATAGAGACAAAAAAAGTAGATAAATTTGATCAGAAATAATTTCTAGGCATTCTAACTAGTCCAGTATCAAAAAAAGCATTAAAAATCAAACGAAAAGCTCATTTGCAGAAGAAACGCACAAAGACGAAACTCTGAAGGTTACGCCTACTTTCTTTCAAGAGAGGGGACAAGAACACAAAGGAGTTTATATTTCTGAACGTCCAACAACTTCGAACCACCTGCAGGTTAAGTTGAGATCCAAGAAAATATTTTTACCTGACGAGTTGGAGATGATGGACGCTGCGCACGAAGGCATCGTAGAGAACATCTTCTCGATGTTTCCCTTGGAGTCGCTGCAGCAGCTCGGCGTGAGTCGCATCGTCCTGATCGGCTCTGCAGACGAGCCCCGGTTCGCGCGACACGTCCGTCGCAGAGTCGACGGCTTTCTCCAGGTCACCGACGAACCCAACGTCGTTTCGGCTGCTTTGGGAGCGACGTTGCTCACGACGCCTCATGTGTAAATACCAGTGTACAAAAAGGTTATGCTCTTTTTTATGTGACTCCATGATTATATTATAGATTTCTATAATATAATAAAAAAGTAAGCATTTTATTGTCATCGGGATAGGAAATAAGTACAATTCGTTTTTTTTGTGTTCATTAAAACTTTTGTTGATTGCACGTTCGAAACATACAGCGTTAAACATAAATTAAGAAATAGTTAGTCATTGATAAGGCATCATGAATTGGCTGTTGACAGCGAACGTGGAGGTTGGACAGGTGGGCGGCGGAGGATACAGGTATGTCGGGTAATCAAAAAGAGTTTTCACGTAGGGCACTGGCTGCATGGAGAACGACGGTAGCAACGGCGCCTCAGGCGCTGGCGGATGGACCAGAGGCGCGTCTGCAGCCACGCAGGCGTTTGTCGTCGGAGGACCGAATGGAAGTCGTAACTTGGCCAGCATTTTGGGCGGAGGCACGCCATCAGTGCTCTGAACATTCTGTTCCCTACTCAGCTCGATATTTCACCTCGATGATGTGCAGCAGGGCGTCGATGTAGTTGATGGCGGCGTTGAGAATTTTGAGCTTGCTGACGCGTTTCGTGTGTTGTCTCAGAGTCGGGAGATGTTCTTTCAAAAACTGGAATGCCTGGGGCCGACGACCCAGATATTTTGTGTTTGAGCAAAACTCGATTTACCTGGTTGACGGTGTGGACGCGAGTTCGTTCTCGAGCATTTCGCTTTGCCACAACTCCAGGCATCTTCTCGCAACCGTTGCGAACTTCCAATCGCTTATCTCTATTACCCTTTTTTTTTCTCAAAAATACATTTGGTGCTATCATCAGCACTCAATAGTGATCTCAAAAAAGTTCAAAAAAGTTTTTTTTTTTTGAAAGAATTTATCAGATTTTTTTAAGTGTCCTTTTTTCTTCGAGTTTTTTTATCCTTTTTTGTTATAGGATTTTTTTTTTCCAAAAGCGGTGTTAATGCCGCTCAAAAGAGCAATTTTTCCACCGCCTAGTCGATTCCATCTGACTAAAACAACCAATAAACATTGATATTGATATTGAACTTTCGGAAAATTGATTTTCCATACCTAAATGAGCTACTTTATAATTTGTGAATTCCTGTACCTTCTTTGAGAGTTACCTATTGAATAGTTAAATCGACTAAGCACATCAACAGGTTATGAAATAATGGAAGATAATTTCTCAATAACTTTTCGTTTTTCGAATTAGTGAAATAATATCATTCAATTGCTTCAGTTTTTGTTTTAGAAAAACATGACTTTTATTAAACTTTTTTTAAACAGTTTTTGTCGTTTGGTCCCACGAAGAAACTTCTGTAACAGAGAAAGACTGAACCTAAGACAAGCTGAGCCTATTCGACGGTTGGAAGAGAATTGAGGAGTGAAAAGTGTGTCGACAAACCTTCGACCGAACCCGGGGTTGAAGTGGCGACTGATGGCGAACTCGTTGGCTGACATGAGAGCTGACTGAGCCCCCGAAAGGCCGCCGACAGGTGATAATTCACCTGTCGCCGCCGGTTCAGTAATTGCATAACTAATGAAGGCAGTCCGCGATAACAAGTGGTTTAAGCAACTCGACTGGTATTCCGAAAGGCTTCTCTTCACTTTTCCATTACTTATTTTTTAATGACTGTGAAAATCTTCAAAGCCTTCAGAATTTTCCTTCTTCAATAACATTTATCACACTTCTTCTCTTTCAAAAAAAAAATATTTTTATTATTATTGCGCGAACGACCCGTGTATAAGATTATGTGTTAGTTGGGAGACGTCGACTCAGAAGACGGCGAGTCCGAAGAAAACGGCCAAGACGAGCCATCTGCTGCAAGAAGACGTCATCGACGTGTCTTTCTCGGCTCGGACCATCATCCAGCCTTCTTGGCCTTCTTCCATTCCATATTCCGTTTCTGAAAGTCAAGTTTTATCTTCCTGAATGAGCTACTGAAAGAAGAACAGAATTCAATGTTTCTTTACCTGTTGTAGGTACAACCAAAAACCTTGTCATTTTATCGATCCAAAAACCTTCGAAAAAAGGTCAAATTTTGGCGCACAAAAATTTAGAAACCAAATAATTTGATTTTGAAAAAGCTGCAAGAGGATGAAAAACTCGAATAAGGGCCTAAATTTTTCAGAATTCTTTCTTTTGAAAACTGCCATTGATTTGAGTCACACATTGAAATGCTTGCCGGAATCCTTTTTTCGTTATTTATAGTTATTTTTTTATTTTCTGTCCTTTTTTGAACTGAACGCGGTAAAAGAAAACTTGAATTGAAAGTTTTAGTGAAATATCCAGTAATTTATTCACCCCAAACTTCAAAATTGAGAACTTTATACCTTGAGGAGGATCAGTGGCTTTTTCGCTGACTTCCGACGCTCCAATATTCTGGATTTCGGCGTCAAGAGCATAGTCCTCGTCGGTTCTTTTCGGAGTGTGGTCCCAGTAGTCGTCCGAATTGTTTTCCTCGGCTGTTTCTTCTCTGAAATCCGGAAAAGGCTGACGAAAAGAAGTAGCGCCTTACACTGGGTGTTCTTGCAGAGTCTCTTCGACTGCTTTTTCCAGAACCGAGTTCAGTCCTGCCAATATGTCGCTGTCGCTCTTTGAGTCTGGTTTCCAGTCAACTTCCGCTTGGTGCTCGGGCGCTGAAATTCTTTGGTGCTGGGGGGAAAGATTTTTCGAAATTTATTGGAAGTTGTTCATACTGACTCGTTCCCGTCGTTGTTTGGACTTGAACTGAAGCCTGTTCGTCTTCAGAATGCTCCATATGCTCTTCGAGCTCAGGGACGTTCAGATAATCGTCGTCTTCTTCTGAAAATACCCCAGTTCTTTGAGATTTTCAATGGGGTAGAGAGTCCATCAACTTAAGTTTTTTTATCTTCATAACTTAACAAAAACGAATACTCAAAAGTTTTCCCTTGGAAAAAAGTTTTTCCTGTTCAGTTAACCGCGGAAGATGATAATTATTACAAGAATTAAAAGTAGACTCGATAGCCCCCCAAAAGCCTTTTTTCATCCCTCTTTGAGCGTAATTCTTGATTTCTTATTTCTGGATTTTCATTTTAAAACGTTTCACTTTTTCGAAATTCAGTCGAATTTCAGTGTTTTAGAAACTTTAAACGCGTAAAGACAGAAAAAAAGCCGGAATTGAATTCTGCTGACCGTTGTTTTTGTAGTCCCAGTCTTCGTTGGCCATCTCCGCTTCCTTCTCCTTCGTTTCCGCTTCTTGACGCTGCTCGACGCTGACTTCTGGTACGATTTCGGCTTCCTTCTGGCTGTCCTCGAGGCGACGGCGCTGCTCTTCAGATTGTCGCCGCTCTTCCTCCTTCCGACGTCGTTCCGCCTCCTGTCTTTCAGTCTCCGCTCTGCGAGCCTCTTCAGCTCGCCTTCGATCCGCTTCAAGGCGTTCTTGATCCCGTCGTTGCTGAGCCAAGTGCTCTTCGTGACGTCTTCTATGCGTTTCTGCTCGGAGCGCGTCTTCCCGAGCGGCGTCGGAGCGACGTCTCTCCTCCTGCTTCCGATGCTCCTCCAGACGTTCTTTGTGTCTTTGCTCTACCAGCTTCCGTTCATACGCTTTCTTTCGTTCTTCTTCTTGTTCGCGTTCGTCGTCCACTCGGTGCCCGCGATGATAATCTAAGAAAATATAAATAAAAAAAAACAACTAGTCAGATCAAAATTTAGATCAACTTTCGTTTTTTTGATACAAAAAGACCCTAAAATAATTATTCAGTCATATGATGATTAGTTATCAAAGCTGCTCTTTTTTTTGGGCAAAGAAAGGACCTGTTTTTGGCTTTCAAATTGTAGTAATTACTTTTTTGAGTTACTCTACATACAAAATCTTGACTTTTTATTAATTCAATCTGTAGATGTATAACTTTATTTCAGAACGAGAAGAACAAGCATTTTTTCAGCGTTGTTTTTGGCTTCCCAAAACTTGTAAGCTTTTGAACACCGCAAGTGAATTCAAAGCTTACGATGAGTGGACGTGTGGCTGTTTTGATGATGCACTTGGTTTTGAGGCTGGTTCTGAGGATGAACGTTTTGCGAAGGCTGCTGCTGATGAATTTGACGGTAGTCCACCTGTATCGGAGTCTCAGTTCTAGACGTTGGCGAGGTCGTCGTAGTTACTTCAGTCGTCGTTTGCTCCACTGAAACAGTGAAAACTGGTCTAGAAGAAAACGAGGGAGCTTCACCGGCAAATTGACAGCGGTCGCCGTGGAACACCCCCAGGAGACAGATGCACGAGTGGACGTCAGGCATGTCGAGGTCGAAGACACACATTCCCCCGTTTTCGCACCTTAGGTCCACTGTTTTCACTCGGTCACCGGTGCAGATCTACCGGATTTTACAGTCGCTTTGCGGGGAAACGAGGCCGTGGCCGACGGCGTCCGCCGCTCCGACCAACAGCAGGGCGAGCAAAAACTCTCGCATTTTGGTGTTCTCTCTTCACGCTATCCAACTTTTATTTTTTTCTGAAAATGGTGTATCGGTTGCAGTATATTAAACGAAAAACTAAAAAAAAGGTATATAAGCGAAAGGGAACTAGTAGCGAATACTTTTTGGCAGACCCAGGCATCGATGCGGCTATATGGCGGATACCTAACTAAACTGGATTAGATAGAGCTTCATAAACGTTTTATGTCTCCAAAAAGCAAATCTTAGAAGAATATTTGACTAAGGCCTGGATCCCTGGTGATTTTTCGTTTATGAGGTGTCTAATCTTTATTTGAACTAATGGAAAAAACCTGAAAAATTGAATATATGAACAGAGAAACGAACTTTTTTGAGGCGACTAAAAAAAACCCTGTTTTTTGTTTCATGAGTGAAATGAAAAAAAGTAAAGAAAAAATTAGATAATAGAGTTGACGAAAAAAACTGAAAATAGTCAGAATATATGAGGATAAGGAAGCTGCAAATATCACAAAATGATTTAACTCGTTTATAGATTACTTTTTCTCTTTTTGATTCAATTTTCTTGCATTCAGTATTGTCGGATTTTTTTGAGATCGCAGTTGTCAATCAGGAACGGGAAGGAGCCGCCAACAATGGTCGAACTCTTGCGACAGTTGCTAGCAATCGGAAATATGCGTGGAATGTCTCATGCGTCTGGCTGTTTAATGTTCACCCTGATGTGAAATACGGGGCTTCTACTTTTCCGAGTTGTTTTGGAAATTTTGACAGAGGCGTTTTTGAAAGCCTCAAAGAGAGAGCTGAAAAACTTTTGAAAGATGTTCAAAATAAGGAAAGGTGTGGCAATCAAAATTGAATTACTGAATTATTCTCTGAAACCGGAAAAGTACAAATCACTTATTTTTATTTCTCAGTTTTTTTTTTCAAATGTTTATTCTTGCATCAAGCACTATTCGTTAAGTATAAGAGGAAATGAGGAAAAACCTTCAAGTTGAAAATTTCATGAATATATATGAATCAACAAATATAATGATCGTTCCTGTTGAAGCGATCTACTTATCAGAAAGATTTGGTGACATCAATTGCAGTTCTTAAGGGATGACTATTTGAAAACCGGAAGTTCTACTGAAAGCTCAACATTTTTTCAAAATAATAAAAGAAAGGAACACAGAATGAAAATTCTTTTCAGAAGCAACGATGCTAGGACTTCAAAATCGGAATCTCAAATTCAAGTCACATTTCCAAACAGAAATTTAAAATCTCGAACATTTTTGAAAACGAGTTGAAGGTCAAATAAAACAAAAAAAGGGCTCAACTTCGTTTCAAATAAAAATGTATCGCTTGAAGCGGAAGAACTTTTCTTTTACTTAGTTTGCTCAATTCAGAACATTGTTGAATGAAATCTTGAAAGGAATCGAGTCTTAACTCAAAGACTGTTTTGCTTCGTCACTCAGAAACTTTGACTCCTTACTATTTCTCTTAAAAATTAGGGAAAAAAAAATCATCGAGTAAAAGGTAGAGTAGCATCATAAGAAATCAGTTATAAGAAACGAGAAAAGGAAAGTGAATTTCAGTACTAAAATCAACGAGAAATCAAACAAAAAAGGCCGCATTTCCCACCGTAAGTGTTGTGCAGAGGGAATGGAGAAGCGGAACCGATCTGATCTCATGTTTGTCAAGAATATTTCGTGGGTGATTCGGTATAAGCTGAACGAAAGTACTCATTTTCTGAACGGTGTAAAGGTCTGTTCGGAGTTCAGAGAAAAGGGAAGCAAAAGAAACAAAGGAATCTCTGGAGGTGGGGCCGATGCAACGTGTTGTTGTAGGTGCAAGTGTGAGGAATTGCGACCGTAGACCTATGAGAGCACTCGGCAGATAAAGTGTTTAAAGTGAGCCTCGAAGTGATTGGGGTGGCCGGGAGAGGCCGACGACAGCCGCCTCGCTCGTGCCGACAGGTAGCTTGGCCGCTTGCCAACACCTTTTGCACGTCGTCTGCTCCAGACCACTCCTTCGGCCTTCCTCTAACCTAATCAATGTCTACTGAATCGAACAAATGTTCAAAAAAAAAATAATAAATAACATTTTTTTTCCTCTGACCAACGTTAAAATAAGCAAAAACTTTTTCCCTTTTCATTGAAAAATTCAACTCAAAAATTCATTCTTAAACGTTTGAGGTCATGCCTCGCATGGCGATATTTAAAAACAAGGAGTATGACTGGACATTAAAAGTGCTCAATTAATGTAATCTAATCATTAATGGCAATAGGTCCTTCAAGTTAAATTAACCTTCCAGCATGAAAAGTTCTTTTTTAGTCTGAGTAATCTTCCTCGTAAATGTTGGGAAAAAAAAAGAGAGCCGGAGCTCGTGCCAACAGGTAGGTCGTGTGGGCGAGAATGGCTCCGCTGCACGTGTCGATGACCCTTTGAGCCTGCCGGCCGGTCACTATTGTAACAACAACTCGACCAGCCGAACACAACTGCTTTGTAAGCTTTTTTTATCATGTCACATTAGAAGACGGCCTCTTCGTACTGTGAGATAGGAAAACTAGACTTTTATAAAACTACTTTAATCGAGAATTCTGAAAAGTACCAGAAACGGTGGTATGTCTAAAATAGATCCCAAAAGTTGTAAATATTTCCGTAGTTCACCATTTCTTTATTGAACATTTCTGAACTTTATTGACTTCTCACTTCAGCTGAAAAACAAAATCTTTTCCAGCTAAACTATGAAAATAAAATAAGAATGATATCTTCACATTTCGCACAAGTTTTTCATTAAAATTGAAGTACATTCAAACTAATGTTCACGTGGATTCCGATTTTCACAGAAAACTATCGAATAGACATAAAACGGAAACAGAAGGCAGCAAATGAGTATTAGAGTGGCTGACACGCAACAAGTGAGCCTACGATGATCTGAAAAATCTCCACACAACACAAAACACTTGGCGCGTTTCTGTCGCCAAGAGCCGCGGTTTTTGCGGTTTACGAACGGAACGCAACGATGGATGTAATGAGCCGTCGTCGGCTCCGTAGCCACCCAAAACACTGGTCAAAGAAGCGGCATGTACCCTCGTATATTTTCTACACGAATGCGATACGGAAAAAGAAAACCTGAATATTTTACTTCTTTTCAAACACAGTCCGTGTTCTGTAATGGTAAACTTTTCGACTTTCTTCCAATATATCTCATAAGGAAAAAATTTTTTGGCAAGTGGCCAATCAAGGCTGTCATGGACTAAAAACATGTGTCGATCGAGTATGTTCAGCGAAAAACACGACAGCTCGTTTTGCGACATAAAAAAGGCGCCCAGAGCCTCTGGCTGAAACAAACGGTCGTAACATGGGCTCGCGTGTTACACTTGCTGCTCGACGCCAAAAAGAATTATTTCATCTGAGTGTTTTAAGATTGCGAGGTATACTTGACGGCAGAGTGGTCTCAAATCCAAGAAGTGGTTCAGAAGTCTTCATCCAATTTTTAAAACCGGTTTTTGTCGTTAAAAATCCAAACAAGCTTTCCCATAAAAAACCATTATTGAAGTTAAGAGAACATTTTACAATGAAAATGTAAAAAACGTATTACACCCACCTTAGAAACAATTTCTCATATTGAACCGATCCAATTTATTCCAAAGCCGTCATTATTTGTACGCGTGGAAAAACTGCAAAACTCAAAATTTCTCCAAAGCAAGTTGGTTTAGTTATTTGTTTAGAAAAATTCACTTATTGTACGAAAAAGAAAAATGTACGAAAAATTCAAAAAACAAAATATTAATGATTACGTCGCTATGCAATTGAAAAAATCAACTTCTTGGAGGTTACTGTAACCATCTTTGTGCATGCACCATGACAGAAACGTTGTTTAAGACCTTTTTTAATTTGTAGAATTCGTTTCAAACTCTCGTTCAAAGTTAAGTTGTAATCCGGATTCTATTCCAACATTTTCCAGTTTTTAATCGAGCTTCATGCAACTTTTTTCTAGTTGCGACTCGTATAATGAAAAGAAAAATATGTCGCTGAATCGTGATATGCACCCTCGGAACCCTTACAAAGGGAAGCCGCCGAATTTCAAAGAACTCGCTCTGGAGTTCGATGAATTTCGTAAGCACTGCTCTATTTCAAATGCGGGAAAGGTTTTTTTTTCCACCGTTAAATTGGAAGAAGCTTTTTTTTTGAGGTCTACGTTAATTTTCATGAAGATTCAGCCATACGAGCTCTTGCACGGGTACTGCTGAAAAAAGACTTTGGGCTTGATGTTCGATTAATTTTCATAACTTTTAGTTCATATCCAGTTCAGGTTTTTTTTCCTGTTGGTACACTAGTACCTCGAATACCTCAACGCTTGAATTACATTTTGCACATTGAAGATATTTTGAAAGTTAATAATGTGAACGACAAGGTTTCAGGAATAGATATAGGTTAGTCGTCTTATCATTCTATCATTATTTTTTTATCAGCTTTTCAGGTACTGGTGCTTCATGTATATACGCCTTGTTGGGGGCAAAAATGTGCGGCTGGCGCTTTTTGGCTACCGACGCTGAAGAGTCTTCGGTGAACTCGGCACATGAAAATGTTTCCCGAAATGGTCTTTCGGACAAAGTCCGCGTTGCCCATGTGGACGCCGATAGCAAATTCTTACTTCTGGTTAGATATCTTTGTTTCGAAAAGTTTAAGAATTGATGTTTAATTTGAAAACGGAGACGAGGTCGATTACATGAAGGGTTTTCCATGGATTTACAATAGGATCATTTTTCAGGACGTTGTTTCGAAGTTCGCGGATGTGACTTTTGATTTCTGCATGTGTAACCCGCCATTCTTCGAGAGCATGGAAATAGAAAACGTGAGTTACAGTTACGTCAGACTAGCCAAGTTTTCAGCGGTTCTCTCTCGATTCTGCACGCGGCGAGGACGTTTACACGAATCAGAAGCAACGAGAAGAACGGACGACGGCGCCACGATCAGCTACTGTCGCTTCGCGCGGAGAGTTGGGCATCGAGGCAATTGAAAAAGGCTCCGAACGGGCTATTTTGTGGTTTCAGGGCGGAGAGGTCGCTTTTGTCAGCCGAATAATCGACGACAGCATTGTTTTGCGAGATCGCGTCAAGTTCGTTTGATTGAAGTTTTTTTTAGATATTACGCATACGCGTTATACAAAAAATGAAAATAGACGAGAAGATTTACGAGTTTTTGGAGTCATATCAAAAGACTCAAAAGAGATTTTAGCGTTTCGATATCTGAAAAAGACAAAGCCGTGAAATGAAGTTGATTTGACAAAGTTTTTTTTTTTTAACTTGGTACAGATTTTTTCTTGATACTCATTTTATCAAGATTGAAAAACGACATACTCATATCCAACTTTTGTGAAAAAAGGAAAAAAAAACTCCGAAATGACAGATTAAAGTCTGCGTTTTGAGAATCTACACTTCGATGCTGGGCCGAAAGCAAAGTCTGACGCCGTTGCGACGTCGTCTGGAACGCCTCGTAGATGTGAAATTCGCCGTGTCGACACTCAACCAAGGAAGAACTCAGCGTTGGATTCTTACCTGGACCTTTGTCCCCAACTTTTCTGTGGAGCCGACGGTCGTCCCAGCTGCGATCATGACAAATATTTTCATTTATTTCAGCCGCCTCGCCTCAATCTGACATGTCCAGCTCCCAGTCTGGCGTGGATTAGCCAACAAATGCGGGATCTCGAAGCTTCCGAATTCCGCGAAACCAATTCATCTGTATGTTTTCATTGAGTGTGATATCTTAGATTGAAACAGCATGGTTCGATTATTTGACGCACTGCGATTTGAGTTTCTTTCGCTCAATCTTTAACTCAGAAATAATATCAATCTTTAGACAAAAATATTTGAGTGAGAAAAGTTGTTTACTCTATTTTTATGCCTTGGAAGATGTTTCATGAAGTATATGTTCTGATGTTTTATTATAAATCATCATCTCAACCACGAGAGACGTTTTTGCAGGTAGTTTACGAATGTCGGCGCGTGACGTGGACCCGACAAAGGGCGCGACGGCGTGCCAGGGCGATTCTTGCCGAACCTCAGCTCAAAAGAGCAAGGCCAGTTGTTTTCCTGGCTTTTTTTTGCAATCAAGAACAAAAACCGTTCTTTACAAGAGTGAACTGGGAAAAAAATAAAAAAATAAAATTTCTTAATGATCTTTTGAGTAAAACTCTGTGATCAAGGGGGAGTGGGGAGTGAAAAGTCTTAATCTTAAGCCTTTTCAAAAATTTTCTGTTTCTTTTTGTTGAAGAATAGTAAACGAAAACTGAAATCGGCACATGAGAATATGATAAATAAACTCATTTCTTTTTCAACCAAATAATTTTTCTTACTTTATATATTTAAAGAAATGGAGCACCGCTAGCTCATAGAGAAGAACAGATGAGGCTTACTTCTACTGAGAATATTTGAAGTTGGAAAAGTGTTTATGGACAACTTTTCTGATAAAAATATAGTTATTTTATCCACAAAAGTGATTAATAAAATAGAAAAGTTTTAATTAAACAACATAATAAAGTGAATTCGTTGGCACCACAATGTGTGATAAGACAAAAAAGCCGCCGAGACATGAGCCTCCGACAAAATAGCTATAGCTGTCACAAAAAACGGCCCTAACCTCTTGTCCAGTGTCTAAGCTACTTTCCTACTAATAATTCCTAGACTAATTTATTTTTTCGCGGTTCAGGTGTGTTACCTCTCATTTCATACGCTTTTTTCATGCGTTGTACAATGTGAAAATTTTTTAATGATTTTTCGGTAATGAAGTCAGTGTATCACATCAGTAACGAGTATTTACATCAGTTTCCGTGCAAGCTACGCTCGCGCCTATTTAAGGACAAGGCAGAACTATTTTTTTCCAAATCTATGTTGTAGAGGATTTTTTTTTTCTGGTTCGAACAAAAATGTCGGAAACCGTACATTAAAGAGATTTACGGTACTTTATAGTTTTCGGTTTTTCTATTCTAGTCGGTCGTGGCAACGATGGATTCAGGTGGCTGAACTGTGACAATGGGACGCAAGTGTCGCTGGGAACAGGCGACGGGAAAGACTCTTTCACAGAGGCCGGCAGTTTCTGCATTTGCCGGAGATGGCCTTCAGCTGCTTCAGAAAAAAACTTCGACGTCGAGGTCCAAGTGAGAATCTCTTCCTTTGACTATTTCTCTGTATCTTATTGAGCCTGCGCTTTCTTTCTTTCCCTCAGAGCTCGCTTTTAGGCCTACTACCCGGTTGAGCCAAACAGTAACTGGCTACAGACTCTCCGGTTTCGGGTCACTCTAGCGCCATCAGACGGTATCTCCATGGAAAAAGTCAACTTTGAACTGCTCTCTGGCGCGAAAACACATTTGCACCAATTGCTTCAGCATCTTCGTAATTCGCTAGCCTCAGTTGGTGTGTAACTGGTCAGTTTTTTTCAAGTCAATGTCGAGATTCATTATATCATAATTATTCTTGACAGTTCACACTGGTTTTCAATATTTCAGTTTACTTAGTCTCATGAGTTGCTTTAAAATAGAGGTGCCTGGTGATTGATCTCTGTAGTTCCTTCCTAGGAAGTTTTTATTCATTTTTTAGAGCTTGAGTTTATTACTTTTTTTTTCTTGGCTTCCGGTTCGAACCAACTCAAATCCCTCTGTCATGTGATGACATTTTACTAAAGATATATAAATTTTCATTTAAAAGTGTGCTCCATAACAGGCAGCATTTGCTCAGTAAGATTTTTCTGTAGAAACTGAAGAGCGAACATGCCAAAAGTGCTCAGGAACAGCAGGAAATAGTCGATACCTGCAATAAGCAAATTATTCTTCTTGATGAAAGCCATTCAATTCGTCATAAGTGACCGCGATTCTTGTTAAAATTCTTGCCTTCTGATAGAGTGTGTGCGCTTTGGATGAAGGACAACGGGACGTACATTACTCCGAATAAGGAAGTCAAACCCATAAGCAACTGAAAAAATTGAGCGCTTCAGATTGGTTAAATCTGAGATTTTCAAAACAAAAGGAAACTCGAGATGCAAAAAAGGACTTACAATTGTCAGTAAATAAGTGTAAAGAAGAATCTCATAAAAAGTGCCGAGCTTCCGCTTGGCAATACAGAAGATGAGGAAGAGCAGCGCGACGGCAGCACAAGTCATGTGGATTCCGAAGAGAATGTTGACGATCACGCTTCGTTCCAACTTCAGCTTGTAGATTAGTCTGAACGGTTTTCATAGATCCAATTAAATCTCTTGAGGAGCTTTTTTCTATTGAAAAAGACATTTTTTTATCAATTATGAGGAAAATTGCAACTGTGAGGGAAGGATTTGAACGATGGAATACAGGGTTTGTTTAATCTAGAGTTCTAAATAAGGCGAAATTTATAAAAGAAAAGAAAAAAACCATATTATAATATACAGTCTATCTTGGTTTATTAAAACGAAACGAGGAAACTCCATTATTGCGAGTCAAATTTGCAAATTGTTACTCCTTTTTCACTGTTCTTTCAATAGTTTCAATCGTTAAATTGTAACGAACCCGATAATTACGGAGAAGCCGAATTGGAGAGCGGAGAAGACGATGGAGGTGGCGCGATGCGAAAAGGCGCACAGCCAGGAGCCCTTTTGCACGTTGAGCGACGTCTCCGACATGGGCAGGTGAGCGACGTCCTCAGACGTCCGTCGACGACGTCTTCTGCTCGAATGAGTGGCTGACTCTGCAGCCGCGGAGAGTGTGAAAACGGAGCATTTCTGCGACGACTTGGCGCGTAATCGTGCTGTTTGGGCAGGGAGGACAGAAAGGGGCAGCGAAAAAAGAACGCAATTCGGCTAATTGGTAATAGGGCGAGTGCCTTGGCTCGAGGAGCTTCTTCTTTTCTCTAGCTGCCTCTCACAACTTGTTGGCTAATCGCCTTTCCTTTGCGATTCATCTCCGGCGATAAGACGTTTTCCGGTAGCCACTTGTTTTCGGCAACATTCCAACCTATTTGCGCCGCAATTGGATCTGGCTCCTCGTGCCAGTACTTGCCTTTTACTGACAGAGACTTGAATCGAGCGCTTAACAGCTGGATGATAGGATGGCAAAGAGTCGAAAATGGGAGAAGTTTTGTTTGTATATGGAGAGAAAAGGATCCGCAGGTGAGATCATCAGAAAGTAAATTAAAAGTGAATCTTATTTCAGGAAGAATTCAAAATTACCTAGTTTTTTTTTCCTTAAAAAAAGCCGTCGTAAAAAATTTTGCGTTACACGATTGAAAAAAATTAACTAAAAGTGGTTCAAAAGCGTATTTCACAAAAAGAAATTAAGATTATGAGACTGCACGCAGACATAATAACAACTGAAAAGAAGGATGAAAAAAACGGAGAAAGACTTGATGAGAATATTTTAGAATGCAACCGTCAATTATAACCACCAGAAACCTTTTTGACAAAAAGGAAAAATTTTGGTTGGAAAAAGCATTGAATTGTTTTTAATTGCTGCAGCATTCAAATTTATTCATCAAAAGCTTTAGTTTTTGTGAAAAGTCGTAAGGTCTCTTATTCAAAAATCAAAAACTTCAAAAAACCGCAGGAGAAGAGAGTTTCTTCATGCAAAAAAAGGAAGCGAGTAGGAGTTAATCCATTATCAAAAACGTTAAAACTCCTTTTCTTTCACGGTTGTTTATGCAGACGTTTTCTTGCATTAAACGAGCTCTATCTATTGAATAATTTATAATACAAGGATGAGGAAAGTAAAAGCAAAGAAAAAGCAAAAGTGATATCGAACGGAGCTTTGAGAACGGACAAAATCTGCGAGCTCGCGCTCATCGATTTGAATAATCGACAAAGAGCTTTCAAAGATTATGGCAAAATCCGGATCATAGGCCCCAAGGCATTCATCCCGTGTCTTCCAGAGATTATATTCGCGTCGCAGCCGAATCTCTCATTGTTTTCAGAAACATAATTTGATGCGGAGTACTAAATGGAGTCAATATCAGATTAAACGACCATAATAGTGATACAACTAATCGAGAGAGAAACATAGAGTGTGTGGGAGGATGCTAGCTAATATCAACACTCGTGGAAGAGAAGACAAGAAATTTCCGTCCAAGAAGGTTGATAATTAGAAATTTATTATTCTAGGCAGACATAGGGAATGGCGGTCCTATAGAAAAGAAGTGGCGCGGCATCGGTGCTCGGCGCACCGGCAATTTGAGGCATTCGACATCGGAGTCAGTACGTGAGACGTCGAAGAGCTCCTGGAATCATTCTTCGAAGTTCAGTTATCATAAAGGACCTGTGTAGGTTCTGAAGCCGCAGAGGAATCGACGCTCTGGACGAACTCGAAGCTGAGAAACGCGGTCGAGAGTGCGCGTCTGACATACAGTCCATCACTAGAGACCACCTAGAAGTTTCAGTTTCAACTTTTGAAGCGGTTCTTGGGTGTACACGTCCAAAGGACAGCCAGGAGGGCACGCGAGACCTCGATCGGGTAGCCGGAAACTCCTTAAAGCAGTGCTTTCGAGATGGTGAAAAACCCGTTTTTTTAAATCTTGTTCTGATGTTCAGAATAATTTTTCATCCAAACTCCTCACAGATTTGGGATATCGTAGTTCGCAGAGATACCTTCAATACTTATGATGGTATTAAGTCTGAACCCAGAATCTTACAGAAAAATTTTCAAACATACCTTTTAATTTCTTCTAGCGATTTTTGGTAATGTGGCTCTGCACCAAGCGTCAGACACTCCCACATAAACACTCCGAACATCCTGAAACTATTTTCCGAAAGAAGTTGTCAAAAGAAACGGACCAAACGTCGCACTCCGGCAAGTGTCGTGGGAAGCGGTCAGTAGAACATAGGACCTCCGGTGGCAGCCAGGCGACCGGCTGAAGTCCTCCCTGCGGAGGAACGCCAAAGTCACCGAGTTTGGCGACGCAGCGTGAGATGTCCTGACTCGAGAGCAAGACGTTTCTTGCCGCGACGTCACCATGTGTCATCTCCAAGCCGCTAATCGCGTCCAAACACTCGTGGATGTGCGTCAGCGCCTCGGAGATCTAAGAAAAACAAGGAGTACAACCGAATTGAAGTCTGATCTGAAGGTGTTCACTAGCTCGAAAAAGAAAAGACTCTTTGGAAGGGGAACAGAAAATTTTCTTTGATGTAGCAAAAAATTTATAGAGTCTTCGTAGTGTGAATTTCCGATCAAAATCGATAAAAAGGGTTCAAAAAGATGAAGGGGAAACCTGTTTCATGACGCTCAACATGTCGGTGAGGCTGACAGTTTGTTGCTGCCGCTCTTCAACATTCTGAACATTCTCAGATCTCAAAAATCTTATCAAAGTTACTCGAATGTGGTTCTTGAAGAACTCTGCCAATGAGCCGCCAGGTAACCATTCAATTACAATCAGTGGTCGGAGAACTGCAAAAGGCTTCCCAATAGAGTCGCATTCGGAAACCTGAGAAGGAGAGCCGCGAAACTGCAATGAGTCGGACAATGTTCGGATGCTGCAGTCGAGACATTCTGGCGGCCTCTTCCAACAGGCAGATGGACTTTTTAACGATAGGAAAACTCATCTAAAAGACTCGTTTGAATGAAAATAATCGTAGGAGTCACCTTGACCGCGGCGTTCACGCGTTGTTTATACCTAAATATTCCAAGGACTTGAAACGAATTTCGAAAAAAAAACCTTTTTTGAGTCTTTGGAAACACGCCACCCTTGAAAACAAATCCAAAGTGACCTTGTCCCAGCTGAAAATCTTCGATTTCGATGTTCTCGTCGTCGACAATCAGATGTTGCAACTCTTCAATAGATATTTTTGTTTATTTTTTGGGTTTGAATCTTTGAACATAGACCTTGCGATTAGCAATAATCAGACCGGTATTTTCATGAAAATAAGCTTAAAACGCTCAACTATAATTTTAAAAAGGTTTGTTTTTATTTTTCACTTTACGAAGTTTTTCAGACTTTCTTTTTTTGAGTAAAACAAGTCAAACAAGGTTTTGATTTTTATAAAAAAATTGAATTTTTCATTTTGAGCTCACGATTCAAAAAAATAAAATAACTTTCATCAATTGTAATTTTTCATTCATCTCACTTTGGAGAAATCAACCACAATACGTTTTATTTTTAAATTTTGAAATCAAGTTTTTCCGAATTTGATATTAAGAAAAACTTACTTTTCTCGGAAAAGTTTTTTTGTATTTTCAATATCTAATCAAATTTTTAAAAAAAAACCTCTTTCCAGTTGTTTCATACGCTTTGCGTAGGGATAAATGCTGTCCGCTACAGGCAAACACATTTTTTTGCCATCTGAAACCGTTTCTTATTTATTTTGAGGTCTTCAACTCTGAGTTAAGTCCCATATGTAGGGGGCGCAAAGCCCCGCCCCTTCACGCCACCAAAATGACGATTTTTTTTGTCGCAAAAACGGTTTTGAGGCGTTTATACTAGCTAAAGTCCCACTTTAAAAATGAACTGTTTCTGTTAGTCTATGTAATCGACAACGCTCTACAAGACTGAATATTTTTTAAACTATGTATTTTTCAAAAATAAGCGAAAAAGTAAGATTTAACACGAAAAAAACTGACAAGTTTCACAAAATCGTCGCGTTTCAGAAAACCATCGCTTCTAAATTTTAAGTATGTTATACATTAAGACTTTCTTTATTTTTTTGAGTGAAAATAAAAATCTACCGACGCGAAAAAAATATTAAAGCTTGTAAAGTGACACCAAACTTTGAAGCTGAAATGCGAAAAAAAATTTCAGCGACATGGTATACTTTTTTATTTGATTTAAAAACTAACAGTGTGTCCAAAAAAATAAAAATTCAAAATGAAAAATTATTATTGGGACAGCGAATCAAATTATATTTGAGTTTTACCAAAACCTCCTTTTTTTCGCCTGCCTCGTTGACGCATGAGAGAATAGGATCGCGTCTATATTTTTTTGATTATGTTATTAAGCGTTCAAAAATTCTATCAATGAAAAAAAATTATGAAAAAAATCGATCGACGCGAAAAAAATAACGGCTTTGAAAAACCTCGAAAAAAATGGCAATTTTTTTGAAATTTCGGAAGATTTCGTGCAAGCGTCCGTAGCAGTGTTTGCATCAAACACACCGATGCGCCCTTTTTAAATGTCGCAGGAGCCGTTTTTTTCGGAGTCAAATTGCACTTTTTTTCCTGTTTTATTTCGAAATAACATTATTTTTTTCATTTTTCCAAATCGAATGATAATAATTTTTCCTGAGTAGAAAAAAAGAAAAAAATAAGCTGAAAAAAATCCCTTTGACCTTTTTTTCTAGGTAGTTTTTTTGATATTTTATCAAAAAAATTCTTATGAGGATTGTACAAAAGATTCATACCAAAACATGAGGATCAGTTCGGACAACCTCTCAAAACATAAAACCGATTTAAAAACGGTCCAGAAACGCGCAAAAACATTTAAAAAGAAAGCGTGCGGCAGCGGGTAAACCGTGAGATTTTGCCTCCAGTTGTACGCCGCGCGCGCTCGTTTTTTGGCCATAACTTTTTTCTTAGTGAAGCTTTTTTTAAAAACTAAACGGATTATGAAAATGGACAGTCTTCTCTATCGAACAATGTGAAAAACATATTTTTTGAATCGTTCTGAAGAAATGGCTTGCGGTCCCTACCCATATGTAATGTCTTCAGGCGGAAAAAAAGGTTCAGATAATTTTTAGCCCAAATTTTGGGAAGTTATATTTTTATGGTTTTATTTTTACATCACAAATTTTCTGTTTCCGTAAAATTTATTAGAAAGTATGACTGACTTTTGCAGAAACAAAACAAAGCGAGCAGATAAAATGACGTCATGGCGACAACGGTAGCATAAGGGGTCATGTAGGAGGCGGAGCAGTTCTCCTCGAGAAGCTCGCTGGCTCCAGAAGCCTCCGGATGAACCGGAGCCGTCGTCATTTGCTACTTTTTGCCTTTTTCTCGCGAATCTTCGCTCGCGGGCCGGCCAGAAACGGGTTCATCGTCATCGATTTTATCGGTCACGCCCCCTCGAGGGAAGAAGTTTCCATTCGACTTTGAGGCGATCAAACATGGTTTCAAATCCATCATTCCCATCGAAAGTTTTCAGAAAATGAAACTAAAAACTTGGAATTAAAATTTTTTTTTGAACGCTTCAAAAAAATAATAAAATTCAAAAAGAATCAAGAGCTGGGTCGTTTAGTTTGTTCAGGTTGTCTGAATTTTTCTCCGCGACTCCTGGAACCTGAAAAGTTGATCATAAGGGCGGAACTATTTCTCCTCTTGATAACTATTTCTGCTTCATTCTGACGGTTCATCGTGAACAGGACGACATTGAGCGAGGCGTCGATGAACACTATAGATCCCTGGAAAACATAAGCTACTTAAAATCTTTTGGTTGATATATCTTTTCAACTTTTTCAACAGGCGCGCTCCAAATGCTCAGCATTTTCTGGCCTGAGATGAAAAGAGTTCCATTAGAGAGGACGTTCCGAGAGCGGATTATCAGTCGCACCTGCTCTTGCCAATTGCAAAAAAAAAAAACACAAAAATCTTTGGAAATACCCCAGTTTCTTTGCAGATGCGCTGAACGGCATTCAGGCCGAAGTGATACTTTCCTTTGCCTAAAATGAAAAAAAAAATCAATTCAGAAATTCGAAAAAAGGCAAACGTGCGTCGTAGCGGTACATTTTGATAGTGCCGGTTGGTTGACCAAAAATGATTTGTTTAGCGCGGTTATCCATATTTTCGTAGTGCAAAGGTCGCTTAATCGTTTGAAGACACGCGAGGTTTGTCATCTGCATGAGATGAAGTTTTGTTTTGAAATTTCTTTTCTTGAAAACTGTTTCATCAGCTCCGGAAAGCTCTTTGGTTAGCCTGTTCAAACTCACGTCATGGCAGATTCCACTGTGAACAGCGAGTATTTCAGAGCCTAGACGTGCCGCCAGAGGCAAAACGGCACACATCCGCCTCGCGGCTCTAAAAGTTAATATTTGAAGATGTGAACGAAGTGGTGGGAACCAACGAGAGAACAGTCTTGTCGCTGGCTCCTCCGAAACGATGCGGCAAGTCGAGAAGCGTCTCTCCGATGCCGCGCAACATGAAGACGTCGTTGGGGAAGGCAGTCTGCAGAACTAACATTTCTTCTGGATTCTAACCGGGATAGAGCCTTGAGAGCGGCGACAAAGGCGAGGCATTCAAGCGAGGAGGACAGTAGTGGATCGACGACGCCTCCGAGAAAGAGAAGCTTGTGGCCTCTGGGATTGCCGATAACCTGCATCCAACGGTGGAGGTCTGCGTATTGCCCTTGGATGTCGCCTATTACAACCACGGGCAGCGGAATGTGCAGCAACATACTGTCCGCTTCGAAACATGACTGAAGTCTCATTTTACTCTGTGCTTCTATTTCCCTCCAAGAAGTCTATACGAGTGTGTCACGATTCTCTAGCCCCCGAGTTCTTATTTCAATAATTTCAGATGTACTATTAAGAAAACTCGAACATAGCAAGTGCGCACGACTTCTGTCAAAAACCTTGGCTTGATCAAAAGTCTCCACGAGTCCAGCTGGTTTCCATGGGTATTCATAAGGACCATGCTCGATTAAAGCTTGTATCATAGTGTCGTGTTGTATCAAGAACTCTCGGCTACTCTGAAAGAAGAAGCTCATGTTTAGAGAGAGAGAGGATCTGTACTCGGAAGCAGCTGTGAGCTAGGCCAACAGCCTCCAGGTCAACCTCGTGAAACTTGAACCGCTCAAGATGTGCATCTGCATTGAGTACAGGAGGCGGGGTTCTGAATTTCGTTTCCGGGTGTTTATGGATCTACCGAAATGAAAAATGCTTATGTTCATATTCCTGCTGACATCTCCATGAAGGCGAAGGTTCGACAGATGTTGAGGAAGGAGAGCTGACCGCTGACTCGTCCGTCGGTCACGGCCAGAGCCTCGACGTCCGGCCTCTCTTGCAGGACCTCCAACGCCTCTTCGATCGGCTGGTGCATGTTGTCGATGGCGCCAGCGATCTCCCTCGCCTTCCAATAGAAGTGGTACCTAGAGGGATTCCGAATATCCAGAGACGGACTCAGCTCCTACCAAAAAGGCCAAATGCAAGCGATGGTTGTGAGTAGAATGATCACGTAGATCAGGAACTCGTCTATTTGCACCACATCACGAGTCTCCTGGGGATTTAATAAAAACATTTGAAAAACAACCTCCTCATCTTAAAAAATGATAGTTAATTGATTATTATTCTATTTCGTTTTATTTCTACTTTTTTGTTACCTTCGTCTTGTTAAATTTTTTTTATTAATCTCATCCACCTTAGATTTAGTTGTAATCGCCAAATTTTTTTAATACATTTTTTTGATTTACTGCAAAGGAAATATTCTCCTCTAATTTTTTTGTATTTTTGCCCAATTGCCCAAAAAAATTCTTTTTTTCGAAACTAAAATGAATAATAATCGTATTTATCTCATTTCTACATCCCGAGTGGTCGGTCTTCATTTCCGCTCTCGTCTGAGATTTGATCCGACGCCCGCCAGCCCCGAACGAGAAAAAGGACAAGATGATCTACGAGCCAATCTTGGTCAACGCGATTCCGCGAACCGACGATCAACTGTTCATTTATTCCATGATTCAACGGAGAATCTTCTCTTGAGACTTAATAAGCTTGTAACTTGTAAACTGAACTCTTATTGAAAATTAAATCAAAAAAAAAACTTGTTTCAAAGGTATTTTTTCCATCTACGTCTGTTCAAGGCGGCCGCTCGTATTACGGTAGATTACAAATGATGTTGGGTAATAAAATAAAAATTTATGCACTTATAGAAATGTCTTTTTATCTCGTGATGTAAGAAAAAGAGCAGAAAAGGGGAAAAACCCCCCGAAGAATATCAAAATACCTTCAGTTGGACTTTCTTGTTGAGTTCCGAAAAACTGAAAGGATCGTAGGAAATTGCTTCGTTGCAAAGCGACGTGTTGCAGCAGTACTTGAAATAGATTTCGTAGCTGTTGGGTCTGCGACAAAGTCTCCTGGCGCGAAATCGGACTCAACTCACGACGAAGCGTTATCGCGTGCGTACTTGATGACGTAGGGATTTTGGCGAAGCGGCGAGCACATGTGAGACTTCGCCCTGTGCTTGTAGGAGCTCTGCTGACAGGCGAACTGCGTCCTATTTTTGTACCCTCTGCAGATTTCATTTTCCCTGTCATCTCGAATTGTCACAATTCAAAATCATCCGAAATTTCGATGAATTTCAAACTGAGGCATATTGCAGAGCATGTTGACCAAAAAAAATCTTCCTTTTTTTTCTCGAACAACTGCCATTATTTCTAACCGATCGCGATATTTTTGAGGTCTTTTGAACATTTGGGAAAGTGGGACATACCCTTGAAAGAGGACCACGCAAAATCCAAGACATTTTTCGATTTTACTGAAGGTGAGATTCCCAACTTTGCAGTGCAAAGAGCCGATGGCCAAAAGCTGAAGTTGAAAAAAAAGGAATTGAGCACCCAAGTTGTCCTTACAGGAACATTGAATATACTCCAAAGTTCGAACAGCTTCTCTTTGTCAGCTGAATTTTTTTTTGCGCTTTGGAAGAAAGGAAAAATAACATACTTTTCACATCATATGTCCCTTCCGTACATTTGCTCGAGTAGCCTTGCCCGTCTACAAACAGATTACCTTTGAAATAGTTTCTAGAACCTTGAAATTTCGGAAAACACGACCAAACATTTTTTTTCAGTCATGTTAATATGTTTTTTTTTCTACTTTTTAAAGTATATTTTTTAGTACGAACCACATAAAATAAGGAAGAAGTTGAATAAGAAGTATATTTCCCACTTGCGGCGCATTTTTCGACTATAAATGAGATTTTTAAGAAGCTCAAGATATCACGTGAGACGCGTGGAATACACAAATTACAAGACAGTTCTGCGAAATGACTAAAAAAAACGGGAGACAGTCATTTCTAAAGCTCTCAGATCATTCAAGTTTCCACTTCGGAGTTTTTTCAGAAGATTTCAATTCATGTTATAAACATTATTGAAGTTTTTCTCAAACTTCCGCTTCTCAGCTTTTCTTCTCTTTGGACTTAACCACGATGTATGGGTCCGATATGATTCTGCTGGGCAACCGGAATCGATACTCGCAGCGATTCAGACGTAAATCCGTGAGTTGAAAGGAAAATGAATTTTCTTGAAGCCCTCATATCCACCTTTCATCCTTTTGTCGGTTTTGAGTTCTTTCGACTCCCATGGAGCTCTTTTGACTTCTTCATGAAATGAATGAAGATGCCCGACAAGTCACTTGGGGCGAAGCACAAAAGCTAAAATTCTAGCCGTGAGCTGACTGAAACAATCACATTTTGCCGACGGCGTCGCGTCGCATTTCGAAGGCGTCTAACTCGGTTTCCTGACCACAAAATCAGGCGCTTTTGCCATTGACTTTCACCCTTGTTCAAGTTTCCATATTCTAGTTTTTATCTAGAGACCAGTTCCTCAAATCTAATTATATATTCAACTTTCTCGACTACATCCTAGTTCTAAATATCTGGATATAATGAGAATGTTTTCCGTTGCTGAGTATTCTTTCATAATTAAATATTTTTGAGCTAATTTCTCATGAATATTTTTTTATTATAATAGTGATGATGGGAATTTGAAGGAACTAGGAAATATTACACTCTACAAATAGTTGAAAACTTTGAATCAAAAAATCTGAATCCTTATGAATACGGAGCTTTTTTCTTTTTTTTCGGAAAAAAAAGGCGAATCAACTGATTTGTTCCAAAAGGAATATCACCAGATTAACAAGGGAGTTCAGAAAATTTTAATCTTCAAAAAAAGATTGTTATGCAGTTTGAGTCTTCATGATTTCTATTACAGCGCTTCAAGGATTGTTTAGAAGAATTCTCGAAAAACATGCATGTAAAAGTATGGAAGTTATACATTGAACGTTGACTAATTCCTTGTGTGCCGCTGGCATTCTGGCAGGAAATCGAACTTGTAATTTCAAAGAGAACCAAGATTTGATTAGATTTGCACGCGCGCAAGTTTTTTTTTTTGGCTCGCCTGATAATCTCGATTAGAGAAAGCCGAAGCTTTCGGAGTTTTTTTCTCTTTCAAATAAAAAAGAGTTGTTTTCATTTTCTGTCCTTCTATGATGTATTAGTGCTTTTTCTATTTATTCCGAGACAAATTCTATACCCATCGTTTTAGTGAGAGAAAATGGCTTGGAAGGCGGTGTGATGGGCGTTTCGCGAGTCTTCCTAATAAGTTTCGAAGCGGAGAGAGCCGCCCCGCGGGACGTTTTGGCTTATGAAGTGTCGGGGTGTTTTGTGTCGAAATTGTTTATGTGTTGTGCCTTGTTGCGTGAAGCCGTCTTGTCTTCTCTCCCTCGCACCTCAACCCATCCGCCGACACGTGTCATTTCGCGATGACAGCCAGTATCACTCAGACCTGTCCACTGACATCCGATAGCCTCAGCTCTTCTGATTGTTGCAATCGCATCATAGTCTCTTTATTTTTAGTTGCCTGGAATCCTGCGCTCATCGTAGAGGCTCGCATACCTGACAAGGATCCTTTGAGACCGCTTAATTTAGTTCCTATTCTTGTTGATATATTCTCAAAACGTTCAAGCATCAAATGAAGGAAAAACAGTATTGAAAACTCTGAAAAAAAAAATTCTGAAAGAACCGAAAAAAAAAGTCAATAAAAAAGTTGCGTGATATTGGAAAATGAATAAAACGCGCGTATCCACAAAAAATTCTTTTTTTTACAAGTTGAGAGCAATAACTGCTTCGAACAGGCCATTCGCCAATTTTGACTCGTGATTTCAATTTCTTTTGTCCGATTTAATTGAACCTTTTCCTCCATCTTCTTTGTGAGAACTTCACTAACCATAATATACTAGAAATAAAATTTGCGCAGTATTTTTCATAAGAAAATAGAATTCGCGTTATCATGAAGAAACGTAACTTATAATCAGCTCTTCGAAGATCGATTTTTTTTTCTAAACATTCCGTTTCCTGCTCCGCTTTGAATTAGTTCTAAAGGAAATCGTAAGTTGCTTTTTCGGATCAGTGAAGTTTTATTTTTTTAAATCTAAGTCTTATATAATATGCTGACGTCCTTTTGCTCAAGAAAATTGAACTCGCTCGAAAATTTTTCAACGCGGTAGGTCTGATATTGTGAAAAGGATGCACGCACATAGAAAATGCTGGGTGAGAAAAAGGCCCTAATTTATGCCGCATGGCGGTTTCAGAACTAGAAATACCTCTCCCTGAATAGTTTTCACATTTTTGAGAGCTTTCATAAAATAATTAAGTTTTTTTTTTTCAAATCAAATACAGTGTGCTTCACCCTTTCATTTTTTTGTTTGGTAGCTGAATTCTTTTAACGACGAACATGGGTTTTTTTTTTCAATTAATTGATTTAATCAAATGATTGTTTTCAATCTTTCAGTTTGTATTACTGAAAACCGTAGGATTAAAGGCATAGGGGCAGTAAAAAACGATGTTTCAGTTCAAAGCAGTACTTTGTAGAGCTTTTCATTGCGAATCGAACGGTGAACTTGGAAACGTACAGAACTTCATCGTTTTGGAGAAAAAATATTTCAAAGTCGGAAAGAGGAAAGTTTGAGTTCCCGCGAAAAGGGCACTTTGCAGTAAAGTTGCTCTATGGACAACAGGCTTCGCCACCTTCCGGATTTTCGCTTTTTCTCTTCGTTTCTTTCAATTTTCAATTTTTTCTGTTGTCACCAAAATTCTTTTCGTCACAAAAGCTTTCTATTCATGTATAATATGCAAAATTTGATCGCAAAATTGCTTTTCTGGTGAAAAATGATGATTTTACACAGGTTTCGGTTGGGATAGCGATTATTTGTGTTTTCTTCATTATCGGTGTGTGTTTTTTGTTTGACTAAGTGTTTTTTCAGAGAAGAAACCCTTGATTTGAAGCAGATAACCGGTTATTTCATACAAAATGCGAGTCTAATGAGACTTCCGCAACATCGCGTGCACGGCTACTGTAAACAGTTGTCCGTAGGCCGATCCAAAGCTTTTTTCAAAATTAAAGGCGGGAAAGTAAAATCGCGTTTTTCTTCTAAAGTTGTCACATCTGTAATTTTTTTGAGTACACTATTCGATTCGCAAAGAAAAACAATATAAGATACTGCTTTCACCTGAAACCCCATTTTTTACTGCCCCTATGCCTTATCACTCGTTTTGGAAATCGAAAAACAAAACAAAGTCGTATTATACTTTCAGTGGCAACTTATTCAAACAAAAGCTCAAGGAATTGGTTTACACGAGCCCCGCGCGGCTAGTGATACTCGAGGCACCTGCAATCCCTCGTTTACACCTGTCCTCACGTCCTCGAAACCGACCCAAGCCGCTTTCTTCTCGGCTTCTTCTTCTCCTCCTCCAATCAAACAATTTCCGTCTTCAAATATAGTTTCGCTGCATTATTTTTCTTTTTTCATTAGATTTGAAATCCCAATACATTTTGAAGCGGCCGATGTTAACCTAGAGGTTTTCAATCAAAAGGTTCAATTTCTCAAACCAATGCCGGGCCGCTAAAAAAAAACCGAGCTTAAGCCTAACGATCATCAGTCACGAGTTTTTTTTTTGTTGAAATTAACCGAAAAAGACGCCCATCTGTGTTTTTGTTTCGTTTTCGTAGAAGGAATATTGCAATAAAAAGGTATCCAAAAACACATTAAATAAAATGATTTCATTCATGCTCCTTTTTCACCTCCCTGTGATATTTCCCGACAGAGCAGGATCGCGTACCAGAAGAGAAGCCTGACTGAAAACTCATTTTTTTTTTAGTGAGATTTCCTTGACTTAGAACACCGTGTTCGCCTACATTTTTCCAATTAACAAACGCTCTCCGAGAGAACCGCTTCGAAAACAGTTCGGCGCCAAACTTTCAATTTATTTTTGTTGACCGCCTCTTCGATTCTTGGCTTATCGTAGACGGCAGAATTATGACATTTTGGAGAAATAACTTCAAACGGTAGTTGAGCAAAAAAAAAGTCCAACCCTATTTTTCAAACCAGCTCAATCCCAAACAGCGCAGAGAAAGTCTGCGCCTCACTCTCAACTTTATTGAGAAGAGGTTTTTGTTTACTCTTTAATCGAGAAACGGGAAACTTCTATTCGCAATTTGCTCCAATAATCTGAACCCAGACCTAAATTTCGTAATTTTCCGTCTAATACTTCCACTTCCCTCAATCTTTCCCTACAGAAGAAGGATCCTGCGATGGAGACGCCGAGATGAGTCGTCTGGATCCGTACAGCGCTCCGATGCGCGAGGAGCAGAAGGCCATCCTCAACGGATTGCTAGGTTTGGCTTTGGGAAATGGTTCGGTTTCTCGTCTTTCTCATACCAAATATCTCAGTCTGACCAGAACAAGGCTTCGGAAGATCAAAGTCAACATTTTTCGAGTATTAGGAAAACTTTGAAGAACACAATATTTTACCATGACCTAACTGGAAAATGGAGGCCCTGCTGTCGAACCTTGCTGCGCTCTGAAACACAAAGTCGTTCAGGGATAATCTACGACAATTACGACACGACGAGACGAGTCCAGCACACGGTGGACAGCATCTACCGCGTCGTCGTCTTTCTTCTTGTCGTCGTCCTTGGTCTCGTGGGGGCTCTCGTCGTCTTTCTCTGCATCGCACACTGTCGAAGAGTCCGGAACGAGCGGTGAGTTCAGTCGTTGTGGTTTTATTCGTTCCTTTTTTTTTCGCAAAAAATAACTGCGGAAACAAGATTTTTTAGAATTACTAGTAGAAACCGAAATCAAATCTGAAAATTTTTATTGGTCGCTTTATCTCACGTTTTGAAAAATGTTTAAAGCTCAGGAAGCCAAGAAACTCTCCCTCGATAAGAAATTTCTAACGATAAACCAAAAATTTTGTCGATTTTCCGTGGTAGGCCATTCCGCGCTATAATCTGTTCAGATTTTTAATTTCAACCAGCTAAATCCGCTTCTTCTGAGACGGTACCTTTTCGCGTCAATGTTTTATCGCGCGGGACTAATTTTGATCTTTTTTGATCTAAAAGATAAAAAAAGAAGTCAAAAAATGCAGGCTTATTAAAGGACCATCGTCCTATGCATAGTCTGTTCAGATTTTGAATGTCAAGCAGCTAGCTCCACCCCCAAGGCTACAATATCTTTCGCGTCAATGTTTTATCTCCAGATGACGATGGTCCTTTAATAAGGCTGCACTTTTTGACTTCTCTTTCTATCTTTTGGATCAAAAAAAGATCAAAATTAGTCCCGCCGATAAAACATCGACGCGAAAAGGTACTGTCTCAGCAGGGGCGGAGTTAGCTGGTTGACATTCAAAATCTGAAAAGACTATAGATAAAACATTGATGCAGAATCACTCCGTTCGATGCGCGCTGGATGTTTGTCTGCCTGCGTTTTTATTAGGCCTAAAATTTCCGTTATATAGTCAATTCATGCCGACTCGAAAAGCGAGAAAGTCAGAAAAGTGTCCAGGACGCGTAGCGTGTGCGTACGCGGTTCTTGGCACGAATTCAATCCTAGCGCCACCGACTATGTGGAGAGTTCATTCACCGCTCATTTTGAATCAGCTGTACTGTTTTTAATGCACAAATGGAGAAAAAGAAATGGAGAATGGAATAAGAAATGAAAATAGCGATGAAAGAGCTTCCAAATAGTAACACGCCCCGCCCCCTTCTTCGCCTCCCTCGACTTTCAATTCGGGAAAATGGGGCTTTGAAAGAATGGTTCGGGAAGTTATCCTTCATCTTATCGGATCCACAAAAAAAGAACTGTGATGTTTATTTCGTGACAGTTTCGAGGGTGCTGTAGTTTTGGCTTCCATTTTGAGTGACAAAGACGAGGTTGTAGGTCGGATGTGGAGCGAAACATCCGAAAAAACTCACAATTGCGATCTCGGATGGGTGGGTACGGCTCTGTTCGACAATCAGAGCCCTGAGCTCATTCTCCAGCTTTTCCTCATTATCAAACACATCGACGTTTTATCTACTGATACTGATATTATTGCTTCTCAGGCAATCGCCACTGCACCAGCACAATCGAAAGCCATCGCCGATTGAAATTTGAGCCGGTCATCTTTGATATGTTTTCCATTTAGGCGCAGACTTGTTCTGCGCCATTTGGGTTTAGGCTGGGTTGGAAAAAATTAAAATTGAGCTTTGTGACTTTCTTATGGGTTTTCACAATTTCTTTCAACGTGACGTGTTCAAAGACTCCTACCTAATCAATTGTTGGTTAATGTTCTTGTGTACTCCCATTTCAGTTTGAAAAAATGAAAACACAGGCAAAGTCTAAAAAAGTATCTTCAAACAGAATTTTTTTTCACAATACGGCCTTTTAATTACCTTCCTAGCGATAGGATTTTAATTACCGTCCTATCGCTAGGAAGGTAATTAAAATCGCGCTATAGCGCCTTTTCTATAGCGCCTTTTCATGAATTTTTCGGAAAGGTTCTTTTTTTTTAAATAGGAGATAGTATTGAAAAGAAGAAAATCATATTCATTTATAGAGAAGCAGTAGCACCTTTTTTGGAACTCAAAAAGGAGCTACTGCTCTTCTTCTAAAATCCTCAAAAGGTCGCTTGGACTTTGCCAGTGAATACAAAAAAAATTTGTAGACCTTTTTATTTCTAATGTCCACAGAAATGCTCATTCCCTTCTGCCGTTAGTTTTTTTTTGTTTTTTGTTTTTTGAGTTTTTTTTCGAGTTCCAGCGTTTCTTATATTGAAAAGAACGCCCACTGACTAGTATCTCTAATTTTTTTTTTCGGATAAATATTGATAAATGTTTTCTTGCCTGCTTTTGTTTTTAAACCACCTAATTTGTCAGAAAATATTCGAAGCGGAATGCGAAAGCTATTTCTCTAATTGACGGGCGCAGCGGAGTTAAACTTTCGTAATCAGTTTCTTTCGCTTAAGTGAGCACAGCGTTTATTAGGATCATGCGAGCAAGTTGCATCGAGAAGTGAAACATCAGAAAACCCCCAGAAAAACGTTTTTCAACCTATCAATGAAATAATAATATTCAAAGCAGTTATTATAATACATCTGCTAAATTAACCTTGTTTTGTTTCATATTCTCAAAAAAGGTATAAACTGCAGTTGGCGTAAAACGTAAAAACGCTTCATGAAGCGTTTTTATAGGCATGCTGGAAAAGTCGGTCGGTTTGGTCAGTTTGGAAAACTAGGCCCCAATTTTGTTCCATCGAACGCTTAGAATTTTAAACTGTTTTTTTCTTTTCGGAATTTTTCTTCCTTTCTCAACTTTACTAAGAAGGTTTTCGCTTATTTTCATCCGATTGTATCGCTCTCGCGAGCAAAATACGATGGTTACTACATACAAAATTATAAACTGATGCATTTTTTGAAAATTCTTATTTATTTTCTTGGATCCAAAATAACTTCATTTAACCAAATGAACGATACTAAAAATCATAAGTAATCGGAAAATGAGATAATTTGTAAAATACACACAAAATAGGCAAGAAACAAAATCACCTCCAATAAAAGGTAACAGCAAACCTTGAAAAATGACCTTACTTGAAACATCCGTTTTTTTAGTAAGTGAAAAAGTCGTTTTTTTCTGTAATTTATTATATATTATACTGTCGAAAATAGCCTTGTTCATTTTATTGAATAGAAAAAAAATGGTCAAAAATGGTCTAGTATGGCCAACGGAGACGGCACAGTGCAAACCGGACGGGTCCCTGTAGGTCTGAACTCGTGTGAAGCGGAGATATTTTGACTTTTTTGTTTGAGTAGAGCTAAGAACCTTTAGTCGTTGGAATAAAGTGAATATATAGTCCATTCGCCGCGACTTGAAACTTTCTGCCTATCTGCGCCTCTCTGTTCCCTCACCGGGGAGGTTAGAGAAACATGGAAATAGCACGCAAACGTGAGAGCGTCGCCGAGAGAAAAAGAGGGCGCAGAGAAATCTCTGCCGTTTCAAGTTGTGGCAAATGGACTATATATGGAAAATACTTTTAGAATGTCAGGTTCGCGTGGAATACACTATAAAGATTACTCAGATGTTGCCGGACAAACGGAAAGGTCGCTTCTCAAAGTTCTCCTTAAGTAATCACTAAAGAAATCTAAAGTCTTACTGAACTTATTCATTTCATAATAAAAGTAAAAATCAAAGCAAATGGGAGAAAATGGGTCCGGGCTGGCCTTTTTTGCTAGAGGCCCCGCTGAGACAGCCAAGTCGGGCTAAGAGGTCGACCGAGGGCTGACATGCCGGTCTTCGCACAAGCCTGGTTGCTACAAAAAGTTTCGGCGCCTCCGGTCCGCTGCGACAAAGATCGTTTTAGCTGCATTTTAAACACCCGCTCTTCCCATGGTCAAGTTCGCTCTATTGTTGACGTTTAAAGAGTCTTATTTTTGTTCTGATGTTTGTGTTGATCCCCTTTTTTTTAAATAGAACTTGAACATTCATGTTTTTTTTTGCAAGTAATATTGCAGTTTTTACTCGCAAGTTTCAGTATTAGATCTTACAAACACTTTTTCAGTGGTTTTTAACTGGACTTCCCTAAAAGCAGTTTAGTTAAATTTTTTCATCAAGTTCATTCATTCATTCAAGTGTTCTTTTCTCCATTCCGCAATCTGCACGACAAATACAAACAATGAAACATCAAAAAAATCAAATAGATCTAACAGCTGATCTGTGGATTTATTTGATTTATTTGATTTATTAATCAAATAAATTTGAAGTGGATTTATTTCAAGCTCTAAAAAAAATTTTTCTGATATTCTGTCAAATAACCGCCTAGTGTCGCAAAAACTTTTGTGACCTTGCAATTCTCAGGGCTTAGTCGATTACTTAATTAAAAATTGTTTTTAAACTTCGACTAAGGTTGATGAAAAATTTTTTTGGTAAATATATCTTATCCATTTTGTATTTTTTTCTTCTTTACTAATTCGAAACGGGATAACAATTTTTTTACTCCTATATAAACCTTTACTCTAACTCTTTTTTTACACATTTGTGAGAGAATTTTTCTGAGAAAAATTTCTCGAAATGAGAATATGCTTCACAATTTATAAAATATAAGTATAGGATGGCCACGTTCTTAATTCGCTCAATGACTCGTTCCGCAGCAACTGCAATTAAAGTTCAGACAGCTGTTTTTGACAGCTTCTTCAACGGTCGAAGGTTAACTCGTTGTTATGATCGCTTTATATTCGCGAGTGCGCAAATTAATAAAGTGTGATTCACTTAGATTGTTTGCTTCAATGACTTCTGAAGCATTCACCAAGCATGAAGTTGTTCCTGACGTTCTTCCGAATTCTCCGCCATCCAAAACCGTTAGCGTTAGGTTCAACTCTGGCGCCGAGGTACTTTTACTCAATTTCAGCTCAGTTTTTTTTTTATTAGATAGTTTACAGGTATTTGACTTAATTTTAACTTTTTTAGGTGAGTCTTGGAAATGTTCTGACTCCAACACAGGTGAAAGATCAGCCGCAAATTGCATGGGAAGCCGAGGAAGGAGCTCTCTACACTCTCATCAAGACAGGTATACGGATGAGGGAGGAAACCTTCAATCTGAGTTCAGATCCTGACGCTCCCTCGCGGGATGATCCCAAGTTCCGCGAATGGCATCACTGGTTGGTGGTGAACATCCCTGGGAATGACGTCTCCAAAGGCGACGTCCTTTCTGAATACGTTGGAGCCGGACCGCCGGAAAAAACAGGTTCCGTTCGTTATTTTTTATTGAATAATTATTTTCCACGTCCAGGTAGAAGGTTTTCTTTCTTGTGAAATTTTTTTCTTGGAGACTATTTATAATAATGCCGCTTTCAAAATGATTTCTGCGAAATGCCAAATTATCTCTCCAAAGTTTCGCGATGATCTGAATAGAAAGGAAGAAAATCGAATGGAAGTTGTTTCAAATTTCGATTTTTGCAAACTCAGGCACTGGTGGACGACGCGCCGGGATTCTGGCTCTCATTTAGCCTTTTGAGTGGAAAACCCCTTTTCCAATGTTTTTTGGTTTTTTTATAATACATATTAGTATGCGTTCTTACTTTTAAAACCGGTTTTAAGCACGTTTGTGCGAGTTTTTGAAGAACTCTATTTAATTTAAAAAAGGGGTATGGTTAAAATTTTGGCGTCAGAAATAAAATGTTAAACTGAGCACAATGATGGAAGGGAACAAGTGAAAAATGCGGAATTTATGAGCTTGAATGGACAAAAAAGGCAAAAAATGAGCGGGGACATTTAGCGTGTCCCCGATCGCCTGAAGCGCACGCGCCACGAGTGCCTGAGGATAAAAAAAAAGTTTGCAATTTATTTGATCTTTGAGGAGAAAATGGTTTTTTTTTTTGAGATTTGAATGTTTTGCAGGCCTTCATCGGTACGTGTTCTTGGTCTACAAGCAATCGGGCAGAGTCGAAGACAAGGATCACGGCCATCTGACGAACACTTCTGCCGACAACCGGGGAGGCTTCAGGGCCGCCAACTTTGCCAAGAAGCACGGTCTGGGCTCTCCAGTCTTTGGAAACCTTTACCAGGTCATTTTTTTTTTTATCAAACAAATAATCCGATTCTCGTCATTGGAATGTTCATTTTTATAATAGTGATGATGGGACGGAAGTTTGAAGGAGCTAGGAAATATTACACTCTAGGAATAGTTGACAATTTTGAATCTAAAAAAAATCTGAATCCTTATGAACACGGAGCTTTTAAAATTAAACTCATTTTTTAAAATTGAATTGATTCACTTTTCCAATTTTTTGAGTTTTTTTTCTTTTCTTTTTCGGAAAAAAACCTCTTAAAGAGCTAACATCCATTTTTTTAATTTTTTTAATTTTTTTCGGTGATTCCCGTGTTTCATCAAGTTTTTAGAAATTTTACAGTTTTTTGCATAGTTTCACTAAGAATAACTGACGAGATAAACGCGAGGTCGGTGGCGGTACATTGACGAACTCGCAAACATGTCGCTTTTTTCTAGGCGCGATCTCGCATTTATCTCGGCGCGACATTGCATTTTTCTTGTATTTCGGAAATTTTGAAATTGCGAGACAAGTGCGAGCTCGCGCCTAGAAAAATGCGAGACAGGCGCGAGAAAAAAAAGCGAGATGTTTGCGAGCTCTTCAATGTGCCGCCAGCGTCTCGCCTTTATCTCGGCAGTTATTCTTAGTGTTATGCCGCGAAACTGTCTTTTATTTTTGACGCATTTTAAACGCACAACATAAAAAAAATAGAAAAAAAGTCAATCGATTGAAATATACATGTTCGTGATTTCTAAAATAATGTGGTGTTTTTTCCAAGTACTGCAAATACAGTTTGTTTTTCCATGTTTAATTGCTGTCTTTATACCATCCTCAAGTTAAAATGTTCATGCCGTCTTCTTTTTTTCAATTTTACTCGAAAGGAAAAAGGAAAACACGTGTGCAAGGGCTGAACTTGGTTAATATTGGAGGAGATTTGACAAAACTTTTTTTGAATAGTTGAGTTGTTTGCAATTATGAACTTTCCTTTCTGGTCACATAAGCCAATTCCATCTGAAAAAAAAAACTGTTTAGTCTCAGGTTATTTGACTTTAATCATTTTTTTAACTTGATAAAAGGGGCTGGCTGCTCTCTAAATTGCTTTGCAAATGTATGAATAAACAGCAAAAGAAAGTAGTGACTGACTGAAAGCTCTGAATTCGATGAGATTTTTGAGAGTTGGCTGTGTTCTATCACCATTATAGCTTCTCACAGAGATATGGCAGAGGATGTATTACCACGTATGAATCGTTACTTCTTTCAAAGTCTTATTCATTTGAATTTAAAAAAGTTTATTTTATTGAACTTTTCATCGTGTTATGTGATCCCTGTATAAATGGTAACAAAGTGTTCGATTCAGGCAGAGTACGACGATTATGTTCCAACTCTTTACAAGCAACTGGGTTTTTAAATTTATTTACGCTCGTTTTTTAATGTATTCACAACATTGTTCGGTTTAATAGTTTACCCACGTTTTTACTCTGTTTTGAAGGCCTTTTTGGTTTCTGATTAAAGTATCCGAATGGAAAAAATTTGTACGACACAAGTTGAAATGGAAGGGGTGGCAGATTGAGAGGAGTAGTGAATAATCACGTTGAAAATCTGCCCAAGAAGAAAGGTCCTAAGGGATTAGGACTTGAGTCTCTTTCTCGTCGATCGGCTTCTCTTCAAGAAGCTCCTTGAGCACATCCGCATTGATGACTTTTTCTCGTGGCATTGTTCCGTTCAAGTGGTCCTCTACTCGTCTGAGTTGCCTCTTCTTGGCACATCTGTCGCAGACTGAACAATCTTATACTTTGGATTCAGAGAGGTTCTCACAAAAGTATATTAACGCCAAAGGGATGATGGTCAGGACTCCAATAGGGCCAATGCTCGAAGAGGCGTTGTTGTACCACTTGTAAATGTCCTTGGTGTCCTGCAGCTCACAGTATCTACCTGAATAGTTGATTTTGAGTAGGATCAGGGTTTTGGCTCTCGGACCACTGTACGGCTCTTCACAACGGCACTCGGTTATGTCGTAATTGGGTTTACCGCCGATGCAATCGATTTCGTCGCAGTCTGGACCCTTCCATCCGCGCGCACATTCCACACAACTGTAATTGAGAACACTTTTAACTGCAGGTTTTTCTCACGCTGTGATTTGTTTTCGAATTTCGAAATTTCTGTCACTTTATGTGTCAATAAAGTTTAAAGTTTGAAAAAATTGTAAAAAAGGCAATTCAAAAAGCTATAAAAAACTCCCCACAATTATCTCACGAGCACAAAGGATCATTGATGAAATTGAATTTTATTCAAAATACCTGGTCGCAAGGTTAAATAGCAAAGTTTGAAAAAGAGCGTAAGAGAAACATGAGCGATAAGGGGAACTCGAGAGACAAAAAAAAGACCTTTTTCTTCTATTTTAGAAAAAAACTGAATCAGAAGAACGTAGCATCGCGTTTTTTCAAAATATATTCGCCATTTCTCAAACTTCTTGACACGATTATTCAAGGAAGTATTTTTGCTTTCTGAGTAAACTGTCGGGAAAAATGAAAGGCGAATTGAGTGTTTATTCTTTGTTTGTGGAATTTTCGTCGATTTTTACATCGATTTTCCTATCGAAAGAAGACATACCTGCCGTTGTTGAGACGCTCGTAGCCGGAGCAGTTCATGCGTCGGTGGCAGAAGATGCCTGTCCAGCCGTCGTTGCAGAAGCACGAGTCGCCTTCGGGGGTTCCGTTGATGCAAGGCTTCCTTTTACGCAGAGCACAAGCCACAAAGCCCACTACGACCAGGGTGAACAGTACGTTCCGCAGCCAGGCCATCTGTTCAATTCGACATTTTTAGTTGAAAAAAAAAACATTAAGATTTATTGAGGAAGAAAGTTGTCTGAAGGATGGTTCAGTGAAACAAACTTTTTTGGATCTGAATAAGAATTTCATATAGACGCTCTTTTTCATTCATCTTTTTCAATCTTTCGATCTTATTTGATTCGAAAAAAATAAATAAAATTAGGAAAAATGCCCACTTTTTGAGCAATAAACGGAAGTAGTGTGTGGGGGGGACACACTACTAACGGACCAATGAAATGAGTGAATGAAAAAAACCTTGACTTTGTAATCATTGTTGAGCTTTCAACCCTTAAAATTTATGACTGTTTTAATGTGAGTTTAGAACTTTTTTTTCCAATTTTTTCTCAATTTTTTTTTTATTTTGCTTAAGCTTTCATAGTCACCATAGAAATATTTTTATAACGCAGGGAGATGTGATTCATCTTGAAGTTTTTTTATTTTTCCAGTTTATCAGAAATTTTTTTCTCTTTTCGAATTTCTGTCAATAACTAGTCAGCCATAATTCAATTTCTATCACTAATCTTCTTTACTATCATAAAAAAACTAAGTTCTACAAACAAAGACTCTGAAATTGTTTGCGACTGCAGTTTTGGCTATTTTTTATGCTCGCGTTTCCAATAGGAATTGGGTCTTCGATCAAGCCACAGTTTTTCAATAGTTAACAAAAGTGGATTGAAAGGAAATAGCCAACGTCGCTTTGAATGATTGCAAATTTGGAGTAAAACTCAAAAAAAAAACACGAACTTGTTCTGAACGTGGAAACGACGGTTGAACGAAACTGCCTGGCGCAACGACGACGAGAGCGGTTTCGTAAAACTTTGCCGCGGCTAATTCGGCAAGGTCACGACTGATAAAACGGCGGCCGTTCCCTGGTTTTCTTCACGCCGCCAATTCATTTTAACACAAGAATGCCTTGTTGGTCACATTAAGGGCCGCGGAGACGTGCCAACGAAACGTCGCTTCCCAGATTTCGGCGGCTCTCGGTTAATTGCCTTCCAAGTCGGTTCCCCGACACGGCCGTGGCCTCTGAATCTTAATTAGATGGCGGAAAATTAAGGCCCGAAAGTGAAACCTTCCCTATGCTAAAATATACATCTTTCTATTAAAAAAAAGATGAAGAGATGACTTTTCAATGTATGAACATCTGAAAAAAAAATTGACATTTTCAGCTTGAAAGCTGTTTCAAAACCAATCAAAATAATGTTTGAGGACGTTTAAAAGTACATGTTTCCCAAACATTGAATTATTGTAGTCAGGTCCGACTATGGAGTGCTTGATTTTTGGCTCCGCCCTGTTATTTTTCTCGTCAGTCGGATATTTTTCCGAGTTTCTATAAAAGCGATACATGAACGGAGCCGCAAAAAAAGTACGTTGACTTTTGAGGTTTTAATATTTGCCACGCCGGGTGGATACTAAAAATCTAAAGAAGAAGATTATAATCATGAACTTTTTCAACTGGTTTTTCAAGTTTGATTATTCACAAATCATGATGCACCTCACGAGCTCACTCTGATTCGAAAAAAAAAATAAATAAAAGAGAAGAAAAAATGAAAAAAAAAAACTATTCTACTGAAGCTTTTTTCGAAAGCCCAAAGTAGAAACAAAAATATGATCAAACAGCTACATATGCGAATCTCAACCAAGTCCTTAGAGATTCCGTAATTGCATTTCAAACATTTCTAAAGTTTCTTCCGTTGCGCAGGCTCATTTCTCTTGAAACACTTGACGAGCGGCAAACGAGGCGTCACACGGAAGTATTTCCGACTCCAGAGCTCTTCTTCTGCTCCGAACGGACGCCCGGTCCGTCGGGACGGCCACTTGTCGTCGTCGCCGTCAACGTGATGTAGAGGCCGCCCGACTTCTCGCTTTTTTTCAACTTGAGCAAACTGGTAAGCTTCCAGCAGATGAAATGAATAATACAGTTTTCGCCAAAATTTTTTCGGTCACTTTTTTCATAAGTTAGAATCATAACCATGCACGGGTAAATGTTTCTACAGAGAGAGATTCCTCCACTTTGTGCTTTAAAATTTATTTCAAGTCCGTCTTTACAAAATTTATTTTAAGAAATTTTCTTCAAATAATTTGATAAAAAGTTTCGATTAGAGAATTTCAATATCCCAGTTTTCCTGAGAGAAAGAATAAAAGTTTTCTGAAATAAACCTTCAAAAATAATTTCTTTGAAAAAAGTTTTTTTTCAAAAGGAAATTTTTTCGAGTTTGCAATTTTCCCACCTGATCGAAAATTGGTGATAATTGATGAGAGTATTTTGATATTTCAGGCAAATCTTCTTCAGGATTTTCAAAAACGAAAACGGTTCAGTGTTTGGGAAAAATGAGGTTTTTGTTACAACTTTTGTGATTGAACAGTGAAGCCGGCAGCACTTGGAGGCTCCGCCCCACTTGGAAGCTCATTATGCGGTTTCGCCTTAATCTGCGTCGCGGGTCGAGTGTTGTTGGCGTTGGAGCGAATTGGATTGGCAGCGCTTTATTCCTGCCCGGCTGACCGTCCAACTCTTTTTTTTTTCTCAATTTCTCCCTGCCTTTCTCTCTTCGACGCCGCGTGTCATAATCCTTTTTTAAGGATTATCACCTCCCGAGAAGCCGTCCAAGTCACTTATCATCTTTCTCAAGACCTCTGCCCTTTTATCTGCTTTTAGCTCATTAGAAGCTTCAACTTTCAGTGATCAGCTGCATGATTGATGCGTGGGAAAAGATTACAGGAACAGAAAACCTCTGAAAAAAAGAAAATTTCCTGAAAGAAAGGTCATATTTGAAAAATGATCCTTTTAAGTTTGCATTTTCAAAGAATGATTTTACTTGATCTTTGCTCGATCATCTATCGAAAAAAGTAGACCACGAGAGGGATTTTTAATCTACTTTTCATGGAGGAAGCCAAAACTTGATTTTTTCAAATGTTTCGGATTTGTTCAGTCCTGTCTCAGGAATATTTATTTCTGTGTTTTCCAGTAATCTTTTCCTACAAATTTGCTTCTTTTTTCCCAAATTTCAGTTTATTGGTTAAAAAGGCTGCGCCGAGGCAAACATAATTAGCTTTATTATTTTTTTTTTCTTTCAGTTCCTGGTTGCGAAAAAATGAAGTGCGTCTTTTCAGAAACGAAGGAATAAAGTCTGAGCGACTATTGCCAGTCACAGAGAAGTTCAAAAATGTGAAGAGTAGTTGTTTTTTCGCAACTTGAAAAGCGATGAGTGGTCACTTGTCAAGTCAGGGTGACTTGTTGCGGTCGCGATGCGGCTGTTGGCGGGAAACGCAAATTCAAAACCTTTGAATTCGAATTTCCTGCCAAACGCCGCGTCGCAAGAAGATTTCGGTCAACCTGCCTACATCACCTTTCTGGTCGGGAAAATTCGACTTGGCGCTCAAATAGTAATTGTAAAATTCTTTTATTCCGCTTCAGAAGGCACTAAGATCAAAATTGAAACAGAAATTTCATATCCAATCAGAGCGTTCGAAAGCGAATTGACTACTTTCAAAACGAAGGTCTTTTGAATTTTTCGAGTTGGCAGAGACGAAAAAATTGCTAGAACATTCTCTTGTAAAAATAAAATTTTAAAACGAGTGCCTTAAAGAAGGAAAGAAAAGAAAAACATTTGATGAAAGTGCATTGATGATTAATCTTTCTAGAAGCACTCATGACTCAGCTTTGTTTTATGGGTAAATCAATCTTAAATTTTTTCAGAGACGGTGCTAATGAACATCCTTGGTCCCTAGATACGAAGCCTTGAAAATTTTTACCAGGCAACGTTTTTTACCCCCCGGTTGAACTTTTGCTGAAACTTTGCTGAAGTGTACCTCAGTACCCCTGATTGCAGATAAAGAACGAAAAAATGTCTCGCAATAGATCTTGTTTCCGAGTTATGGAGCTGCAAAGTGTGCAAAATACGCAAATTAGGCCAAAAAATCGCTATTTCGGGCTTTTGGAGTGTCTTAACTCGAAAACGAGATCTATTGCGAGAAATTTTCTTCTTGTTCTGCAATCAGCAGCACCTAAAGTACACTTCAGCAACATTTCACAAAAGTTCGACCGGGGGGTAAAAACGTTCCCTAGATAGATATGAAAGTTTGAATGTATTCCTACTTTCATAAATATGCTCGTCATTCTTTGCGAGCACTCGCTTGTCATTTTCTTTCTGCAAAGTACAAATATTCCCTTGAAAATTTGTAATGCTCTTTTTTTGCCTGAAAGGACAGTAAACCTTCAAACCACACTCCCTCAGAACTCTCCAGCTTCTCCATCCTGAACCACAACGGCTCTGGTAACACTTTCCACGAACTGAGAACTTATTTCTCATGATTCTTAATCTTAATCTGATCGGAATCTGTTTGTGACGATTGCGACGTCCGTCTGATAATCAAATCTGACAACATGCGAAATTCGCGTACTGTATGAAAAGTTTGACAGGCGGCGCTCGTTTCTTCTCCCATTCTACATGCGATCCATTCGAAACTCTTCCAGCTAGTGGTTGCTCATTTTTTCATTTTTTTTTTATTTGTAAAACTCGAGAGATTTGGTTCAGTTACACGTCATGTTGATTTTATGAATTCTCGACACAAGAGGATCAGAGAGAGCCGAAAATTGCTGCAGGGCAATTGGGTTCCTCCCACTTCTTTCGATGCGCTCTTCGCTTTATTCCTCATTTCAGCCTTTTTTTGAACTTGGTTTCTTCTTTCGCTTAGTTTTTATAATGTCGTCCTTGTTTGAATTTTTGCACAAAATGTTAACGTCGTAAAAAGCGCTAAAAAGTTTTTCTCTCCCAACGTAATCTCGTGTGCCTCTCTTAGTTCTCGTGCAAGTCAGACCTTCAAGTCAGTTCGAAAGCTGAGAAAAAATGTTCGCTAGTGGAAGTCTGAGCGACGGAAGACAGTCGTCGACGGCCTGGCTAATTGGAGGTGTCTTAACGACGCCCGCAAGAAGCCGCCGACTCGTCCTCCACTGTCGCACTTGCTGTCTGCCGTTCATCCGAAATTCACCTCGTGTTTTCATTTTTCTTCCCGCACGCCTAGCTGCGTGCTTCCCAGAATGTCGGCTCCAGCCTTTTTTTTTCGTCGCCCTCTGCGTCAAGTCTCAATTGGATATGATTATTGCACCACACGCCATATTCATACCCCCCAAATGACATGTTTTTCGAGCTTCAATCTTCTCAGTCAATTTTCAGCACCTTTTTTTTGGTGATTTCTTCTTCAAAGTCTTTCTTTTTTTTTTCTTTGCGCTCCCTCTTCTTTGGCGCCTTTTGATGGAATTAATAGAGAAAGGCTGATTTCAGATTCATTCCAAGTCCGGAAAAGTTTTTTTGCCTTTTTGAACGGTCTTCAGTATCTCAGGATGTATTCACAATTGCGCGTTAAATTAATTTTAGAACTTTTTGTTGTGAATTTCCTCGAAAAAAAACTTCTTTGATCGACAAACTCGAAAATACTTTATGCAGGGAAAAATTGAGAAAATTTACAACAGTTTATCTGAACCTTTCCTTTTGCACTGTCTTCCAATGATGGCTCTCATTGAGATTTATCTCTCATCCAGCAGTAGGTGAAGTATACACGTATATGAAGGGGTGACAAACCAATCTGCAGACGGAGAAGCTGATTAATTTGAATCAAAAAGTCAAGTACATGTTTAAGTATGCACTCGGATTTAGTGAGATATTCTTCAGTTCTATTTTGGAATAAGTTTGGAATCGCAAAAGCGGAAAAGCATCGGAGAAAAGAAAGAAGCCTGTAACAATTCGAGCGGACAGGATGATGGAAAAGGCGTCGAAGCAGAGCGAAACCTCCGATTTCCAGTGATAAACGACCCCTGCGGTCCTTCTTTTTGTCGCGAACCGTGCGAAAATGTCCAAAAGAAAACAAATCTCGGTCAGATCGCTGTTTTTCACGCCTCTTAGCTGTCTTTTGCTTTGCCGCACGGCCTTCCCAATCGATAATCATTGTTTGCACTGTGACTGAGCGCAATCATCGTCGTTTTCTTCCTTGTAATGCCCGGCTTGCTCTTCTTCTTGCCGCCGCCCCACAATACATGCAACTTTTCTCAACTTTACTGTTCAGTCCAGCCACTTTTCCGTTCACGGTGCGAAAATGAAGTTACGCGCTTTGATGGCACATGAGTTACGATATCAATGATATTCTTGAGAAGGGAAACACATTCTACAGATTAACTGTCTCAAACTCCTTTTTTTGCCTCATGGATTTATCAAGCTGGTCTCAAGCTGTGTTTGTCAAAATCCTTCCACTTATATCTTATTCCAACATATTGCTCTCAAAAATTGTCAGTTTCTGCTCTCTCTCTCTCTCTCTCTCGTGTGTTGTTTGTCTTGAAAGCACTTCTCATTGAAGAAAAGTTAAAACATTTCAGAAGAGCTAGAAAAGCAAAAAAAAAAAAAACGAGACGACCGTGTTATGAATCACCTCCGTCCGTGAGTTCCGATGCGTTTTCTGCTGGCCTCTTTCCTATTTTTCTTCGTCCACTCAGTTTTGGGATTCCAAGAGCCTAAGGTATGTCTTTTTCTTCTCAAAACTCTTAGACACTCCTAATTGAGCAAGTTCCAACAAGTTTCAACTCGGACAGTTATCGGTGTGAAAGTGGAAGCAATTGTACATTGATTCATTTCAAATGCCAAAGAAAGAAAAAAACTCATCGGGATAAATCGAACTCAAATCAATTTCAATACCGAGGCATGTCGCGAACCATTGCCAGCGTCGCGTCGATTTTTTGCAAAAAAGCATCTTTTGGCCTAGACGTCAGCTGAAACTTATTGTTAGCGAGAAAAATATGAAAAAAATGAACAACCTGGACAAAATTGGAACCTACAATCCGAGAGTCTTGGCTTCGGACGTAAGGATGGAATTGGTAGAGATAAGGCGACAAAGGGGAGCTGCGAAATGTATTCGTAACCGAAAAGAAGATTCACAAACCTGTTGAATTCTTTGTAATCAATAAGAGTTTTCGTATTGTTTTTCGAGTACTCGTCGTCGGCTCGGCTGCGGTACGTGGAGTGGGAAGAAGGCTGAAGAAAGTTCCAACTCGAACTCAAACTTTGAAAGAGATGCTCGTTTTACTGTGAGCCCTCTTGACAAAGTTATTAACAATAATAAGAAGATCAAAATTGTGGATTTAATATCTAAATGGATGTACTGGAATTCCTTTAATTCATAAAAAAGAGACTATTACACGGTAATTGTCGTTGTAAGAAGATGTGACGCGGCTCGACGGCGGAACCCAGCCGTCGCCGAGATCCGTGTCGTCGAGCTTGGTGCCCTCCTCGGTCTTTGTCTTGCGACGTCTCTCTCTTTCTGCTTCGTAGGACGTGGCAAAGTATTCCGAGGACTGCTTGGGCTCGTAGACCGGGAAATTACGATAGCTGGTGGGCTGCAAACGGACTCTGTCAAGAGAAAATGGACCGACTGACCTCGGTGTTTCTGATTCCCAGCTCTTGGTAAAGCGATTCGAGCGGAGTTTTGTCAAAGTAGTGGCTGTCATCGTAGGAGTCGTCGATGACGGCTCGACCAAGTTGATTCTCCATTTTCAAAATTGAACTCGCCGAAAGACCATGATCTCGGATGAGTTGATCTTTGTCCTAAGCATAGTTTATAACATATTGGGATGAACTTTGAAAATTTACGAATCAAAAAAGATGAATAACGAATTTCAATGGTTTTTTTTCTTAAATTTTAGGCAAAATGTCTTAAAAGGTCCAACCGCTCCGAGAAAGAAATGAGAGAAAAATCAATCTAACTAGTTGAAGACGAAAGGGATGGTGTACCGTATACTTGAACGAAAACCGAAATGGACTCAACAGACAACTTTTTTCAAAATATTTGTTTTGAAACTTTCTGAAACTGAGTTTTTTAAATGATACGTTCTAAATGTTCAAAAATGGGTACTTAGACCTTTGAAAAATGGGAAAAGTTTCATAATGAATTTTCGTGTCGAACTCGGAAATTTCCGACATATTTCGAAAATTTACGGTAGTAAAGGATGGTAAAGAGAAGATTGGACAACCTTTGTGCGTAGACGATTCATGGGATGGAAAATGTTCTTGACGTAGCTCTCGTAGCTTTTGGTCTGCGGACCGCCCGGAATCATGTCGCGGTCGAAGCTGGAGACGGATCGGCTCGACGCCAAAGGCTTGCGCTCCGTCCACCCCAGGTACTCGGACGACATCTAGGCGCGGCTGTGAAGGACCGCGATCGATCAGCCACTTTCTGGCATTACACAACCGACACGCGTGCTCGTTGGCACCGAGGGAAAAGCGTGTGACGATCTGCATCCCCCTGGCTCGGAAAAACGACTGCAACTACACGGGTTGCTCTCAAAAAATGCTCGACATCGTCATGCTCCAAGTTGAACTCGGAAAAGTCATTGAAGGGGTTATTCGGAAAAAGGTGATGGATTGATGGATCTTTCCCGCTTTTTTCTATGTTGACTGATGAAAAGCATTCCAACGATTGAAAGACAAAAGGGTTGCGAAAATGTCGATGAAGAAATACAACATCACATACATCATCAAACGGCGCAAGACGTATTCCCAAAATATTTCATCATCATCTCATTAATAAGAACATACTTGATATTCTTAAAGTTAAATTGGATCAGCTATCAATTTTTTGAACAAGAAGATGAATTAAGAATACTGTGATAAAGTTTCATTTGAAGCAGCGTTTTCAGGAAGAATGGGAATTGATTGGTAGTCGGACCTATTCCTGGAAGGGATCACAAGTTCTCCGTTGTAAGCGCTGGGACAAGGTGGCAGTCAGGTAGAAAACTCCTCGTTCCAAGTAGGAGAACTTTTTTGCGTTCAGATGGCATCTCTCTACGTGCACGACTGACCGAGAATGTAGCGGCGGCAGCAACGTCGACTTGGCCGAAACTCCTCAAAAGTTTTCCGAGCTGCCAGTCTGGCGCAACGCCTTCACTTATGCTCAGCTTCCAACTGAGAAGGTTGATCCTATTCTAGTTTTCGTCGTTATAAAAAAAATTTTTTTTTTTTGCTGATTGAATTTTTTGGACACCTTTTTAGGAGTCTTTTCTTCGATTAGGCCTCAACGGCTACGACAGAAGGAAAGTTTTTGTGAAAGCCTTTTCGCCTCTGAAAATTGACGTTGATTGGCAATGGATAGTCGGCCGCGACGGCTGCAACAACTTTACCGTCAGGTGACCCTTTTTTTAAAAGTAAATGAAAGATCTATTGCAGAATGTCCGCCATGAGCACAATAAACGAAAAGTCGCGAGCAAAACTCGGGGAATTCTGTCGTTTGTTCGACATGGATGGTTTCGTTGACTGCGACAATCTATGACGACGGTTGAAATATTATAGTGCAAGGGCTGAAGCTTTGAAAGAGAGTACTATATAGGTGTCTTGGCAACTGAGGCAATCTGAGGTACTTCTCTTTCCAAAATTTCGCCTTTTTCAATGCATTTACAATGCAAATGCTCTTACTGCTGCTTAATTCCTGAAAAACCTCCAAAATTTGCTATCAAGTGTACTGCGGAACTCGTGAAATGCCTTCTACTCGCTTTACGTTGTGCAGCTCCCAACGATGTTATTAAATGATGACTGGTAACTTTCTTCCTCGATTTGCCTTGCATATCGCATTCTCAATTGCCAACATTTGTTTTTGCACATGAACAATAAAATTTCTCACCGTAAACAAGTCTTTCGGAAGTGTAGCCAAAGTAGATCAAATAAAACCCGTGGATTAAGCCAAAGCGACCAAATAAAATAATAAGCGGAAAGGTTAGCAAGTGAGAGAATGCTATAAAATGGTTAAAATGCATCGTTTTTCCGGTTGCAATGAGAAGGTTACCCGTAGAAATACACAAGAGACTAGTCAGCAAGTATGAACAAAGATACAATTATAAAAGTGAAAAAAAAGTTCAACAACTTCAGGAAACCAAGACTCAACAAAACTGTACCAGTTCTCACAAAATTCGGTCGGACTTTAAAAAATAAGTTGTCATGAGACCTTTGCCCTTGACGTTGATCTCGCCGCGGCATTCCAGCTTGAAGCCCTCTGCTTCCAGAATGTTCTTCACTTCTTCCGTCACCTAGAGAGAAAGAGAGAATCTGATATCAAAAGGCAGGCGGCGCAAGCCTGTATATGGTCGGGTACGCCGGAACTGTCCATTCTGCTGGCCACGTTGACGCTGTTTCCCCAGATGTCGTAGTGCGGCTTGTCGATTCCGATGACTCCCGCTACGACTGGACCCACGTTTATGCCTTCAACCATTACCCTTTTTTACTAATAACTTGAAAAATCTGACATGAGAAATCCAGCAACTTCCAATTACGAGCTCACAATAAAATTTAAAAATTTATTCGAAAATTAAGCACAACATTGTGCGCGATTTCTTTAAAAAATTTATTTTAAATCATGTATTCTACTAAAAACATTTTCAAAACCTTCGAAAAATTTTAACTTTCTAGAATGTCTCGAACATGCTTTTCCTACTCTCCAACGCTCTCATCACCAACCGATTCGCAGTTGGAAGCTGTTGAAACTATGTTCGTTGATGACTTTTATCTTGGACAGTAGTTCCAAGGCGAAATTGGCGACTGCCAGGACGTGAGAGTTGTCGTCGGCCTGAATCTTCTTTCTGATGATGTGTCACTCCATCTGATAGTTCAGAGTAACTATAAAAGACTCTCAATCGCTTGCCAGCTTTTTGAATGAATTCAAGCTTCCTGAGACACCAAAGTCTTGCTCAATTGTTTCTTGAAGAAGGATCAATCCATTCAAATCAAATACATGACTCACTCTTCCTGCCAATCCGCTGGCGGCCATGTAAGTCGTCGAAATAGTTTTGATCTTCTCAATGCTGTCGAATTCCGGGCGATCTAATAACTGTTAAGGAAAAAGGAATGCGCACTGTTTTCTTTATAGAAACCTCGTCAAAATCAGAAATTATCTCGTTCAAGAGGCGCAAGCATTCGACGCCTTCATTGTTTCCGTCGCATTCGATGTAAAACTTGTCGAAGCCGGTAATAGTGGCAAAAACGATACAAGCGTTATCGCGAGCCTTCAAACTCAAAGTACCGTGAAGGCCAAAAAAAAGTACATTCCTATTGAAAAATCCGAAACGAAATCTTTTTATTAGCTCGTCTCATCATCAACTTGTTGGTTTTGAATTAGAGAATCCGTTCAAAACCGGATATACTCAAATTTTTTTGAAAATGGTCTCTGAAAAAAAATAATATTCAAAGATTTGAACCACGCAGCGCCAAAATTAAAAAAATAAATGTTCACTAAGTTGCTCAGTTTCTAATGAAATATAAGACGCAGTCTTCCGCACAAACGAAAGCAGCGTGCAATCTATGTACTTGACTATGATATAGATCCCATGTCTAGCTTTTCAACAGCAAAAGAAAAAAAAATTAAACTAGTGTGCTATTATGGAAAAAAATGGACCTCGTGGTAGTTGTCCTTCTGATTCTCTTTACTGTCTTCAAGAAAATGACGTGCCACATGACACGGAAGAATATTTTCGAGAACGCTCCGGTTCTGCTCGTGTCGATGGCGCATTTGGAGTTGTTCGTCCAGGGCCTCAATTAGACATTTAACGTCGGAAACATACAACAGAGAACTATTTTCTTTGAACGAACATTATTTTCATTCAAACAATTTCTCTCACAAAAAAGTTTCCCATGACGCGGTGCGAAAACAAAAATGTTCAAAAATGTTTCATGTTTTATATCAGTAGTTTTGGTCTGCCTACCCTTTCGGTTAGGTATGTTGGTCACAAAAACCTGAAGCTTCCATATGAAGTCGTATCTTGAAATTTGCTCGCTACGACGAGATTGAATGATGACAAGGGCAAGAGCGAATAAGATCACGATAGAAAAGTGAATCCGTTCATCGGACGCCAGTGAAGAATCCCTAGAAAACATATATTTGAATCGTTCTTTCGTTTCCGAACTAACAAGCAGAAACGACTCAATTTCTCCATTATAGTTCCGTTCTGACGGGACGCGTCTTGTTGGAGCCAGATGTGAAACTGTCGAGAGTGGAGATGTGCCATCGGGAACCGCCACAGCACGAGCAACCCCCAAACGCACAGCAACACCACGACGACGATCTGTGGAATCGAAAGGATCAGTCTCGGAGGTTGTTGAGAAAACCTTTGAAGTGGACATGAGAGAAAGAAATACGCAGGTGGCAAGTAGCAGCAACAGAGAAGCTTCGAAAACGACCTGCAGAGCCATGAGGCTGGACAGGAACAAAAAAAACTTGGTCAACCTCGGCGTGGCCTTCGGGAATCGACTCCCTCGATCCGCAGTTGGGTGTTCTCACCACGCCGTCAGGTAGACATCGGAAGGAGCAGGTTTCTTCGGAAACCGACTGACAGTTCATTTCAAGTTCTTATGGGCTCCGCTACTTACAAATATAAGAACAAAGTTGGCAAGGAACACGACGGAGCAGATAAAAATGATGCGGAGCCACCGAGAGCCGGACACTGACAGTTTTTCTTGACGTCTTTTCCGCGACTTGATCTGAAAACTGATCATTTCGCTCAATGATCGGATCTGGAAGCTCACGCAAGTTCTTGCCACAACGTAGATCGCGGTCATCGCAAAAGCTATCGCGGCACTGACTATTGCCACGTAAAGCAACAGGTTTCTGAATAAACTTTTAATCGATTAGAATTGCCTTTCGCTCCATTTTGCTTTATGTTGACTGGAGTAGTTCATGAAAACTGTTCAATTATATGCCCTCGATCAATTTTCTTATAAATTTTCTGGGTGTTTTTTCCCCCAAGTCCATTACGTTTTTTATATCTGCAGATTTACAAGGATTTACAGAAAAGACAGTTAACACGCTGTCTCTGTAATTTTCAAAAACAAGGGGTACAATAAAAAGAAATATTTTTTGATTTTGATGAAACTTCATCCAGTGTGATAGCCAATCATCAGAAATGCGGACCCAACTTTTTGAGCCATTTCCTCTTACTGTAGCCGGGTTACGGTAGGCAGGTGGGCACCTGCGTTTTTATTAGGCAAGTGATAAGTCAATCGATAAGTAATCCAATTTTAGGAACTTTTACAGTACATACCATCTTGGGATACTGTGGGAAAATTTTGAGTTACGGTACTTTTTGCGTCTGCCGAGTCGGTTTTTCCGCCACCACGAGCTTGAGCCCGGAGATCCATTCTTCCTAGCTTCTCAAAAGATACCTTTTGAAATGCTCTACAAGCTGATACCAGTTTGAAAAAAAGTCCTAGGTGGACCATCATTTTTGCAAAAATCGCTCCGAAGGCGCGCAATCGTGGTCTTGCGGCGGCCAAATGGGTGAAGTCCATGATGCCTGACGGCTCATTCTTCACAGATCCATTCTAAAATTTGTTTCCATTTCACTAATAGATATCTATTATTGATTTTTATTGCAACTTGAGATGGTTTCAGGTTGATCATCATCTCGAAATTTCATTTTGAACCCAAGTTTGGCCTGAAAATGGCCTGCTCGCCTTTTTCCACGGGTTCTGTGTGCCCATTAAGGGAGTTCTCAGCTTATTTATTTCTGAAACATGGGTGACAGTATTTGAACTGAAAATTGGTGACAATCGGAAGCCACTTTGAGAGGACCATCATCCCGAAATTTCATTTTGAACCCAAATTTGGCCTGAAATGGCCTGCTCGCCTTTTTCCACTTCTTGTAAAAAAAAAGGGAAAATTGATTCAACTTACAAAAAAAATTAAATAAGTGAACTCAGCCATTTTAATGCCAAATTTGGGTTCAAAATGAAATTTCGGGATGATGGTCCTCTCAAAATGGCTTCCGATTGTCCTCAATCTTCAGTTCAGATACTGTCACCCATGTTTCAGGAAGAAATAAGCTGGGAACTCTCTCAACTGGGGACAGGGAACCCGTGGAAAAAGGCGAGCAGGCCATTTTCAGGCCAAACTTGGGTTCAAAATGAAATTTCGAGATGATGATCAACCTGAAACCATCTCAAGTTGCAATAAAAATCAATAATAGATATCTATTAGTGAAATGGAAACAAATTTTAGAATGGATCTGTGAAGAATGAGCCGTCAGGCATCATGGACTTCACCCATTTGGCCGCCGCAAGACCACGATTGCGCGCCTTCGGAGCGATTTTGCAAAATGATGGTCCACCTAGGACTTTTTCAAACTGGTATCAGCTTGTAGAGCATTTCAAAAGGTATCTTTTGAGAAGCTAGGAAGAATGGATCTCCGGGCTCAAGCTCGTGGTGGCGGAAAAACCGACTCGGCAGACGCAAAAAGTACCGTAACTCAAAATTTTCCCACAGTATCCCAAGATGGTATGTACTGTAAAAGTTCCTAAAATTGGATTACCTATCGATTGATTTATCACTTGCCTAATAAAAACTCTTCAATACTGTGATACGCAGGTGCCCACCTGCCTACCGTAACCCGGCTACAGTAAGAGGAAATGGCTCAAAAAGTTGGGTCCGCATTTCTGATGATTGGCTATCACACTGGATGAAGTTTCATCAAAATCAAAAAATATTTTTTTTATTGTACTCGTTGCTTTTAGAAATTTTTGAGAATTACAGAGACAGCGTGTTAACAATGAATCTTCTGTAAGCATTCAAATTTACTGCAAACCTTGTAAACATTTGAAAATTAATTTTTCCAAAAACAAAAGAGATGAGTGATAAAGTTTGCAAGGAAAAAAGTTCGAAACAGGACTTTAACAAATAAATAACAATCACCCGACATGTGTGATGAGCAGCACGCAGCAGGCGAGGACGAAGATAAACAAGTAGCAGCAAAGTTGGATGAGCAGCGCGAATTCCTTCACTTCAAGAAACTGAAAATCGGCGTTTCGTGGCAGGCCGGATTCTTTATCCAAGCTCACCTTCTTTTCGACTTCGATTTGCTTGAACTTGAGAGACCAATGGTCGCAGTGAAGCCGACGCCAGTTCTCAATGTTGATGGCTTGGATGCCCTGCCGCAGGTGCGAGTCCACACAGTCTTTGATCGGCTTCTCTTCCTTTATTGTGTACCTGCAAAAAACCTTCCGAAACTAATCTCAGCCGTTTCTTACCGAAGACTTGGGCCTCGAGGGAGGCTTGAAGCCACGCCAGTTAATCGCTCTTGTTTGCTGATGACGCGCTGAAAAATATTTTAACATGATTCGACTCAACGGTTATTTCCGGCAGTGATGGCGGATTTCGGCAAATTCACAACTATCGAACCATGTTTTTCTACGTTTTCAGTTGTTTCGAGTAACATGCGAGCTCAAGAAGACGAACAGATCATCAAGCGGCTCGAAAAGGAAAAATTACTTTTTTTTAAAATTTCCTTAACACTGCTACAAACAAAACAAATCTAAAAGAGCAGTAATTAAAGGTTCATCTGAAAAACCAATTGTTTCAATTCAATTACAAAGAATTTGCTCAACACACTCTATTCTGTCTCGATTGTAGCACCGGCTCTTTATTTTTCGCTTCAACGACCAAATAAGTATCGACATTGTGTTCCGCCAGATACTTGGACCTAAAAATCCAATCTAACAGGGCCCATTTTCATGTGAGAACCTTTCCCTCCCACGGCCTTCTTCCACGACGTAGGCACCGTTCAGAGCACCTAACGTTGCTTTTGTGATGTGAATTCGTCTGAAACTATGATAGTCCGTGAAAATTGCGAAATGAACGAACCCAGCGACGCCGCCGCTTTCCATGTGATTGGCGAGGGTGACGTCATCACTCCAAACGTCAAACTGCCACTTTTTGAGGCCGAGAACTCCACAGTGAGCCTTGCCGGAATGAATGCCGACACGCATATTCACATTCACTCGCGTCATCTCGCGGACCAGTCTGAGGACTTGTTTTCTGTTTGGAGCTCGAGGAAACTGTCTGACTTGATGGCTTCGATCATGTCGAGACCCATCTCGACGGTGTTCGCCGCGTGTTCTGGCTGGTAGTCTGGAACGCCGCAAACGCAGTAGTAGCAGTCTCCCAAGATCTGCAACGTTCTTTCCACACGTTCTAGCACTAGCCGACTCGCACTTTTATTCTCATGCATTTGTGCATCGCTGCCAGTTTGTCGAAACGAGCGAAAAGCTCGTTGAGCATCAGTACCAGGTCTTCAGCAGTGTATTCGGAAGCCAAATTAGTGAAACCGCAAATGTCAGCGAAAAGGATGCTGAAAAATCAAACATGGTACCAAAAAAGAGAAATAATCCTCAAAGATTTTCGTAGATGCATTTAGAACGGTTTCGTTTTCCACCCGTGATACAATCTAACTTTTTTAAAGTTTTTGCAACAATTTTTCTTCCAAAAAATGACCGATAAAAAGCATTCGAATACTATATTCAACTAAAAATATGAGGAAAAACTAGTTGAATCTCAAAAAAAAAACCTTTTTTTAAAATGAATTCACAGCCCAAAAAAATACCATCTCGGTATATGAAGAGTTATTTGAACATAGACAAGACTTTACAACCTATGAAAATTCATTCAAAAACTAATAAAACTTGAGTTGCATTCTTCGGATTCAACTCATGTTTTGAGCATAACTTTTTAGTTTAAATTGAACCTGATGTTTTCGTATTTTTGGATGTAGATTTTGTGAAAAAGGCGCTCTTTGCTCTCCTCATTCATGTCCTCTTTGACCTTAACGAGCGAGTTCTTTGTGCGAGAGACGAACTAGAACAAAACCTCGAAAGCAATGTGTTTGGGAAGAACAGAGAGCAAGATCTTTTCCTGCTTGCGCATTTCGCGGTCGAGCAACATTCGAGTCTCTACGTACTTCCTAAGAGGAGAAGGGAAGTGTGGGAGAGTCGAAAGAGAGGAAACCTCGTCTCGCGGAACGTCTTCCGCTGCACGAGCTCCGTCGGGAAGTACACGAAGAAGCCGACGATGTTGACCGCCAGGAACAAGATGGCGTCAGCCACCAGCTGAAATCTTTCTTCCATAGAGATCGTGACCGCGAGAAAGTTTCTTTTTCGACTTGTATATAAATAACTTTTTGAGCTGCTTTAGCTGGAAAATATGAGTGCCTTTAAAAAAAACTTTGCAAGAAATCTGAAAGGAGCTTCTTATTCACTTCTCGACAAATAAAAAAAATTCCTCGAAAAAATGAGGTGCAGACTTTTTTTCTATTAGCTATTTAGGTTTAGGATGATTTGAAAAACATTCAAATTATGACACAAAGTTTTTAAAAAAACATTGTCCGTAGATTTTTGAAAGATTATTTTTCTAACGTGAAAAAGTTTTGTGAGAAAAATTGGTTTTTCTCATTATATGACTGAACTTTGTTTTGAAAATGTACAAAAATCATTTCGGATAATTGAGCGGAATTAAAGAAATTGAAATGAACCGCATTTATTTTGCCAGTTTCTCTTTTCCCAAATTTTCCGTAGTTCATTAACAAATATATACTTATATTTTTATAGACCCCAAAAAGCTTTTGTTGACATAGAGCTACCAGTCCTACTAGTTTAAGACCATTTTGGAGCGACTATTTTTCTGGAAGCTTAGCGAAAAGCTCATCAATCACAATGGAAAGAAACTGACGGATTCGAGCGACGGGAAGTCGTAGACGCCTTGAATCGCCAACGCCGTCGCCGAGAGAACTGCAGCACACAGAAACTGAACTTTCTAAGCTTCAATCGGCGCTACTTCCCATTTTCTGACGCAATCGGTCGTGAAAGTCCGATTAATTTGAGCAGAGCGATATAAAAGATTAACAATTTTCATATTCATTGTTTTGAATGGAAATAACTAAATGTGTTTATTGCTATCAAAAAATCGAATTCATAAAAAAACGGACCGTCGGAAGAAGTGATATTGGTAGGAGAGTGTAACAAAGAAACAGAAGAAGAAGAGCTAGCGAAAAATGGAGAATCAGCGGCGAGCATGCCGTCAGAACCTGTAAAACTCTTTACTTTTCGAAATATAGGAAATTTTGTTGGCAAACATGGATTTTGAAAAGGAAATGATGAGTCTATGACTGCAAACGTTTGCTGAAAAAATTTTCGAAGAAAAGTAAGCTCAGAAAAACGAGCTGCAAAAATTTGGCCATCCGTTAGTAGAAAAGTCAGGCACCTGTAGCAAAATTTTTTTTGGTTCTGTTCAGCTTTTCGAAAAGTTACAGCTGGTTGAAAATAATCAATTATTTTCATCGAGAAAAAAATCGTTATGAGAAGCTTTTTTATAGAACTACTCTTCAGTCATCAAAGTAATTTTCTGAGTGCTAATTTCTTTTTCTATGGGGTGGGAATGGGTGAAAATCTTATCTTGAATTTAAACGTATATTGGCTCAAATCACTGATTATTTATTCAGTTTCTTTCAAACGACCAAATCTTTTTTGTAGAACCGAAATTTTTTTTTAGGAAAAACAAGATCACAGAGAGTTCAATTGAACAAAATCTTCGAAATTCGGCTCTTTTTAGTCCGTAAGGAACTTACCACAGAGCAAACTACGACGACGGCGCTGAGGATCTGCGAATGTTTCGTAAATAACAATATTGACGCTATAATCACCGCCTGAAACAGATAATCTTCATGCTTTCTCTTCAGTGATTTTTTTTTAATGGAAATTGATAAAAAAAAGCATTAGGGAAATGATGACTAAATGCTGATATAAATATGCTTTCCCCTTGAAATGAATGCCTTGATTATACGAGTTATCAAATGAAGAAGATTTTTTTTCTTCTGATAATCCTCATATGTCTTTCATTTTCTCGGCGAAAAGTGAGATTTTGAACCAGCAATATATCTTTGAATGAAAGGTTTTTGAAAGGTTTCAAGAGCGATTGGAAACCAACGTCGACGAGTAGGAGACAGCCGAAAAAAGCCCATTGCCCTGTGGCGGCTGTGAGCAGCGACTGAGACACGCTCACGCACAACAGAAACGACAGGGCGAACTGAAGCTTCTCCATTCACAAATTGATATAGAACCTTTCGAAATCACTCATTTGCATAGAAACATAAATAGACCAGTTTGGAAAGTTTCGTCAACGTCCAAAAATTTTGAGAACCAATTGTTTTTTCTAAAATGGAAATCTCTGGATAGAGCACAAATGCACTTAATTTTGCAGATATATTTTTGATAAACTTCCCAAACAAGTGCTAACGTGATTTGTTTCATCACATAAAAGACTCGAGAATCGTATGTTAATAATGCGTTTTTCTAACTCTCTAATTAGGCAAACTATTAAAAGCGGCCTACTTCTTTTCTCACTCTGTTCGGTTAAAAAAAGAACCTGCATTCTGCCAGAGTTTATGTGCCGAAAGTAGTAAGGGTATAAAGAGTCCTGTTGACAGGCTCCTACAACCAATTCAGACTCGTCTCCCATCTGGTCAAGCTCCCGCAACAGCTGAGCGCTGCAACATTGCGAGGAATCGACTTTTGGAACTCCACAGCTGGACTTCCGTCCGAAGTTTCAACACAGGCTTTTCAGTTGCTTACAGCGAAACAGCGTTTTCAGCATTCTATTCGAAAATTAATTCAGAAAATATAATTTCCCCGAAAACATTTTTGAAACGTTGAAAATATAATTTAATGAGTCAACAACTGAATGATTTTTTCTCAACCTTCAAATGCAACAAAGAAAGTTTTTGATGCTGTAGCGAAACAAATACGTGAGCTAACTCAAATGAAAAGTAAATAAAAGTGATGATCTACGATTGATATTAATGTGCAGCAAAATTTTCCACGATTCAGTGAATATAGACAAAATAACCTAATATAGACAAAATAAGATTTTCTAGTCATATAATGAGTTTGCATGAGGGATTTTCATCACCGTGACGACGATAATTTGTGCTATCCCCTAAAGAACAAGTAAATAAAAAACGAAACGCTTTCCTCAAATTTCATCAGTGGATCTTGCATGCAAACGAGCGAATTTGTTTGAATAGATCAAGAGTAAGGTTTTGAGATGAGTGAAGGATAATTTTCGAAAGAGGCTAATGATCAAGTTTTCTTTTTCCGAAACGACAAAAATCGAAGGGAAAAAGCTTAAAAAAGAAAGTTTTGATTCACGTCATGTGAGAAGAAAAAAGATCTAGAGAAGACAAATTACTTCGATGTTTCGACCGAAATAAAAATTATACCTGAAGGCCTCGCGGTGATTTCCGCTGCGCAGCGGCTGCAAAGCGTCCGCGCGGCCCATCTCGAGGCTCTGAAACCAAAAGAAGTTGGAAGGATATAACAGGTGCCGCCCTCCATTAGCCTCCGCCCTTTGCTTTTTCAAAACCTTTCTTTTTTCTTCTTTATGTCCACACTTCAATGTTTTGTCGTCTAGCACTACGACACGCGATCATCTAGTGGAATATGCATGCAATCTTTTAACATATTTGTGTATCGTAGTTTCTTATTCGTATTATTTGTGCTGCTGAAAATCATCCAAACTGATGAAATGCAGTGGAACCAACATTTTGAACGAAATTGTATCGTATAATAACGCGCTGTTCTCCTAATCTTCTTAAACCAACTAAAAAAAATCTTCCGTATAAAAAAGTTCATTTTCCAAAAGTTCGAATGGTTAAAGATTATGAGAAAAAGTGGGAAGTTTCTCGTTTGTTGAGGAAACTAAAATAGGGCCAATTTTGGGATGAGCCGTGTCGCCAAAAAAGAAAATGAGAGCGAGAACAGCAGGAACTCGCAAACAAACAATTACCATTTTTCGCTGCTATGAAGACAGAGGAAACACATGAAAAAAATGTTTTGTTTTTCGCAAGCATGAAAAAAATTGTTAAAAAACATTTCCATGGGAAATCGTGAGTTTATTTTTGTCTGAAAAGAATAGCTAGCAAAAGAAATAATATTTTCAAGCTGGGATATTTGAACTAAAAGAGTATTCTCCCCGCAAAAGTCCTTTCAGGGCAAAAGACGTGAGAAGCGAGTTTTGAAACCTTGCACACATCTCTTTTTTCCGTTTCAGTGACTTCAAGAAGTTCTTTTTTTTCGACCAAGTCCCTCAAGATCAACAGCTGTTGTTAGAAGCAGCTAAAAAAAATTTCAAGCTTCAAAAGAGTAAACCAATCAAAGAACAGACCGGCCAGGTGTGGATCCCCCTTCCAAGTTTACGAATTCTGCTATAGTGGTCAATTTTAATTTTAAAAAAAAGTGGAACTTCAGATAAAAGAAAGCTGAAACGCCGTCCTAAAAATAAAAAAAAAATTTAAATTCGTCCTTTTCGTTTCTCTTGGTGAACAGAACTCTCTGAGGTGAAATAAAAGCAGGTGAACGATCAGGTCGTTCAAAGGTGAGAAGCCAGCGGCTGTACCCGGTAAGTGGGAGGCTCATCGTCGCCGGAGGGCAGAAGCGGCGCTCGCAGAGCCGACGACATCCGAGAATGCGTCTCATGCAACGTGTCCCTCGTCTTTCCGATCATCGTTTATTTTGCCTCTTCGGTCTTTCGCTCACTCTCTCTTGCTTTTCTCGAGAAAACTAGTCAAACCGTTGTTTTACTTTTCACGGTTAGTTTCTTTCCAATTGGTAGATTCCACATTCCGCAAGCCCCAATGCTGAAGCGAGCGTTCAACATTCGCTAGCATTTTTTATCAGGCTAAAGCAGAAGCTTTTCGAGGGACAACTCAGAACCTCTTTTTTTTTTCATGGATTCCTTTTTTATTGAATGAAAAAAATCTACAAAACAGTGTTTCTACATCCTAATAACCGTCAAGTAAAAATGGGTCGCATCACAAAAATTTTTCGTGAAAAAAAATTATTATTCAACAGTATTCATCAAAATTTTTTTGAAAAGTCTGAAAGAAACCTATCAAAAAACTGAAATTTCTCATTTCAGGGATATCCGTTTTATCGTTTTATCGGAAAACTCCCACGCATGAGTTTCAATAATAACTCGGCTGGTCAAATCAAAAACTGGAAATTTTACTAATTTGGAGAATAAAAATCGAAAAAGAGAACGAAAGTCAAGAAAGAAGCGTTATGGAAGCGCAATGGATTATGTGTTGTTACGCTTTGTTAGGCAGCGATTGTGGCGTCAGGAAGTTTGACGACTTTTTTTTTTTGGACGAAGCCCCCAAATTCAGTTCTTCTCAAAAAACAGCCCCTGACCCAGTCCTAATTTTCAATTCAGTTCAACAGAAGCTTGGTGGAACACTCAAGAAGATCCCCAGAAAACCTGGAACTTTTGTTTTACGTCTTTTGGTGGTGCTGGGACATGGGGCTGCAATAAAAATCAAGGTGGGTTGGCTCCAAACCGATCTCTTTAAACAAAGAAATTTATTTTAAGAGCAAGTCTCGGAGTGAAAAGAAACTACCATTAGAATAATGAGCATTATTTTTCGTTGCTTTGACTTACAAAATAATATCCATCATGCGAATTCGGACGCTCAAAAACGTCTAAAACCCAGTACTGATGGAGTGAACTACGGTCAACTTTTTTTTCTGCTTAGATGATCTCCACTGACTTCACGGCTGAAATATCATGAAAGGACGCCAACCTCAAGAACCATGTTTTGCGCAATTTTCGGCCGATATCTTCGACTTGAGGTGGCTCCTGCAGCCACAATAAGTGGACAATTTGGCATTGAGTCGACGGTAGAACGCCCTATGGCACAGAAGAAAATCGATGACGATCGCTTATCGCCTCCGGCGTATTATTAGCGTGTCCTGTTGCTATTTTTAGACCGACGATGTCTCGGTGTGGCGCCGCGAGCACTGATTAGCGCTGCTAATTGTCCCCTCTAAAGTTCCACACACACACCTTATCGCATTCTTTTAACCTTGATCAAAAAAAAATCTATAAAATTAATCTCATTTTCGACTTGCAAATCGGATGATGAAAAAGCGAGTTTGCGAAAACTAAGCTTTCAATTATGCAGATAAAATCCCTTCAGTGTGGTTACAATATTATTTTTGATTAGATTTGAAGCCAAAGTTCTGACTGTAAGATTTAACAGTTACCCAAAAAAACCCCCCTTTTTTTATTATACAAAGTTTTTTTCACCTTATGATCAAAACGGTGCTCAAGCGTTTTTTTAAACATAATTATTTCTCTGCTTCTCGCACAATTGCTTGACGAGGCAACCAGATATTTTTTTCCTTTTCTCAAAAAAATTTGATATAAAAAAACCTAATGTTCTCAACTAATAAGATTCAAAGACTCTTTTTATTCGTTTCTCTACATAATACGAATAATCAAAAGGATGAGACTTACGTAGGGACCACAGACTTATTTTTTTCGAACTTAAGCAAGCTCCTCGTTTTTTTGTTATAAATATAATGATTTTTAACATGTAGTATGCGAAAACAGAAAAGAAAAACGAAAAATATTAAGATTAAGAGGAGAAAACAATATTTAAAAGTAATCGAAAAGCAAAACTTTTTGCACTGAAATTTTGGTTTTGCGAATTCCCATGCAATCTGCGCGCACCCTTATTTGCAAGGTCGGCACGGTTTCAGGAGCCGAAAGAGAAGGTTTTACGAGCTGTAATTCCACTTTACCATCACTTTCGTCTCAGTAACTGCACAAATACAGCCTACTGTGCTCTTTGAATCCCATAAAAATGTCATTTCGCCTACTTTTATTCACCTTTTTTGTTGAGAAAAATTTTTTTCGGCGATCTTGAATTTTCGATTTTATTGCTTTATTTGTTTGAAAATTAAAAACTCTTATAAATGAGTAGGAAGAAACGCGTGTCCTCGACCGGGAAATGTTTCAAAACAACTCGCGAAAAAAATTCTCCAGCTTTTTTACCACTCAAAACAGTACATTTGCTTGTAGTTGTCAACAAGTATTATTTGAGCAATGTTTTTCTCAATATGAAAAAAGCATAAACATCTTCCAATACTGCATTGCAATTGAGAAAACAATTTTGACTTTGCGCGCCTCTCAATTTTTTGGGCGAACATAGAATTTTTATTTTTTTGGCTTAAACAATTTCATTTACTTTTTATAAGTAGTTTTCAAAAAATCAACTTTGTCCGCGACCTAGATTAATATCAAAACGCAAAACTAAGTTTATTTTTCGAACTCGCATCACTATTCCGTACGACACTCCGTTGAAACACATGGAAAGTACCTAAAAACCTTTTCTACATGTATGCTGGAATTTTCATCATTTTTCATTGTTTCTATCGGCTGTACGAAACAATCAAAGACGGAATACCAAAAAAAATGGCCTTTTTTCCCTCGCAAAAAGGGGCGGGGCTTTGCGGTCGCTAGACTTACGAGTTTAATGAGGTCATCGAAGAGTTTGATGTTGGCGCCCTTCCAACTAAGTGGCGCTGGCTGTGGCGACATCGCGGATCCAAAAAAGACCTTTTTTGCAGCCTGATGCCGCGTCGATCCTAACGCGGTCAGCAGCGAGAATCTCAGCCCAAAACGAAAAATCTTCTTCCGAAAGACGAAGGAGAGACTTTAATTCAGCAGATACAACGTGTGTGCGAGCGTGACAAAAACTAAGAAAAAAAAAGTTTTTGTTTTTTTCTTAAATCAATTTTTGCAATTCTGATAACCAAACAAGCAACTGAAAATGAGCTTTCAAAACTGCTTGACAGTTGGAACAAAAAAAAACGGCGCTGGGAATGAGACGAAAAAGGAATTAGCGGAATAATGGCAGGGAGGACCAAGGAGAGCTCAAGACCCAAAGTAATGGAAGAAGTCTCACCTCCTGCAAAACACATCTGGACAAATCCTTAAGATCCTTTGAAAGTCGGTATGTGTGAATAAAAGAAGCAAAAATGACAGTTCATCCGAAATGATGATCAACGAAACTCTTGAATGACAGAACATCGCTACTGTTAGAGAATTAAAATAAACTCGGATTGGTTGCTCTAAGGGGGCGTCAAAAAACGTGGGAGAATCGTTTTAGTTTTATCGCTTCCGCCTTTGCCGCCCCTCTAAACAGAAGCCAAACGAATGTACAATACGAAACTTCAATGTATTCTTCCGTTTTTCGAGTCGATAACTTTGATGAATCTTGAAACTAGTTTAACGAGTTATTGAAAAATTACAGTCTAAAGGCCCCCCAATGAGAAGGTCGGTTGTTCTAGGTGGAATAGGAAGAAGACGATGCAAACACGAAAAACTCACAGGAGAAACGTGATCTCCTCTACAGCAGTTGGCAAATATCAACTGGGCAAGGGCACCCACAGGTGCTTTTCACACTTGCCAGCACATGTTTTCTTTTCAACCTCATTTCAGGCTACAAAACGGCAGAAAACTCAAATTGATCATCTTCCTAATAAGATTGAAAAGCTTCGATCGAGTTACGTCAAGATCGGAAGTCGTTTTGGTCTTAAATCTTCAAAACAAACGTAACACTTTAGATAAATGAAAATAAATAAAAAGGCTCAAAGAGATATTCCAATCGGGAAATACTGGAATGAAGCTCACGTGAGAATGCGTTTTGTTCCGCTCATCTGCTAGGTAGAATTCGTAACAACTGCAGCCGCTCAATTGAATCGCCCCTCACATTACTTTTATCTTATTTCTGAAGTAGACTACAGAAATCTAGAGTCCGAAAAGGATAAAATTTTTTTAGAGCAAAAAAGGACGGAATCGGGCCGACGCATCTGTTAACTTTTGTAATAAAGAATATCAACAGAGAATATTTATGGAGTTACGTTTTTTCAAAAAGTACCATGACGTGACACACGCTCAAGCATTTATAGTACGGAATAACTATTTATCAAATCGAAGGACGTTGGATGTGAAAAAGTTAAATAAAACATGATTGGTTAGAGATGATTTAAATTTTCTCCGCGTCCGAAAAATGATGGTAGGAAGGAATTTTGGGTCCACGAATATTTGTGAGCGTTAATTGTGCATACACCAATCTTGGATGATCGAATCTTTGAAAATTTGAATCATTGAAAACGATTCTTGGGAATATTCACTTCTTTTCTGTTTTTTTATAGTTTTTCCAATGTTTTTTGTATACAGAAGTTGATGGAGAATGTATACAGAGTGAATGAAAATGTGGTAGCCGTTCTGCAGCGAATATTTGACTACGTGTATGCGAGAAAGACGCATTATTTGATAAAAAGTTAGTTGAAAAAAGCATAGTGTTCATTTGTGGTCGAAACACGGCATCTTCACAATAGAACGACAAAGGAAAAAAATGTAGGGAAAAAAAGAAGGAAATTCAAAAAAGAGAGGGGAATATTCCCAAGAATCGTTTGCAAAGATTCAATTTTTCAAAGATTCGAGCCTCCAAGATTGGTGTATGCACAATTAACGCTCACGAATATTCGGGAACCCCAAATTCCTTCCTACCATCCGAAAAATAAGAGTGACACATTTTCAGAGTTTTTTTCTTTTGCTTTAATCCATAAAACTATCGCTCTACTTTTTTTAAGAAAAAAACCTAAAAAAAAATTTTTTTATTTCTGTATAATTTTAACAAAAGAAAGAATATGACAAAAAAATGGAAAAATACTAATCAATGGCGGAGGTGGGATGGAGAGGATGAAGTCAAAAAAATTACATGTGGTCAGAGGAAGAAAAAAAGTTTGGATTGCCTCAATCTTTTTTTCTTGTAAAATATTGAAGAAATTTGTTTTTTTAATAAATTTGAGCAATTTTTTTATTCAAAAAGCAATGTTATCCAAAAAAATTTTTGTTCCTAACGTACTTTTTTTATGTACTTTTTTTATTCTAGTATTACACGAAGAAAGAATCGAAAATTTTCGTTATAAAGCGTTTCGTAACTTATGTTTATTTGTTAATCCCCTTTTTTATGTGGATATCCAATAACTTTGAAATTCTAGCCATCTTTTTTTGAATAGGTTTCGTAGTTTATTTTTTAAACTGTTTTATTATTTTCATCTATGCCTGTCCCTCACGGTGAAAAATAGCTAAAACAAGGGCTGAAAATTTTCTTTCAAAAAACTACATTAAAAATTTAAATAAAACACGCCAGGCAAAATAAAGCAAGAAGATGAATTTGAAAATATTGTGGAATTGGAGTTGGCTACAAACTAAATGACACGAATCGTGCGAAACAAAGGAAGGATTTGGCCTGCCATGCACAAGAAACACCTTGACACGGTCCTGCATGTCACGCGATTTGATGAATAGAAAAACAAAACAAAGCCTCCATTTCCTCTTAAACCGCGATCGTTTTTTTCGCTCAAAAAATTTTCGTTCCTGATGGTTGATAGTTCTGAGCACAAGTAAAAAAACAGCCACACTTTAGATATCTATATATATATACGATTGAGAAACACTGCGAAAATTGGAAGAATTATGACTTTTTGATTTGGTGTTCCAAAGGGTTTTTTTTTACACTCTATGGAACTTCTCGTTGGTCTTTTCTAAATAATTAGCGTTGGCGCAAACTATTGTCCATCCTATTACTTGAAAGTATGTCGAATTTTATATTGGCTACTTTTATTTTGAAAAAATAATGTCGATAAAAAACAAAAAGAAATCTGCGAGATTCATTAAAACGGTGCCATATAGGCCTCGAATGTCAAGAAATCGGTTAGAAGGGAGACGGACATTGTTCGTTTCTCAACGATTCCATTGCTCTCGAGACGCCCCTGGCAACATCGGAAATGTAGAAATACAAAGAAAAATGCGTTTGAACAACTGCAGGGCGATGAAACACAACCGTTCTTACCCGAAAATATCTTATTGCAAGAAAAAAAAAAACCATCGTCGCCCTATTCAATTCGCCGCTTAACCATATAACCGGTCAGAATGTTTCTCTTCGATGTACTGAATCTTTTGATCTTCGAAATCCGAACCTCCAAATCTTTTTATTTTTCGAACGGGCGCCTCAAATCCAGATTTCGTTACCGAAAAATCGAAACAAGTGTGAGTTAAAAATTTAATTTTTTCTTTTTTTTGTAAACTCTTCTTATCCAACTTGTTCACCTATTTCAAAAACTAAAGATATTCATTTATACAAGAAACCCACCAAAGATTTTGGAACCCTGAAAGATTTCCGGGTTCTTTTGGAGCGTCGGAACGCGGATGACGGCGGAATCCGTTGGACGCAACTCCCCTTCACCTTCACCATCGCCTCCATTTCCGCAGTTCCTGAGAAGTTCTTCACTTAAAAAATAAAAATTCGAAAAAAAAAATGAAAAATTAGCCCTTCAACGTGTTTCTCGCTACTAATTTTTCTTTTCATTCAAAATCGCAATCTATTTAACACACGTTCTCTGAGAAAATCGATGAACTGAGAAATCTCTTGGTACAATAATTTCAAGTTGGTTCCTCAAAGCTCTTTTTGCTATCAGAGATACTACATAACCTTCTTAGCACATGACACCCGGTTTCGACAGGCTCCGCCCACTTTCAGGGTTATGGTAGAGGAAATACCGTAAAAAGCTAACTTTTTTCCTGGGCGAGCAAATCGGTTCAAACCAACTGTAACGCAAAAAGCACGTCATTTTGAACATTTTTCATGTTGGAAACTACTCTGGAAAAAATTTTCTTCTTGTGGAAAAAAATCGCTGAAAGTTGAAAAATGACGATTTCCGCAGTTTTTGAGCTCTACTAAAACGGGGACCCCCGATGGCCTTGATTTTTATTTTCTCAATCGATGTATTGAGGCCTTGTGTGTTCGAAAAAAATATCCCTATATTCAAGTTTTTAAGTGTCGTAGTACATCACCATCTCAAAGAACGCGTCCAACTTGAAATTGGCCAAAAACTTCTAAAAATCCATAACTTTTTTTGAGAGTTTGATTTCAGTTGAGTTTTTTTGTTCTTGATGTACTACAACTAACTTGTTTTCAACTCAGGACAGTAAAAAGTGGAAAACGAAAACTTGGAAAATTTTAATTTTCAAGTTTTCGATTTTTGGACTTTTTTGTTTTTCCCCCAGCTTTTCCGTTTTTAAGCTCTGCTGAGGAGAGGACCCTAGAAGGCCTGGAATTTTATTTGATAAAATGATCAATTAGGTCTGGCTTAGCTCAGAAAAAATATTCCCGTCTTCAAGTTTCAAGTGTTGCAGTTGACAAGCGAAGCGCCGAGAATTGCTCTCATTGTGTTTACACTGGTTTTGTGGTTATGGAAAAAGTTTTTTTTTGTTAGTTCTTAATTAATGAGCTCGCAATTGCCAATGGGGTGTAGTTTTTCGAACTATGTAATTTTTTTCTTTGAACAAACTTTTAAAAAAATTTTTCAAATTTTTCCAGTTATTAAAAAAAGATCACCTGAAAATTTGAGCAAAAATGACCGATTCAAACACTAGGTAGCGCTCTTTCCGTGGTATATGTGGGTCTTGACACGATTTACGCTGAAGTTTCTTTAGAGTTTACTGGATTGCATCAAACTGAGTTCAGTTCAAATTTTCAAACCTTTTGCCAGAAGAAAATATCAAAAAGATCTAGAAAAAGTGCAGAAATACGAGATTCTGAGCGAATTCTTTCTTTTTTCTCCGAGTTTTAAAGGAATTTTGAGGCAATTTTTTTACTTTCAGGTATATGCAAGGTCCAGAAGACACATGAAAAACGTTTCACTCAGAAAAACGGACACTGCAATTTCTCAGGCTGGAATATGTACCTTGAAGGGGAAAATTTTGGAAAAAACGAAAAAATGTCATTTTTTCACAGGCAAAATGCGTTTTTTCAATGAGATGTACACAAGAAAAGTTTTGGAAAGTATACCTTTCACTTTCAAGTAAAAAAAAACTAAGTTTATGAATTTTTTCATTTTTACTCGATTTTGAGGTCGCCAGCTTCGGCGCTTCGCTGGTCAACTGCAACACTTGAAACTTGAAGACGGGAATATTTTTTCTGAGCTAAGCCAGACCTAATTGATCATTTTATCAAATAAAATTCCAGGCCTTCTAGGGTCCTCTCCTCAGCAGAGCTTAAAAAAACGGAAAAAGCTGGGGGAAAAAAACAAAAAAAGTCAAAAAAATCGAAAAACTTGAAAATTAAAATTTTTCCAAGTTTTTCGTTTTCCACTTTTTACTGTCCTGAGTTGAAAAACAAGTTAGTTGTAGTACATCAAGAACAAAAAAACTCAACTGAAATCAAACTCTCAAAAAAAGTTATGGATTTTTAGAAGTTTTGGCCAATTTCAAGTTGGACGCGTTCTTTGAGATGGTGATGTACTACGACACTTAAAACTTGAATATAGGGATATTTTTTTCGAACACACAAGGCCTCAATACATCGATTGAGAAAATAAAAATCAAGGCCATCGGGGGTCCCCGTTTTAGTAGAGCTCAAAAACTGCGGAAATCGTCATTTTTCAACTTTCAGCGATTTTTTTCCACAAGAAGAAAATTTTTTCCAGAGTAGTTTCCAACATGAAAAATGTTCAAAATGACGTGCTTTTTGCGTTACAGTTGGTTTGAACCGATTTGCTCGCCCAGGAAAAAAGTTAGCTTTTTACGGTATTTCCTCTACCATAACCCTGAAAGTGGGCGGAGCCTGTCGAAACCGGGTGTCATGTGCTAAGAAGGTCGCATAGTATATGTGACATGAATTTCAGCTCGAAAAAACAAACTTGAAAATTATTGTACCAACGTATTTTCGAAAATCTCAGAGAACGTGTGTTAAGGCGGTATAAATTACCTACACAGCTTGATTCGTATTGAACATTATCTCGCATTTTGATAAACTAATTGGTTGGTGAATATCTGAGAATGTTTTAAGGTAAGAACTGGAGCAGAAGGTGAAAGTTTCAAAATTTGGATGCAACATCAGACTCGCGTCCAACATTTCTCATCATTTATTGCCCATTTCTATGGTGAGCGTCAAGTATGAATCTCTCGAGGGTAAAATATTCCTTTCTTTTCTCTTCATTCTCTTCTATTTTTGCCGGTATCAAAAAATGATTATTATTCGAGCACAAGGAAAGAGCTTAAATTGTGAAAAAATAGAAGAAAAAGACTGGTTTAAACTGCTGGTATATTTTTTCAGAATAGGAAAAAATAGAAAAATTGCTTGCAGCCTCATAATAAAGAAAGCTTTTGAAAATGCATACTTTCGTGATGTAATTACACTTGACTAGAGCAAAATGACAGAATAAAAAATGTTTATATTGAAGGACCCAAAAGCGAAAAATTGAAACAAGGAAAAAATGGAAGACATAAGCAAATGGTGACTGAAACGACCAGTGCACAATGCAATTAAACGAAACGAGCACCCATCAGTGTGGATTGAGAGACACCGAAAAAGGCATATAGTTTATCCAAAACATCTTACATCCAAGTTGAAACGATAAAAATCAAAAATCAGTGAGAAACTGTCTCGACTAGACCGCTCGAAACTTTGATTGAAGGATGAATTTCCAAGGAATTGAGAGAAAAGAAAAACAGCCCATTTCGGAGCAGACACAGTCTCCGATCGATCTTGAACGCCGTTTCAAAAAGTTTTGGAAACAATTTCTGACAAACCAAAAACAATTCAAGTCGATGCCAAAAAACAACCGACCGAAAAGGGGCTTGAATGAGTATTGTATATTTCCAAACGATGTTTTTTGAACACTTTGAGTACTTCAAGTGGCAATCTCGACTTGGCAGTAGCCCTGAATGACTCGTCGAATTTTCTGGATAAACACTTGTTAGTTTATAGGAATTAGCATCGTTGAAAGACAGCGGACGCGCAGAGAACTTGGTCAACGTCTTCCGATACAAAAAGTATGGACTGTTATATCTCAGAACAACTTTTCAGGTAACCTTTGATTGGGTAGCTCGTTTTTGAAGTTGAAAAAAAAAATAGTAACCGTTCGAGCATCTTGAAAATTCAACAAGGCTGACTAATAAATTCAGGCCAACGCCATCTCACAGCTCTACCAATGATTCCTCTCTGTTACTATATTCAAAAGGAAAACCGGCCACCGGATCAGAGCCTTTGCCAGAGGCTGTGTGCCATAAAACATTCCACTGGTATGCGGATTATTTTTGGAGCTCATTTTCAAATTTTTTACCTTTTTGTTAATCGATTTTATGAAGGTCGGAGAATCCAATCAAGTCAATATTGACAGAAGGTATTTTTTTGATCAATTTGGAAAAAAAACGCCATATGTGAACTATTTCTAGTTTTTTTGATATTAATAAAGCAAATAGATCAATTAGCAAAAAAAACGAAAAAAAGACATCCTGCCTTTGATGAATTGTTTAAAACTTTCCAAAGTTACTTTTTGCATCGTTTCAGAACTTTATTGGTGAAGTAAGAGTTTTCGATGCCGTAAAAAGTCTATCCTTTTTCAATAATTTTTCCCTCACGTTTAGAAATCAAGAAAGTAAATTATCACTACATCGCTCGATGATGCAATGGACGAGATACGTAGACGAGACTTGGGAATAGGACCTCGAATGATAACTAACCAAGTGGTAAGTATAACCAGAGAGCACTAAAATTTTAGAACAGCAGCGTTTAAATGATGAGCCGAGAAACATTCATCAAACTGGACGCAAAAAATATATATGTAATTCAAACTCTTTCTGATATCTCTATTTGTTTCTTCCAGAAAAAGAAAAATTTTTTTGACGAATCAATTAAAAAAATTAGTTTAATTAAAAAAATTAGCAAATTTTTACAACTTTCGATGCAACAATTTTTCAAAAACAAAAGAAAAGTCGACTTCTTTACTTTTGAAAACGAATTTTATTTTTAATTATTTTCTAATCTCATCAAATTTAACTTTTCTTCTGTCTTAAGTGTCAGTTTGCACCGCACAGAAATTAAATTAATTGAAACTCTTTATGGCAACATCACTTCATTGAAATACCTTTTGCGACTTACCTCGTTAACTTTTGAGTTCGGAACGAGAGGAAGGTTGAACAGTTACTGTATTTCATCGGCGCCACTGAAAAAAAAAATCATATCTGCGTTATAACGAAAGATACAAAAGCGTTGAAGATCGACTGAAAGTTGAAAACCACATGAATTTTCTAGACTTGTACGTTTCCTTTAATTTCAGACTAAAAAATGTCACTACTGCGAATAGGCTTCGGTCAATCATGTGCATACATAATTCCTTTTGGAATCTAATCTGCGAGTGAACTTATTTGATCAAAACACAAAGAATCAATTTCTGATACATGGGTTATGTTTACGTAGATTATGAATTTGGATAGTGAAACAGTTAAGAAATTTTTTTGAAAAAGCCCGGGTATACCTTCTTGAAGAAGGGTCCGATCGCCGTCTGGTGTTTCGGTGAAAAGCGCTCTACTGATTAAGAAAGTTGAAAAATTACTCGGACATTGGGAACGCGAAAAGGACGTGCTCCGGACGTTTCTGGGCGATTCTAGGGATCACGAGAGCTGAGGCTACTAAAGTGGTCACTAGAAATGCCCCCCACACGTCCGAATCGCGTCCCATTCGCGTTAATAAGGTCCGAGTATATAGAAAGGCCTGCGGGATTCTGCGGAGATGTACTTTAACTTTTTAATAATTTTTTTTTTTTTCTTTTTTCCTATGATGTCAATGCATACTCACGAAGAAGTTGCGCAAGTAGGAAAAGAGTTTTTTTTTCTTATGCCGTGTTCAATTTGATTCCGCGAAATTCAAAATAGAGAAAGGAAAAGATCACTAAATTTTGGTGAGTCAGAGATCACATTGCATTTCGCGGAATCAATTTGAACACGGCATTATAGTCTGTTCAGATTTTGAATGTCAAGTGCAATGACGTCATTAAAAAACACTCTGTGGATGGCTCGCTCTCTGATTGGTTTATCGCACCATTAGGGGCGGAGCTTGAGCGACGACTTGACATTCAAAATCTGAACAGACTATAACTTTCCTCTCTCCAGAAGCGAAGGCGCAATGTGAAAAGGACGGTATAGCCTGTTTACGGCTGACTTGGGACAGCGAACGAGCGGTTTTACTTGCCCGGCGATGGGAGATCATGGCAGTCAAATATGCACTTTTAATAAGAGTCTCATTTGGTGATTTTTTTCTGTTTCAATTGCATATAGTTTTTGTTTAATTTTATTCCGTTGGTTTTAATGTTTTTTTTATTCGACTGAATACAAAAGAAAAATAAATAATTCATAAAATGGGGCTTTTGTGGAAGCGCATAGATAGTCGCAGAGCTGTTCTCGGGGCGACCGCGGTCGACCGAGGGCCCCCCGACTTGCGGCGTATTCGAGGGCGGCCGCGGTCGGCCTTTGGTAAGGGTCAACTCGGTCGACCCGTAGATACAAATTTTTTTCTGACTCCCGGTTTTTTGCGAATTATGGAAAGCGCAAGTTTTACTGAAATGAAAGTGAAACAAAAAACATTTTTTATCGAGCACATAAAGAGAAAAACCGATGAAATGAGATATTAATCCAAAAATTCAATAGTTTCCTAAGTGGCCAGAACAATTTACAGAACTAGAGTAAACAAATTAATAAAATTTTCATGGATCATAAATAACTTAAAAGTTCATTTTCAATATAAAAAACTAAAATAAAAACAAAAAATACGGAAAAAAAAATCCTCGCGCTCGCTTCGGGGGCCTGAATGAAAACCGCTTCGCGGGCCGGGGCGCTCAGGGGCGCGTCGCGGTCGGGTCGGGGCCGCCTAGGCCAGGGTCGCCCCGACTTGAGAACAGCTCTGGATAGTCGCCGTGACCTACGTTTGCCGCGCAAAGTAAACCGCCCGTTCACCGTCCCAAGCCAGCCGTGAACGGGCTATAACGTCGCGCCGGACAGCTTTCAACAGTGCTAAACAGGCATGTCCAGGATCAAATCCACGGAAAAATTGGTGGCCAAGGTGATGCCTCCGCACTTCTACCAGTATAGCCTATTCCGCGCCAGCTTGTCACGTTTTTCTTTCCGCCAAAAAGACCGTTTACCAAATTAGATCAAATTTCTGCTTTTATAACGGCAAGAAACAAAGGTCTTGAAGCGAAAGTTAGTTAAATTTGACCTGGCCTTTTGGCAGAAAGAAAAACGTGACAAGCTAGCGCGGAATGGCCTATACATGATCGATTGAACATTCATTGGCGAAAAGAGCCTGAAAATATAACAGTGAATTTTTACTTGTAAAAAAGTGATCAGATGAATGAAAACCCATAAAAACCAACTTGAAAATAAAAATACACTGATGAAGGTCGCAGAAAAAAACCGCCGAAAATTCCATATACCAAATTAGACCGAAATTGCCCATCTTTGCTTCAAGACCTTTGTTTTTGCTGTCTTTTTATAGCTGATTCACGGCTAGCTTGGGACGCTATATAAGAGGGCGTGTCCTGTCTGCGCTCTCCACGAGCCAGGCGCTATCTCGTGCATTATCGTGTCAAGACCATTTTTTCGATGGCTCAAGCCAGCCGTAAACCAGCTATAGCATGACTCGCGCGGAAAACACCATACGTATGCATACTGCAGTCAAAATTGGCTAAAGAACGGAATTTTGAGTTGCCGGGCGCGTGCACGCGAAATGCGCCTTCATGGTACTTTAGGAGTTTTTTTTATGCCGCGCGCGGCCGAATCAACTTTTGAGCTAAAAAAATTAAAATTTACTGGCCAGATTCAAAGTGACGTCAGGTTTGACTGAAAACTTCTTTGTTCAAGAACCCTAACCAGCGTGCTTCGCTGCTATTTTTTTTCTGGATCTATCTTTTCTACGGATCTTTTGAAATGACTTAACACGCTGTCTCCGTAATTCTCAAAAAGAGTGGGTACAATAAAAAAATATTTTTTGATTTCGATGAAACTTCACCCACTGTGATAGTCTGTCATCAGGAATGCCGACGCAAGTTTTCAGACCGATTCCTCCTACCGTAGCTAGGTTACGGTAGGCAGGCGCGTCTTTTCGTATGTAAGAATCTATGCGTTCTTTCTAGGCGTATTGTATATCAATCGATAGGGATTGCAATTTTAGGAACTTTTTCAGTACATACCATCATGGGTTACTGTAGAAATTTTTTGAGTTACGGTAATTTTTGTGTCTGCGATTTTGGTTTTTCCGTCACTCTGTGTGTTCGGGGAGAGACCACGGCTGGTAACTTTCCTGAAACATTCTTCTCAGTAATACCTACGGAGAGATACCACTTTGAAATGGATCTGTCCTACCGGTCATTTCGAAAAACCGCTTCAAAGAGGCTCAACTTGGCATCTGTCGGGGAAAATCGCCCGCGGTTAGAGATTTCTACCTCTCTTTTCTCGTCAGATCCGGTGCTAAAGTTTGTTTCATTTGATAGTGCAGGGTTGTACTTCATAGATGATAATGTTCCCTCCGACTTTCAGCCTACCCTTCTAACATAAAATTCAGTTTGAAGCCGATTTTGGCCTGAAAACAACGATTCTCAGATTTCAACGTTTTTTTCTGAGCTCAGTCCTACTGAGGCTGGGCTCCAAAGTGTCTTTTATTACTTTTACATGTTACATGATTTGTTTGATCTAGAAAAAACTGTGTTTGAGCTTACCCGTCATGCTCAAAATTCAATTTGAAGCCGATTTTGGCCTAAAAACAACGATTCTCAGATTTCAACGTTTTTTTGTCAGCTCATTCTGTTTGAGTCAGGTCTTTGAAGTGTTTATCACTTTCCTTCTATGTTGTATGAAATATTTCATCAAGAAAAAATTGCATTTGAACCTACCCGTCTAACTCTAAGTTCAACTTGAAGCCGATTTTGGCTTAGAAATAGTGGTTTTCGATATTATATCACAAAACGTTGAAATCTGAGAATCGTTGTTTTTAGGCCAAAATCGGCTTCAAATTGAATTTTGAGCATGACGGGTAAGCTCAAACACAGTTTTTTCTAGATCAAACAAATCATGTAACATGTAAAAGTAATAAAAGACACTTTGGAGCCCAGCCTCAGTAGGACTGAGCTCAGAAAAAAACGTTGAAATCTGAGAATCGTTGTTTTTAGGCCAAAATCGGCTTCAAACTGAATTTTATGTTAGAAGGGTAGGCTGAAAGTCGGAGGGAACATTATCATCTATGAAGTACAACCCTGCACTATCAAATGAAACAAACTTTAGCACCGGATCTGACGAGAAAAAGAGGTAGAAATCTCTAACCGCGGGCGATTTTCCCCGACAGATGCCAAGTTGAGCCTCTTTGAAGCGGTTTTTCGAAATGACCGGTAGGACAGATCCATTTCAAAGTGGTATCTCTCCGTAGGTATTACTGAGAAGAATGTTTCAGGAAAGTTACCAGCCGTGGTCTCTCCCCGAACACACAGAGTGACGGAAAAACCAAAATCGCAGACACAAAAATTACCGTAACTCAAAAAATTTCTACAGTAACCCATGATGGTATGTACTGAAAAAGTTCCTAAAATTGCAATCCCTATCGATTGATATACAATACGCCTAGAAAGAACGCATAGATTCTTACATACGAAAAGACGCGCCTGCCTACCGTAACCTAGCTACGGTAGGAGGAATCGGTCTGAAAACTTGCGTCGGCATTCCTGATGACAGACTATCACAGTGGGTGAAGTTTCATCAAAATCAAACAATATTTTTTTATTGTACCCACTCTTTTTGAAAACTTTTGAAAATTACAGAGACAGCGTGTTAACAGAAGGCGGGAAAAAATCACGTGAGGTCAAAAAAAGGTGGTTTAGACTCTTTCAGTATTTTATTTTTTTTTTCCGCGCGAGACGGTCCCCTTTTAATAGGAAAGGACGGCTCACGCATTTTTAAGGCGGCGGGTCGTATTACGGTAATCAAGCGAGTTTTTTGGGTAATAAAATGAAAACTTGTGTACTTTTTATGACGTAGCTTATCTTGTAACCTCGAGAAATAGGACCTTAACAAATTGCAGAAAAGAAAAAAAAATTAAAAAAATTTCCTGGCCCCGAAACTGACAGCGCAATTTTTACCGGCCACTGGCCGCCGTAGCACTGTCTTAAACATGCGTGGGCTACCATGAAAAAATATATAGCCTTTTTTTTTCTTTTGCATGCCTGCTCTACTGGGATAAGTTTTAGGACCCCCTATAGGGGGCCCTAGGGATTTCCCCCTAAAAAGGCCACTTGCAGACCCCCTATAGGGCCCCCTAAAACTTATCCCAGTACAAACTGCAAAAAACAATGTTTCGAAAAAAGTTTCGTCAAATTTAGTCAAATTCGGTCATTTTCGTGAACGGCATTTTTTGCAGAAAAAATTTACAAGCTAACGCGGAATGGCTATTTTACCTGGTGCATGGTGTCTGTTTTTTTGAGCTTTCTTATTCATTTTCACTGAATCTATCATTTCCTATCTGATTTCGATATATCAATTTGAATTTTATTCAATTTGAACTAAAAATTCTCAAGGTTTTCAAGAATAATTCTTTTTTTTAAATGTGAACTTCTCAACTCTTAATGAAAAAAAACTGCGATCTCATCGTATTCTTCAATATCGCTAGTCTAGATTTCTCCAATTTCGTCCCACTGTCCAATTCCGCTGGTCACATGGTTGTTTCAGTTCAACTTATTTTTTTTTTTTGGATTTGGATTTGAGGATCAAGAAATATGTTCGGAGGAATCGCAGATCGCACAAACGCCTTTCGCATGAACCGAAGGCGGTTGGGAATTTCTTTGAATCATGGCGGTCTCGAAGGCAAGTGATCTCTTCGATGTTATAACCTAAAAATTTTGAATCAAATCAAGACTAGTGAACATCAAAGTGAGGAAAACTTCACAGATACTACTTTTTGATAGAAGGAATAGCGCTCTTTTTGTTGGAGCAGCATCATCTTGGAAAAAAAAACAGTAGCGTTATAAAAATATTTTCTCAAATTTTTCTCATCTTTTGGGTTCAACGCGTCTATATATATATATATATATACTCTTCTCTCGGCAGTTATCCATATATATGAATAGCTGCCGAGAGAAGAGCTCGCTGGTGGTACATTTACGAACTCGTAAATCTGCCGCTTTTACGCTGCGCCGGACTCACATTCTTGTGCAAAATGCGCATTTTTCGCGGCGCAACCTCGCATTTTAGCTGTATTTTTTTTCAAATGTTTTTTTTTTGTATTTTTGCGAGAGGAGAGCCATGAAAAAGCGAAGTTGCGCCAAGATAAATGCGGAACCGGCGCGACGCGGCAGATTTGCGTTTTTGCTTACCGCTTTCGACCTCGCCTTTCTCTCGCGATGGACTAGGCAGTCATCCTTAGTGAGAAGAATTTAACACAAAGCTCATTTGTATTCTTTCGATTCACCTGTGTAACTTTTTTTCTCATTCTTCATTCTTTGTCAAATACAAATAGTATATAATAAACAGGGAGTTAAGCGAAAAAGTTTCAAAGCTTCAGAAACAAAACGACAAAAAAAGAGATTGTAGAAGTTTTCATTTTTTTATTCGTGGTATACTTCTTATTTTTTTATTTTTGTTTTTTTGACTTTTTCAAAATTTCAGTTTGCTCATTTTTAGCTTAAAGGAAACTGAAGCATGATTTTCTATAAAGTAATCATTCAAGTACTTCTTTATCAAGCGATGAAGGTGAGCCTCGGCGACAAGCCATCGAGACGCGCGTGTGGAATTCCCTTTTTTCTTCGTTTCATGTTGCATTTTCTCTGTTTCTCTCCGTTAGCTGTGCACCTTCTGCAAATCTCTTTTTCTCACTTACTTCATTATCAAATGTCTCTACGCCTTTAGTATCTGTTCGAAATTGATTTCTTCATTTCATCCTTTTTTCTGCAAAACGTTTTCCCTGCTCGAAAAATTCATCATTTTCCTTTCCACACCTAATATAATTTTCCAGACATCTACCGCAATAATTGGGAACAGTGCTCCTCACCGCCATCTGATTGTCAGTTTAATAAATCAGGCGTAGATCGTTGCAAGACGATCGTGTCAAAGGAAAATTGTGGTTCAGGTCACATAGGCATCAATAATTAAAATTTTTCTTTTTTGAAGGTGAGCTAGATACGGGTCCTAGTAGTGCAAGTTCGCCTCATCCTCAACCGCACGTTTTCTTTTCATCAACTTCACTAACTGTTCACTCATCTGACTCTGCTGAGAAAAGCATCGAAGAACGTGTCAGAATGCCAAACATCAAGGTTCGTAAATGCCATACTTTTCAAAGTCTATTTGTGATTCGCGGTAACTGACATGAATTTCAATTTTCCGGTTTTCTCGGGATCTTCACACAAGGATTTGGCTGGTCGCATTTGCGAACGGCTACAGCTGGAGGTCGCCAAGGCGTCACTAAAAAAATTTAGTAACAAGGTTGACTTTAAAACTGTTTTTTGATATACACTTTTATGCAGGAGACGAACGTGGAGATCGGAGAGTCTGTGAGAGGAGAAGATGTGTACATCATACAATCGGCGGCCGGGGAGATTAACGACAACCTCATGGTATTTTTGTTCATTTGTCAAACATGAAACACGAAAATAACGGAAATTTTCTTGCAGAATAATTTTGCTTGCATTTTTAGGAGCTTTTGATAATGATCAACGCTTGTAAAATTGCTTCTTCGTGTCGTGTAGCAGCCGTTATTCCTTGTTTCCCATATGCAAGACAGGACAAAAAGGACAAGAGCCGAGCTCCAATATCTGCTAAACTCGTAAGATTTTCTACGGCGTTATCACGCATCCGCTCAACAATAGGTCGCGAACATGCTCTCTGTGGCTGGAGCCGACCACATTATCACTATGGATCTTCATGCGTCGCAAATTCAGGTTTTCATGAGTTTTTTGGTCATCTTCAAAAATCATTGTTGAGGGCTTTTTTGATATACCCGTGGACAACTTGTACGCTGAACCAGCAATTTTAAAGTTCATCAAAGAGTCGATTCCAAACTGGCAAACTTCAGTTATCGTTTCTCCTGACGCTGGAGGAGCCAAAAGGTTACTTGATATTTTCTTATAACAAAAGGGCTTGTAATTTCAAACTGATTTCAATATATAATTTTCGATTTACTGGATGGTCGGAAGTTTACGGCTTTGAACATTTAAGAATAAAAATTCTCATATTTCAGTTTCATTTTGATTCTCAAAAGTTGTTCAGAGTAGAGAGAGAAAATGAAAGAAACTTTTCAAAACTTGATTCGAAGTTATTGCAAGTTCAACGAGTTACGAGTTGAAAAAAGAGTTTAAAATCTTTTTTTTCAAATCCCTTCTCATTTAGACTATCAGAACACAAACGTTTTTATTAGTTCACACGAATTCATCAATGACTTTTTAGGGTTACGTCTATTGCCGACCGCTTGAACGTCGACTTTGCTCTAATCCACAAAGAACGGAAAAGAGCCAACGAAGTAGAGAAAATGACGTTGGTCGGCAGCGTCGAGAACAAAGTTGCGATTCTTGTGGACGACATGGCCGACACGTGCGGAACCATCTGCATGGCTGCTGACAAGTTTTCAACAATCGTTGCAATTTTAATTACAAAAAACGTTGAGGTTGGTCGAGGCTGGTGCTGAGAAAGTCTACGCTTTCTGCGTACACGGGATCTTTTCTGGACCGGCCCTCACGCGTCTCAACAATTCCAAGTTCGAAGCGGTCGTCGTGACAAACACGATTCCTCAAGAAAACAACATGAAGCTGTGTCCCAAGATTCAGGTAGAGATCCATTTTAAAACTATAGATAGTCATAATCTGACTAGGGAACGTTTTTTGGCCCCCAGTTGAACTTTTGATGAAACTTTGCTGAGGTGGACTTGAGGACCTCTTGACTCCAGAACAAGAAAAAAAAGTTTCACAATATTTTACAAATTTTGAAGCTTTATAAATCGAAAACAAGATCTATTGAGAGGAATATTCATCTAGTTTTGGACAGTCCTAAAGTGAACTTCATAAAATTTTCATCAAAAGTTCAACCGGGGAAATTTCACCTAGTGAGGTTTTTCAATTGTAATAATTTTTTCAGTGCATCGACATCTCTATGATTCTGGCTGAAGCCATCAGGCGCACACACAATGGCGAATCAGTGTCCTATCTATTTTCACATGTGCCTATTTGTTGAATCTCATCATTCTATTCCTGTTACGCACGTTTTTTGTTTTCTCATTTTGTATTTCTTTTTGTTGTAATAATGCTGTTAGCGAGTTAGACAATTCTTTGTCCAAATTCAAATAAGTTTTTATTTGTGTTTGTTCGTGAAAACTCAAAATGCATTTTTGTTTTGACATAAACAATGTGAATAAGTAGTTTTTGCAATGCGAATGAGATTTCCGTATCTCTAATTGTACTTTCATACAAAAAGCTGGTAGAAAGTTTTGACTTAATACCCTGTTTCAATTTTAACTTTCAAGAAAGTGCATGTAATTAAAATGAGCTATATAAGAAATTGAGCCGCTCTCTTCAGAAATAATGTATCAATGATGGATGAAGCGGCCACGAGAAGTGCTTTAGAATTATCGCAAAAAGCGGTTCATTTCGACCAGGCAAGCTATTTCTAGCCGATTTGTTGAACCTTTTTAACCACTGGTCAATCGGCGTCACAAAATTAGATAGTCTGTTTGTATTCTGAATTTCAAGCAGCTAACTCCGTCTCCAGGGATACAATATCCTTTGCGTCGATGTTTTATCGCGCCTGACGATTCTTGCGTGAAATAGTAAAAAAAATTTAGGGCTGTTAAAGAACAGTGCTAAATTTTTTCACTACTTTTTCAAGATGTATAGGCCAATCCGCGCCAGCTTGTCACGTTTTTCTTTCCGCCAAAAGGCCAGGTCAAATTTGAACAACTTCGCTTCAAGACCTCCGTTTCTTGCCTTTATAAACGCAGAAATTTGATCTAATTTGGTATGCGGTCTTTTTGGCGGAAAGAAAAACGTGACAAGCTGGCGCGGAATAGGCTATAGGAGAAAAATATGAAAATTTAGCGCTATTATAGGATCATCGTCCCCCAAGATGATTAAACGAGACGCCATTATAGATAGCACTCCCAAAAGTCTCCTCTTGGCGCATTCCGCGTGCGTGCGCGCGCCAATTCAAATTTCGTCTCTTGGACTAGATTTACAGGCTTCCAGTATATGGTTCTTTTTTTGTATAATTTTTTTCTTACTTATTCATTTCCAGTTTTCTTTTTATTTAATATTGACTCATTTAGGGAATCTAACTTTATTTAAGAAAGTTTTTTCTTGTTTTAGCGCAAATTCAAATTTTCGCCTTCACTCACTTGCACAGGCAAATGGGGAAGGTACCATAATGTGCCCACAAATATACCTCTTAAAATGAATCTTGAATATTCCATAACGTGTCCATCATGAGACGTCGAGCATAAATTTTAGCTCTAGCTGCCCAGGGAATGGTCTCTGGTCGTAGTTGGATTTCAGAATGAGACACAGTTCACTAGATGAAGTTTTTCATGCTGTTTCCAAATCTGTTCTCAAAAAAATGCCGCGCAGGTCCGTGAAAAAAAGTTTTTTGGAAACGTTTTTTTGAGCGGAGATACGATTTTTTTCAAAGCTCCTCGCATGATAAGGAAATGTGCTGCTGAAAATTCATTTTTTTCGTTTCTCATGAGCGAATGGAGAACAACGTGTACAGCTCATACAAATTTCAAAGGAAGTCTGAAAACAGAATGAATAAAAAAATTAGAAAACCGAAGTGACTAAAAAAATAATAATAATAAAAAAACCTGGGAAGCATTTCCAGGCTACTCGGTAGCAATCAAAAAAATTTCAGGTACTCTGCCCGTATATCCAGTTATCATAGATATGATACCCGGGTAAAAATTAATTGGAAGTTTTTTTAATGCAAGAAAAAAATTATACAAAAAAAGAACCATATACTGGAAGCCTGTAAATCTAGTTCAAGAGACAAAATTTGAATTGGCGCGCGCACGCACGCGGAATGCGCTAAGAGGAGACTTTTGGGAGTGCTATCTATAATGGCGTCTTGATTAAACGACGCGAAAGAAACTGTATTCCCGGGGGGTATAGTTGCTTGACATTTAAAATCTGAACAGACTATAGTCACGATTACAAGTGAAAATTCACTCTGCTAGTACTACTGCTGCTAGTACTACAGCAGAGTGAATTTTCACTTGCAATCGTGGTTACAAATTTTACTGTTATCTTTTACTGCCTCTGCTATCGGAGCTTCAGAAGTTTCGACCGTATATTAATTTCAACTTTTCAAAAACCAATTTTCAAGTAGCAAACGATATTTTTTAAAACGAAATTTCAAATATTGAACTCTATTCTGAACTTTCTCAATCCAAGCCTTCGAATAAATTTGGTCAATATTTGAGAAAATATCGAATGAGCGATTGTTTTTTGGTCTCTCATGAGGCTTTTTATGATGCCGCCGAGCTTTTAAAAATTGAGGCTCGGTCTAATTTTGAACGAAAGATGGGTGCTAAGACATGGTCGAGTTTTCTTTTTCCGGAGGGTACTGTATGTGAAATTCCGCATTTGGCGTGTTTGTACATTACTCTAACCCTAAGAATAACTGCCGAGATAAACTCGAGACGCTGGCGGTACATTGACGAGCTCGCAAACATCTCGCTTTTTTTCTTGCATTTTTCTGGGCGCGAGCTCGCATTTCTCTCGCATTTTGAAAATTTCCGGAATGCAAGATAAATGCGAGGTCGCGCCTAGAAAAAAGCGACATGTTTGCGAGTTCGTCAATGTACCGCCACCGACCTCGCGTTTATCTCGTCAGTTATTCTTAGTGAACAAAAGTTGCGGTGCACCTCGCGTCGAACCGGCTATCGGGATGCACCCCTTATTGAACTCAGCGCGATTGGGTGCACCCCGCGTTGGACTTTTCGGTGCACGCCTGGTTACACTGCGGGGTGTACAGGAAAGTTCACCGCAACTTTTGTTAGAGTAGCGAGTGATCCATCTCCGCGTTTTTCATTATAGCGTTTATTCTATTTTCGTTCTAAATCTCAATGAAACTTCTCTTTTTGGAAGTTTTGGAGAAATTAATAACAACTATAGGAAACAGTTAAATTGGAACAACTATTCATTTTAAGTCATTATGAAAAAAAATAATAAAAATTTTAAAACAAAAATGGAGAAAAGGCGGGACCACTCGAAATGTGCAAACACGCAAATTGCACACTCCAAATGCGGACTTTCACATACAGTACTCTTTGCAAAACTCTCTCTCGTCGTAACACCAAAAGTTTGATTTCGTCGACTATATCGGATATTAGAGTGCTTATATCGTTAATTTTGCTCTATTGTGGCGCAATCAAGCAACTGCTCTATTGTGGCGCAATCAAGCGGAATTGTTTAGGCAAGGCGCTATGATGAGGCAATCTTCTGCTACTCTGAAGCGGCCAACAAACTACTTCAATTGGTCCAAGCCAAAAAGGTTGTCGTCACAAGAGCTTCGAGATCAATGATAAAGTGAACAGTGTTTACCTATCTTGCGGAAAAATGTTCAAGAATGCGTGGAGAGAGCCGAGTTTCTGAAAAAAAATCTTCATTCACTGCAGGAGGCGGTAATTCTTGGTAGGACGGAGAAGTCTTTGTTCACGGAAATATTCCAGTACCCCAAGTCTGAGGATGACAGTATTAGAGAAAAAGCCGAGTTCATGATTATGAAAGCCGAGTTTCTGGACGACGGGCAACATTTGCAACTTGCCAGCGACGCATTCAAGGAAGTTGTCGGATACGCTATCGAAATGGTTCTTTCTAAATAGTTTTTGAGATTCCTCTGAAATATGAAAAATTTTTCAGGGTAAATCTCAAAAAGACGCAGAAACCAGGACGAAATTGCACGAAATTGCCATGAAAGGTCTTCAAAGAGCCGAGCAGCTTGATAAGATAATTCAAGAGAGGGAAATTGACCATTTCACTGGGATGCTACCCGAAGTCCCGCAAATAGGTACTGCAAAGACTTGAAAGCAAAACAATTCGCAGATCTTCCTTTGGCCATTTCTCCCGCTGTGGCTATGAATGAAGAAATTTCGCCTGTGGTTCCGTCTCCAAACAACGCATCGGTTTCTAAAGATCTATTCGAAAATGTTCGAAAATTCGAGGTCTTCAGACCGAGAGATTAACAAAAGAAGAAGTTGCCGTTCTCGCGTCGACGTCAAATATCAACGGTCGTGTCTATGTACCTTTTCTCGCGTTCGACCTAGCCGAAAAGTTCAAATTCTCCACCAAATTCACGTTGATACAAATACAATTATTCTGTTATTGTGGGGATTCTAGTGATACGGATGGAAAACTTGCAACGACTGAAAAGCAAAAAAAGCGTCGTTTTTCCTGGAAAAGAGCTTCCGAAATGTACGAAGAAGCGGTCGTCATTCATTCAGTCGACAGTTCTACTATCAAACAGGTGCTTCGATGCAGATAATTGTTCGAATTTCCGGTTTAAGACTTTGGTTTCCGATTGTTCTTTCATCTCTTCGCTTTCCATTGCCGCAAGTTATGAGAGACGCTTTGGGAAACAGCTCGTCACAAGGTCTGTTTTTTTTTCTTTCTCTTCTTTTATTATTTTTTATTCTGTTTAAGTATAATCTATCCACAAAACAAAAACGGCATTCCTCAGCATAACCCTTTTGGCAAGTACATGGTCAAGTTCCACATAAACGGCGTCTGGAGAAAAGTTGTTTTGATTTCCAAAAACTGAAAACAAAAAAGAATACAGGTGATTATTGACGACTTTTTGCCATGCGACGAGAACCTGCAGTTGTTGTGTTCTCACACGGAAAGGAAAGGAGAGTTATGGGTTTCGCTTCTCGAAAAAGCCTATCTGAAGGTGATGGGTGGCTATGACTTTCCTGGATCCAACTCGGTGATTTTTTTGTGTTCATTCATATTCTGACAACAAAATGTGGCAGTTTGAGGCCACAAAATAATATCATAAAAACATGAAAAAGAATGAGGCTACGAAGTTTGAATTGAAAAAGTTTGAACATGAAATTTTGAGATTATGCTGAAACTTCAAGGAGATGTACCAGGCTGTCCAATAATTCTTGTCCGAAAATTTCACCATTTTAATTTTTTTTTTAACTTTATTGAAAAACTAGTCTAATCAACAATATAATCACCACAGTTATTCACGACATTAGCCCATCGATTGGGCAGGTCGCCGATGCCCTTCGCTCGGAACTCCGGGGACTGGGCTTCGAAGAAGTACGCGAAGTCGGATTTTAGTTTGTCGTAGTTGGTGAATTTTTTTTCCGGCCAAACGGTGCTCGAGCGGACGGAACAAGTGGAAGTCGGAGGGAGCGAGGTCCGTGGAATACGGCGGATAGGCAACCGTCTCCCAGCCGAGCGTCGCCAACTTCTGCTGGGTCTTCTTCCCCACGTGGGGGCGCGCGTTCTCGTGCTGAAGATGGACCGAGGCACGTCGGGGACGGTTTTTTCGGATGGCGACGGCTAGTTTCTCGAGCTGATCGCTGTAGATGGAGGCGGTGACCGTCCTGCCTTGCGGGAGCAGCTCGAAGTACAGCATGCTCTTGGCGTCCACCAGTAGCAGAGCACGATCTTCAGCGGAAGTAGGTCGGATTTCGGCGTTGTCGGCGGCTCTTCTTCGCGCGGGATCCAGACGGCATGGTGGGCGACGTTGTCGTAGAGGACGCGGGTCTCATCCTCAGTGACCAGAACCTCGAGAAACTCCTTGCGTGCGGATGAAGGAGAAGGGATTGACGACGGCCACGCGGCTGTGCTTGTTGGCGTCCATCAGACGGTGGGGATCCCACGGGCCAGCCAGAACTTTGGGGTAGCCGAGTAAGTTGAGTCGATTGTGGATGGTGGACTTGCTGCAGCCGAGCGTCGTCGCCAGTTCACGGGTGGTGGCTTCCGGCTTCTCCTTGATACAGCGACGGACTTCGTCATCATCCACTGTACAATGCCTCCCGTTGGGCTCCCTGTCCTCGAGGCTCGTGTCGCCGCTCTCGAAACGATTGAACCAACGCCTGACGGTGCGTTGGGACACTGCGTCCTCCTTGCACGCTCTGCAGATGTTGGCGATCGTGGTGCCCGTGCCTTTGCCCAGCAGCCACTCGTAATACACGAAAGTACGAATTCGACCTTGGTCCATTTCAGCTTGTACTGGTAGCTAGACGCGGCGACTGCGCCTTATATACCCCTAAAATGAAACTCTGGAGAACCTTCTAGAAGGTTCTTACACTTGCCTGATATTATAAGACTTCTAAGGAAAATTATAGAGTTTTGAAAATTTTCGGACAAGAATTATTGGACAGCCTGGTACTTCAAAACACCTGTTTTATAAAAAAATTTTTCTTACTTTTTCGCTTTGCAGCCGATTTTAACGTGTCAGAGGCCTCAAAACTTTCCATTTCTCCACTGCAAAGATAGCGCTTACCAGGGAATGGTCTCTGGTCGCAGTGGGACCTCTCAATGAGACCAAGTTTTCTAGATGTAGTTTTTTACGCTGATTCCAAATCAGGTCTCAAAAACTGCCGCGGAGGTCTGTGAAAAAAGTTATGGACCCTCAAAAGTCGAAAATTTGAGTGTCTCCGATTGAGTTCATTTTTGGTGGGTATATAGGTCTTGTCCCTCTGGCCACAAAAAACTTTCGAATTATTCTTGAAAAAATTTTGAAGCCAAGATATATGACCTTTCAAAGCCCCGCCGCACACAAGAGAATGCGCGCGCGGTTTCCTATTGCGATCCGAAGGCTGTCGAAGCAACGGCAACGAGAAGCAGTGGAAAGGCGGCGGACTTGGGATCACGAGGTCATAGGTTCGGTGCCCACGCTGTGCAAACTTTTTTTTGCAGTTTTTTCTTTTTTGGATACTTTCGTGTCAGGGCTCCTTTTTCGAGTTTTGAGGCGTATAAAAACGAAAACTCTGCGTTTTGAACCTATTCGAACAGCTGGACTTGTTTTTGCCGCAAATTTTATTCATGGATTTTTTCGAGATTTTCCATGGGGATGAGCATGTGCGAAAATTTTCACAAAAATTTTTTTTCAAAACCCGTTTTTTTTTTCTTCTAAAAAGTTTTATAAGCCCAACTAGTCATAGTTACGCTGATATGGACAACAAAAAAATATTTTTCTCTGGCTTGTTCAGACCCCAGCGTCTACATTCACTTTATGAGGGAAAAAAATCCAAGCTTTTTTTCCTACTTTCCGCTGAAGATATCAAAAAAATCAAAACTTCTAATTCAGAAATAACACAATTGGAACCGAAATCCCCAAATAAGTTACTTTCAATGACATTTTGAAAGTTCACAGGCAGTAAGAGAGTTTATCGAGAGTGAACTTCGAAAAAAATAAAAATAAAAAAACCAGAAAAAAATTTCTTTTTCAAAAAAATTTACCTTTGTTGGACATTCTCACTTCTTCCATTTTGAGGAAACCACACAAATCAACTTTTTCGGGCGGAAGGCGATGACCAAAGGTAAGTCAATTCAAAGCTGAAAGAAGTTTTTAGGAGAAAAACAATTTTCTGTTGGTCATATCAGCGTATCTATTGTGGTGGCCCAATGCCTTTCGTTGTTCAAGGTGGTTCAGTGATATAGATATATTTATTATTAATATATAGTTTCTCAGTCCGTATGTAGATAGGAGAAGTTGAGAGTCGGAGAGCGCCCGGTGAGGACGTTGGTGTCGCTTTTATAGGGGGTTAGGGGTAGGCGGAGCTTCTGTCCGCGGAATGGCCGCGACATCTATGTCTAGTTGAGCTTATAAAACTTTTTAGAAGAAAAAAAAAACGGGTTTTGAAAAAAAATTTTTGTGAAAGTTCTCGCACATGCATACCCATGGAAAATCTCGAAAAAATCCATGAATGAAATTTGCGGCAAAAACAAGTCCAGCTGTTCTGTTCGAATAGATTCAAAACGCAGAGTTTTCGTGTTTAAACGCCTCAAAACTCGAAAAAGGTGCCCTTACACGAAAGTATCCAAAAAAGAAAAAACTGCAAAAAAAAGTTTGCACAGCGTGGGCACCGAACCTATGACCTCGTGATCCCCAGTCCGCCGCCTTTCCACTGCTTCTCGTTGCCGTTGCTTCGACAGCCTTCGGATCGCAATAGGAAACCGCGCGCGCATTCTATTGTGTGCGGCGGGGCTTTGAAAGGTCATATCTTGGCTTCAAAATTTTTTCAAGAATAATTCGAGTTTTTTGTGTCCAGAGGGACAAGACCTATATACCCACCAAAAATGAACTCAATCGGAGACACTCAAATTTTCGACTTTTGAGGGTCTATAACTTTTTTCACAGACCTCCGCGGCAATTTTTGAGACCTGATTTGGAATCAGCGTAAAAAACTACATCTAGAAGGTCTTATTGAGAGGTCCCACTGCGACCAGAGACCATTCCCTGGTTAGCGTTATAACTCGACTGAAAAACGAGAAAAAAAAAATTTTACAAGGTGGAATCACGGAGCTTTAAGTGTGTCTATTTCAATCATATTTTTGACAGTTGAATTTCAAAGTTTCTGATTTCATAGGTGTTGGTATCGAAAGTCCGAGAATGTTCTCAACGAACGCAGAATCAGTTTTGGTTGTTCTGCCTTTTTTCTTTTGAACACCGAGGGGCCATCAGACGAAATTCATAACCTTTCTGGAATATCAGCATACCATTAAAGAACTACACACTTTCGAAAACTCGATGCTCTAAAAAAAAGAGCGATAGTTTTTTTTCTGGGCTCGGGTTAAATAAACTTTTTTTTGAAAGAAGTTTTTCGTAGTGCAGTTTTTCGTAGTTTTCGTAGTCTTTTGTTTTTATCACAAATTTTGTTCCTCCATCTGACAAAAGTACTCAGAACATTGATCTACACGCACTGACAGGCTGGATTCCAGAGAGGATATCGATACAGAAACCTGGCACCGAATTTGACCCCGACAAGGTTTGGCGATCTCTTTTTGAAGTTTTTGAGGCTGGGTCGCAGGTTTTCGAGAAGCTCTTCAGACGTATGCATCAGGGCGACTGCCTTATAACTCTGGCGACGGGTCGGCTCAGCAAGGAAGAGTGCGACAGGGCGGGCTTGGTCGAAACTCACGCCTACGCTGTTCTCGACCTCCGACGTATAGATGTGTGTCTTCCTTTTTGAGTCTTGAACATGAGTTTTGCATACTTTTTTTTGGACTATATTCATTTTTTTTTAAATAGTTGATAGTTGCGGACATCTTATGAGAAATAGATCATCCTTTTAATAAGAAATGTTCGTCCAAACTTCAAACTTTTCACAATTCACAGGGAAGAAAACTCTGTCCTCTCACTCCTATTGGTAGGTGGTGAAAGGTAATCTAGCTAGATATTCTCAGTGCTTATTTTTGTCTTTTGTGATTACTAGATTTTCCAGGAAAAGCGTTTATTGAAGTTGAAGAATCCCTGGACACACTTGCGATGGAAAGGAAGATTTTCTGAAAAAGACTTGACTAGCTGGAATCTTGAATTGCGAAAGGCCCTCTCTTATGATCCTGAAAAAGCAGCAGAAAAAGATGACGGTAAAACGTGTTTTTGTGCCAAAAAGGAAAAGTTAAAAGGTGTCTTTTGGATTGACTTCGAGTCGGTTCTGCACTTTTTCGACGTGTTTTACGTCAACTGGGATCCGGCCATGTTTCCCTTCACAAGCGTCGTTCATGCTTCTTGGGACGCGTGTACAGGACCTGTAAAGGACCTCTACACAGTCGGCGACAATCCACAGTACATCCTCACGGTCGAAAATGGCTCTCGACCCGCTGCCGTCTGGATTTTGCTTACCCGACACATCACAAGAATCGTGAGTGTCTCTCATCTATGATTTGACTCTGTAAAACACGAGGAAAGTCCTCAATTTTCATAGCAAACAAATTAAGGGGATTTTGGTTCTCCATGACGGTTCTAAAAACAGCTTCACGGAATTTAGGTCGTGATATGGTTTTCTAAAGGCTCTTGTCATCGAAAAATAACGGAAACAACTTCAAGAGAGTAAAAAAGCGCCAAAAAAAACAAAGAAAACTAAATGGAAACACAGTCTAAGACTGAGAAAAAAAGTTTATATTTTGAAGATAATTTTCTGAATTGAGAAGATAACCGTATTGGAGGAAGCCAAAAATTTTTTGCTTTTGGGTGACAGTGAAATTTAGGAGGATTTTGCTGAAAACAAGGAATACATCACTGTCATGGTTTATGACACTGGCAGGAAAGTCTACATCCCCTGTGAGGAAGTGGACTTTTTAATAATAAATCATCAGATTTAAGCGGATCCAAAGCCCATTTCGGACGGAGCGCGGATCAACAGTCCTCACTATTTGTGTCAACTAGTGGCAAGCAACTCCGGCACCAACAAGTACACTCTGGTCGTCGCGCAGGTTTATTCTTCATTTCTCTTTCAATCCGTTTCTTCTTGCAGTATGAGAAAACTACCACGATCCGATATACGCTGAGGGCTTTCTCTACTGCCAAATGTATTCTCAAACCAATCATTTCTCATTTCAAGCACACGAAAACGGTAAAGTATACCCTATTTGTGTCTTACTTGACTAGGGAACTTTTTATGAAACTTTGCAGAATTTTACTTTAGGCACTCTTCATTTCGGAACAAGAAAAAAAAATTTCTCGCATTAGATCTCTTTTTCGAATTGGGACGCTTCAAAAGCTTGAAATAGCGCTTTTTTGACCTAATTTGCGTATTTTGCGAACATTGAAGCTCCATAAATCGAAAACGAGATCTATTGCGAGAAAAAAAAAACGTTTCTTAGTGAGTCAAAAAAGTGCGAAGTTCTCTATCAAGTTTTTTTTTTTCCAAGGCTCGTTCCTTCTGTCCTTGATACATTGGCTCCAGCGAGCCGTGAACCGAGTGAAGTTTCAATTTTATTATTCAACTTTGAGATATCTGCTGCGTGGGACGAGCACACAGCGGGTGGCTGTGGAAATGGCGTGCCGAAAGGAACTGTTTTGTTCGTGATTTCGATCTACGCATAACCGACTTTTTCCCATTCAGAAACAACCCTGTGTTCGAGTTGAAAGTTTCTTCTGCGAGTGATGATAACACGGTTTTGATTGAACTTAAGGCGCCCAAGCAGTACAGGTCTGTTCCGCTAGTTTCTGAAAGAGAATTTACTGATTTCAGCGTTGCTTTCGATGTCAAACAAATCTCTTCTGCCCGCACGACATTCTATGAACCTAAGCATTCGGGAGCTTTCAGGTTCTTTCTGTTTAAAATTTCTAGAAGTGATGGAATTTATTGCGACTTAAAAGTGTAAATTATGTTACAAACTCGTACTCTTATCCATACGAAGGCAAGTACAGAATATGCTCAGTCCTCGAGAAGTGCTTATTAACATAATTTACTGAAAAATTAAGGTGGTTGGTTTTACTAAAGCTTTATTTCGACCTGAAACCCTAGTTTTTTGAAATTTCAACTAATGCAGAAGGTTTTGACCTAACTCTAGAAAAAATTCCGGAGAAATTAGTGCCAGAGTTCAAAGATTCTGTGGCCATTTATGCTCTTATCACTAGAAGCAAATTTAAGACCTGGATATACGATACTGGAGCTACTTACAGTGCCCGCAGGAGTTTACCACGTACGGCCCATGACATTTATTGTAAGCTCACGCACTAAATGTTGACCTAAATTGTTTTTCAGGCAAATCAGAAAGGTCCATTCATTCTCAAAATCGATTCGACTTGCGTCATTGATTTGAAGCGGATAAAATAATTTCAAGTGTTCAGCATTTTACTTACAAAAAATGGAAAATCAACAAAATGATATGTTTTATTTAAGTCTCCACATAACTGCATAGTTCTTTTCCGCCGTGTTTTCTTCTCCGTCTACCTTTTTCTTTTCTTATTTTGGAGTTTTGGCGCTCGATCGAGAAGATGCACATCGTCATGAGTAATGCCCCGATACTTGAAAACAGCATCAAACCAGAGCTAATCAACGAAACGGCGATAAAATTATCCCTGAACTATATATATATATGAATAATGCTTTAATTCAAAGCAATCTGAAAGTTCTGCAATGCCTCTCGTTTTGACCGTAATTCAATATTCTGATGTTTCTAACTAGGGCATGGTCTCCGCTCGACAAGGAGTTGAGAATTGAGACTTTGTGGGTGGATAGGCCTAGGTAAGAGTACTCGGAATCAAGAATAAAATTCTGCTAAACCCCACAGGCGGCTGAGGAAAAGCTCGTCGAAATTTTCCCAGCGCGTATATGGCCGCGCTCGGAGCCTTCGGCTAGCAACTGGCGGCGTGGTGTAGTGGGTTGTGGTCTTGTGCACTATCAATATTGAGACCATGGTTCGAATCCTTTTAACGGAAATCGTTTTTGCCGGCTCATAACTTTATTCCTTTCTCCTTTTTGGGATATTTTTTTCAAAAGTTTACATCAAAACTTGTAGAAAACTTTTATCTCTACTAATTTTCTCATGCCTCATTCCGCGCAATTTTCTGTTGAAATCTTCGAAAAACGCCATATCTTCTGACACCTGAAACGCGGAACCGAACGGAAAAGTTTCATTTTTGTTTTTTTACTGTGTTATTGTGTTTCCGTTTACACACGTGTCCAAAAGACAGGTAATCGCTTTTCGTGATTCGTGAATTTTCATAAAAAAATATCGTTTTCTTTATCGTTTGCCCATAAAGTAGAAAAAAAACCATTTTTTTATTGGGATTTTTGTGATTTTTTTATTGTAAAATTTTTGAAAAAAAAGTATCTCAAAAAAATAAGAAAGGAAAAAAAGTTATAAGCCGGCAAAAAAACGATTTCCGCCAAAAGGATTCGAACCATGGTCTCAATATTGATAGTGCACAACACCACAACCCACTACACCACGCCGCCAGTTGCTAGCCGAAGGCTCCGAGCGCGGGCATACACTGCGCGTCATAGTTATAGACGCACCCCCATTTTTGCATTTTTCAAAAGATACGTTGAACTTCTTGCAATCAAACCTATTTTATGACGAACCTTAGATCAAACAACTAACATTGGAAAGAGAACTACAGAAGACTCAGTACAAAAAATTTTCGAAATCCGTCAAAAATAGTTTTTTGACCGGGTCAATTATAGACGCACCCTGGGTCAGGGCTCATTTTTTACTTGTGTTGGAACTTTCGCCTTTCTTATTAATTTTAAATAAACATCAAAGTTAGTAGGAGGCCACAGCATTTTAAGTAATTTTGAATCAAGCAACTTTATTTACAAACCATGCGAAAAGCGAACAAAATCGAAAATTTCAGAAAAAATGGTTTCTTCTGGAAATATCAAAGAATTTATATCGGAGTTTGCGTATTGAATTTTCAAATTACGTTGTTTTGAACAATAACTGAAAAGTTCGGGAAGGAAAAATGCTTCTGCGGTACGAAAAATATCATTAAATTAGGTGGAATTACTGTTCATAGGAAACCTGGCGTTTGTTGAACCAACCTCTTCCACCAATAAAAGTTTTTACATAAGGTTTTTTGATAGCAAAGGTATTCAGAAAGGGTTTCAAATATTTCAAACACTTTTTGACTATCTGGAAAAAACCTGTTTTCTTTTCCGGAACCGTTTTCCAAAACAGAGAAAAGAGCAAAACTTTGCTCGTTTGGAGGTCCATTAACATTCATTAGTTCTATGTTTCCAATGTATGAAAAACAGTCTATGATCAAATTCACACCTGTTTCGGGTAAAGTTAACACTTTTTTGACTGGGAAAAGAAATGGTGAGGGCAAAAAGGAATTTTCAAAATTTCTTCGACTTGCAATAAAAAGAAGTATCATTTCTCCCTTATTAGAACGGAATGAGCCGATACCAGTAAGGATAATTAGTTTTAAACTTTTCAAGCAAACCTCAGGACATTGTTGCTATCAAAAAACCTTATGTAAAAATTTTTATTGGGAAAGAGGTCGGTCCAACAAACGCCAGGTTTCCCATGAACAGCGAATCCACCTAATTCAAAGATATTTTTCGTACCGCAGAAACATTTTTTCTTCTCGAACTTTTCAGTTATTGTTCAAAACAACGTAATTTGAGAATTTAATACGCAAACTCCGATATAAATTCTTTGATATTTCCAGAAGAAACCATTTTTTCTGAAATTTTCGATTTTGTTCGCTTTTCGCATGGTTTGTAAATAAAGTTGCTTGATTCAAAATTACTTAAAATGCTGTGGCCTCCTACTAACTTTGATGTTTATTTAAAATTAATAAGAAAGGCGAAAGTTCCAACCCAAGTAAAAAATGAGCCCTGACCCAGGGTGCGTCTATAATTGACCCGGTCAAAAAACTATTTTGGACGGATTTCGAAAATTTTTTGTACTGAGTCTTCTGTAGTTCTCTTTCCAATGTTAGTTGTTTGATCTAAGGTTCGTCATAAAATAGGTTTGATTGCAAGAAGTTCAACGTATCTTTTGAAAAATGCAAAAATGGGGGTGCGTCTATAACTATGACGCGCAGTGTATACGCGCTGGGAAAACTTCGACGAGCTTTTCCTCAGCCGCCTGTGGGGTTTAGCAGAATTTTATTTTTGAATCCAAGAACTCTTCTCAACTCGTTGTCGAGCGGAGACCATGCCCTAGTAAGACTTCGCTGGTAAGACAACATAAGACGCAGACAGATTGTTCGGATTTGGTGACGCGAACCGAACGCGAATCGAACACGCACGAAAAGTTCTACTGAGCAATTTAGTAGCGTCAGCACTCTTAAACCATCCATAGAATTGCTCAGAATCGTCCGGAGCACGTCCGGTTTTCGTTACCGATGTCCGAGAAGTTTTTTTTCAAGTCGAATGGAGCGGACCAGCAAGAACTTTTCAAATAATTTTCCGAATAAGCAGGTATCTTCATAACTATTTTTTCAACGATCGTGAAAGTTTCTAGTCAGTTCGTCATACTAAAAAGAGCGATTACCGACCGCTTCTCCTTTGCTTCTTCTTTCTCTTTCTCCGACGTTTTCCTTATGTTGAAAGATGTATTATGAGTGAGAGGAGGAATATAAGGTTTTCTTGAAGCTGTTGATCCTGTAGTTTCTTCCATATTTTTCATTTGTGTTGTCGCAACTGTGGACTCCGCCGCCGAGGTGTTCCTCATAGCATTCTTGAGTGTGGTAGACACGGTGCGGTTATCCATTTTTTCACCCTGAATCTTTTGTTTCGAAGAATTTTATTTGCGAAAGTTGTTAATCTCACCTGATAGGACTTGTCCGAAAAGTTGAATTTTGCGCCACTTTTGTGTTGTGAGAAGACGTCTAAAAATCAGTTTTTATATGTATAGTTTTGACCCACAGGTAGGTATTGTTAGAAGCACAATTTTCATGAAGTTCATATTGTGTTTGTCGATAAAATCAATCGCCGCTGAGAACAGGGATTTTGGTCAGAAATGATTAAAGAACGAATATCCAACACGATTATTATAATATTTCGACTACAGAGGCCGTATGCATTAAAGCGGAAAATGGTTTTCCGTCATTTTCCTGAAACTCGAAAAAAAGCTACAATTAGTCTTTTCTAAACTGTAGTTGTTTTTTCCCTATCCGAATCTTCTTATAAAGCCTTACCAGATGTATCAGATAAAGTCGAATCTATTGATAGCCTAGCGAGTTTAGGGCCTTTTTATTTTCAGGAAAATGGATGAAAATCATTTTCTACTTTATTGCATACGGTCTCAGATTTATTCGATAGTCATTGATCAAAATTCGAAATTTGTTTATGACCAGAGCAGGGATAATATGTAAGAGATTTAAATGTTTTCTCAAAATTGTGAAACTTTGAGGGCGGAATTATTTAAGCTGAGGGACGAGGACATCTTCGGGCGGTCAATGGATATTCTCTCTGCATTCTGGCATTAAACTTTGCCAACGCCGACTCGAACCTAAACAGAAAGGCGTTCAAGAAGGCTATTGATTATCAAGACGACTTTCTCCAGTTTTTCTTTTGCATTTTGCGAGTTCTCCCCAAAGAAGACTTCTGTTTGATACCGCGATGTACCATGAAGACATCGTCAAGTACGTGAAATCGATATCCAGCTCGGCATAGCTCCCACCTCTGAAAAAAACAAATAATTCGGTCGTTCTCTCTTCTTACCAAGACAGTATTGTCCCTAAGTTGGAAGGGAAAGTTCTCATCGTGAAGTGGGATGTCGGAACGCGAAATAAACTGTGGCTCCCATCCGAACTTGGAATAGCGCAAGTTCATGGCGAAAAGCCCGTTGCTAGTGTCGTCTTTCAACAACCATTCCTCTAACTTCGGAATTTCATGAGCGCCTGTTTTGCTGTTTTTGAAATCAACAGTTAATTATATCACCTGGATAGTATGTGTTGTGAAATACTATCGCTTTCCCCTCATCAAGCATTGTGTTCAGTTCGACTTTGTCTTTTGGAAGGCTCAAAAAATTAATTCATGAGCTCAAAGATGGAAAAACTAGCTCGATAGCATAAAAAAGAAAAAAGGAAAGAGTTTGAGAAAAACGAGCTTATGAGAAGTTGTGGAAAACGTGGAACCACCAACATCCTTTCAGAAGCATCCAATTCGAAAATTCGGTAGACGAGAACAGCCTTTTTAGTTGACCAAAGGTGCTCATTTGCTGTTTTTAAGACACTTTCCTCAAACCCTTCACTGAACAGATGTTCGTAATCCACAATGGCAATGTAGTCTGTGTGAGAAAACTGAACCTTGAAAATCAGCTTCTTTCAGTGTTGACATCAATTTACCTTTCTGGCTACGTTTCTAGCAACATTGACTGGATAACGGGATACGTCGGTGAGGCTAGGCCGTTCTGGCGCACACGTAGGCTTCTGTGAGGCCGGATCCGGAAGAACGCATTCTTTTGTTTCAGAAGGAACTAGAAGATGAACTCGAAGGTATTTCTCTGCCAGAGGATGTTCCACCAGCTGCTGGAGCTGTTGAGGGAAATTTAATCCACATTTTTCGATATAAACCAATTTTATTGTGCAACTGTAGTATTCCCAAGAATCTAGGACGACGCTCAACGAAACCGGTGCTTTCCAGTTAGATACCTAATAAAAGGAAAACATGTAAGTGAAATCTATATCGATCAGACCTGCTCCACTAATCTTTCGTCGATTTGGTCGAAACTCACATGCAGAATTTGGGCGATTCTATTCACTTCTTTTGATGAAGGCTCGATTGCGTTGTAATGAACACAGTGGCCGGAATAGAATACTAGTCCTTCATTGACCCTGGAGAAACTTTCTGAGAGGAAGAGGGAGTCTCACAACTCACAGAAAAATGTTGCGAAAAAAGGGCATGAGCAGGTAAATAATTATACAGTTGAATGCAATACACAAAAAAGCAAAGAGATAGTTTTTCTACAAAAATTAATTTACTCAGCACCATCGTATCGAACAGACCCTCAAACGCATCAAGTAAGTCTGAATGAGACGAATACGAGAGCTTCAGCTTCTCGCTGAGTTTATTATTGACCATATGCTCTTGAAAAAACCCCGGGCTTAAAGAGAACAAATGGCGTTAAACACCACTCAGATGAATTATTTAGAGCTAGCGGTTTCAAAAATTTCGCTCACTTCTCGAAACTTTCCCGTTGAATACCCTCATCCAGAAGTTGCTCATGGGAAATTTGAAGAAAAAGCTTATACTTTATCTACCGACCGGATCCAATACCTTACAGTTTACATGTCATCTTCGATCTTTCGACAAACTCAGTTGAAGATGTCGGATTCATATTCATTGATTCTACACCAAATCTAACATAACAATAAAAAGATGAAACAACAAAACAAAATCTAATAGCTGAGAAAAGGCTAAACAATTTCGATCACGCCGCCAGCTTTTTCGAGAAGTGCCTTCAAATCCTCGGCTTCCACTTTGCCCATGTCTTCTTTAACCACAACCGGTGCTGTTTCGACGAACTGAAAATGATTCAAAATTTGGAGAAAATCTTCCAAGAAAAACCTTTTTGGCCTGCACAAGATTCAAGCCGGGTACAGCATTTCTAATCTCCTTTATAAGCGCGATTTTCTTGGAATCATCGAACTTTGCGAGTTTAACACTGAATGTCATTTTTTGTGGAACATCTGATGCGGCTTCAGTGGGTTCAGCTGAAATTATTCTGAAATTATAACACGCTGCATTTTAAATGTTTATATTTCCATTTATACGGGTATTATACTACTTGAATAACTTTTGGACAAACTTGTAGTCCCCTTCCCCGTTTTCAAAAAGAAATATTGTTAGGAAGACAATCAGAGTGAATTCGTAACATCCGAAATAGCCATGAGAGAAAGAAAAAGATGAATAAATTTTAGAGAGTTAGAGATTATTTTGGATTTCGCGGGAATTACTTTTAACATGGCATTTGCTTCGCATCGACGTATACAGACCGTGCAGTTTTTGAGCAATATAAAATCAGTATTTAACTTTTCTTAAACATTAAATTTTTTTGTCTACATTCTACGAAAAACTAACGCAATGACTTACTTTTTTGGTTATTATAAGCGCAATCCAAATACAACCCGAAATCCCATTTTTTTGAAATTTCACTAAATGCCTTTAAACTAAAACTGAACCTATTTGTATCAACCTGATTGTAAAAAATGTTTAAAACAATTAATTGTTCTCATTCCTCTGAAAACTTTTTTTCGTTATTAACAGGCATGTCTCCTAAGTGCGCTCAGATCTATAAAAAAACAAGCAAAACAATGTATTCGATAAAATTGAAACCGCTAGGTAATAATATATTTATTTATGTATACGCGTGTAGTTCTTCTGGAAACAGTCAGGAAGAAAAAATCAAACTTTTTGAGAGCTTTTTGGTCAACATTTATGCAAAAGTTTTAAAAAAGTAAAATGTGAAAATTCTTTCACCTGAACTCGACGCAACAGGTGCTGCGGCGGCAAAAGCAGTGTGAGCCATCAAAGGCTGATCCGGGATGTTCAATCTTTTCTTCAGTGCCCAGTTCAAATCAGAAACCTAGAAGGATGCGAATTTGAAGAATAGAGCTACGACTTGTTTTTTTTTTCAGTTTTTCTAATTTGAATGCGATTTGAGAGCAAGTTAGGAATTCCTACTAGAACTCTTTCAAAACGGTTAAACATAGAAATTGAACTTACTTCGAGCAACGTAAGCCTGGCGATTTCATCGACGAGGCCAGAAACCTTCGGTGAAAGGTTCCTTTCTTCTGTCGGAAAAGAAGCTGGAGTTCCTTCATTTAACGGTAACGCTAAATTTAATTATTTGAAAAAAAAGGTTTCGTGTGCATCATGGTGATGACCCATAATAATCTCAATTTGAAAAAAAAACCTGCTGTAGAAGAGAGCCGATATGAAAGACTCCCAAAAGTCTTAGCAAAAACTCCTGACTGACTTCGAAATCATTGCTGAAAGATGAAATTTAAATTTTTTTTTCTTTTGAAAGCAATAGAAAAAAACAGTTTATTAAAATTTTCGAAATAATATAAACTTGAAAGCAGTTATGAAAAAAACTTTCGTATACATACTGTAGACTATACCAAAAACGGACTTTGGAAAAGGCAAAATTTTTCGCACAAAACAACTGCAACTTATCGATAAATATCGAATCCTTTAGCTCGCTTCTTTAATTTTTCTACAGATTGTTCGAAAAACTGTTTTGAAGAATCTTTGCTTTAGAATCCTTTAGCTCGCTTCTTCAATTTTTGTACAGATTGTTCGAAAAACTGTTTTGAAGAATCATACGTCAAAAATTCCATAAAAAGAATCTTTGCTTTATGCATTTTTCGAAGTTTGAGCGAAGATCTTTGATTAGAAAAAAAATACAAATAAAAAAACCTGAACTCAGAAATGAATAGGATACATCTGAGCGTTCTGCACCAAGTTTGCGCTTGAGACGGCTTCATTGGCACATATTGTACGTCTCCTCTATTCGAACTTTACGAGTGAGTTAAAATTTATATTCACTAGCGTTTTCAACGAGTTGTTAACAAGCAAATTTTTCAATACGCCAACATGGTTTATTGACCGGTTAAACTTTCCTCGTAAAATTGCATTTTGAATATATTTTCCGATGAACTCGTCATAAAACCTTTCTCTAAATACATAAAAAGTAAATGGTTTAAATACATCTGAACATTTTCGTGTAGGCTTAATAAATAAGTATATTAATGCTTATTGTATGCAAACTGTATCGTTCATCATTGATCTATCTCTTGTCGTGCCTAGGCTCCTATGATCTGTTTTCTCACGTGTCCACATTTAAACCAATTTACATTAAAAAAATAGCGAATAAAAATTGTTCTTCATCCTATAATTTTTCGAAGTATTTTTTTTTTCAAACAACTTCAACGTTTCTCTTCCCGTTTCTCATCGAGCATTCCTTCGTTTTTCATTCATTCGTTCCAATATTTTTAAACTTTTCTTTTTAGAAATCAACGCTGCGACGCTGTAACGTTTTTTTGAAAAGCATCCGGCTGGCAACGGTCTTAAAAGAGAACTCAGAGTGAGTTTCCTCATTCAATTTGTTTACTTAATATCGCTTCGAACTTATAATTTCGCTAAAACTTTCCAGTTTCTCTCTATAATCGGCTTAGCGACATCTACATAAACCAGTGAAAAAGGGGTACTAGGTGTAGAAATTTTTCATTAGGAATTATTTTTATTCAATAATTATCCGAATTAATGTTTTTGGTTTCGTTCCTTTTTGGGGACTGTCCAATATTTTTTATTTTTGTGGAATATTCAAAAAGAGCAAGTTAACAGAAAAATTAAGAAGAAAAGTATTGCTTATATTTCGAGCGGATGATAATGAGTCGCGAATTAACATGATCAAATCAAAAAAAGATTTGGAAGGTTGAACGATCTAAGTTCTCGAGTTTTTCGTTTATAGATAAAATTTCTTCATTTGGTATGATAGTTTATTTCGAGTTTTTGTATCTCACATAAGTTTAATGTTTTTGTTCTTAAATATTTCGGGAGAGTGAAATTGTTCAAAATTTCAGTATGGGCGTGAACAGCGGAACAGTAATCGCTGGAGTGGCCGGCGCCACAGCGTTGGCCATCTCGGCGGCTGCGATTCCGTTCGTTGCGCCGGCCCTACGGCGCGTGTGCATTCCATACGTCCCTGCAACTTGCTCGCAACTTGCCAATGTTTCGCGTGCGCTCTCTCTCAATCGCTTGCCTGGCCCCATAGTTGACCTAGGATCTGGCGATGGACGAGTTGTGAGTATTTATTGAGGTTATTAGTTTTCAGATGAAGTTCGGAGAGCAATTGGCCAGCCACCTGACACCGGAGTGGCGCAAGCAGTACATCGACTATGAGCGGCTGAAGAACCTTCTCTACGACAACATGATGGAGGTGCCGGCGGACGACGACCGTCGCGAGGAGCACATCTCCCGCATCGACGAGCAGTTCTTCAACGAGTGCGACCAGGAACTCACCAAGATAAATCTCTTTTTTTCTCAAAAAATCGCCGAGGCCCAAGGGAAGTTCTACGAACTGCAGACAGAACTACAAACCTACAAAGAAATGCTCGAATCTCGGAAAGAACCTGCTTCGCGGCGAAGATTCGGAGGGAAAGACAAGATGCACAAAGAGGCGACGCGTAACGAGCAGCAACTGAAACTTGCCTTCTCCGAGTTCTACCTGGGTCTCGTTTTGGTGCAGAACTACCAGCAACTCAATGGAACTGGTTTCCGGAAGATTCTCAAAAAGCACGACAAACTGGCAAATAACGAACGAGGCTTGGACTGGCGTATCAACAAAGTCGAGAAAAGTTCTTTTTTCCTCAATCGCGAAATCGAAACCTTGATCAACAACGTGGAAACGAGCGTAATCAACGAGCTGGAAGCTGGAAATCGACAAGCTGGAATGAAAAGACTGAAAGTCCCGCCACTTTCGGAGAAGCAGAGACCTGTAACAACCTTCACTCTTGGCCTTTTTCTTGGCGCCAGCGCGATACTTCTCGTGACAATTGCTCTAACGTGGTGGGGCATGCCGCCGCGGCAGAACGAACCAAAATGGGTGGCTGTTCGGCTTTTCCGTGGACCTCTTCTCATCTTCCTTTCCATCTTCCTATGTGGCGTCAACATGGCTGGTTGGGCAAGCGCCGGTGTCAACCACGTCTTAATTTTCGAAGTCGACCCGAGGAATCATCTTTCCTATCAGACACTCATGCAAATAGCCTCGTTCATGATCATGGTGTGGTCCATCGCTGTGCTTGTGTATCAGTACGCTCACCTGCTCCACATTCCACCGTTTGCTGCACCTCTTGGCCTGATGATTTTCTGCTGCTTGGTGCTTTTCAACCCGATAAAAAGTCCCAACTACATCTTCCACCGGGACTCCCGCTTCTGGCTCATTCGACACTTCGTAAAGTGTGCTTCAGCGCCTTTCCATTTCGTCACTTTCACGGACTTCTGGCTTGGAGATCAAATGAACTCTCTGACGACAGCATTCTTGGACCTTCAATACTTTTTGTGCTTCTACTCGATGGAGGTAGATTATTCAAACTACGGATTAGATGTACGAGCTGTCAACTCGACGTCGGGAGCCATTCCTTGGGGCTTCGTCGATATCAACACTGGCAAGGACATGTGCACGTCTGAGCCCTGGATGCGTGGATTCGTTTCCATCATTCCAGCTTTCATCCGGCTGATGCAGTGCTTCCGGAGATACCGCGACACAGGAAGAGTTCACCCTCATCTCGTCAATGCTGGCAAATATTCGACCACCATCCTCGTCGTTATCTGTGGCGCTCTCAATAAAAAGTTCGAGAAAGACGATCCTAACATGACTTCTTTCGTTTTCTACGTCTGGATCGCCTCTTACATTTTCTCATTCACCTATACTTTCCTTTGGGATGTTTTCATGGATTGGGGATTGATCGACCCTAGAGCTCCAAAAGAAGCGCCGTTTTTACGAGAAGAGATGATCTACGGAAGTAAATTCTACTACTACGCTGCAATTCTACAAGATTTCGTGCTTCGTCTTTCCTGGGTGCTAAATGTGTCTCTTGGCGAGGCATGGACGCTTGATTCGGATTTCCTCACCACGGTAACCGCTCCCTTCGAGGTTTTCCGTCGCTTCATCTGGAACTACTTTCGGCTTGAAAACGAGCATGTCAACAATTGTGGTCAATTCCGTGCCGTTAGAGACATTTCTATCAAACCCATTCGCAAAGGAGATCTTGAGTCGCTGCTCTCGAAGATTGATCAGATCGACGGCGTCACTCATCGTGGACACGACCTGATGGAAAGAGTTAAGAAGCAGAAGAAAGCTGCCAAATCTACTCGTCAACTTCTTCGAAAAACGCGTTTCAACCGCCTTATCTCGACTGCCCCCATTGCCACAACTCTGGTTGAAACCTCGCACTAACTTTTTTGCCTCGATATAACTCATGAGAAGTTTTAATTTTATTCTAGTCATTCTTCAATCAATTTTCTTGTCCCTCTTTCATATGCTGTCCCTGTGTTCAAGGCTTACAACTTTCGAACGTGTACTAAGTTTCATAACAATACTTGCTGTAACATCAACATTCCTGCTCAACTTAACTAGACATTCCTTTATTCTTACTGTTGTATGATAAAGAAAACTTACAAATTGTTATTTCTGTCCATTGAAAGCGTGGAAACCAATTTAATTTCTAAAAGTGCTATATAATTAATTCAGGTCATCCAATGTGCTCAAGAAGGATACGCAAGCACGGGAGTCGAACTAAACTCTGTCCTCGTCTTGTATTCCAAATATCGTTCTCTTCAAATCGGCGTCCAATCCCGGGCGAAGTTTGTCAGAAAAGACATTTTCAAAACAGATCTCAACCCTTACGCAACAGCAGTGATTTTTGGAGCTGAGAGCCTTGTAAGTGCAGAAAAATATATTCAACGATAACAAGAACTGTTTCAAGATGGGAGATCTTGTCCCAAAACTGAGTGAAATGCGTGTGGGAACTCACTTGCTCGCCTGTCGGTTTCCTCTCCCAGAGAGTAATTTTTGGCATTTGGTATGGTTTATGGTTGAATCTAGCGTTTTCCTAATTTTCTAATTTCAGAAAGACCAGATCGGAGAAGGAATCGATGCAGTTTGGGTATACGAGAGAGTTGTTGAAGCGAAATAAATTTTTTTTTTCATAATTTGTTTGCTTTTTTTTCGAAGTTAGCCTGTAGAAATAAAATTCCATTCGGCTTTTTCTTTTTGGATTACTCGAATTTATCGAAAAAATAATCTACCTTCCCGTTAATTTTTTTTTCTCAAAAAATCGCCCTATCTCAATGCAGATGATTTTACGGACAGCTCTTCCTGCCGTTCAAGCATTCAGGAGCAGGGCAACTTACTTTCAAAAAAATAAGCGGTTCCCACCAGCTTTCATAAGGTGTTTATTTGGAAGGAAATTAAAAGAAAAAAGAGAATTTTAACAGGAGATTTTTCTTACGTTATCCACATGCACACCTGTACATCGTTTTTGGTCTTTGTTCTTCTGCAATGATTTCTCCCGTCTTGCACTCGGTACGAAGTTTGTGTATATCCGAGTAACTTTTTTTCAGTGTTATATGTACATGACGATGACTAAATTCGAATTTGAACAGTACAAGTTAGACAGGTCGGCGTTGGTCCGTGAAAGACAGAAATTCGGTTGGTTATCTTTAATCTAAGGTTATAATGTTAATTCTTGTATTATCTCTCGTTCTCCACTGGCGCAACTTGATTTTTTGGGTGCTAAGTTTAACTCGGAAAAAATGTTCACCGGGATCATAATATTGGAAGTTAACGGTCCTCGGAATTCTGTTTTCGCTAGTTTTCACAACAGTACATGCAAAAAAAAAGAAAAGGAAAAAGAGGTCCCAATAACTTTTGAAAAGTAGGGAACCAGAGTAGGAAAAAAATTACTTGAGCATATTCTAGATTAAAGCTTTGAACCTAATTTTACATTGGAGCTTAGTACGTCCACAGAAGTGTTTTCTCATTATTAATCCTTGAATGTATGTGTTTAGAAGTACTCATATTAGAAGAAAAAAGGAAATTACAAGATCTTGACATTTTTTTTCAAATTCGAAAGAAACGGCTTTGAAGAAAAATATTTGTGTGCCTTGAAATGGTTCGATTTTTGCAGGCAAAAGCCTCTGGATCCCATTTTGGTCTAACTCGGAGGCGCCGCAGCCGAGCACGCAAACTGAATAAAACAATGAACGTGATTAGCCATCTGATATTAGATTTTCGTAGAAGTTTTTGAGCCGAAACGTGTCCTGAAACTCTGAATCCGCTCCTATCCTCTAGGGATTTGTTAAGGTTTTTATTATTTCTCAGTTCGAGAGGCGTTTGGCCTCAGTCCATTTCCATTTCGCGAACATTTCTCTTTTTTTTTTTCTTGAGAAGTGCGTCTGAGAAGCGTTAGCTTTTTTCTGGCAAGTCTGCTGATTTTATTTTATAACTTCTGTAATATTCTTCGCATTTGAAACTTTTTGAAGATCAATTTGTGTATAAGAGCCGTTGAGTGTACTCATTCGTCAGAAAGACCCAAACAATTTTCATTTTTTGATATTCGAAAACTTCGGGATGACAGGAGAAGGTGAAAAGGCTCGTCAATGAGTAGACACAGGGCAAAACAATCAAGCGTCCGGATTTGTCTTTGTCGTCGGCGTCTCCACGATTGTCAGCAGTGTCTTGCGGGTTTTTGCTCTATCAGTGATCTGCTGAGTCTTCGCTACGAACGCGCTTCAAAATAGCTTCGAAATTTTTTTTTTCCACATTTTTTGGAAAATTTTTCAATGTAGTTTCTTCTGCTCATTTCGCTTAACAATCTCCTCTCTTTTCTCAACTTACTCCAAGGCTTTTTTTCTGAAAAGGGCGGTTCAATCTCCAGAAAAAAAAAACTGTTCCAGGAGTCTGAAACCCTTGGGAGCGCGCCAGAAAAAGGCAGCAGCGACATGAAGATGCCGTCTAGATAACACATTAGTGCTGCCATGCTTCGCCGCGACCCCATCTCCGTCTCAATTTCCTTCTTATTGTCATTGTTTTTCGTTCTGGCTCCAAACTACACAAGAAGCTGGTTTTATATCCGCGGTAGAAATATTAGTAACGAGAAAAAAACGGAAAACAAGTTTGAATTCGCTGCGGCGTCGTAGAGAAACCTCGTGTTACTTTTCCGGTTCCACGCGACCTGTAGCTTTAAAATTTCTTTGATGAAATTTTTCGAATCTCTCACCTCGCCTGGGAGTGCGTTGATCCATCCGGTGTATTGTCTCTGCATCATATCTTCGTAATATTGCACAGAAAAGTTGGCGTTGCATAAATCTTCTTCGCAGCAATCGTCGCAATTTACCTTCAGATTTTCGACGTTTTTTTGAGTTCGTACAAAAGGTAACGAATTTTTCTTTTTGTGAAATGAAAAATATGTGGAAAAAGTCGAAGAGACCCCGAAGTTTCACACTTATTTCTCCACGACGGCAAGTGGCGTCATAAAAACGGGACTTTTAGTAAGCTGACAACCAATCTTTTCGGAAATCAAAAAAAAAGACAAACATTTTGTAGCTTTGGATAAAGAAAACTCGTAATTCTTTACTTTTCACAAAACTTCGCTGTGACCTTTCCAGAAAAAAAGCTGATTTGTGATTCAAATGGCGTTTTGGAGACTTTTTCTCTTTTGCATCTAGTTCATGAGTGAGTGAACTTGGACTGACGCGATTCCACGCCCCACGCGAAACGGTGCGAATCACATGGCCGAATCTAGGGGTTTGCCAAATGAAAAGACGTCGAGCTCCACCAAGCGCGAAATTTTCTGCGAGTCAAAAACGTATACTTCGCTTCACTTGGCTCCTGGCTTCCTCTCTTGCTACTACGTTACTATTCCCTTTCCTAGTGGCCAGAAATCCACTCATTTCAATTCAATTCACCTTAAGTTCGCAGATATTTAACGATTTTATAGTTGAAAGAAGATCGATACTCACATAAATGTATCTTGTCCACCGATAATTACTTCGAAGGCGATTATTTTATAGAGTTTTTTCTGGCTCTTGGTACCATCAAAATACACTATTAGAGCAAATTTATTTGAAAACCTACAATGACAGATGTCTTGCAGGCACTTTCGTAACTTTTTATAAAGAAACACAAAATGAGAGATAAGGCGGAACAGATCGTATTAGAGTTCCTCAAATACGATTTTTTCGTCACTAAAGAGCAGAATGTGCATTTTTGGTCTTAGCGTCTGTGGTTTCTGCGTACCTACGATTATTCAAAAGGTGCGAGGAAAATTGATGCCTTGGTTGAAAAATCGGACTTGTCATTATCGAAAACGCTCTAGCCAGGCTCGCACGGGCATATAAATAATGCGCTAGCATTCGTTCTTTTTTTGCACGAAATCATTGTTTTGAGCAGCTCCATTGTTTTTGAGTTTCTTCTCACTAAAATTTTTTCTCCAAGTTTTTTTTTTGATTGGATAACCATTACTTTTTCTTGACAACCCAATTCGTCTAGTTTTGGCGAAAGACTCAGCTGGACTTTCCATTTTTAGTATGAGCGTACTATGCACTTGAAAAATGCAATAGCCATGCCAACGAAACTTTCCCCCCAACTTCCGCCTTGTTTATGTCGATCCGAAAAAGGCTTCTTTGCAACGCTTTTCGCGCTGAGCAAATGTACGGGACTTCCTCCTTTCACTCTCTATGAACCGCAAGAATAGGTAATTATCCCACCGGAGTCCGAGAAATTTCCAACCGACCTGATCCTCGCCGTAGCCGACCGATTCGCAGAGTTCAGAGCAGCGCTCTCCGCAGTTGCGGCTCACCGAAGTGAAAGCTTTATTGATTGTTGTGATGGCCGTCTGAATAATGGAATAGAAATATCTTCAAGTTCTCCTACCACACAAAACTTCTCCCAAACGGCGCACGTTTTGGTCGTTTCCTCCGTGTCGAACTGTATCAAAGACTCGTTTGCACACCAAGCATCTCTGCAAGTTTAAAACCTTTTTTCATTTTTGAACTTTCGTTACCTGTTTTCGGGATCGTAAATTTCGTTATAAGAAAAGGAGCAACTGAAACACTTGAGCGTTTTGGCGACACCTGGCAGCGTCATCAGAAGGCCGAGGACGGGAAAGATGACGTCGAGACGCGTCATCAACCGCGAGCAGCGCCAGTGCTCTCAGATCCGTCCACACCTTTATGTCTCCGGACTCGCGGGCCTTTCTCCGAGAGCTCTGTGTGAGTTGGGATACTTTGTCGAAAAATGAGCTATTTAAAGAAAAGAACCACGAGGACGGTCGAGTTTAAATACCCGCTTCAGGCAGCGTTCAGTTCTGGATCGATCTTCCAAAATGAAAAGACATGCAAAAAAGTCTTCTAAACTTTTCTAACCAGAAATTTTCTTTTTCAAACCGTGGCCAACTCAAACTTGATCTTGAAAAATAAAAAAATAAAATAGAAGTTTAGATATTTGAGATCGTATCATGAAAATAAGAAACGGAAGCTCTTTTTTGTCTTAAAAATTAGAATTTTCTTCAAATAAACTCAATAAGTTTTTCCTTAATATAATAATTATATTTTGGGATAAAGTAATAAAACTCATGAGAATTAGTTCTGACGTTTTAAATTTCCTCATTCATTTTTGTCCGAAATATTTATCCGAATTGAAAGTTGTAATCTTCCGAAAAATTGAGAAAAAACTTCAGTTTGAGATCAAAATGTTCGTTTTAGCTGGTATAAAAATAGGCTTTATTGTTTTTTTTTCGCAGCACTACGCATAACTAAAGATAAGTTTTTTGTTTTTCGCAATAATAAGCTGGGCAGGCTTTGTTTTTGCTTAAGCGGTTGCTCAATCCTTGAAAAAAAAGGCCGTAAAACTAGAGCAGGGCATTCGGAGGGAGTTTTGAGCTGACGGCTGACCGCAGACCTCCAATAGGCGGATGTGCACAGGAAACGAGCGTGGGAGCGGGTACATGTGCGACGAAATGAATTGAAATCGGCCCGTAAAACCAGAGCGGAGCCAGGAATTTCGCTTTGAAAGTTTTCAGCTCGGTTCTGCGTGACCATAAACTTGATTCCTGGCTTCCGGCTCTCCGGGCCAAGCCACATGAAGATCGTCCACGTGCCGATGCAAGACGACGAAACCACCGACCTGTCCCCTCACTGGGAGGCTATTTTCAAGGTTGAAAGTTATCGTGATAACTCATCCCAAAAATTTGTTTTCTTCACATTTTGGATTTTTAATTAAAAAAAATTTTTTCGGTTGTCGCTTTTTGAGGTAATGGAAACGTATCAAAACGTTGGAGTTTACTTTTCAAAGCTTGACAATCAAAATTTAAGTATCCCATAGTTGTTTCTTGTTGGCGTGTTTCATATTTTACTTGTGAACTTTATTATCTATGGTCCGACCAAGTAAGACATGAACAAACTTCCAAATGAATTCACAAAATTCAAAAAAAAAAATGCTTTTTCTCACTGTGATTTTCACTTATCCCAAGTGTGCCTAAAGAGTTAATCAGAAGACAGCTTTAATTTTAAGAACCGAATCTCGAAGCCAGTCCTTATTTCAGGAAATCGACGACGCTCGAAAGTCGGCCGGCAGAGCTCTGCTTCTGTGTGCAATGGGGATTTCGCGGTCGGCGACCTTTGCCATTGGTTACGTCATGACGCAAGAGAAGTGAGGATTTCGGGAATAAAAAGTGCATTGGGAACCTCGAACCATTTCAACAGGAAAACTTCCTCCTAGAGATAAATTTTGTAGACTGTTAAGAAAACTTAAGAACCAATATTAACCTGAGTGTTCAGTGAATATTGCTCAGCGACATTATGGTTAGTATTACTAACCATAATGTCGCTCAGAGCTGTTCTCGGGGCGACCGAGGGCCCACGCGTTTCCTTTATCCAAAAGGCCGACTTGCGGCGTATTCGAGGGCGGCCGCGGTCGGCCTTTGGTAAGGGTCAACTCGGTCGACCCGTAGATACAAATTTTGTTCTGACTCCCGGTTTTTTGCGAATTATGGAAAGCGCAAGTTTTACTGAAATAAACGTGAAACAAAAAAACATTTTTCATCGAGCACATAAAGAGAAAAACCGATGAAATGAGATATTAATCCAAAAATTCAATAGTTTCCTAAGTGAACTAGAGTAAACAAATTAAGTGAACTAGAGTAAACAAATTAATAAAATTTTCATGGATCATAAATAACTTAAAAGTTCATTCAATATAAAAAACTAAAATAAAAACAAAAAATACGGAAAAAAAAAATCCTCGCGCTCGCTTCGGGGGCCTGAATGAAAACCGCTTCGCGGGCCGGGGCGCTCAGGGGCGCGTCGCGGTCGGGTCGGGGCGGCCTCGGCCAGGGTCGCCCCGATCAAAATTGGCTGCTTACATAGGCACCCAAAGCAAATCGAAAAAAGTAATGCATAGTCGAATCCAACACCATCTGATAGAGCAGACTATCTAAAATCAAATCAGTTAAGTTTTTCAAAAATTTTTGATTTTGAGTCGCCTTATGAAGCTTTTAGTGACGCGCGAGAAATGCAAAAAATCTGGCGTTTTTTGAATTTTCGGAAAATACGAAAAAAGAATCCTCGGCACCAACGGAAAAAAACTATTAGATGGTATTGTCTGTTCAAATCATCAAGAGTTTGTAGTCTAACAATCACATAAACAAGAGAATGACAAATAATTTCAAAAATCATAGAAAAACACAAAGTTCTATTCTAAATGTTTAATTTCGGATTTCCCATTTTCAGCCGTAAAACGCTCATTTTACTTCAGAACGGCGCAATGTCACACTCACGACACGCTTCGACGCGCAAAAATAAAATAAAAAATTGGCCGTTTTGGTCATTCGAAATGCTCGTTATTTTTTTCGGCACTGCCAGATATTAAAATATTAAAAAAAAATTTTTTTCTAATAATTTAAAATTGTAAAGGCAAAAACATATCCAAAAAGAAAACGTGAAACGACGGTACTCTTGTGAAATGTTCCAAAAAACGTAATTCATTTTTGCGGACGTTTTTCGTAAACTACAGATGAATTGTAGGTACTAGTGAAATTGAAAAAAATTTTTTTTGGTCTGTTCCTCTTTTATGATTCAAGCCTTCGTTTCTGATGATTCCGGGTTTATAATCCATACTATCTGATGTTACAGAAGATCTTTGCACGACGCCTACAAAGTGGTGCAAATGGGGCGCAATATCGTCTGCCCGAACGTCAGCTTTTTCCAGCAGCTCATCGACCTCGAAGTCAAGGTTTTATATTTTGACTTTCCAAACGGATTTCTCTGGCGCCTGGTTTGGCGACACGGCGGCAGGCCGCTGACGAAGACGAAGCACTACCGCTTTTCTCCCTCTGGGACCATTTGTTTGGTCGGCGGCCGTCTAATAGGTCAGAGATGGGCGGTGGGGTTTGACAAAGCCCTATACCAACTATTGAACCTCGAGAAAAGGAACTTGGGAGTTAAGTTGACAAGGTTTCTGGAGAATTTTATGACTTGAAAAATAATTTTTTCAGATAAATCTTTGAAGAAGACTACAAATGCTCCTCTAAAAAGTAACGCGGGAACTATTTTTCCATTACATAATTTTTAGACTTTCGAGTTGATCTTCGAGAAAAAACTTCCATTTGAGAAAATCGTATTTAATTCTGTCGTTAACTAATAGATCAGATATAATGAAGCTTTCATACGAAAAATACTCCAACTAGTATGGTCATTTCAAATCTACGACCAAAAAAGTTCTCTCGAGGTTCGCGAGAAATTTATCGCCTCAAATATATTTACGGAAAGTTTTCAGTTAGAGACAGGTTCTTTGATTGGAAAAGAGGAACAAAAAGGGAATGAAATTCAAAACGTACTTCAGACGCGTGGATCTTCGTCAGTGACAATAATCGAGCCGATTCCCGGTGTTAAAGTGGCGGACGTCGTCTGGAACGAACTTTACGAAGAAATGCTTCAAAGCATGAGCGAAGCTGACCGTCACTCTATAGCTTCTCTCAACTTTTCGGTCGGTGATTCTTCAGAACGGGCGTTTTTCAGTCCTTACAGACGTAATTTCAGACTCGCAGCTCAAATGACGTAACTTCGCTGAGGTCACTGAACATCATAGATGAAATGAGAGCGACGACGACGTTTGTCAATTTTAAATTTTCCCTTCTGACTTTCCATTGAAGGTCACTGGCGAGCTTCCGGCTTTCGGATATACCGTCGATGGGGGCGTCGCCCACTCTTCTTGTACCTCCGCACGGTTCCAGCGCCAGGGGATCCGCCCCTTTGCAAAGAGCGCGTACTGAACCGCCGGTCAACAACCCTGTCCTGCCAAAAAGTGCGCTACGAGACAAATCAAAGCCCAACGAGAAGAAAAAGAAGTGGAGGCTCAGCTTCAGCAAAGACGTAACTTGAACTGAAAACAATAATTCTTTTTTCTTTCCCAAAAGAATACGGTTTATTTACCTCGAGTCTACTCCATATTTTTCACCGAGTTCATCCCTAATAAAAACGATTTTAAAGCTGTTTTCTGTTTTCTGTATACTTTAAAGGAAAAACTGCCAGCAAAGAAAACCTAAAAGACGCATCCTGCTTGGTTTTGAGAAAATATGAAAAAAAAACGCCTTTTTTCCTTTCTTGATGTTTCGGGAAACTCGAATGAGGCAGACATTATGAAATTTGGTTCTCATGAACAATTTGTTGTGTGATAATTATCCGACTCTACTACTCGAACTTTGCGAAAGGGTTTACTTGACGAAAGTTTTTAAAGGAATACTTGTGTCATCTACCCAACTCAGAGAGGAAATTCTTGAGAAAGATTCTATTCCATCTGGCTTCATCCGTTTCGAAGTCTCAATCATAAACATGAAATGAGGTGAAAAGGGCTCTGACCCCGGAAACAAAGGGAACGTGGCTGTTACAGCGACCTGAGGACACCAACTGTCTGGTCAGTCTCCTTTTTCCGTCCTCTCGCAGCTGATCTCCTTTGTTTGTTTATCGATTTATGTTTGCTCAACCAAATTTTGTTTTTCTATTCCAGTAAAAGAATACTTTGCTTTTTCTTTTTTGCCTCGTTTAATTATTTAAGATGATCCCAAGAATGGAATATAATGAACGGTTAAAACTGTTAGGTCTTCAACCTCTTTGGTTTAGGCGTTTAGTTAAGGATCTGGTATTATCACATCAGTTTTTGCATAATAAGTGCTGGTCAGACTCTCCCATCCAGGTACATAACAGCTTTGACCGTCCCAGTCAGCAATGGTTTTAAATTAATAAAAACGAAACCTTCACTGGTTTTCTTCAATTTCTTATCACATCGCATTACTAATGTTTGGAATGACATTGAACATGAATTATTGTCAGAGGAAACCAAGAAAAAATTTAAAGTCATGTTTTTAGTGTATGCAGAAAATGTTGGCGTCGAGCATATTATTTCAAGTGTTCACAGATTTGTGCCATGATCAACTTGGTTTTAAATATCTACTTATTATGGTTCTATGTTTCTTTTCTCACACAAAAAACTTTTTTTCTTCACAGGTGGGGTTAGTTAATCCACCTAGTGGTCTTTTTCCCTCCCTGCAACATCACCATACCATCCCGATGTTGCGAAAAATAAATTGAATTGAATTGAATGATACTGAAAAAAAAAAGAAATTTTGCGATAGAAATTCCCTATTTTATATTTTTCTATCGAGTGTCAAAAGACTGAGATCAAACGTTTCGAAATAGACTATTTCATCCTGAACTTTTTCCGTTCTTGTTTCACGGGAAAAGTCCAAATTGCCTCAAAAAGAAGAACCCAGACCTCCTTTTTGATTTCTTAAAAGGGTGTCAAAAGTTTTTCTGAATCTCTTTTTTTTTTACCGTTTTTCCGCCTTCTGCTTTTTTTTTATCTTAAAAAGGTTCTTCTTAGATGGCGGTCAAGAAGAAGGAGCTTGTGCCTTTCAAAGGCCTTTTTTTCAAAAACTCCTTTTTAGATCCTTCTGGACTTTGCCCGCATCTTCTGAATACTTGCTGGACATAAGACTCAATCCTGAGATGAGAGTTGCAGCGTTGAAATAAGAATTGTTGCTGTGGCGAAATTGAGTACAGTTAAATGGCGCTTCTGAATCCGAACGACGCCGACGACTCGGATAGTTCGGACAGCACTTGGTCGCCAGTGCGGGTGCCGAGGCGATCAGCCACTGTGTCTCCGAGCACCCGCCGCTCCTTCCGTCACGGCTCCACGAGGTTCATCCGGCCTTCTTCTCGGAGAAAAGAGCATTTGCAGAAGGAAGAGCGATGTGAACCTACACTTTACAGACATACAAAGAGACAGGGAGCAGCAACGAGAACGTCGGCGCAGTATGGTGAGATTCCTCGGAGGTTTCAGGAATTTCACAGAGCTCGTAGGTTCGCGCGAGTCGAGAAAGAAGTGAAAGCCGCCGTAAAGGCTTGAGGAAGACTAACAGCGAACCTAGCGTCGATTCCCCAACGGTTAAACTTCCAGAAAGTAGTTTGCTCTATTCCTGCCGTTCTTAGATCGACGTCCGAACTCTACAGCAGCTGCTTCTTTCTTTGCCAAAGTTCACCAATTATGAAGCTAATAGACTGGTGGAGCAGTTTCTCAGCCAGACAAGACATTTTTGAGTTCAGAACGATTCTGACTTTGGTGGAGAGGATGTGATGAGTACGGAAATCGAAGAGCTCAAAGACGCCGCGAAAAGTATTCAATCGCTGCAACGCGTGCTTGCACAGCCTTCGCAGCACTCCTCGGATCTCGGAGGTTGCTATTCAACTGGAAATAAAAAAGTAAAAATAGAATTTTTGAGCTTAGAAACACTTTTTGGAAGTTTAAACGAAAAATACAGCCCTATTATTTTTTCTCAAAAACCATGTAGAAATTTTACGATTTTACGATAGTTTTTGAGAGTAATATTTTGTAGGACTTTTTTCATCTATCTGTTTCTCGCTCTATGCTATAGATTTGTGTTTACAGTTAGGGGAACAAGCATAATTTTGTGAAAAGGTGAAGGGGAGAATATGAAGATGAGTTTTGAGTTTCCTTCTTCCAAAACGACAAAACTCTGCGGTGCATGACTGTGAGTTCATTTATGTAATTTTTTTATCCTGGATAAGTTCTCTTATTCTCCTTCAGTTTATTCCGAAGCTGACGAAGGCTCTCTAACGACTGAAAACGGGGAAACGCGAGTATCTGGAATTTCTACTCGTCTCGGCCATCCGCGCGGCGTCATGCAGTTTCTTCCTTCTGTCAGGTATTCTAAATCTCATTTTCCACAATTTGCAACTCCTTTGTATTTGGCACGAACTTTTCTAGCTATTACGTTTTTTACGATATTCCTACACCTCGTCAGCGTTCAAAAAAAAAGTCGCAGACAATTCAGACTGTTTCCGATAGTTTAAAATTGTTATTTACTGCTACTGAATTTTCGTTAGACGCAAAAACGTGACTTTGATGGGATCCATCATGAAATTCAGAAATGACGACTTTCGACGATCGTTGTCCAGAAAAACGTCAGAAACAGAGAATTTTCTTACTCTCGCTGATTTGGATGAAAGATGCTACGAAGCGGTGGCAAGCGTTAGGACGCGTCGACGCGGCGTCGTCGATCCCATGTTTGCCCCGGCTCCTCAGCTCAAGGCCGAACGGCCGTCAGAAGCCCTCGTCGGCGTCAGTCGCTTCTCTAAGCTGCTCAACAGCTTCCAATCAAGGCCCACTTCTCCTGAACAGCATCCTTCGATCACCTGGAGTCCCTTCATGTGTTCAAGCAACGGCGGCGACGACGAAGGACGTATGGAAGACTCTCTTCACGAAGCGGATATTCTTTTGTGGAAGAAAAGGAGCCGAGCGAGTCTCAGAAGACATAACAGGTTTTGGAAAAGGTTCTGCCGTGATATCCTCGTTTTAGTGTCCGTAATATGGCTGTTCGCGAGCTTTTCGACACAGAGAAATCTTTCATAGAAGGTCTTGAGTACTTGGTGACGGTACGTTTACAGATAATATAATGAAAACTAGAAATCTCTGTATTTTCTTTAGGGTATTTGAATTTTTTCATACTTGAACGTTTCAAATCAAAATTGTTCTGCAAGTATTTTTCTTTATATACCTTTTCACAAAGTTTTCTTGGCTCCTCAGATTGAGATTTCCGAGATAACGTCGTATCATCATCATATAAGACATGTAAATTCAAAAAAAAAAATTCTTACATGTTAGAGCGAGTACGAGAAAATAAAAGTCCAATGACGTAGTGCGGGCCAGAACTGTAATAATAAGTCCAGAAGAAACTGAAAGGTTTTTTTACTAAACACATTAGAAAAAAATTATTATATTTGAAACATTTGAGAGTTTAGAAGAGCCGAAAAACTGAATTGATAAAGTTTCATGTATATAAAAATGAGAAAAATACTCAATTTTTCAACGCAAAGAGGGAATTTTTTTGATTCTCAGAAATACATGCGGCCTCTCCGGCAACCCCTGGAATGCACACTGATCGAAGCGCCTCTGGTGGACAAAATCTTCCACAGGATTCCCGAAATCCTCGCCCATCACCAAGTTCTGCTGGCCGCTCTTAGCGCCAAACTCGAGAATTGGCACAAGGACTCTGTTATCGGAGATGTTCTACTGGCTCATGTCCGTTTCATTCAAAACCGCAGAAAAAAAATGACAAAAAAAAATATTAATAATATCAAATATTATTCAGTTTTCCAAGCAGTCCATGGTAGAAACTTACATATCTTTTGTCGACAATTTCAAGTTCGCCAAAGAGGCGATTTGCCAAGCAAGACAGAAACAAGCTTTTGAAAAGTACTACAATGTGAGAGCCGTTTTTTTTTCTAGAAATCAGTTGATCTTCAGAGATGCTGCCGTGATCATCATAACAAACTCGACTTGGACTCTCTTCTTATTTCTCCCATTCAACGAGTTCCAAGGTTTTCTTTTTTGTAGTTTTTCCGAGTTTTCCATATTTCAGGTATGAGCTTATCGTAAACCAAATGCTGAAACATACTCCCGTAGAGCATGAAGATCGGGACAGACTACTTAGGGCGCAGAGACACATCCATCTTTTGGCGGTACCCGATTCTCTTTTAAGTCAAGCTTGAGTCTTTGAGACCGCCATCAACCAACACAAAGAGGGAAACGAACAGATGGAGCAACGTTTGAGAGAGATCGAAGCCATTGTAGATGGACTTGACGACGTCAGTTTCAGTTTTACTTATGAGTTCAAAACTGAAACTTCAGTTGGTTTCGACGAATCGCACGTTGCTTCGCTACGACATTGTGAATCTTTCGGGCAAGCAGCGCTGCTTTTTCATGCTTTCCGATCAACTTTTGTTGACGAGCGTCAAGAAAAAGGCGAAAATGTCGGTTGGCAAATTGTCGTGAGTTTTTCTCCTCTCTCAGTCAGTACAGTTGTTTTAAGATCCCAATCGATGGATTTCTTGGAAAACAATCGCTTCAAGCTTTTGATTAAAATTTCCCTCGAAGACGTACGAATATCAAAAGGTGAGAAAGAGCCTAGTAAGACATCGAAGAAAATAATAATAAATTAAGACACGCTTAGCCAGCTGCAAGAAGTTGAGCGCAATTTGGAAACTTCGAAAGAAGACGACCGCGTACTCAAAAAGATGCTGCAACTCTCGCATCTGCTCAGATGCGATAAAAAAGTGATTCATTTAAAGTTTGCTTCAAAAACTCCTCATCTTCATTAGATATTGCTGACAAATTCAGTATTCAATGTTATATTTGGTCACTTCAAATTTTGGCCACCGAACAGAAACCATCGGCAGATATATTGCCGACAGTCGTGTTGCGGAAGCGACCGCAGCAGTTGACCATTCCGACGTTGCCCGAGGAAAAAGGAAGACCTGAAGAGGTGGAGAAAATAGAGACTGAACTCGGGCCTTTATGGACCGTTAGTGAAGTATTGGACGTAGCAGGGCGCTGACATGGTTGAGTCCGTCAGCTTTATGAGCGAAGATACCGTTGCTATGGTCCCTCCGATTATTCCAAAGGCTGAATTACGCGTTATTGCGGTGTTCCGATTTCCGAAGACTCACACAAAAGCGCTATGTTGGCGATAAGAATTGTTTTGGGGGTGGTTTCGAAGATTCTGAAATCAGATCATGGATAAATGCTTTGTCAGGCTAAAGAGACTCTTTGACAGTCACCCGATCGTCATCCTCTTCTCCCGGTTTCGCATCCCCAGAGGCCAACCTTCGTCTCCGCTTTTCGGTTGAGGCTCTCAAAGACAAGTAGAAAACCGCTGGCAAGATCATTGTCATCAGTGACATGGTTGATGCTCCAATCTGGAAAGGTCTTGGTTTCAAAGAAAAAAGGTTTCGATGAACCAAATCCATTAAAGGACCGAACTGAGGGACAGAAAGAGCTACGAAAATGACAAGCCAGAAAAGGATTGACCGGACGACAAACCGCTTCCATCCGAAGTCTGCAAACACCTTCTTCAGCCGAAAAAGTCTTCTAATTCCTGGATTGAAAAAGAACCAACGGTGAGGAACGTGGAGAAGTTGTTCGACTTCCTGCACGAGGGGCGAGAAAACAATGACGACCGTGGTGATGACGTGAATGGCGATCAATATGTTCGCCTGAAATCTCCGAAGTTTCTTCAGAATAGCACCTTTGATTCATTTGTAGAAAATTAAAAATTGATGATCCTCGACGAGCAAGACGCAAATCGAGACCGAGAAAAGGCCATTTTCTTTAGCTCAACAATGTTTTTCGGCACAATATTTTCATAAAACCAATAACCGTTTGTTGAAGCCACATGAGTTGTATCGAAGGAATGACGGCGTCTCCTACAGACCCACCGTAAACCTCGTACCCCATGATAGACACGCTTAGGTAGTAGATTGTGATTACTGTAAGACGATATTTTGTTTTTGTATTAAAAAAAAGAACTCACATGTGTAAGCGAGGAGAATGGACTTGGAGAAGTGCGCGGGTTTGAGCATGTCGTGCTGAATGGTGGGGAACGCCGAATGCCCTCCGAAGGCGAAAATTATCGTGCCGTAGGCCATGAAGAACTTGATCAAGTCGAAGTCGTTATAAGCCACTTCCTTGAAGAAAAAGATATGAAAAAAAGTTTGTTGAAGGACCTTACTTTTGCGCAAACAGGCGCGTCGTGGCTCATTCCAATGAGGAGGAGTATGACAAAAAAGGTACTTGATCCAGCCGAAAAAAGTGCCACTTGCCTTAAGAGGAATGAAACTTGAACTGCAAATCAAGCTTACCAAAAATGCATCGGGCTCTTGAGCATAGTCGCTGGCCAGATGAGAAGAGCGACTAGAAGGATAACGTAGCACATGGAAATGTCGATGCTGAAGAAGAAGTGCAGCAAAATAGAGACGTTCTTCGACGCCAACAAAACGAGAACAGTTGCGAATCCGAACTGCGTCGCACACATCGCTACTGTCACCGCCGTTCTGTAAAACACTTGTGAATCGAGACGCATATACATAAAAATTCAAAAACTATAAAATTTATAAGCTCAAAACCCAAAACTTCGAGTAAGTGGATAATTGAAAAACTTTACATCAAGCTTCAAATACTCTTTTTAGGAGAAAAAAATAAATTATTCTGAACACAACGTCGCTGGTAACGTGAGCGTTCAAAAAATCTTTTAAAGAACGTTTTTCTGTCGGTTAAAAAAACCAGTTTTGAAAAGGGGACTGCTGAAAATTTGAAATTGAAAACATTTTTTGTTTGTTTTAAATTGCGACTATCAGAGACCATTTGAAGTTGAAAGTCGTTCATAACATGAAAGCTCACGCTTAGAAGCTCAGGACACTTGGTTTTTCCAATATTGGAGCAAAGTTTTGGCTAAATTTGAAAAATCATAGGCTCCTAACTTTTTTCTGAAAAATGTTTTCAGCTTTGACACTCACCAACTTTCTTCAAAACTCTAAAAGCTCAGACCTTGCTGTTTAGAGTTACTCCGAACTGAATGGGAGGAAAGTTTAACAAAAAATTGAACAATGTTTTTTTTTACTTTTTTAACTTTGCACGGGGGTACAACTTAACCCAAAAGCCAAAAACGGTTTTTATCTTGCTAATCTGCATCCCTGACCTCATTTTGGGTCCGACTGCTCGAAAAGCCATCTCTCCGTATGGTCGGCGACATCTGTGAGAAAATTAAAAAGGAACAAATTTGAAGGAAAAACTCACTCCTCACGGTACTCGGACCACCTTTCTTGCATCATTTTCCAGTTGAAAGAAAGCTGTAGACCCGTGTACGCGGTTGCCACAGAACATACCGAAATTATGCCGATTCCGACCGCGAGTCCTGTAAGAGAAAGCTTCAGGAGCCGGCCAGTTAGCCTTTTCGAGGGTCGACCTCATGAATGGCGAAGGCTTGTTGGAAAATAAAATGCCTAGCCATGAACAAAGTTCCAGCTTCAATTTTTAAATTCCGAGTTCTTTTTTTCTTACTGGTGTTTCATAGAAAAGTATTTTTGGCTAACACTGAAATTGATTATAAAATTAGGTTGTGAAAATAGGAAACTGAACACTGAACAAGTTTGAAAGAACTAATATACAATAAAGTGATTATGAAAGAGCAGAACTGCACCCGTGGAGACAAGGGCGTTGGGTAGGGCGAGGACGCCGCCGCCGGCCATGTCGCCGACGACGAAAACGGCGGCCATCAGCCAGTGGAGACCCTTGTGGTTGACGTGAGACTTGCCGTCGTGCCGAGGCCCAGAGGCCGACGAATCCGAAGGCTTCAGCCCCATTCTGGTGACCTTTTTCAAAAAAGAAACTATCAGATAGGCGAACCAACGTCAAATAGGATTAGATGGGATTATATCGACTCGCTGGTACAATTCACGAAATGTTGGAAACGTTCTATTCGATAGTACGGTTTGAAAAAAGTTCATTTCTCAAGAAAATTAATCTCTGAAGCCATATGCGTCAACGTTTACGCATCGCAAATGGAAGGACGTAAAACAGTTTCCAAAAAGAAAGACCTGTTTTTTCTACTCTTGTTCAGCGTATCCAGTCTAAAACATTTCCACATCTAAAAAGTTCTAGTTTACTTGCTTTAAACTTATTTACGCTGTATAAAAATTCATACAAGTGGCCTCTAGACCTTCACTTATCACGTAAACAAAGATGACGATTTCAAAATCAAGTTATATAAAAACTAAACAAAAAACCTGTTTCAGTTATTACCCAGTCGAGCACGTCCCTATTCGATCATAACTCCAAAAAGTACGATTCTGACTTTTTGCTACCAAAATCAATTCTAACCAAACGAAACATGAAAAAGGAAATAAACACGATAAAAGGCGAAGAAAGCGGCCTTTTTTTTTAAGAAAATGAGAACAATTGCAATGGGCGTTCACAACCTATTTTGGAACACACTCCAAGAAAAAACTCGTGTTAAAACTTTTTTTCCTTCGATGTTTGTCCGCAGGACTTCTTCTCAAAAATGTCGTTTATTTTTACTCAAATCATCGAAATACAAACAGATTAACTGATTAGAAAACAAAAGATTAACGAAGCTAGACTGAAAAAACAGAGCGCGGTTTCGCACGACAGAGAACGACGATGTACACTTTTTGGTCAGGGAGTGATATGAAAACCTGTTACACGGATGAACAGGAACGATGCGAGCCAGTCAACTGAGGTATTTCCGAGGCCTAGAAAAGATCACACGATACTGCGGCTTTCGGAAAAAGTTCGAAACCGGGAACTGAACCGTTGGTATTGCGTAGAAACTTCTCGCTACTCCAAAAAATGTGTCACCGTTCTTTCTGCCCTTTAAACTTCAAACCGTCCATGAAATCGACGTTCATTTTTCAGGAATTTGAAACAGTTTTACAATGCGAGCCAAGATTTGCAGGATCTGCGCGAACAACTGGAGGAACTGGAGTCGTCGAACGCTTTGCGAATGAGGACGCTCGCGGAGCAGATGAACAGCAATCCGGAACTGAAGACCGTTTTCCTTGATGTCACCACAGTGTTAGTAAATGTGACTCGTTTCTCCGTATCTCTTCTGTTCAGGAATGGTACTGAGACGATAGGTCTGGAGTTTGGCAACGCCGAGAAACGCTCCGTCTGGGAACGATCTGTCAAGGACGCGAAGGCAGCTCTGAGTGAGTTTTGAAGTCACGATCACTCTTAGCAACTTTTTTTGAAGTTGAGCAGCAGATAACGACTCCGAACTGTCAGCTGAAAAGCATTATCGCTCATCAAACGAGACCTGGACTACAAGTAGGCCTTCTCTATTAGAAAAAAACACTTGTAAAAAAATTGCTAAAATCCTCCTTCGCCGGCCCTTAACTCTATTAAAAAAATGTTTCATTCTAACTCAAAATTTTCACCGAAAAAAATTGTATTTACGTTTTTGAGTCATATTTTCCTTTTTATATCTTAATGACGAAAAAAACGTGATTTTTTTGTTGTAGAAAAGTCTGAAATTTGACTTGGTTAAAACTTGTGCTTTTTGGGCCGGGCCGTTAGGCTGACCCTCGCACTGGCCTGCTGAAGACCTTTCTTTCAGCTGTGCGCAGCAAGCATCGTGCCCGGCAAACGGTCAGACAGTTCGCCTTTCGTTTGGGTTTGTGCCAGCGACAAGTTCAGCGGCCAGGTGGCGGTCATGTCATTGGAAAACGGAGAGACGACCATCGAAAGCTGCTCGGCCATCGGAAACGCCGCCGTCACCGCCATGTGCACAGTTCCGCCGCCAAAGTCAGTTCTACTCTGTTAGTCTCATTAACTTGGCTAGCCTAGGAGAAGCAAAAAAAGGAAAATGAGATCAGATCGGTTGTTTGAGACGCCGCACAAGGAATCGGTGGCCGAACTCAACAGGTGAGTGGAAGTTGCTTCAGCTTTGCTGAACCGCAGTTTAGCAGCGGCTCAGACTCGGATTCGTCCTGCGATGAAGCGTCTTCCTCCAGTTCTCAGACGACTGTTTGGATTGGCAACGACGACGGAGAGTATGTTCAAAAAAAAAGCTTCTCGATTCACAAGCAAATTAAGAGTCTTCGTCGTCAACTCTACGGAGCGGGTCAGATCGAGAGCCCGTGAACGATTGGCTCGACTTGGAAACAGTTTGATTTTTTCTCGCTATACTTCGCAAGAATCTGAGTGCAGGTGTCACCGCGATATGTTCTGCCGGATCAAATGTGTACGTGGCGACCAGTTACTCCTCTCAGATTCAGTTCCTTGCTTTCCGACCGCATCCAGGTTCTCTATCTGTCATGAAATTGAAGTCCTTGCTGGCTCTTTAGATAGAACATGGGACCTTGAAAATCCGGTCAACATAGACCACGCCTGCACGGCTCCCATATCGTCCATGGTCCACGTCGGTCAACGGCTGATTTGTGCCAGTGGAAACACTTTGCACGCCTACTTCACAGAGGAATCTAGCTGGCAGGTATTTGAATCTAAGAAAATTTCGGCTTCTAAACCGACACCCTTTTGAATTCATTATAAATTTTGTCATATCGTCTCTTGATCTCTTATTTGCTACATGCGAGATTTTCTAGTTTTAAGTTAGCTTTTTAGCAAGTTAGCAAGTCAATATAAAGAGGCCTTCAGCAAAAATTTTACACATTACACATTTATTCAGTCTTCAGAGAAGATTCTAAACTTATATAGTCAAACCTTCCCGACTTGAAAGCCGAGGGAGACGGAGAAGTTAGCGGGACGCGTAGAGTGCGCGTACGCGGTTCTTGGCACGAGTCTAAGTCGCGTGCCACCGACTAGTTAAAAAGCTCAGTTATCGATTGATTCGTATCCAATCTACTGATGTTTCAATGCACAAATGAAGAAAATCAATAAAAAGTTGGTAAGAAATGAAAAGAGCCACAAACGATCTCTCCAAAAAGTCGCTGGCGGTTGAATTGAACTCATGCCAAGTGCCGCATACGCGTACTTCTCCGCCTCTGCCGTCTTTTAAGTAGGGAAAAATCGCTAATAGAAAGTTCAAGTTTCATACAAAAAAAAATGTACTTTCTTGTTAGAAACCTATGGAAGTGCTGCCTTCTTCCGACATTGTAAGCGTCATGTGCGCCTCTGGAGCTTTGTTGTTTGTGTGTGGTCGCAAGTCGACAATCGTCTACGTCATCGACGTCTTCACGCTAACCGTCGTCAATCACTTCAACATATCTTCCATGGTTCGGTCCCAGTTAGCAGGTAAAGTAGCTAAACAACTTTCGCTACAACAATTTCCAAACTTAGGTCGCGAAGACATTCTGAGGGAACACAAAATGGGATGCTTGCGGGTGTCCTGTCTGATGGCGGCGAGGTCACATCTCTGGATTGGTACCTCTGCTGGCTTCATACTTTCCGCTCCAGTCCATTCCGCTCGAAAACAATTGGCTCCAGATTTGAACGGTATCGAACGCGAATATTTATAAAACGTTCCAAAATACCCATAAAACGATTAAGTTTGCGATATTGGACACAGTGGACCCTGCAGGATACTACTCCCAGTGTCGGTAGCGTTTAACAGAAAGAAACGAACATCGCTGAACGTGCCGTCGCAGCAAAACTCCCAGGTCAGAAAAATTCGACGAGTACGAAGACGTTCAAATCTCCAGTTGATGGTGGTGAGTTGCGGAGAAGGACTCGACGACAAAGGCGCGACCCAAGATCCAACGACAGACGCCGTCAACCACCTCATCTTCTGGCGATGCTCGTAACAATGGAGCAAATTCGACGAAATTCATTCACAATGTGCCCGCAATATGGATAAAATTTCGTCAATTTGAAAGATACGAGTTAATCAAAATTAATACAAATCTGAAACACGCTGGCCCCAGATTCGAGTGCTGTGGGCAGGTCCCGCCGCCTTCGCCGTGTAGTTGAGCAAGTTCTTGTTGATCTGAAAAAGGTCGTAGTTATTTCTCAAGGAAAAGAGTGTACCTGTGTATGAGGCAGAGACATTGCCATGCTCTCGATGCGCTCGCCTACTACACATCCGTGAATATTGAGGCTGCGAATAGTTTTGCAGTGAGTGCTGAAAAATTTCGATTGTAAAAAAGATTTCGAAAGCGTTCAATTTTTGAGTGAAAAATCAGTAAATTCAAGGAACCTGTCACACGTTTACGCTTTTTTTCTTTGGAGTGTCGAAAAGAAGAAGCGGAAATTAGGTTCATAACGATTTGTTTTATTGTTGCGATATCCTACTATTAACTAAAGGAAATAACTTAGTTTTTACTTACCCAAAATACATTTCTGTGAATATAGGAAGATTATCAGAAAATAAGTTGGCATGGAAAGAATCCAGCATCAAATTATATAACCGTTTCAATATAGTCTATCTTGTTCAGTATTGTGTTTTCAATCTGAATTTGGAATTTCAGATGATCGTACCAAAAATGAACTGGATTTATGCTGTAGCAACGATTGAGCGACAGAATCTCGAGAGAGCGAAGTTCTTTGGTGATGGCAATAAGAGACACTTCCGTGATTTCATTGTTGTCTGAGAGGTCGAGGTCTCGAAGGTTTGGACACGACTTGACCAGCTTTCCGACAGCTGCAACTCTGTCAGAAGTGTCCACAGGGTTTGACCTACAGACGTCGGTGATGGCCGACTTGTCCAGGGTTCCCGCCATGTTCAAGGCGGTCAGCGACGGCGGCAACTTCGCGCAGAACATTTGCACAGCGGCGAAGTTTATCGAACTCCAAGACACGTTCAGCTCTCGTAGCCTATTTTTATCTAATCAGGAAAAAGGTCGTAGAATCTTTACTTTTATAACATCTAGAAGTCTTCACGGACTTTCCCGTCTATGGTGTGAAACAGTTTCCGAAAATCCATTAAAACCTTAGTACATTTTTTCTAAAGAGGATGATTTTATACTCCATTTTTTGGCGGAGTTCACTAAACGGTATTGATAGGAAAAATTCAATTCTCTCCAAATTTACTTAAATCAGAGACGCAGTGAAATCCAAAAAACAATCCGAGATAAAATTTTATAAAGTACGAAAACGACTTTATAGGACTTTGAGAATCTGTTTGACTTTGCATAAATAAAAGTTAAAGTACCCCCTGCAGCTTTCGCAGATCGCTTCAGCACCTGAAGAACTGATTCCCGTAGTCATGGAAAGATCAAGAAAGGCCATCATCCGATTTTTACTGATCAAATGGCAGATAATGTCATTGATCTTCTGGTTTTCAAGCGATAAACACTATAAATTCATCTCTTGAAAAAGTTTGGGCGAGACAAAACTCGAAGCTGATTGCAACTGTGCAGGATAGACACAAGAAGCGAAGGATCGTCGAACATGGTACCCGAAAGGTCCAAATGTGTCAGCAGGAGAGGAGACTGCAGCATCAGCTGAGGCATGAGTCTTGAACGGAAAATAGTGACCTAAAACATTTTTAAAACAATAAAAAGACAGAAAAAACCTGGGAAGCGCAGAGACGAATCACTGAAGACCGTCTATTGAGAATTGAAACTAAGCCGGCGTCGCTTATAGTTTTTCCGCCCAAATCTGTCGCTTTCCACTGGTTGGAAGAAGATCTGAACTCGAAGGCAATTACTCTGCATTCTCTTTGCCCAAACTAACGCAAGCATAGCGAACCGCCTACAAGTGCGCATTGCGCTACACAGATCTCGTTTATTCAATAAAGAGAGAAAGTCTTGGATAATGTGATCAGGGACGGGGTAATGGTTGAAGTAGTCTGCAAGAATAATTTTCAAAATGAAAAATCCCACACACATAAACACAAACATTGAAGTTTCGCTTCGAGGAATCCGCATCTTTTATTTAAATAATATATATATATATATATATCGAATTTAACTTTACAAGGCTGATCGCTCGACACAAAAAAAACTTAGATAAATTTTTAATTTAATGATCTTTATCAGCAAACCTATCCGTGGCTCCATGCTGGTTCTTCGCCGAAACTTGAAAACGCCGGGAGTTCGATAAGTGGAGACAACGTCAGGTCGCATGTGTAACGTTCTTCTAAACAAAAAACACTGAATAAAAACAGAAGAAAATGAAACTCATAAAAAGAACTACTAAAAATGATACATGTTATTCTCCTGTCGCTCGTAGAACGAATCGTTGAAAATTTTCTCCAAACTCTCATCCACTTCAAATGTTGAAAGCATAACTTCTGAAAAAACTGAGCCTCAAAAGGAACAATAAATCTTATACCATTCTCTTCAGAGTTAGAAGGGGAAATATCATGTAGGCCTCGGAACAAATTTATATTACTGGAATTAGCCATTTTCTGGAAGAAAAAACAATTTGAGTTTTGAAACTTATCGGAAATAGAAAAAAAACAATGTTTGAAGCTTCATGAACTAGTTTGAACTCCAATTATAAGTGGATGTAAGGCACATTCAAAGTGAGTTCGGCGGATGAATAAGTCAAAACTGATGATTCCTTTGAAAAGATCCTCAGTTCTTTTTATTTTTTCATATTCTGCGAAATTACTTTGAACGCGCTAACCAACAAAAATAAAGGAAGAATAATTCGGTCAATATAATGCCGTGTTCAAAGTAATTTCCGCGAAATGCAAAATGGTCTCTGACCCTCCAAAATTTAGTTATCTTTCTCTTTCTCTGACGGCTATTTTGAATTTCGCGGAATCACTTTGAACACGGCATAAAAATCGTTGAAGATTTCGAACTTCGCGCCAGGAGATGAACAAGAGCGCTCTACCGTGAAGGAAAAAGTTTATGGCGTGTTCATTGGAGAAACGCAGGCTTGTGCGTCAGGCCGGGCTTTGGGCCTCATTTTCAGGAAAAAAAGCCCGCGTGGGCTCGGGCAGGGCCGGGCTTCATTAAAAAAATTTCATTTAAAAAAATTTTCATCGAAATGCGACTTTTACTTCTGAAATCATAGTTTTTTTGTTAAACTTTGAGAAAAAAATGAGCAAAAAAACGTAATTTTTGTCGTAAAAAAACTTGATATCCGACTAGAAAAAAATTGCGCGATTCGGGCCGGGCGGGCCATTTTTTCTTGAGGTTTTTTTTTCGAAACTAACTCCGAGATTTTCAAGAGCTTAAGCCATATAAGGCATATAGATATGCATATAGATTATATAATGCTTTTTGCGCAAGACAGTAACTTAAAAAAAAATCAAAATACAGGATAAAAAGCTACGTATAAAAACAGCTTTTTTTGCAATTTTTTTCTCTATATACAAAACTACAAAAAAAGACTAAGAAAACGAAGCGAAGCGAAGAAGGTCACATTTCGTCTAATACTGGGATAAGTTTTAGGGGGCCCTATAGGGGGTAAATTAGGGCCCCTTGGAGGGGGCCCTATAGGGGTCCCTAAATGAAACCCTATAGGGGCCCCTACGAATTTTTTTAGGGGGGGGGGGCACGGAAAATTTCTGAAATAGCTCCGGGAGGAAATAGAGAAACCCTTATTGAATGCGAATCGTTAACACATCCGCAGTAAACTCATCTCATCGCGTTTGAAACTGTTTCCAAATTTATTGAAACGAATTGAAAACATTAAAAGCAATCAGGATCATCAATGGAAACAGATAGACATAAGTAACAAAAACAACGAGCAAAAAACTGAAGATATGTATACGTAACAGGATATTCGAGGAAGCAAAAAAACTTTTGGCCGTAAAAGACCCGTATAAATATTTGACACGTCTAAATCACTGCCAACGGAAACCGTATTGATCAATCTAATAGAAGCTCTTCAAGACAATAAAGATACGCCTAAAGCATATTGATATAAGCGCTACTTGCGAAAAAATAGAAGAAAAACGCATTGTGTCAAGGCAGATGGTTGGGCAACTTTCAATAAAAAACGTTGGGACTTCGACACGGAAACGGTTGAAACTACTTACATAAGGGCAAAAAGTTTGGCACATATAAAAAAGAACAATTGAACAGTGAGCAAAAAACAACCAACGTTGACATTTGAAAGCAACTTATTGAATTGCTCGGCCCGCGGTAATCTTCCGTTGATTCTGGTTCATGTGGCGGCTCAAAATTTCCGTCGGCTGATTCCGTGCTTCTACGATCATTTATCATTATCAACATTTTTTCGATATACCTTTCAGAATCTTCATCGCTGCTGTAGAACCAATGCGCATCAATAAAATCGCGACTCCGCGGCATCTTAATAAAAAAATTAAGTCTTCTTTAACGAGCAATAATCAAATAGAATATATAAACACGCATTTACATCAAAAAAACCTCCAACAAACATCATCTACCGGTGAATTTCTAACGGTTTCACACAATCCAGTAGACCAATTATACATAGACGAAACTCTGAAAATACCAAAAATAAAAAAATACTCTGAACATATTTACATAAACCAATATATCAATTGTACATAAACGAAACACTGAAAAATACTGAACCAATGTACAGATTGCCGTGTTAACTTTTATGGAGCACAAAAAACGCACAAATCATTATAATACAATTTGAAACCATAACGAAAAAATCCTACTGACAACTCGTTCGTGAATAACGTATTACTTCCTTAAGCACCATAGAAATTGATGAAATATAAATACAAGTTATAAAGTTAAACTAAAACTGAGTCGACTGAGTCAACTCAAAACTTAGAAAATGGGAAAGATATTTTTAAAAAAACCACGTTCGTTCCAAGGGGTCTTCGCGACCCCTTGAGGGTCTTGCAATTTTTAGGGAGCGATTTAGGACCCCCTATAGGGGGCCCTAGGGATTTCCCCCTAAAAAGACCACTTGCAGACCCCCTATAGGGCCCCCTAAAATCGCGACCCCCTATAGGGGCCCCTAAAACTTATCCCAGATATGGCTAGTGACTTTATAGTATACTATAGTCTGTTCAGATTTTAAATTCCGCCCCTCATGCGTAGATCAAACCAATCATATAGTCCTTTTTGCAGAGAGAAAAAGGAAACGCGGCGCGGAAAGGTCAATACTATACATAATCGAATTTTAATGAACATCTATTTCTTCTATATGATAATCAAGGAATCGATAATCAATGGGAGCAGATTTATATCCACTTCAGTCCGCACCGTATAATATACGCTACACAGTTTTTGAAAAACTTGGCAATCTAAAATCGGAAACACCAGTGAGGAGTTAAAAGACAAACAGTGGTGCATTGCATTACCCAGTGCTTTCGGCAGTCGCCCAGTCGGCAAAGAATGGAAATAATTCATTGAGAATTGGAGCCTCGGTGCTCATCCATTCGCTCGCTCCCCAAATATGTGCGTGTGTGCCAGCCAGGTGGGCCTTACTCAGCAGGCTTCTCCGTCCGTCGCGCTGTAGAGGTGTCCCTTGCTGAGCTTATCTCTGTCCTTGTCCTGATTCTCATTTTTACTTTATAGTCTGTTCAGATTTTGAATGTCAAGTCGTCGCTCAAGCTCCGCCCCTAATGGTGCGATAAACCAATCAGAGAGCGAGCCATCCACAGAGTGTTTTTTAATGACGTCATTGCACTTGACATTCAAAATCTGAACAGACTATATTCGTCCCTATAGTGACACCACAAAAATCCCTCTTTTTTGTAGAAACTCAAGAATCTCTTCTCAGTGCGGCACCTATTCCTATACCAGTTTTTTGAAAATCAAAATACTCTTTTATAACGACTGACTCACTACAACTCGAATCAGCCTGACGTGTCTGTGCTTTCTTTTTTCTCACAGGAGCGGTCACGCAGCAATGAAAATAGGATTAAGCACCGATAGAAAATAAAAAAGGCAAGTAATAGCAGACTGTTTTGAGTTGGCTTAAAAAATGCTCTAAATTCAAAATCTGACTGGTTAAGCCGGCCATTTTTTTCTTGAAGCCTGCTGCAATTTTTTAAGTGAGTATGAGGCTGTGAAATTTGCTTCCCTGAAAATGTAGGTTAATTTTGACTGTGCCGAAACGTTAAGTCGAGCGGGACAAACAGCAGCGTCATAAGCCGCGCTTTACCTTTATTGAGCCGAGGTTCGGTTGCACGTCACGAGCCAATTTGCATGTTGGTTCGAGGGCTCTTTTCTCTCAATTCACACCTCATTTCTCTCCTTCCAACCCGTTCCGTTCTAATAGTACCTCTCTCAACCTTTCAACGTCATTTCCTTCATGTTTTTGAAAAATAGTTTGAACAGTTTTTTCTTCGGAACAACGAAACATGAGAAAATGTGAGTAGCCTGAGAAACCTTTTTTTTCCAATTATGAATGAATTGAATACAGAACAACAGTTTTATAATTGCATGTTTGTCATGAAAAAAAATTCCGTATACTCTATGATCTTGTATTATTATATATCTTGTATTTACACACTGATTTGCTAATCATGCCAGATTGCAACAAACTGGGAAATAATTCTTTGCTTTCATCCTGGAAATATTTAAATAGAGAAGCCTTGAAACTCACTATTCGTTCATTAACTTTTTCTTTATCTGATTTAATAGAACTTCATAAAAAGATTTGAATAAGGAAGAAATAATTTCAGTGTAAAAAAGACTAATAGAAATCATTATCTAGTTTCAGAAAAACCGCGAAAAATCATTTTCCACTTTATTACATGAGGCCATGAGACGGTTCCTTTGAAAAATCTTCAACTTTTCAAGTTTTGTTGAGAGCTGGAAAAGCTCTAATTTAATTCGACTGTTTATAATAAAAATCTACTCCAGCGAGGAATAAAGAAAGATAGACAGCCTTTTTGGAAAAAAAGTCCTATTGCTGATTGATAACCTCGATTATATCTCCTATTCCTCACATCGGACACGAAATGCAATCAAAAACCCCATCTTTTCATGTGAATTCGAACGGCTATTTTTGACTGAAATTAAAAAAAGGAAAGAGTCGTTACATTTCAGAGCCAAAGTTTCTTTCCATGCTGTTTTTTTTTTCAAAAATGTTCAATTAACCAGTTTCTCTTTTTTTCGGATAGCTTCACACATTTTATTGCATGACTCTCGGAGGAAACACGAAAAAGGTAGACGATTGTTCAAAAAAGATGAATGAGAAGCCCCGGAGCGTTCCAAGTGGTCCAGCAGGAGCTCGTGCCGTCGCCATGGTTTCCCTGCATGTCCAGCGCGCATCGATTCAGCAAGATCAGACGGCCGTGCCGAGCTTTTGCCTGCCTCTTAAGGCTTCCCCCACTTCGCGCGTTCCACCTGAAAGTTCGCATAAAACTTCTGGCTTGCAGGTGGTTCCAACCATGACAGAAGACGTCGACGGTCACATCGTCGAAAAGTTTGACCTCCAGGTTCGTGCTGCTCTCCAAACCTGACTTCTGCTTTGTCGCAAAAAGCGTTTATGCCGTATTAGATAGATAGTTTATTCACTGCCATTATTTAACATAAAAATAATTGAAGAATAGATGATCAAGTGAAGGAATAGGCAGAGAATTAACAATACACGGGAAAGAGTCAACCCCTAACGAGTTGACGGGTACCCGGAAATATGGCAAATTCACAGGAGACGAGAGGGGATATTTTTCATGAAAGGCTTCAAACGGAAGAGCATTCAACTTTTTTTACGCAGAGTTTCTGGGGTAACGTTAAAATCTAAATAAGAAGTTAGTTTATTCCAAAGAGGAATAGTTCTAGAAAAAAAGTCATTAGAAAACTGACCAGTAGTCCGTAGTCGAAGTGGATTTCTCTGTAACAGGGATTGAGTGAAATACTTATTGCGATCGAGAAAATGATCAGAGCCACAGATGATTTTATGCAAGGTGATAATGTCACAAATTTCACGACGAATGAATAACGGTTTGATGTTAAATTGACTAAGGCGATCTGAGTAAGAAGTGAAACTAACATTACAACGAATGAAAACTTTCCGACTAAAAAGACGCAGTGAAGATTCAAGTTTGTGAGATTCCTCAGAGGAAATGGCGGGTGAGAAAAGCTCAGAGCAATATTCAAGGACTGGATTAACGTAGGTTTGAAACATACGGAAGTAGTTAAAAGGTGAAGAGAACTTGAAGGTATTCAGTATTTGATTAGAACGTAAGGTGGCAAAAGCAGCAATACGGCTGATGTGTTGTTTAAAGGAAAGCTTGTCATCGATAAATAAACCAAGGTCACGTACTATGGAGCTTTGAGGAACTTCAAGGAGGTCAACATAGTAAAGGGTGCGAGGATTATTTGGGCCAAAGTGAACAGAGAACGTTTTTGTTTTGAGGCGAGTGGGAGAGACCAAATATGAGACCATTCAAGGATACCGTTAATGCTTGATTGGAGAGATCTGGGACAGGAGCTATAGATTTTAATATCATCCGCAAAAAAATTGAGATAGAAGTAGAGGAATCAATGTAATTTTTCGATATCGTTGATGAAAATGAGGAAGAGGAGAGGGCCGCTGACAGTGCCTTGGAGGACACCGGAAGGGTTGGGAAAAGCAATTGTTGGCAAAAGACTTGTTGACCTTAACAATTGAACTTCTGTGAGATAAAAAAATTAGAGAACCAACGGCTCAGAGTATTATCAAAACCAAAGTTTAGCATTTTTAAGACGTAGCAAATTGTGATCTACTCTATCAAAAAGCTTTGCTGAAATCAAAAGTAAATAACATCGACATTTAGATTGGAGGCCAAGGACTTTTTTTATGTCGGATATAGAAGAGATGAGAGAGAGTTTGCAAGATCTACGGTTTTAAAAAAATCCATATTGAAATCGAGAGAATTTATGAGCGAATCGATTTCTAACCATATGGGCGATAATACGTTCCAATACACGTGATATAGGATGAGTGAGAGAGATCGGACGGAAATTGGAAGGGTCAGACAAACTGCCTTTTTTTATGTACAGGTATGACCGTAGTGTGTTTTTAGAGAAGAGGGATAACACCAGTTAAATAGGATTCATTAAATAGGAGAGACAGGGGAAGGCTTAAAGATCTAGCACATCTTTTTAAGAACAAGAAAGTTAATATTATCAGTGGAAAATCCACATTTCGGAGGTAGAGAGGCAAGAAATTTATAAACAACATCAGGGGGAGAAAAAAATATACTACAGTTAATAGGTTCAGGTGAGGGAAGAGCTGGGAAAAGGTTGAGGGTTAGTGTTAGAGAAATTGGAATAGAACACAGATGAGAAGACATCGGCCTTTGATTCATCATCAATTATATAATTATCATTGAAAAAGCAGATTGGGGATCCCAGAATCGATCTTAAGCTGTCTTGAAATAAATTTGGAAAGTTTAGAGGAGTTGTAGGATAGAGCAACTTTGGTATGGAATTTCCTTAATAAAAAAAGCAGTTCTTTTTACGAATAAGTTTTGACAGTGAGATTGAACTTTTTGCCGGAGGTGAGTGGAATGAAGACCGTTATTGATAAGAGAGGCTTTTTTTGAAGTAAGCGACAGAATTAGACGGTCAGATTTGAAATTAAAAAGAGGAACGGTGAGAAAGTGAGGTGAAAGGACAATTGTCGCGAATCAATTCATTAAATATACGAAGAAAATGCTGAAATTTAGATTCAACTGTAGAAAAAAAACTGAATTGACGATCCCAGTTAAGCGAAGAAAGAGAAAGATTGATCGAATCGAAGTTGCATTTGGAAAAATTCAATCGACGAATAGTGGTAGGAGACGAGGGAATCAAAGGACATTTATATTTGAAAAGGACCGTATTATGATCAGAATTGAGGAGAGGTTCAGAGACATTAACGTCTATGATTGAATTGGACGAGTTGGATAGAATAAGATCGAGAATGTTGGAAGAATGATCCGTTATACGAGTGGGAGAGGGAACAAGCTGTGTTAAATTAGAGCTAAGGCAAAAATCTAACATTTTTTGAGAACATAGATTAGTACAAGATAAGTTAAGCCAATTGATTCCTGGATAATTAAAGTCTCCAAGGATAGTACAATTCTGAGAGGTAACAGAAACGAGAAATATGCTGAAATAAATTAGAAGATGAATCATTAGAAGTGTTTGGTGGACAGTAAACCAGAAAAAAACGGGCTTTAGAAATATTAAAAAGTATTAGGAAATATAATGTCAAAACAAATAAGATCGCAAAAAAATGAGAAGGATAAAAACCTGTCCAGAAGGCAATCCACTTCGACCAAGGGCAATGTCTTTCGATAAAAAAACTATTACGCCACCTCCAGAAGCTCTACCAGAAGAAATTGAACGATCCCGACGAAAGAAGCTGTAAGTTGGATTATTAAACAAAGAGTCAGGATAGTCAGCAGTGAGGAAAGTTTCACAAATAAAACATAAATCAATGGAAGAAAATGAAAGATGGTCAAATAAGAGTTGAATTTTACTAGGAGAACGCAACGAACGTATATTAGAAAGAATAATTTTGAGATCAAAAATATTGCAATTGTTTTTTGGCGCGGGAGAACCGATAGATAGCGGAGGAGAGAGACTAGATGGAGCGAGAGGGTTAGTGGAAGGAGGAGGGGCGAGAGGGTTAGAGCAAGAAAAATTCGTAAAAACGTGTTAGAGGGATCAAAAAAATGGGCATTTCAGAATTGTTAAACATGACAAGAAGGCGAAGACATCGGAACATCGGAGGAAAGGGGAGGATACACAGAGTTGTAGTTAGTGAGAGTACAGGAAGAAACAATGTGATTAGAATCACCAGAAGAAATAGTATTCACACCAGAAGTAATAGTATTCACACGAGTGGAAGAAATAGGAGAAAATGCACGGTTAGAATAAGATTTGACAGTTTTGCGCGCAATAGACAGATCACGGACATAGAAAGAGTTAGGAGATTCCTTATTCAGAAGAAACTCTATGGCGAACACGTTTGAGAAGAGCAAGTTCCGGCAAAGTTAGGTCACGTCTAACTCTAAAGAAAGGTAAAGGAGGATTCTGAGGGAGAGCTCGAGCGGCAAGTCGAGCCTTGAAGATGAATAGGTTACGGGATTCGACACTGGCAAACTTAATTTTGAGCGGACGAGGAAGAGATTTACAATCATGACGATGAACGGAGACAGGGCGAGGAAGGGAGATATGATCACATAAAGAATAAACAAGTTGAAGATCCTTAGGATCCTGGCTTGAGTCACCAGAATCCTGCAATTTCTCAAGAACAGCTGAAGTTGATTTTGAAACAAAGCTTTCAGACATAGATAAGCGATTTATAAGAGAATGGAGGGCTTCGTCAGGTAAAGAAATCAAATCAGAAAATTTGGCAGAATCAGAAACAAAATTAAGTTCTGGGCACGGAGGCGTCTCTTGAGCGAGAGAATGGACATCGTGAGCATGACCAAGCAAGAGAGAGGCACCACCAAGAAGTGGAACTGGACAAGGAGGCGTCTCTTGAGCGAGAGAATGGACAGCTTGAGTACGACCAGGCAAGAGAGAGGAACCGCCAAGATGTGGAACAGCGGTTGTAGAAGCACCACGGTGAGAAGGAGCAGCCACAGAGCGAGCGAGACCACCAGAGCGAGCATGAACACCAGAGCCAGAACCAAGGCCGAGACCAGCAGGAGTGACCAGAGCAGGAACGGCCGCAGCTTGAGAAGTTGTGGTTGGAAGAGCCAGAGGTTGAGCGGAGGGAGAAGAAGAACCGACGGCCAGTGTCGCTTGAACAGCACCAAGAGATTGAGCCAGGGCAGCGAACGAGAGAACGAGATCAGCCATGTTCTTGTTTGTTTCGGCCAGTTGTTGAATGAGAGAAGCCAATTGAGACGCAACAGTAAGACGCGGCGTACGAGCCCTCTTAGGAGAAGAGACCTTGCCATGATTAGGTCTCTTGACT